GAATTCTTAAGGATGTTTTACCTGTCTCTTGCTTGCTCCTATTACTAGTATTGTCATTTGATGAATTTGTTTTCGACTCTGTCTGTTTCTGTTTGTTCTTCCCTTTGCCCATCTTGGTATTGTTAGCTATAACCGCAGCATCAGCAATCTCTTTGTTGGCCCGTCTCGAGCTTCTTACACCAGTCCCAATGTTCTCTTTCTCCTCTGATAATGTCTCTTCTTTGGTCTCCTCTTTTTGGCTAAAGCTTGACGATGATGGAGAAGCTTTAGCGGAAACAAAACTTCTCCTCTTACAAACGACAAGAGCGGCTGAAGATTTCTGTCTTGAAAGAGACGATTCTGATGTTTCAGCATCTGCTTTAATACTAGTCATAGCTGATGCTTCCTGGTTTATCAATCTGGGACCAGATTTTCCGGTCTCTTTCCTCATTTCTTCAGAAACAACGGCTCTTAGTTCATGAGCAGCTGTTGATTCTGAGGAAGATGCAGGGAAGAAGACAATGGCGTTTGTGAAGAGAAGCTGTAAATCTCTGTAAAGAGTGAGTCTTGAAGACTCGTAGGATCCTTGCTTCAACTTTCTCTGTATTGTCTCAATGTCCAAATGTTGCTTAACCAAGAGCTTGTAATCTTTAGTCTCCTGCGTGTTAAATGGACTTAAGAGGTTAGAAATAAATATAGGCCCAACTAAAAGCCTACAAACCGATAGGCCTCAAAGGAAACTTAAAAAGTTAGCGGTGAGACACGACAAAGCCATGCTACACTAACAGCTGCCACGTGTCTTAGATGATGTAAAACAAAAAGACAACGATGACCACAAAAGAAGTGGGTTGGTAAAAAAAAATTTTTTCCCTCTCGACCTTCATCGTCCAATAAAATTCGAAAATGGACGTTAAAATAAAGAATACAAAAATGTTGAGATTCCATATTAGAATACGGAATATCGTTTCAAATATTTAAGATTTCTAAAGGAAATTTGTAAGAAGATATCGTTTCTTTAATATTTCCTAGGAGTAATATTTATTTCGTTTTTTGTTTTCTTTCTTTCTCCATTCTCCATTTTACAAAGAATGTAGTTTTAAAATTTTATTTTTGTTTTACAAAGAGTGTTATTTTATATTTTAAACAATATTTTAGTTTTGATCCTATTGATTTAATATTTTAATTAGAAAAAAAAGTTATTTAATATATTAATAAAAAACAAATTAATATTTTTAATAGTTTTCTTAATAAGTATGAAAAATGTGAGAATGATATTCTTTATAAAACGGAAGGAAGGAGGGAGTATGGTTTTAATTTATCTAGATGGAATACTATTAAATAATAGTTTCTGTAACTACTAATTAGGTTTGATTTTCACTCACAATGGTAAAATAAACGAACAAGAGAAAAGAAACGCGTAATGAAGAATTAATTTAAGATTACTATATGAAGAAATCGAAGAAAATATGGAAAAATAAGATATTTGCATACCTGGCTCCGAAGCCGGCGTTCGAACAAAGATCCACGCGGATGGGACCGAATCAGATCAAGAAGACCTGTCAACGGCTGTGATTTACTCGCCGCCGATCTAATCTCGCCGGCGCCGCCTTCGTGATTACTCTTGCTGCCGGCACTGAGTTTCCGTCGTTTCCGTTTTCTTCCCGACGTCCCCGTCTCGCCCAACTCGCCCGAGTGACTCGCTTCCGATCCTTCCTCCGCCGCCTCCACCTTATAAACCGGATCGGGATCTGGATTATTATCACCTGAGCCATCGCGCGTCGGACTCGGTTCGTCTCCGCCAACTCTCTCGTCTTCTCCGGCTATTTTCCCGCCGGAAGCTGTTGAGTTAGACTCGTTCATGGACCTGTTTTCCCGGTCAGACTCCTCCGCCGTGGAAACCGCCTTTTCACGGTGTTCTGATTCAGAACCGTCGTTTCCCGATCTCTCTCTCTTACTCTCGTTTTCTAGATCTGGTTTATGGTCACCCTCTCTCTCCTCCTCTAATTTCTTAACCTTCAACTGAAGCGATCTAGAAAACCAGAAAAAAAATTTAGAACGGAGAATTAAAAAAAAATGGTCAGACTCAGATCCGTCCAGAAATCGACGGAGAGAGAGAGAGAGAGGTAGAGATTCCATGTCCCGTACAGTATCGAAACATCGTATTGTTGAACCTCACGCCGGAGCTCCGCCATACGAAGGCTACGTAGCTGTTCAAGCCAAGGGATATTACCGATTCTCTCTTCCTCCTCCGCCGCCGCATCGCTCTCACCGCCGGCGGATTCCTGAAAGCGACGCTTGAGATCTCGATACTTCTGCCTACAATTATTAGCGGAGACGAAGACGGCGGAGATAGAGCTCCGGGATCGAACCTCCGTAGCGACGGAGTCCCAATCACCAAATCCGTGTCGTTTAACGGCGCATGCCAATAACAGCTCTTCCCACGTGCCCCATGCTTGGCTCTTGTGCTTCAGATCAGTGTCGTTGTTGTTGTTGTTATCGTTATCTTCCTCACCGATATTGTTATGATTATTGTAATCATCACTGCAAATATAGTCGTTGTTAGTGTCGTCGTTCATGCTATAAGATCCCGCTTCCTCTTCCTTCGTCATCCTTCCATAATCTTTTTGTAGAGACTCCTCTGCCTCTCTCTCTCGCAAACAAAAACGCTCGCAACTTTAGGGATTTTTATTCCTTTTTTTTCTTTCCCCTTATTATTATTGTTTTATATTTATAATTTGTATTGTTGCTTTCTTGTCTTCCTCGCTCGCTTATTGTTTCGTGCTTTTCCCTCTCAACTTATTAACATACAGTGTTTTTTCGATTGCTTAGTGAAGTACATGATTTTCTGCGATGGACATGTGTGGTAATTAGGGTATTCAATTTAAAGCAATCCAATATTTCGATATCTCAATATATATAAATATTATACGGTGTTCCTATATCCAAGTAATGACGTTTATATTAAATCGAAAAGTGGATTAAGCAAGTTTAACCGCAGCTTTATGCTTTGACCCATTCCCTTTTTTCGACCATTAGGGCAAACGATTTATTTCTTAAGTTAAATATTATAGTTTGAGACCCAAAAAGCGAGCCCGACCCGGTTAGGCTTCGTTCAAAATCTTTCGGAAAGAAGGTATGAAGCAAAATTACAGGTATGCCCCTCGTTGGTTACTATAAATGGAATTTCGTTTTTATGTCATGTTTTATTGGTGAAAGTTAGGTCGGACTACGTTCACGAATCATGCTAGTGTAGTATTGTTCAGTCAGGATAAACCAAGCTAATCGATCTAAATCTGAGAAGTCCTAACCTAGTTTGAACCGGATCGAATCATGTAAGAATCTTGGACTAAGATTCGTGTCGTGTGGAAAGGTCCGATCTGCAATTGGAATGACTAATATCTATGGGCCTCAACATTTAGGCCTACTAGACCGGATCGGGCCCACGTTTTAGCACAGTAGTATATATACACAGTCAGTCCCAAAGTTACAACTTATTACCAAAAACCTCGTGTTCCAAGAATCACACACCACAGAAGTTCTTAACCATTTACAGAAACTTGGATCCTTTCCGGGTGCAGACAATTCCATTAAATATGCAACTAACTTAAATGTGTATACATTAACCGTTGTTTCTGGCTATATTTTCGGAGAAAGTCAACATTTTTTCCAGCTTCCATTGGCAATCCTTTTAAACACATGTGGTTGTCTCCTTGGGAAGGTTTTGCTCCATTCTGGATATGTTAGTAAATAGTTCCAAATCCTGAAACACAAAAAAAGGAGAATACGAATCACCTCTCTCTGTGTGTATTAATCTATTGAATTGAAGCTTGAAAAAGACTAGTAACCTTCTTTCATTGTCTATGAAATCTGGACCTTCAGCAGAAGGTGAGGTAGAACAATTAGCGAGAATTTCTTCATCAGGAAGCTGATTAAGTTCCCAAACATATTCAACCAGGCGCATTGTCCTGTATTACAAAACACAACTCATTAACTCAATTGTACATAACTGCAATGGAGCAAATAGAGTTAAGTACTCTAAACTAACTCTTGTGAGGAAGAAAAATATCACACAGAAAGAGGGCAACAGGAAAGATGGAAGAAGAAAACAAGCGTTTATTTGTGTTTACCAGCAGCATGGTGCAATGATGAATCTATCAGTTTTTGTGTCATATGTGTCGAGTAACTTCCCCTTCCAGCTAGAATCTTCGAATGATGCTGAAACACGAACTCTTCGAACAATCTCATCCGGACATCTCGAAGTTCTGTTGAAACTGGCTGGGAAAATTGAACCGGTGGAGGTATTCATCTGATAAAAAGGTTCCCACAAATAATACGTCTTATTTAGCTAACTTCCTAAGACTGTGGAAGACAACAAAAAGGGTAAATGGTGGAAGCATCAGAAGAGCTAACCAGGCATCCATTAAAAATGGGGCACGTGTTCGCTTGAGCATCCAACTTGGTATTATGCCCAAGAATAAAGAGGGTTTGAATGTGAAAGTTTTCTCTTCTCTTCTGCAGAGTTTCTACTAATTTGCAACACAGAGGGAAGGAGTAACCCTCTGGTTCGGCATAGTCACAATCATTAGCATTCTGCATATAACAATCAATACATTCAGCTTAAAGACCATTCTACAGCTGAGTACTAACTAGACTGAGAAATATAGAAAACCCTGGTGCTCACTTTTATGTCGACATCTTCATAACCACCAACCATATGTACCTGCATACGAAGCCCCATGGACACTTTCAAAAGGACTCACAAATATAAAGAATGTGAACGATTAACATAAGCTTAAAGACACTTAGCACTCTAGGGAGAGATAATACATCAAACTCGGCATTTTCGTCATCCTCTAAAACCAATGGTAACATCTGGCTTATCCCCAAGTCCACAACTTTTGGTGAATCGATATGTGCAATAGACGTGCTGCAGTTTCAGATGACCACAAATATTAAACTAGAGGTGAATGCACACTTTCATGGAATATAGAGGATCAGTACTTACATTCCAGATTTCCTGTTGCGGATAACAAGGCCTACGCAAGTTGTTGCTTCATCGGTGCCAACAAACTTCTCATCAATAAAAACAATTGGACAAACCATTAGAGAACCAAGAACACTAGAGTGGCTAAGAAAGTCATTTCTATGGCGACTAACTGTAAATGTAACACTTTTAAGATGAGGCAACAACATACATCGACGAGCGCTGGATTCACAACAGCAAATTCTCTTTGGAATACGTAAACATATCTGTCTTTTGTTGAGCTCTCTGTATCCCTTTCACCGAAAGAAACCTTCCGTTCTTCGAGATTCTTAAAAGAATCAGAAGCTGAGATTATCGCAGGGTGACTCATTACATCAAGAAGCAAGTTGCTTTCCTGTTCATCATAGAATTTGATGCACAGATTAGCCATTTTCCATATTGCAAAAGGAAGAATCAACTATTCAACTGGCTTTCTATGCAGAGTAAAGAAGAAATATATTCAAAAATTCCAAATTTACAACAAAAAATGACAACTTGTAGAACCACATTACCACCATATAAGCAAATCTTAGTTAAACCACTAAATAATAGAGATTCGTGAGAGACGAGAAAAAAACCGGTGCAAAGAAACCTACCTGGGATGAAGAAGACAAAGACGATGAGCTATTCTCATTTAGAAACGGAACGCCACCAACGTAGATCATGATCGCCGGCGAGAGAGAAAGAGCTTCAACGGCGGCGACCACGAAAGAGAAACAATCGCCGATGACTTTAGCGAGAAAAGCGTTGAACTTTTCCAACTAGTTCACAAGTAGCAATATGTAAACCAGAGTGAACAACTACTTGCCGTTTCCACTTTCTGCCTTTAAAAAGCGCGACGTTTCTATCGCAGCTAATTGCGAATCTAGCCATAATGTCTTTGTCATTGACAAATATAACCCATAAAATTAAGAAGTTGTACATGCTAATTACTTAAGAGAGTTTATACTTTATAAAAACGACTTTTATGTGAATCTTGAGTTTTTGACTTTTGAACTTGAAACCAAACACTCCAAGAAATAAAATTAATTTATTTTCCTCAAAGAAAAACCAAAATTATGATATCCAAAGTCTCAGAGGCTAGCAGAAATTACAAGTACACAAGAATGTACATATTCAGACAATTCTAAGGAGGAAACAAGACAAGGTCACATGAGCTTTGCAATGACGGAGATTCAAATCGACGGTGCTTCAAGATTCCGGAGACGATATTTCATTTTACCTCAGCCTCCTTCTAGACCTAGTCCGAGGCCCATTGTTTACATCTTCTGTTCTTCTCCTAGACGATGAAGCAAATGTAACAGCTTCAGTAGGATTAACGCTTTGGCTTCTCGTCGCAATGGAGGAGCCAGGAACAGCAAACTCACTAGGTGATGATGAACCAGCAGATCCGAGCCTGAAAGAAATCGTCTGTGAGGCATTGTTACTTCTGTTTCTCTGAATAGAAGCTCGTACCGCAGGTGAAGGACCAATCTCAGCAATACGAGAGGATCTACGACGGTTTCTCCTCAAACTAGTTGTGTCAACAAAGCTATCAACATCAAAAGCAACAACATCATCATCAACAAAAGGCGACATCTCCGAGGTATCGACTACAAGACCCGGGAAAGAAGCATACGGTGATGGCAAATGAGGAGGCAATAACCTCAAAGGTCCAAAAGATGGATGATGTTGCTGCACACCATTGGTTATAATGTTGGTGAGACCGAATTCATCTCCTTGCGCTAAAGCTTGTAGTCCTATAGAATCAATAGTTCTTCTGATATGCTCGAGTGTTTCATGCGCAGGGATCAAAGGAATCGAACGGTTTAATATCTTTTGACGAACGCTTTCCACTCTTTTAGCATTAGGCCTTGGAGGTAACAAAATACCACAATCCTCAAGCTTAGGTTTAGTAGTATTATGATCAGAGGAATCATCTCCATTACCGTAAATCGGAATCACCTCGGTGTCAGTCACTTCTCCATCACAAACCGGACATTCTTTGATGTTTAAGTAGATCAGAGGAAGCTGATAGAAGCAACCCCAGCAGAACAAATGACCACAGCAAGTCAAAATCGGATCTTCTGCTTTCTCTAAACAAATGTTGCAATCAAAGTATCCACCAGGAACAGAGCTTGTTTTCTCCATGTTCAACGCCTTTGCTATCAAATACGTCTTGTTCTCGCCGTTTTCTACAAGTCTCTCTCTAGAACGCTCATGTATCACTCCTGCGGTGGAATCTCTATGTTCGTTAGGCGGCACCGAAGGTGGTGCTGGTGCTGGTGCTGGTGGTGTTTCTCGTTCCCTGATTCCTGAAATTATTGCTTCGAGCTGTCTTATGCGTTCTTCGATCCGCTCGTGAGCAGTTTCGAGCTCGTTTAACCATGGGGGAATCTCTGTTATCAAACCGGTCGGTGACTCGGAATCAGAAGATGGCTCTTGATTCAGATCAAGATCCATTGTCTCTCCTTGAACACTGCTCGACATGAGAGCTCAAAGCACCAAAAAAATAATAATAAAAAGTTTGCTCTTTTCTGCACAGATCAAGCAGAGTTTCTGAATTTCCACAAACGTCGCTTAGCAAAATGGGTAAAAAATCAATCTTTACGTTTCCGATCCATGGATGAGAGATCCTATCGATTCTTCTAAAATCAATCGATATCACTTAAAAAATCATCGAATTGGAACTTCCCCAAATCCCGCAATTAAGCAACGCATGCATCTGTAACAGAGCCCACACAAAATGTAAAAAAATCAACTTCGAACTAAATTTTCCCTATCGAAATTCAACAAAATATGGTTTCACGGAACAGATAATTGAGCGAACGATCGAAGAAAACAGAGAACTTTTTGAAGTTTGAAGAAAAAGAGAAGACCTTGGAGAGAGAGAGATCAAAACAAGCGGAGGATGACGTTGATTTCGAGGGCGGTGGCCATGATCGGTGGTGGCGAGAGAGACCGATAAATAAATAGAGGTAGAAAATAGGTCTGGATATTTAAACCAAAAACTTATGTCTAGGACATATGATTTTCTTAGGACATTGATTGTCTTATATATTTTTTAATCTGGAGTTTTAAGGTTTGCGGTTGCGTTAGTTAAAATGTTAAGCTTTTTATATTGGAAGCAAATAAAGATTTTGCTCCAATAGTGATAAGAAAAACATTTTATTGGATAATTTACCTTTTAAGAACCAAATACAATAAATTTACAAAACGCACAAAATTACAAATAAACAATTGAAGCCTTAAAGTTATTAGTATCACAGTCTTTAATCTTTGATGACTAATTCCGTAGTTATAATTTAGTAATATCATCAATTTTCATATCTGTGATCAATCATCTGTAACTTTAAGTCAATAATTGTTTTTTTTTTTAATGTGTACTTATATTTGTCTTAATCAAGTAAAAGAAAAATAGAAAAATAATTGTCATTTATAATAGCTAACACACAAATTAAGATTGTATAGAGAATTTTGTCCTAACACTTCACCAGACTTTCATTGCGTTCAAGCAATATATATTAGCAAATTGTATATTATTCACTTTTAATAGATAGCACAGGGCCCTGCTATATTTTGTTTTTAAAAAAAAAGTTTCGACCATATGGATAAAGCTAGCAGGAAAAGATTAAACAATTTCTGTTTATTTGAAGTGTTCAAATACGTTACCTTTTTGGTCAAGTGTTCGAATAAAACATAGTAATCAGACAGAACATTGAGTAAATATATCTTACGACAATCGCAAAAGGCAAAGTTAAATCGAAAGATGATCTGAATACTCAAGATCTTTAGGATAAAGTTAAATCAAGTCCGGAGAACAACGTAGAAAGCAAGGACGGTTCAAATCCAGCAAACACCGACGGATCAACGGAAGCAAAAACCAACGGATCGAACCCGAGAAACCAGAAAATGAGGATGAACCGGATCCATCAACGGTCCACCACCGCCCATTCTCAATGGTCCGAGCAAATCAAGAAGCTGAGAAACTTGGCTTGGCTTTTGCGGCGTATTGGTTACAAGATTACTAATCATCTAATTAATCAAAGGACTAATCACATGACTCGTAGTCGGCGCCACCAAAGGGTGTGAATTCTTAATAACCGGACTAGGAACATTAACAAACGGCGTGGTAGCGAATTAGCGATAAACTGCGGTTGCATCCGGTTTAGACCATGTTGAGCCAAATTGTTGGAGTAGCTAGGTTTTCTTCTAGCACACAACAAATGAACATCGTCATTTTTGGTACTTAGGAGTTGGAATCAGAGAGTATAGATGGTTTTGGTCAAAAGGGTGTCTGATTTTTTTAGGTAATTCAGAACATTTTAGGTGGATGTGGAAATTACAGGGTTTACATGTCTATGAAGGAAGATTGAGGAGTTTTAGCTTGCAAACCACGCAACAAGAGGAAGAAGATTGAGAGACGAGTGGAACAGTGGATGTGGATGGCTGAAATGTCGAATCGAGTTATCTAGTTTTGGCCTTCCCATTGTTTTGCTGCATAACTGGTTCAGAGGGATTTTGCTGAGTTATAAAATGTTATCTGTAATTAGGTACGAAAACTGTTATAAAAAAAAGTACGAAAACAAATATTTCGACGACTTCGAAAGTCAACTTAAGATTGTTGATCAAGTCGTTACCCACTTGGATTATATAGAAAACTCAAGTATCGACGAATTCTACTGCTTTGTCACAATTTCAATTTTCTAATAATAGCCTAGATTATTATTTTTTTATTATATAAATCATGTTTTGACAAAATGCACTTGTTGCATGATGCATACTCCATTTGTCCCTGCTCTTGATATGTATTTAACAACCAAAAATAAAATAATTATTGATTTAGTTATTATAAGGGTCATTGAGAAAACAATTAGTATTGTTTACACTGATCTTTTTGTGTATTAGTACTTAATTATGATTTTTTTGCGATGATTGTTTTTGTACACCGAAAAAAATAGATTACTTAAAATGAAAATATAATAGCTAAAACATCACTTAATATGATATGGAAAAAGTACTTTATAATAGTTTAACTTTAGCGTCCAAATTGTGCAACACTAATGTCAACTGTCTTTATATTAAGCTACAACTAGATGAATATTAAATAAAAAACTCAGAATTATTTAACCAGAAATAGAAAGCATAAGTGGTTACATATTTTGCTATTTATAGTTTGTAAAGGCTTCTCCCACTTAACAACTAAATCCATACACAATGGCTTCAAAGAAACCGGTTAATCGCCCATCAGTGAGACACCCAAGTCACAATCATCCGCTGCGAATCTTTAAAGCCCAAGACGAGGATGAAATCATCTGCTCTGGATGCGAGCTTGACATGACCGGACAATCTTTCAAATGTACAAAGAAAGATTGTGATTACGTCTTGCACAAGTCATGTTTTGACCTACCCGGTGAAACCAATCACAAGTCTCACTTAGACCACCGTTTGACCCTGCTCTATTCCCCACCATATGGTCACTCTTACACGTGCGACGCCTGTGGTGAATATGGATCCGGATTCACTTACAACTGTTCTGAGTGTCAGTACGATGTTCATGTCGGATGTGCATTTATCCCTGAAACCGTGGAGCGCGAAGATCACGAACACCCACTCACTCTACTTTACAACACACCGTGCAAAGGTCGTGAGGATGGTGCGATGTTCATATGTGATGTTTGTGAAGAAGATATGTCTGAGAATCTTTGGGTTTATTACTGCAAAGAATGTGATTACGGGACACATGTGCATTCTTGCAAGGTTTATGAAGATCATGAGCCAAAGAAAGGAGGAAGAGGTGGAGAAAGAGGAGAATCGAGCTCTGCGGCTTCAAGGATGAAGTCGTTGATGAAGGCTCAAGATGAGATGGCGGCGTTGCAGATCGAGGCACGTATTAGGAACAATACTAATAATGCTATACTCGATTTATGGGATGAACCAAAGCGGAGATATTATTGGTGATCAAATTATGATTATCAGTTTGATGCAATGACGAAGCTTGTGATATATTGTTTTTTCTTTGGGAATTTCGTTTGTTTGTTTGTGTGAATTATTGCAACATTTCTTTTTAATGAAGTTCATTTTAATTGTTATTCGATGTCAAAGAGTAATAAGTTGATTGATCTCATATTGAGTTTATTACATTTACATATTTGAAGAAAGGGTGGTTATCTTGAAGATTATTGAGATGTCCTCCAGTCGACGACTTTTTTTGCAATGCTATCGAAAAAGTCAACGATTAGATTGTAGGATCAAACTTCATTGGATTATATGATCAAACGATTAGGTTGACCACGTATTTGTGTTCTGCTAGAATTTCGAGGATATACTTTTTTAAAAATTAGAAAAACTTTAAGAAAATATCCCTCCCAAACATATAGATCTGTTCTATTAGAAATGATAATTGGCCTTGTTATTATTCTCTAAAAATTGCATTTATTAATCATAAGTCAATAAAATTTTGCATATTTTGTAATTTTTATTTATCAACATCTGGACGAATCTATGTGACTACAACAATTAAAGTGTCCAAAGGGGCAAAGGGAAATAATCTACTTAAAAGAACATTTTGCACTTTTTTAGATTTGTTTCGCTTTTAATTAAGAGAGTTTGTTTTATTAATGAGGAAAAAATATGATATTGAAACTTTATTGCGTAGATTAGTTAGTTTTTCTTTTGCATTTATCTTTCGTAAGTATATATAAAGCATTTGACCCCAAGCCAAAGAACGTGAAGCACTTCAAAAATTATTAAATTCATTTCGAATAGACTTTAGGTCGGATGATGGGAAATTTTGTGCTAAGCATTTTGATCATAGCAGCAATATTAACCAGAAGCGAGTGCTCCAATACTCAGGATGCTGAAATAGATCTCTCCAATACTCAGGATGCTGAAATAGATCGACTTCTAAAAAAACTCAACAAACCTGCTCTTAAATCCATCAAGGTTAAGTAAATTTGTGAGTTTACATTAAAACTACAACTAAGTACATTATTTCATTTTAATTTGCTAGTTTTTACTCCTAAATGTGTATGTTGGATATACTTTGTGTAGAGTCCAGATGGAGATATCATAGACTGTATTCATATGAAAAACCATCCAATTTATGATCATCCTTTATTTCAAAACCATACGATTCAGGTCAGAAAAGCTAATTAATTTTTTTGTTACCATTATTTATTATTACTTATTATTTTTATAACATGAAGTTCTAAAATTATGGTTCATAGCTTTTAAAAATAAAAAATCATTATTTGATAATCTATATATAAATTGTAAATCATCTTTCCAGCTTTCCTGTAGTAGTATACACAAACTCAATTAATTACACCAACATAACACCATTGTAAATAGTTAAACTAACTGCGTTTTGGTCATAGTTTTTTATGTTTGATTTGCTATTTTGTTTTAACATTGTTGTGCTGAAGTTGAGACCAAGTTCTTTCCCTAGAAAACGGAACAATGAATCCTCAAACACCCGGAAAAATTCAAATATAGTAACTCAACTTTGGAGAGCCAACGGGAGATGTCCCAAAAACAGTATTCCAATCATTAGAACGAGAAGAGAAGATATTCTACGAGCAAAATCGATAAAAACTTACGGAAAAAAGGATCCTAATAGCTTCCCTCAACCTAAATCAGCCAATACACCTAGTAGCAATTTAACACATGAGGTACATATATATATATATATATATATCATCATTTAATCAATTAAAAAGTCATCATTTTTACCTTACTATCATATTTGTATCTTGTTTTTTAATTTCTTATATATACATATATGTATATATAGCACTCTGTATTGGTCTCAGTAGGAAGGTTTCATGGAGCCAAGGCGACTATAAGTTTATGGAAACCTTATGTACAAAAACCGAAAGAATTTAGCCTAGCACAAATATGGCTTTTGGCTGGCGTTTCTTCTGAAATGAACAGCATCGAGGCTGGTTGGCAGGTTCTTAGTTTGTTCTTATAAATAAATAAATATATATATATATATAATCTTCTATATTATTCTGTTTTTATGGTTATTTATTAGGTGTACTAAGATTTTTATGGTGATGACAACCCAAGATACTTTGCTTATTGGACTGTGAGTTAATTTATATAGTTTGTCTTTGTTTTTGTTTATGTTTTAGTTTTGCCATTGTTTTGTCAAATTATTTACTTACAATGTCAACATTTCTTTGTGTTGATTGGTAACATCAAACAGGCCGATGGGTACAAGGACACAGGCTGCTACAATCTTAAGTGTCCAGGGTTTGTTACTGTCAACCAAGATTTTGCCCTAGGTGCAGCCGTTAGTCCTATTTCTAGCATCGATGGTGATCAATATCATATTCCCACATCTATATGGAAGGTTAATAATTCAAGTTAACTTTCATCATAAAACGTTAACAAGTATTCTCTTATAAAAATAATAAGATATATTTAAACTATGAATAATAATTTGTTATACTATTATATTGTAGGACACCCGTTCAGGACATTGGTGGTTGAAATTTCATGACCATATATTTGTTGGGTATTGGCCTTCCTCTTTGTTCAAAGATCTTAAAGATTGTGCGACCAATGTGCAATGGGGAGGAGAAATAACAGATGCTAAGGATGGCTCACAACATACAACAACGCAAATGGGCAGTGGACGTTTTGCAGAAGAAGGATATGAAAAAGCTAGTTATTTTAGGAATATTGAGATTGTTGATGAGGGTGAATTTATGAAACCACCAGTGGGACCGTTTCCTTTTATGACTAAAGAGTATCTATTATATAAAGAGTGAGTTGAGTCTCACAAATTTGACACCTAAGCACTCATCCTTTTGACACATCATCTTCTAAATAATTATTAGATTTTTATTATTTAATAATTTTTAAAAATCTTTTCGTAAATAAGCATTAATTTATTACTTAAATCATTGAATTCAGTGATAAACATACATTTATTAAAATAATTCTCCTAAAAAATGTGATTCATTTTCCTTAAATTAACTAATGTATATATCTTTATATACAAGTTATTTTAGTTAGATTACTGAACTAAAAAAAATAGGAGCAGTCATAAGAGGTCGAAAGAGAGAAAAAGAGAAATAAGAAGAAAAAGAGAGGAGAAAGAGTCGTGAAAGGAGGAAGAAAAGAGTAGAGAGGACAAGCCGTGAGTAGGAGAGGGAGAGAGAGGAGGAGATTAATGACAAAGAAAAAAAAAAGAAACAGAGAGAGCACATAAACACGAGGAAGGAGAACAAGTGTTAGGAAATCAGAATAGATGACGTCGCAGAGAAAGAATGGACCATCACCACCGCAAAGGAGAAGAATTAAGAAAGGTATATCTGTTTGTGGAAGTAAGTAAAAAAGGAATCAAAGCAAATCAGAATGACTATTAGATACGAAATCAGTTACTAACTCAACAGAGAATCGGCGATGACCTATAAAAGCTTTTGATTTCTTTATTTCAGTAGACATCAAAATATCCATGCGAAGGCTAAGCAGCCACTATACAATGTTCCTTTGCAAGGAGACCGCCAATGGGGGTCTATATTCTATGAGTCTAATTGTGATTATGTGTAGAATATACTAGCTGGGTCAATAAGTAGCAGTGTTATTGTATAGCTTAAGAGTTCTTTAATTATAATTTACCAAAAGTTTATTTATTTGCTTATAATATAAAGTTTATGTAAATGTTTATGAATATGTATGACAGTTTGTTTAGCTAATTAATGGTTAAAATAAAAATTCTACTAATCATTTTAATACATTCCATAGAAATGCTTATAACCTACTAAACAGAGGTAAATATATTTTACCATGTTCAAAAAAAGAAAGATTGTTGAAAGTTTGACTCCAATCATGTAGGAACTAAATGGAACAAAATATGAAGAAATGAGTAGTAAAATATTATCGTTTAAAGAGTCTATTTGAGTGTGTGTGTGTGTGTAGTGTTTAGAAAAATTGGATTAGGATTGTGTTTTGGTGACTTCATTGGCAAATGTTATCGTATAATTAGATTTTTTAAGAAAATTACAAATCCAAAATACAAAAAGAATCTTCAAAGTAGATTTAGAGTAATATTTTAATAATGCAACGATAATTTTTAACAATGTGAAATAAATAACAACTATATCACTGTGGTTAAGAGAGAGCTCAGAAGTTTTTATAAGAGTTGAGAGAAGTGAGCAAAACGTGATATAGTTTAAAATATATCAGTGCATTCGTGTTAAACTATAGATTTTTAGAACAATTTAATATTTAAAAAAATATTTCTATTTTTAAATATGTACAACAGAAATAATAGATTTTTACGCAGTATTAAGGACACCAATTTGTTGTGAGATTTAAAAAATACATTACAAAAAAGACCCGCGTGTATACGCGGATATTCATCTAGTTGTTACAATATCAAACCTGCTACTGATGTTCATTGGGGAACTTACTTTTTTTTTGGTGGTCCTGGTCGAAATCCTAAATGTACATGAATTATGTTATTTAGTACTATTATATCATATGATATTGTGGGATATTGCAAATAAACTTTATAAGATTTTAATCAGATAAGTATTAATTTTAAGTGATTATTACTTTACTCCTCACGTCCTTTAATCAAAAGACTCATGTATATGGAATTCATGTACATTTTACTATTTTAGAATACATTTTGTTTCAAAATCAGAGAGAATCATAATTTGTGCTGGAATCGAGATGTCAAATTATTTCAAATATGGTTTTGGCGCCATAATTAACAAAATCACAAAACAGAAATCTTTCAAAACTTGTTAATTAAAAGATTTCATAAACGCAATTAAAGTGATATTATAGAGTCTTTAATTACTAAAGGCTATTTAATGAATTAGATTTACAAGTGAAGTAAAACTAAACGGCATGATGGATGGATCACGAAGAATAGACTTCTTGACTTTGAATCCCAAATGAGAATAAATCTAAGATATATCGTTAAGCGCGTACTGACATTTTCGTCCCAATATAGTTAATATATAAGCTACAACTTGGTTAATATATATATAGTCAAACCAAAACACATCACTACTCCACCATAAAGAACACTCATAATCACACGTCGTCTTACTATTTTCACTATAAATACTTAGAAACCCCTTAGGTTAATCACAAAAACACTAAAGATAATTTCAAACACAGCACACAAAAAAAAGATTTTAGCTATAATGGCTTCAAAAAAACCATCGGTGAGGCATCCGAGCCACAGCCACCCGTTGCGCAGTCACAAAGCCCAAGTCGAAGAAGAGATCATCTGCTCTGGCTGCGAACTAGACCTGACAGGCGCAGCTTTCAAATGTACAAAGTCTGAATGCGATTACTTCTTGCACAAGTCATGTTTCGAGCTTCCACGTGAGACTCGTCACAAGGCTCACCCGGATCACCCTTTGACCTTGCTTTATTCCCCACCATACGAGTCCTCAACTTACGGGTGCAATGCCTGTGGCGAGTATGGATCCGGTTTTGTTTACAACTGCTCTATCTGCCAGTTTGATTTACATGTTGGATGTGTTTCTATGCCTGAGTCCGTGGAGCGTGAAGAACATGCACATCCTCTCACATTACTCTACTGTTCTCCTTACCAGAACGGTTTGATCTTTCACTGCAATGTTTGTGAAGAGACTGTACCGGATCATCTCTGGTCTTATTACTGCAAGGAATGTGATTTTGGAACGCATCTACATTCTTGTGCGGAAGAGGAAGAGGAAGAGCCAAAGAGAGGAGGAGGAGGAAGCGGAAGAGGAAGTGAAAGTAATGGTGGGAATAAAGGAGGAAGGGGCTCGGCGAATTCGGAGTTAGCTGCAATGTTGGAAGCTCAAAGGGAGATGGAGAAAATGCAAATTGAGTTACATTTGGAGATGCAGAGAGCTAAGATTGCCAAAAAAGCGAGAAAAGCGTGTCTCAAGTTGATCTAAAAATGTGAAAACTTGTTGATCATAAGACCCATCTCTTCCATATCTATTTGCCATGTTTCTGTAGAGCTTTCTTGGATTCTTGAGGCTCTGAAACTCGTTGACCGTTTCTTGTATTTCATTGATTTTGTTGCAAGCTTTCATGTTACTTCCCTTTGAATTGTTGAAATAAAAGAATTATAAATTAGCTTTGTTACTTTATTTTGTTCAAATCCTTATACTGTTAGTATGCATCACACCACGTCTCGAATTATTAGGAGAGCTTTGTAAATTATAAAGTCAAAACTAAAATTAGTTTAATACTATCTTACAAGGGGGTTGAGTTGAGATATGGTGTGGATAATCTGTCATATCATATTCGTGGGAGTTGAGTTGGTAGACGATCGATAGATGATAAGCATTGACTTTTTTTTATGCATTGACTTGCACAAACACAAAGTCCATTCTCTTTGTATAATCCAAAAACGAATTTTAAAAGTTTTTTTTTTTGTCTCATCACCATCAAATTTTTTTTTATTGGCAGCATAAAAAATACATAGGAAAATATCAAAAGTCAAAAAAATCCACGTCAGAGTCAGAGATCTAAAAACTAACGATTGTACGCGTGGGATTTCACACGCGTCCCTTCCGTGATCCCGCCGTCTGTTTTTTTTTTGTGTGTGTAAAGTTAAACCGAATTAATCAGAAGAGTTAAAACCCACGATGATACGATCATAAACAGAAGCAGTGGTTTGATTACATTTTGATTATCAGATTCAAAACAAAATCGGAAGAGAGAGAGTCCATGGCGGAGGGGAAACCGGACGAGCAGCTCTTCCAGCTTCTTTCGGGTCTTCTACAACAGGTTTCGATTTTGTAAAAATTCGCCCCCAATTCGTTTTGATTTTGGATATTTCTTTGGGTTATTCGTTTTGTTTCTCTAATTCACACCGAAATTTCTGTAATTTTGGAGTTTATATTCGTCGAATTTCACTCACTAGTTTCTAGGTTTTCTCCTTATTTTCAGATAAGATCATCGGAGTCATAAAAACCATCTTCAAAAAGGAAGAGCTTTTGATCTTATTACAACAACCCGTTTGACTCTTAAAGGAATAGAATTGTTACTACATTGGATTTTTGGTGCTCTTTTTCCTGATCCATTATATATCTTGCTCATCAGGTGGAATCATTGACGAATACAGAAGAAGTAGAATTACGTTCTAAGATCGAAGCTCTTGGTTTAGAAGTCACCAAAGTGCCATCAAAGTCTGCTCAACACCTCAATGAAGTGTGTTTTCCCCTTTTTCAAAAACTCCTTTTTTTTCCGTTCACAAGCTCTTTTGTAACTTGAATTTGAGGTTTTTTTTATTTATTTGTGTGATTTTCAGGTGGAGATTGCTAAGGAATTGGATAATTTATCAGCCAAGTTAGACGATGTGGATGAGATGATATCATCAGCCATAGCTTCTGATCCCCAAGTTCAGTCGCTTCTTAGCGGCACAGCCGATGTTTGGATGCCGGTTATCACTGCCAACACCGAGGAGAGACTTAACTTCACTGCCTCTCTTGGTGATGATGACGATGAGCTGCTTGCTAATAAGGATACTACCACCGACAAGAACAAGAACAAGAGTAGCTCGTAATAATCTTCTTTGCAAAACCCATTTCCCTTATTGATTATCTCAGTATTGTTTTTTACTTATTGTTTTTTACTTTTGAAGTCTTGTTACTTTTCCAATCCAATGTGTTCGATATGTACATCAATCAATTAAAAAAAAAAAGTATTTGTAGTTCATGATTGATATTTGATGATGGAGGTTAATGCGAATTGAATACAACTGTTTATTTATTATCACGAGTTTTGCGGGATGCAAATTTGCAAGTGTTTCTCAATGGCAGAAAAGAAAATCTTAGAAAAAACAATTTCTACATAAAACAAAGTTTCTTCTGTCAATAGAAAGGCTTTGTTTGAACAAGAGTGAGTGAGAAGACTCAGGACTCAGGTGATGGCTCAAGCAGATGAAGCTTTCTTACAGAAGGCATCCAGCCAGTCCATGGTCACACTCTTTGGCCTCTCAAGTGCGAGTCCAAGAGCTCGGTCCCATATTAGCTGAACCAAACACAAATGAGACAACTTAGATCATATAAATTCTATTTTTAAAATGCTGTGTAGCAACAAAAGGCGTATCATCACTATATATACCTGAGAGCAAATGCCAAGACTCCTTGAGACACCAAAGAGCACGGTGTAGTACCTGTAAAAACGCACAATGTTATAGTTGAGTACCAGCGTAAAAGGCTCAGTGATATGCTACGGCACATTAAACGAGACGTCTGCTTCTTACCTCGCTTCGGTTAGACCGTAGTGGTTGAGCAACACCCCACTGTGAGCATCAACGTTTGGCCACGGGTTCTTTACCTGTGACAAGCGCCATCACAGGATTCAGAAAACATATGAACTTAGATTTTCATGAGACGTATTAGGCATCCATTGACTTATCGGGAGATAAGATTTATGTGTCAAGCTTTCTATGAAATCCATTACACGAAAATGATCACCTTTTTAAATGAGAAAAGATAAGAAATATTACCTTTCCGAGTTCGGTAAGAACAGGAGGAACAACTTCATAAAGCTTTGAGACCTATAGAGATGAAGGTTTTGTTAACCAGTGCACAATGCTAGAGTTTTATAAGAGCGCAAAAGAAAAAGAAAAAAAAAAACAGAAAAACAAAGTACCAGCTGGAAAAGAGGGTCATCAGGTAAATGCTTCAAGGCAAACTCTCTTTGGCATACATATCTTGGATCAGTTTTGCGAAGAACACCATGTCCATATCCGGGAACAACCTGTAACCAGTTAATTATTTGGTAAGCTATACTTGGTAGTGTAAACGCATAAAAGAATACAAATTAGTTAAAAGAGCATCCAACGCTTATCATTAAGACTGACAGACAAAATTTGGAGGATGTCCACTATCCTTTACCATTCACACATCGCACAATAATTTAAGTATTAGCCTATTACAACTAGCGGACAAGATTCAATTTATCATGATCCATCTAGATTAAAGTTCCATTAGTGATTCAGAATAATGTAGGCTGGCAGTGACTAAGCAGATGAGTTTCGTGTTTTTACCTTGCCACTGTTTAATGTTTTCCAGACATATTCTTTCAACTGGTCTTTCGATATGTTTTCCCCACATTCCTCAACAACTGATTTGATCCAAAGCAAAACTTCCTGTCGCAACAAGACCAAAAGAAAAAAAGTAAAAAAAAAAAAAGACTAAGATTAAGTTCCTCTAACTTATGGTTATGCCATAAACGATCACAAGCTTCCTAGATAAAATACAACACAGACAACTCATGAAGCTCTGACATAGGTTGAGCAGTGTAAAATTTATTGAGGATATAGACAAGAGATCATACCTGATTAGCCAAACCATGGAGTGGCCCAGCTAAACCGTTTAATGCAGCTGCAAATGACAGATATGGATCTGAAAGTGCACTCCCGACCTAAATAGGCAGGTCAATCATAAGCAAAAGTATATAAAATTTCGAATTGCATGTGGAACAGTCGCATCAAGAAACCATAAAACGCAAAGTTGACATGGAGAGACTATGACCATATACATACCAGGTGACCAGTGTGAGCACTAACATTTCCACCTTCATGATCACTAAAACCAAAAACAAGTAGAAAATAGAAATTATCATGCTAATCACTGTAATTCTTGAAAATAACAACAAAGATGACAAGGAAATTTAGTTAGGAGGCATGTATGGGAAGAAGTTAGTACATACCTGTGGATAGTGATGTACAGCCTCATGAGCTCTTTCATCTTAGCATCATCAAATCCCAACATGTGGGAAAAATTTGCACCATAATCCAAAGATTTATCTGACGGAATGGAATCGCCATTCTTATACATCCTGCAATGATATAGTGGAAAGTTAAATACGAACCAAACAGCAGCGGGAGGAAGACAAATTTTCCTATAAAGGATAGACAATCAGTGCCAAAGTTACTGAAGCTGCAAGAAATATGAGAAAGAGAACAAAAATGACTAGTCTGCACTAACCTCCTATAAACATATGCAGCTACAACAGGGACACGAGCAATCAGGTTGAGGCAATCCTCGTATGTTGGCTCCCAGAATCTGGACGGAAAGATCTTTGTTATGATGCATGCTAATATTAAATGCTATCAAGAACTAAAAAAGACATTCCAAAAGCATACTTTGACTTATGAATTCCATTCTCATATGCCTTTTGGAACTCACTTTGCACCTAGAAATCAGGTAAAGAAAATTATCATTCTGCTGAAAAGTAATCACTTATAGCGAAAAAGTTAACACAAATATCACAACAATATCAAGCAAACAACTATGGGAGCTTAGAGATCCACACCTGTAGGGCCATAACACCGCTAGCAAATTGGGTCATTGGATGAGCCGTGGAAGGCAGGGCATCGATGGCATTGTACACATAATCTGCATAAAAATTGAATAGACAGTCAAGAGAGAGAGAGTAAAAGTGTAAAAACCACATTTGTTGAAAAATTTCTTGATACATTAATGGTTAACAAGTTTGAATGACCAATAAACAGACTGCTTTTTTGTAAACAGCCAGAGCCAGAAGGTGAACAGCCAAACCTGGCACAGCAGCACGGTTTGCCAAGTCTTTTGACAGTGCTTCAACTTGCTCTTTGCTAGGTACCTGTTCGAAAAAGGGATGAAAAACGATATTATATTGAGGGAAACTAATCGTGTCGACATGACCGTGACCAGCTTATAAAAAATGTACAGAAAAAGGCACACCTTTCCAGTTAAAAGAAGCCACAAAAGACCCTCGGGCAATGGTTCTCCTCCAGACTGGGCAGCGGGTAAAACTTTCTGGCACTCAGGAATTGACAAGCCCCTAAAGCGTATACCCTGAAACAATAATAATGATTGACAACAGACTTTGAACGGGAACGAAGAGCCTATGATATTTCTATAAATAAGATATTACCAAGCAATTGTAACTATATACAAAGAGTTATACGTACCTCTTCCGGGTCAAGCAATGAGGTTTCCCAGAGCAATCCAGTCATCCCTCTCATCCCACCAATTACCTTTATTTAAAAAGCGGATTGAAATAAGTCATTCAATGGAAGGCTTATATATACTTAAAAAAAAACACACATGAATCATAATGCTTCTACCATATCAACAGTGATGTTTCCCAGTTGGACCTTCCCATGTTCTGACTTGAGTTTCTTCAGACGGTCCTGAAATTGGAAATTTTCGATGAGGAAAGAAAGAACTTAAAAAGGAAAAGAGGTTCATTTCAAGTGGCTTGCCTTAATTTGGAAACAATCTTAACCAACGTAAGCACTATATACAAATTCAGTAAAAGAAATGTCAACATCACAAAGATTCATGAAAACGGAGTCAAAGCTTACCTGCTGTTCTGGAATCAACTCTTGCAGCTGCGACTTCAGGTCCTGCATTGACACCATTTAAAATAAAATGAGCAAAGACCCCATGACAGAAAAAAAACATAGTAATCTTTCTCAAGCAAACTCATGACAGAAAAAAAAACATAGTAATCTTTCTCAAGCAAACTCATGATAGAAAAAAACATAGTAATCTTTCTCAAGCAAACTCATGACAGAAAAAAAACATAGTAATCTTTCTCAAGCAGGCTTGCGCTATGAATAAACCAAATTTCCATTTCAAGTTACTAAGCATTTGGATCTAGTTTGAAACAAAACAAAAATAATAATATATATACACACTACAAAATCACATTCATGGACACGCAAACATGAAGCAAATGAGATATTTACCAGCTCGGTAGAGCTCTGCATCTGAATCCATCTGACCGAATTGCTGAGCGAAGATTGTTGCCCCTGATTATATAGATCCGATCACCAACCGATTAGCATCAGAACCAAACGAAAAAAACAAACACCAAACTGAAAGCGAAATTTTAATGCGATATAAGAAAAATACTCACAACGCGAGACCTCAGCCTAGTAAAGGCCGAAACGCTGCGGAAAAACACCATTCTCCAAAACTCAAAACCTGTTACAGTATCCACCAAACCAAATATGAATTTCAAAACAAAGTCGATCCATGGAAACTCAATCAACAACACTCAGCGAATCAGGAAAAAAAAAAAGAGCTACAAAAGAACAGGAGCTATAATTTAACGAAACTCAATATTCGATCATTGAAGCCAATTCTACGGCGATTTTCAGATTCCAGAAGAAAACCATGGACTAGTTCTCCAAAAAAAATTATGGAAGATCAAAAAGGAATGAGAATCGCTACGAAGAAGAGAAGAGTTTACCAGAGATTCGGGAGCTTGACGGCGATCGAGAAGGGAAAAAGGCGATTGTTGAAATATTATTGCTGCGTGTGATGTACAAAAATGGTCTATATAAAAGGCGAAATACGAGCAAATGACATTTACCCCCAAAAACGAACCTGTACTCTGCAAATTTTCGGTAGCTGGATTATATAGAAAATTCCAATTTTGACCTTAGAGAACATTGAGAAGGCAAACCAAACTAAACCGGGACACGGAATCCTTGCTGTAAACCGGAATAAGATGCCTAGAGGTCAGTTTTGGCCTTTTGGGACTTTTGGCCTTTTGAGGAACCAACCCGAATTTAATTTGGTTTAGATGAGATTGGTCAACGTACACTTAAGTCTTGAATAATTTCGGTGTACCGGTGCGGTTATATTTGGTTAAAAAAATTATACGTGAGCTTTGAAGCAGCCCGAACGTTTCCAGACCTAGAAAAGTCAGTTTTGAAATTGCCTTTTTCATCCAATCTGATGCCGCCAAACATGATATTCTATTTCTCAACTTTTTAACCTTCTTTTTACAATTTTGGAGCACAAATTTCTCCTCTAACATCAGAACGTACTAAAATTTGTAGATGGATGTAAAGAAAACAACATAACCGAGTTGTTTGGACGTTTACAGTTTATTAAAACCCAACAGTTAGAATTTCCATATGATTCTAAAAACTATTTAAGATGAATGTATACGAATTATGAATGTATATAAATTATATAATAACAGGGTTTTTAACTTTAACGGTTAAAATCTTAAATATGTTGCCCAAATACACATGTACCGAAAACGATTTTGATCTATGGTTTAGTTAGAAAAAGGAGGATGAGGAAAACAGTGGTTATTTTGAGTAAGAGAAAAAGATAGAAAAGATCATTATTCTTAGTCGATTAACTATCATCATTACACGGTTTGATGTTAACATTAATTCAGTTATCTATAACAATTGAACACTAATCAATCGAGATTATAAAATAAATAAATAAAAATGCTTGTCAAATTTTTGTTTTTATTACCATACAAACTTTTCCCCAAAATATAATCAATCACATACACACCAAAGAATTATTACACATCCAATAATAGCACATCAATGTAGTTACATATTACTGATATCAAAACGTTTTTTAAACGCCTACGACCACTTAATTAGATACAGTCACTTCTCCTTGAAGGGCTGCACAAGTGCACATAGATTAAACTCTTAATTACAACTCTCAACCTTGGCAAAGTCAGTCCACCAGAAGTTTCAGCTTTTCATCATTCCCATCAAATTCAAAATTCAGACATCTATATACAACTTCTCTGCCACTGTTCCCCAGAAAAAAAATATATCATCTGCTTTGATGCCTCAAACGATTATAGAGAAACCCTAGAGATTAAATTTTGGTTAATTAGGACGAATTGTGACCCTTTGTATCGAAGTTGTTGTTGGTGTTGTTGTTGTTAAAGATGAAACCTTCAACTTGAGAAGAAGAAGAAGATCTTATGGGAAACGTAGAGAAATAATCTTCTCCGACATCTTGAATCAAACCTTCTAGATCAAAGTAAGTGTTTGTGTTCGAAGTACTCTGATCACCGGATCCCCATTCCTCTTTGACCGGATGGTTTCCTCCGTTTGCTAATAAACCGGTGAAACCCGAAAGTCTGTTAACCGGCTGATGATCTCCACAAACAGGTTCTTGAGATGCTGGAATTCTCGGCCTGACTCTCTTTTTGCCGGTTTTGGCCTCTCCAGCCGCTGGTTTTCCGGTTAGACTCTGTACAAGTGAACGGAAGTTCTTGACATCGGTCTTGATGACCTCCGGTGCGAATATATGGATGATGCGAATCTTGGGCTTGATCTTGGATATAACTTGTGAGCTCTTGTTCATGGAAACCCTAGAAGTCGAACCTTCATTAAAACTTTGATGATATTGAGTAATCTCCATTGATTCTCTCACCATTCAAAATAGAAACCAAAATAAGAAAAAAACTAGAAACGATTGATGGAGCTTTGATCTCTCTTTTTTTTCTTTGTGAGATGTGTTGTTTGAACAAAAATAATTGGTATGTCGTGAAATAATACTGCGGCGGTTGGTTGATTATATATATAGATAGTTATATAAATTTTAAAATATAGGATTGTTGGTTAGTCCAAAACATTAAATAACAAGAAACTTGAATATCAAAATGATAAAGAAGGTGTTGGACGAAACAGCGACGGACCTGCTATCCATGACACACAACAACAACTTGTTTCAAATAAAATTTTCAGTGTAAATATCATATTATTTACATGAGAACATTTGAGTTATTCTATATAAAAAATATTGATAAATTTTCCAAAGCTGGATAGAATAGTAAGTTTATAAATTGTGATCAACCACCTGACGAGAAATCTAAATTATATTATTATAAAATGCCTAAGTCCCTAAGAATAGATAGCGTGAGCTATATATCTTTGGTCACCAATTTGGATTTTATTTTTTTTGTCTGCTTTTAGGGTGTGTAAAAGTGTTAATTGTCTGCATGTTTGTTTGTTTTTTTATTTCTGGGATTTGTGTTTCCTATTGTTTCTGTAGAAAACTAATTAACTATGATGCTGTTTCTATTCTAATATACGTGTATATTTTCTTACAAGTTTTATTTTTTGTCTAACTGCTATGATATTGGGCGTCTCTAGCTACATGAGTAAATTAAGTTCAAATGATTATAGCCCGATTATATTCTTTTGGTTGATCATGACATCGTATGTAGGATTAGGATTTAACATTGTCATAACTTATAACAATATAAGTAGATGGATATTCAAATCTTATGCTTTTTAAATATCGATTTCTTTAGTTATATGAGTCAAAAATCTGACTCAGGAAACTGTCACTTGAAAACCGACCTAATTCCAATCTTTCTTTTTTGTTAATGTGCTTTGGTTTGATGATGCTATATGTATCATACTTTTGGTTCTCCTATATACATATATATATATATATATATATAGATAGATTTGTACCGATATAAAGGTAATGAACGTGAAGGTTACACTAGATATCAGATCATTAGTTTTTATCTCTTCTTATTTAGTTTGAATTCAGATATGATCAAACCTGCAAAACAGTTACCTTCTAACCAGACTGCTTCTACCAATTAAACTAAAGTAGTTTGTAGGGTCCATCTAATTAACTCTCATCTCTATATACTATTTAGACACTTACATATACATGAGCTCATTCATCTACACATGTCTGAGGTGTCGAAGCAGATATACCCCATGCTGTGCTTAAAAAACCAAATAAAAATCTCTTTTCTCGTTGGTTTGCTTTTTTAATTACATAATTAGTTAAAGTTTTGTAAAGAGAAGCAGACGCACGAAAGACTTGTTTTTTTTTACAAAAAAGTGACATACTACAATGGAAGCAAAAATATAAAGTTGTAAGCACATAATTAATAGTTGACTTTTGTTTTGCCAAAGAAGCAAACAAGAGCGACAGGTTGGATTTAACCTCCGTTGACTTTACGTAAGTTGAGATTTATTTTTATTTCCAAAAATTCTTTAGATCATATGGAGAGTCGATCGGATAGGAATTCAGATTATGCCGAGATTTCTCAAAAAAATTACACACGGAAGTGTATTTTATTTTTTCTAGTCGTTACAAACAATAATTACATCATATTTGCTTAATTATCATATCTACAAAATTAAGTATATAACTCAAACAAAAAAATCTCTCTTGAAATCGACCAATGTATATAAATGTAGTCCTCATTTGTAGCTTTGGCCTAAGTGTGAAGATATTGCTTTTAATTAGTTAAACAAAACCACTATTCGGAGGGTTTTGACTCTGTTTAATTAATTCTTGTAAACAATATAGCCTATGATCATAGGGAGAGGTCATAATAGCTTTTAAAATTGATAGTTATTCTATTTATAATTTTATACTAACGTCAATCGATTTAAAAGTCAAAATTTATTAAATTCAACCTATGAAAAAAGCCATATTTGATATTGGCGCGTTTGGTTATATAAATCTCAGAGATTCGATATTTGTGTAGCTAAATAGCTGTATGCTTCTTTATTTTAATTAGGAGAACAACATAAATTTTTGGAGGAAGAAAAACTGTGTAGTCATTATTATTTAATGATCTTACGCGGACTGGGAGACTTGTTCTATGCGAACTGTTAAAAAAAAAAAATTATATGCAAACTAGAATTAGAAATAATATCATCCATCTATTTCTATATTTAGAGAGAGTGGAGTTCATTAATATTAAGTTTTCATTCAATAAATGCATGTCCAATGTGATGTATAAGTAAAAATCTGATGATTTTATGAGAAAATCATTATTCATTTTAAAACTTTGCAATTCTTTTTACCACAATTATTGAGTCTCTAATCTCTGCTCCTTTTTGCCATTATTGGATCTCTACTAATGTATTTGGGCAACTTTAGCTAAATGAACCTAATAATATATAGACACTTGTAACCTATTTTTTCATGCAATAGAAGACTCATTACAAAAATATTCATTTTAAAACTAAGTAAATCCATATGGCTTTGGATATGAATAAAATCAGCGTAAATCTAACTGTACATTTTAAAATGTACAAAATTGTATAATCCACTAAATCCTACGATGTTAGCCGTCTAAACTTTGGCACAAATCGGGAGTGACGACTTCCATATCCTCCTCCAAGTCAACCTTTAGCACCAGCACATCGAACCACATGGTCAACCCACTGTCATCTCCACTAGCTAAAACCGGTAGCTCGAATCGATCGAGAGGGCACTAGTTGTGACTTGTGAGCCAAGAGATGATACAATCACAGTGGTATAAATGGTTGCATGGCAATCTACGTGCAGATTTTCCAACAACAAAATATTCTCTGCATATGGCACATGGTAAGATAGCATCATCTTAATCCTTTTAAGAAAAAAAAGATAGCATCATCTGAGGAACACAACATTGAAGATGAGATTTCAACGGCCGAAATCGGTTCCATGGCGACCAGAAATCGAGATTCTTGTTCGTCTTCGTTATCACCGGCCAAGACTAACTTCAAAAATGGTAGAAGAAGAAAATGAGGAAACGAGACTGCATTGAGGACACTGGGGAGAAGAAGAGGGAGATGACGAAAGAATCGTAATGAAGCTATATGTCACATTCATGGCACGTGTAACTCCGCCACTCCATTTGGTTTTCAGTGGAGGAGGACGACATTGGAAAATTGGTGATTTGAGGAAATTTAGATATACACAAGGTTTTTCTTTGGATTCTTATAAAAAGTTAACAAGTTTTGGTATTCGTTTTGTTCAAAGATTTTGCAAATTTATGCGCATTCATTAGTTCTAATTACGGTATTGGTCAAATGGTTAAAATGTTATTTTTTTTCCAGCATGTACCCAATAAGATTTTACCTAAATTTGTTTAAATGGTTTTGGCCTATAACTGGCATCCGAATTGTGACACATATTGATATAGTTCGTGACATTAATGCAAACTTATAATTATTTTAATTCCTATGAAGCCAAAATTCTAAGTATTTGGAGATTAGGCAAGTCGCATGTTTTCTACAAAATTAGGTAATTGCAAGTTTGGTTCTGATCAACCAAGTCGCTTTGGCCGAGTGGTTAAGGCGTGTGCCTGCTAAGTACATGGGGTTTCCCCGCGAGAGTTCGAATCTCTCAGGCGACGAATTTTTGTTTTCTTGAAAATTATCGTCCTTGTTCATTTCAATTTTCACCTTCTTACCACTTGAAAAAAAAGATCTCACCTTCACATTTCATCAACCTAACGTCTTAATAGTTGATAGTTGAATCACAATTCACAACAATTCAAATTTCTCCAAAATCTCCGGTTTCCCCCAAAACTAAAATAGAACAAGTTCCAAGCCTTTTATTATGATTCTCATACTTTGCTTACATCAGGACTACATGAGCAAAACACGAAGACGAGGAAGACATCCCAAAATCACCCATCACGATTCACGAAGCCTTCTTCTCAAGCTTCGAAGCTTCCAGATCCGCCGCCTTTTTCAGGAAATTATCATCACCGTCATCTAACGCCATCGTGATCGGACACGACCCGAGCCCGTCGGCGATCGCAAGCACGATCTTCTTCATCTCCGACCTAAACTCCTCCAGATCCACCGAACCGCTCTGGTCCGTATCGAATTTCTCGAAGATCGAGTCGTAGAGACTCGTCAGCTCATCCTGAGGAGTCACCACATCGACGCCGAAGTGCGATTCCAGTAGCCTCATCGATTCGAAAGCCTTTCGCAGCTCAGATCGAGACAAAACGCCGTCGTTGTTTAGATCCAGAGCAGCGAACCTCTCTTCTACGCTCTTCTTAAACTGCTCCTCGTCCGCAACAAACGACCGCACTGTCGAACCATCGATCACTACTACTCCCATTTTCACCGGTTTTTTATTTTCCGTTTACTTTTCCGCGAGGATAATAATTAATAGGGACCGAATTAGCAATATTTTAATATGAGTCGGTGAAGATGAGATTCTTTATTAGTATTGGGCCGGTAGAAACACATTTTTATTCTCTTGGGCCGTATTAAAGCCCATGTGCCGGAAATAGAGGAAAATCTATAGATAATTTAGGGAAAAAACCTTTAAAATACACCAATTATATAAGATTTGCTATAAAAACACCTAAACTTTTTCAGCTTCCATAAAAATACCTCAACTATTAATTATTTATCTTTAATAGATTATTAATCACACTCTTTTTAATACACAAACATTTGAATTTCATATGTTTATACTATGAAAACCCAGTTTTATCCTCTTTAATTTTTTAGGTTCGATTAAATCCAGTTTAATTAGAAAAAAAAATTATAATTTATAATAATTTGAAAAAACTATTATCTCTTCCATCGTTGAACCTCTCTCTGCAAATTAATATTCTCGGTTTGATGAATTTATGTGTTTATTTCTGTTTAATAACAAAAATCCTACAAGAAAGAAGAAATATCAGTGTTCACAGATAAAAAAATTTCATGGCTTCTTCATTGTGGTTTTTTTTCTTTTAAATAACTCAAGAACACATTCAAAGAAAAGCAAAGTGTTCTTGTCATCAATCCAAAGAGTCATCGATTTCCCAGGTTTAAGACGAGATTGATGGATCTGAGGTCATGATTGAGTTTAAGCTATTTACATCTAACCCGGTATGAATACTACTCAGATCTTTCAAATAAAGATATAATTTGGTGTCAAAATTTGATGCGATTAAATGATTTTTCATCGGCTGAAAGGAATTGACGAGACCTAAGTAACAACCAGAATTTCTTAAGATGTCGTAAACGTGAGAGAGGAAGGAAGAAAGGTATGTCATTAGAGGAATCTAAGAGTCGGAGTCGCAAACATTGACGGTTCTCGTTGCTTTCTTCGCCGGAAATAGCAGAGCCTCCTCACAATTGAATAATTTGTTTTTTATGTTTTTATGTTTTTGTAAATTATATTTTTTAAATTACATAAATCGAATCTAAGAAATAGAAAAAGGTAAAACTGGGTTTTCAAAAATATTTTTTTGTAAAATTATGAAATTCTAATGTTTGTGTATTAAAAAAAGTGTGATTAATAGTCTGGATATTAAAGATACATAATTAATAATTCAGGTATTTTTATGGGAACTAAAAAAATTTATGTATTTTTATAGCAAATGTTATATAATTGATGTATTTTTAAAGTTTTTTCCCGATAATTTACTTTAAATAGTATAGAGTCAGGTGACGTCATAAATGACACCATGGATTCGTAACTTTGTAGGTTTCAAAGGGCTTAGACTGCGCCAAGTGTCAACGCACACAAAACTGAAGTCAATCACTAAAGTCGACTTTTCCACTCAGTGGGTTGGTGTAGTGGTCTCAGCATGCCCACAACTGTTTATGTAACTATGATTTTTATGAACTTTATAAATACAGAATGATTTGTTTTATGTAAATAAAAAAGCGTTCTATTACTGAATTAGTGAGCTGTTACTTATGGAATGAATTCAGAAAAAAGTAACCTTATGAGAACAATAGTAGTACTATTAGTCTATTACTAATAATAGATAAATTAATTAACAATCTAACATTTTCCCTGTTATATTAATTCTTAATTATCATTTTTAAAAAGAAGAACTGAAAAGAAGAAAAAAAAAACAGGTGGATTTAATTAAAAAACATATGTAAAATTGATAATCTTTTTAAGAATTTTTTTTTTAACGTAGTCTTGTTAGTAAGAAATTTAGTACACACCAATTGGGCGCATAAAGATACCTGTTTCTCATATATGTCCCATATATGTATGACAGAGAGTCACACGGGACGAGCTACTGTTCTCACAAATGAAGGAAAAACAAAAAACTTCGGTGACCTTCTCCACGACAACGCATTCAATCATCACATTACTTAATAAAGAAAAACAAAATTTAAAGAAAAAAGAAATCCCTAAAAAAATGCACTAAGAGTACTATATAAATCGTAACAAGTGCAGCAACAACATTGGGGATTAAATTTCGAATAATAAAGATGGAGTCTTGGAGGATTAGTCTAGTGGTTGCAGCAACAGCCTTAATAATGGCGACGATGGTGGCTGCTGCGGATGATAAGGCGAAAGACAAGGCAGAGTGTACGGAACAGCTGGTTGGTATGGCGACGTGTCTTCCTTACGTGCAAGGACAGGCAAAGTCTCCGACGCCGGACTGTTGCTCCGGCCTCAAACAAGTTATCAATTCCGACAAGAAATGTCTTTGTGTGATCATCCAAGACAGGAATGATCCTGATTTGGGTCTTCAGATCAATGTCTCCCTCGCTCTCGCTCTTCCTTCCGTTTGTCACGTCACTGCAGACGTCACCAAGTGCCCTGGTTCTTACCTCAATCACCACCCTATAATTTCATGATATAGTTGTATTTGTTATTTGTGGTTGGACTGGTGAAAACTCTTTTTCCGAATCGATCCATTGGTTAGCTAGATACTTGTGCTACATTTTTGTGGGTTTTTTTTTTAACAATTTGTGCTAACTCAAAATTAAGAATTTAGTATATATAAATATTGTCCACGTGTTAGTTGTAGTTGTGAGTTATCATCCACTATATTTTGCATTTTTGGAGGACTAGTTGTGAGTTATCATCGCATTGGACTGAAATCGTTATATTCCCTAGTTTTATCACCTAAGATATATAATACTTCTAGAAAATAAAGACAGAGTAAGTAGGTATATATATTTTTAAAAATAAACAAAGTTTTAAAAATTGTTTATAGACTAATTTAGCAAATTCATCAATTTTTTATATATATTTTGGAATTTATGCTTCAGCTTTGCTTCATTTGGATCCAAATTCTCCGGACGCCCAAGTTTTCTATCAGCTAGCAAACGGTTTGAACAAAACCGGTCTAGCCTCTGCTCCCACTGGCTCGGCTCCTGAACCCACCAGCATGTCTCCAACTGCAGGATCTGATGATGGTAAAGGTCGCACTACTTCTTTGCCAGGCTCGAACCACGCTCAAAGCTTCATTAAAAGGTGGCTAGGCCTCGAAGTTGTTGCCCATTTCTTCGTAATTTTGATTATTATTATTCTGTGAGAACTCTTCTCAATTTTTGTCTGTTTTTTATTTTCTGTTTACTTTTCTGCAAAGATAATAATTAAGAGGGACCGAATTAGCAATATTTCAATATAAGTAGGTGAAGATGAGAATCTTTAATCGTAGTGGGCCCGTATAAAAACATTTTTACTCTTTTGGGCCGTATATATCTTGTTTTGTTCAAATGGGCCTTATATATCTATGATACGTAAAATGAGTTATAATCTCGTAGAAAATTATAACTTACCAGTGATTGTGAACTGTGATGTAGTCCGAAAGAGATTCAAAAGTTCAAATTAATTGAAATACACGAAGTGATATTGTTTTCAATCTAAGAAACATTAATTGGTTTAACTGAAAGTCTGAAATAAACTAAATTCGTAGGATTTAAGGGTAATAAATAAAGAGCTCTTACGGCGGAAACGAGTCCATATATAGAAGAACCAGACGAAGAAAGAAAAGCCCATGTGCTGGAAACGGAGTTAAATCTTTAAGATGTACTTTAAATAGTATAGATTCAGATGACGTCATAAAATGACACCATGGATTCGTAGCTTTTTAAGGTTTCAAAGGACTTAGACTGCGCCAAGTGTCAACGCACACAAAGACTGAAGACTCTGAAGTCAATCACTAAAGTCGACTTTTCCAGTCAGTGGGTTGGTGTAGCGGTCCCTTCTCTCTTTCTCCACTCATCTTCCTATGCAATATGCATGCCCACAACTGTTTTATTTGTAAACTATAATTTGTATGAAATTTATAAATACCAAATGATTTTTTATGTTTATGTAAACAAAATATCGTTCTACCGAAATAGCGAGCTGTTATTTATGGAATGAATTCAGAAAAGTAGCTTTATGAGAACAAAAGTAATACCCCCATTAACAATAATACTAATAATAGGTAAATTAATTAACAATCTACATTTCCCCTGTTATTTTAAATCTTAATTATCATGGTTTTTTTTTAGAAAAAGAAGAAACTTAATAAAAACGTATGTAGATTTGATCATCCTTTTAAGATTTTTTGTTTTTAAAAAAAAACTAGTCTTGGTACTTTGTTAGTAGGTAATTTAGTACACACGACCAATTGGGCGCATGAAGATAATGATGTTGACATTGAGAAACCTGTTCGTTCTTTCTCATATATGTATGACAAGAGAGTCAGACGGGACGAGGTACTGTTCACACAAATGAAGAAAAAACAAAAAACTTCAGTGACCTTCTCCACACGACACCGCATTCAGTCATCACATATATGACTTAATAAAGAAAAACAAAATTTCAAGAAAAAATAAATCCCTAAAAATGCACTAGGACCGCTATATAAATCGTAACAAGTGCAGCAACAACATTGGGGATTTAAATTTTGAATAACAAAAATGGAGTCTTGGAGGATTAGCCTAGTCGTGGCAGCAACAGCTTTAATAATGGCGACGTTGGTGGCTGCTGCGGAGGATAAGGCAAAAGACAAGGCAGAGTGTACGGAACAGCTGGTTGGTTTGGCCACCTGCCTTCCTTACGTGCAAGAACAGGCAAAGTCTCCGACGCCGGACTGTTGCTCCGGCCTCAAACAAGTTATCAATTCCGACAAAAAATGTCTTTGTGTGATCATCCAAGACAGGAATGATCCTGATTTGGGTCTTAAGATTAATGTCTCCCTCGCTCTCGCTCTTCCTTCCGTTTGTCACGTCACTGCAGACGTCACCAAGTGCCCTGGTTCTTACCTTAATCACCTCTCTATAATTTCATGATATAGTAGTATTTGTTATTTGTGGCTGCGTGGTTGGACTGGTGAAAACTCTTTGTCCGGATCGATCTATGGGTTAGCTAGATACTTATGCTACATTTTTTTTGTGCTAACTCAAAATTAAGTATTTAGTATAGACTAAGTTAGCAAATCCGAATACCATTCCGTGTTTTAGACTAAGTTAGCACCAATTTTTTTTTTTTTGAATTGATGTTTCAGCTTTGCTACACTTGGATCCAAATTCTCCAGACGCCCAATTTTTCTATCAGCTAGCAAACGGTTCGAACAAAACCGGTCCAGCCTCTGCTCCCACTGGCTTGGCTCCTGAGCCCACTGGCTCGGCTCCCGAGCCCACCAGCATGTCTCCAACCGCAGGATCTGATGATGGTAAAGCTCCGACTACTTCTTTGCCAGGCTCGAACCACGCTCAAAGCTTCATTAAAAGGTGGCTAGGGTTCGAAGTTGTTGCCTATTTCTTCGTAATTTTGATTACTATTATTCTCGTATGAAAAATGAAAAAGAATGTAACGTAGGTTTCGTGGAACTGCGTTGGTGTTGATTTGTGCAGTTACTGTTTTGATATGATGTGTGTAATTTTCATTCCGTGAGAACTATTCTCAATTTTTTGTTTTGTGCGACGCAAATAAGTCACGAGCTACAGTTGTCTATGTCTCGTATGCTTTAATCACTGCTAGTTTGAATATTTTTTTTACTTGCAAAATATACTCTAAATTAAAGTAAGACTAGATTTTAACCTCGTGCGTCCGCACGGAAATGTTTTATTTTTTATTTCTAATATAAATTACATTTATCTTTTTTTAGATATAATTTATTTTTGTTATTTATTTTTTTTTAATTAAAAAATTATTATCATATTTTAATTTTAAACAGTAAAATTTGTATATTAGTAGAATAAGAGTATACGTTAATTAAGTATACATTGATCTAATGTTAATTATAAATTTTGTTATTATGTGAATTTAGATTTACACATAAACAATCTATATATCTATGAATTTGCTAATCTATCCGTTTAGTTTAGTTGTCTTAAATCATTTTTAATATCTTATATGTTTTGACAAACTAACCCGTATAAGACTATAATTATAATTGTATAATCTTATAAATATTTACTAATATGGAATATTTGGACCAATTGATTATGAAAAAATATAATAAGATATTTATTTACTATTTGTGCTATTAAAAAAATGTATGTATATATATATATATATATATATATATAAATTGGCTAACTTGTTAGTTTAACTGTCTCAAATCATCTTAATATCTTACATGTTTTAATAAATTAACTCTAATCAGCTCGATCATATTATTGTATAATATGAATATTTATTAATCTCAAATATTTGATATTTTAGACCGATTGTTTATGATAAAATACGATAAAATATTTATTTACTAAGCATTTTTATAATAATATTATTAAAATTTAAAATTTTAAATTAAATCTTTCCTGTATTAAAGAAATTCTAAAGTATTAAAATTATTATCTAAAATTCGTAATAAAATTTAATTATAATTTTTTTGAATTTTTTGAATTTAAATTAAATTGAATGCAAATTTTTGTAACTAAATTTAATTAAATTTTTAATAATTTGAAATTTAAATTAAAGATGATCTAGATTTTAGGAAATCTAAAAATATCTAAATTAATAACTAATTTCGGAAATTAAATATAAAAATAAAATAAAATATTATAAAAAACTTTGGGAGTGTTTGAATGCGAGCACTAAATGTGCTTCTGTTTTAATAGAATATATATATGATTCGGAAAAAGGTAAGATCGCTTACCATAATGATTATAGAATTCAAATATACAAATACAATCGTAATAGTTTCTGGAATGGTGTTTCAGCTTTACTTCACTCTTGGACCAATCTCCAGAAGCCCAAGTTATGAGATAGATAAAGTATTAACAATCGGCCCAGCATCTACTCCCATTGGCTCGGCCCCTGAGCCCACCCAGGGCCGGATTTGGGTAAAACCCAATGAAACATTTGCCTTAGGCCCCCATATTTTTTGACTAAAATCCAGCCCATTAATTTTGTATTCAGTCCATAAAAACTCAAAAAAAAAAATTTCAGCTCAAATATTTAGACCCATTTCGACCAGACCCAGAAAAAAAAGTTAAAGAAAACAACTTTTTCAAAATCCCACATCGACAATTGAGTGAAAAGAACTTCTCACTTTTCTGTATAAATAGAATATATGCTCCAGCATTTTTAACTCATACGGGTCTGAATAAAACCCACATAATATTTGTCTAATTTTACTAAAACTTGACAAAATTCAACCAGTATAATATTTAACTGGTTTAACCGATTAATAATCGGTTTTGTTTATAACTCGGGCAATTTTTCAGTTATCATCAAATTTTTTGGTTATAGTCGAATCTAGCTGATCCGGTTTCACCCTATCGCCGACGAGTCACAGAAGTTTTGGCGGCATTTCTCAAATCAATTTATTTCTGTTTTAATCACAATCAAAATCTAGCAATGTCAGGTAATTTTTTTAAGTAATAAAATTAAAAATTGATATTTCTTTTTTCTGTTTAGAATTGGAATTTTGATTTTTATTCTTAAACATGAAATCTCTAGGAATTTCAATACGAAAAACAAAGTGTAAATCAGGAGCTCAAAAAGCAAGAGAGAAGAAAAGAAAAGAAAAATCTGATAAGTCTCAAGCAAATTCTATGTTGAAGTTTGTTAAAAGATCAAAAACTCTTCAAGTGAATGAGGGTGATGGAGTTTGTGATGAAAATCCTTCTGGTTTAGACAATGATAAGGCAGAGGAAGAAGAGAAGAGATCTGAAGAAGATGTGAATGAGGGCGGTGGAGTTTGTGATGAAAATCTTACTGGTTTAGAGAATGATAAGACAGAGGAAGAAGAGAAGATATCTGAAAAAGATGATTTGAACACTCAAGAACAAGAGATAATTTTGGATAGAACTGATCCTGCAAACTGGAAAATAATTGATCAGAGTTTGAAAGATTATCTAGTGAAAAAAGGTCCTATGAAAAGAGCATATGAGAATTATGTATTTCCAAAAAATAATGATGGTCGGCATTTTTCTTGCAAGTATTATATAAGAGACTTGATAAATGGAGAGAAACAAGATCGGAATTGGCTACTTTATTCAAAAGTATCAGATCGAGCATATTGTTTTTGCTGCAAGTTGTTTGGTCGAGATCAAGATGCTAATCAGTTGTCAAGTAAGGGGTTCAATGATTGGAAGAATATCAAGATACGACTGAGTCAACATGAAACTAGTCACTACCATATTTGGTGTATGAGTCGGTGGATGGAATTAGAATTTAGGCTAAAGAAGAATCAGACGATTGATAAGGGTCTCCAAGAAGAAATTAATAAAGAGAAAACCCATGGAGAGAGGTTTTGTTGAGAATATTTTCATTGGTGACAACTCTTGCTAAATAAAATTTAGCTTTTTGTGGGACTAATGAAAAGCTTGGTCAAAGAAACAATGGAAACTTTCTGAGTTTTATTGAATCATTTGGAGATTTTGATCCAGTCATGCGAGAGCATATCAGACGGGTTAAAGGAGGTGAGATTCATTATCACTATTTAAGCCACACTATTCAGGATGAGTTGATTGTTATGCTAGGGTCTGAAGTCAAATCTATGATCATCAAAAAAATTCAAGAAGCCAAATATTTCTCGGTTATTCTCGATTGCACTCCAGATAAGAGTCATAAAGAACAAATGAGTCTTATTATCAGATGTGTGGATGTCTCCATGGCTAAAACACAAGTTGAAGAGTTTTTTGTGACATTCTTAGAAGTTGCAGATAAATCTGGAGAAGGGCTTTTTGAGTTGCTTTGTTCGACTGGTTGGTCTTAATTTGAGTATTGATGATGTGAGAGGGCAAGGCTACGACAATGGATCTAATATGAAGGGAAAACACAAAGGAGTACAAAAAAGATTGCTTGACATCAATTCAAGAGCATTTTATACACCTTGTGGTTGTCATAGTCTTAACTTGGCACTTTCTGATATGGCTAAATCATCTTCAAAAGCGATTGCTTTCTTTGGAATCATTCAACGGATATATTGTTTGTTTTCATCATCTTCAAATAGGTGGGAGCTATTTAAGCAGATGGTAGGAGGTCTCACACTTAAGTCACTATCAGAAACTCGTTGGGAAAGTAGCGTTGAAAGTGTTCGAGCAATTCGATTTCAAGCTCCAAAAATAAGAGATGCTTTGGATTACTTGGCAGAAAACTGTGATGATCCTGGAGCTCGTAGCGATGCTGAAGCTCTTGCCACAAGCGAAACTCATGGAATTGGAGGGTTTGAGTTCTTATTTGGTATAGTTATTTGGTATGATCTTCTGTTCGCCGTCAATACCGTAAGTAAGATGATGCAATCAGAGCATATTGATATTGATAATGCTATTGTTCAATTGAAAGGGTTAGTATCGTTTCTGAAAAACTATAGAGAAACTGGATTTGAAAAAGCAAAAGCAGAAGCTAAGATTATTGCAGAGTCTATGGATATCGAACCAGACTTTTCAGTGAAACGAAAGCGCATTATTAAAAGGAAGAAGCATTTTGATGAAGCAGTAGAAAGAGATGATGAATCTGAGATGCTAAGTGAGGAAGAGAAGTTTAAGATTGATTATTTCTTGAGAATCGTGGATCAAGCTATAGTATCTCTTCAAATAAGGTTTGAACAATTTGAAGAGTATGAAAAAACTTTTGGATTTTTGTTTGATTTACATAAGCTCAAATCGGCAACGGATGATAGTTTGAAGGCAAAATGTATCAACCTTGAATCTTCTCTTAAACATGGTGCCAATTCAGACATTGATGGATATCATTTATATTTAGAGATCAAAATTCTAAGAAATGTTTTGCCAACTGAGATCAAGAAAGCTGTTGAAGTGTTAGATTTTTTAAGAAGATTTGAAGGTCATGGTTATCCAAATACGTGGATTGCATATAGAGTGATGCTAACTATTCCAGTTTCTGCTGCTTCGGCTGAAAGAAGTTTTTCCAAGCTGAAGTTAATAAAGTCTTACTTGCGGTCAACTATGTCAGAAGAGAAACTGAATGGTTTGGCAATGTTGTCAATTGAGAAAGATATGGTTGGAAAGCTTGACTACCAAAGTTTGATAAATGATTTTGTGAAGAAAAATATAAGAAGACTTATTTTTCGAAATCCATAGATTGCTATTAGTTTTTTTTTTGGATTACTTGTGTATTATTAATATTAGTACTTTCGCACTTTTAAAAGTTTTTTTATCTAAATTTTTTATTTAGTTTCAAGCCCCCAAAATCTCAGATCCGGCCCTGAGCCCACTAGTGGACCTGACGATGTTAACAAGTAACAACAGTGGTAGGAGTCCGACCTCTTTGTTTGCCATGCACGAGCCAAGCTCTAAGTTTTTTTTTTTGGGGTCTAAATGTTAACAAGCTCAAAGTTTTCGGAAACGATGGCTACGTGTCGAAATTGTTGTCCATTTCTTCGTAATTTATCATCGTATGAAAATTAGTAATGAAAAGTGAACAGTGTGAAACGTTGATTTGTGCAATTGCGGTCCGGTGACTCGTTGATTCTGTGCACTTACTGTTTCGTGAGAACTCTTCTCAACTTTTTTTATGACGCAAAATAAGTCACGAGTTACTGTATATTTTGTATGACGCAAAATAAAAAAGTCGTCTGGTTTTATTAAATTATTTTGAAATATTTTATTTGGAAAATAAAGTCCGAATTTTATTTATTTAGGACGACCGACGACGGTTTCTTGGTTTTGTTTGCCTTAATTGCATATACACCTAATTTTATTTACGTTAGATTCTCATTTGGGTGTCAATTTCTTATTTTCCACGTTGATAGAAAACAAATGGAAAAAGTCTAAGCCTCTTTGCTATAAGTTAATTGGACATCTTACGGTCTCTCTTGTAAGACGCGTCTTTGTCAAAGTTCTCAAGTAACGTAAGCAACAATGCTTATTTTTATTCTTCTTCTGCACCAATAAATAATCAGAAGAAAAATAAGCAAGGAAAAAATATAGGGATTTTCGATCCACAAGAAGATAAAATGAAAAAGAGGAAACCACAAGGTCTCATGATTTATGCAACACTGGGATTACTCAACAAAAATTAGTTGAACATTTAGGCAATCCGAATTACTATTTACTATTAGGCTAGCTATCTATTTTTTTTTAAGAAAACAAAAAAGAAATGGCTAAATTATTAAATAATTGACTTAAGTAAAAAGAATTGTCTGCACTCGGCAACGGCAAGTAGAAACACAACACACAGAGAATCTAATATATTCAACTACAACTAGATTTCGATTTCGAAGAATCTGTTGCAACCATTTTTTTTTTCTTTATTTCTCATAGTTGGAGGAGGATATTATTATCCAAAAATCTCCCATACCCAAATCCTTAGAGCAAACACATGACCGCACAATTTCCCAGATTATCTTCTCCTTCCCTCTTTCTTTATGATCGTCTGAAATTTATAGGTTATTAATTTATTCTCTCCTTTTATAACTAAACGGTTGATTTTTTTATTCTTCTTCATTGGTCACTAGTCTAATAGTAGTAATATACTAGTAATATTTTCGAAATCCCGAAAATGGAACGACGTCTTTATGCAAAGAGATTAATACAACTAAAACAAGGAAATGGAACATTCATGTACTAAAACAAGGATGCAAGTTTCTCGTTGAGAGCTCCCACTGATCTTCTCATCCCCTAATTAGCTTCTTTTATTTATTTATTTTCTTTCCCGTTTATTTAGGATAATCTCTCGAATCGATCTCCTAATACAAAGGGTCTGATTCAAATTCGATTCTGGGTTTGGAAGTTTCTTTTGTTTCACTCTACAGGTACGAAAGTTTATTCCTTTCCCTTTCTTAAATATCTCCTCCTCTTCCTCCTCAATTTCTTCAATCTGAAAGTGATAAAATGTAAGGAAAGTTTATATTGTCTTCCCCTACACCGTCGTTACATATATATATACCAAAGGAAAGAGAAAGACGTTTCCTAAACTATACAATATTTCTACAATTAAGATAATTGAATTCGTGATTGAGCTTGATTGTAGAGATATTTCAATATTGATTGCCATGATATCTCAATAGAGAAAGTTGGTATTTTTAGTCGATACTATTAGTCAATTATTGGTTTTGGGTTAATTCAAATTCTTGACGGGTCTTCCCTGCACACGCCTTTGCAGGTTCGAATTGTAGAGGAAGAAACAAGTTTTTGTTTCTTTTGAAAACGATTGGCTGATGACGTCATCGGTCATTGTTGGAGAGGATGAAGAGGATCAATTCACAAAACCACTTGGAAGATTATCTGTCTTCTTCTATGGAGTTGGGCATATGCTCAATGACATTACTGCTTCTTGTTGGTTCACTTACCTCCTCTTATTCTTGACCCAAATCGGTCTCTCTCCGAGGTAAAGTCTCCTGCTTTTTGCCTAACAACCTTAATCTCGAATTAATTATCGGTCTTTTTTACTTCTTTTGTAGAGATGCTGCAATTGTCATGCTCTCTGGTCAAGTTGCTGATGGCTTTGCTACAATCTTCATTGGTGAACTGGTAACTTTTGTCTGGAACTTGAATTTTCAGTTTCATAACTTCTTTGTTGTGAGAGCTTGTATTGTTTTCAATTATCATCTCTTTACCGGTATGATGTAGTGTGTTGAAGCAACTCTTTTTAGGGTCCTTTTAGTCTCATGTCATTGAAGGGAATCTAACTTTTGAGTTAAAAAATGATCTTTGTTCTAAGGTAGTGCTTAAAGGAAGAATGAACAATGTGTATTTACTCACATCTCTGTCTTCTTTACATGACAGATTGATAGATTTGGGCATTTCAAAATTTGGCACGCTGCAGGATCACTATTAGTGGCTATCTCATTTTCCTCGGTTTTTGGTGGTTGTTTGCCTTGTTCAATCCTCCATAATAACTCTTTAATGGTCGAAACATTTTCGTACAGCATGTTCGCAGCTATCTTCAATATTGGATGGGCCGCTACTCAGGTCTCCCACATGTAAAACAATATTTTCTCTTACGTTCTATCTTTTAGACGTAACCTCAAGTTTACGCAGTGAGATGTTCATTTTTTTTTCATAATCTTAATGTTCTTTAGGGCTATGGTCAATTGCATTACACTGAATTCAACAAGCAGAGTAGCACTAACAAGCTCCCGTAACGCGTTTAGCATGGTCAGCTCTTATCCCTTGGTCTTATTTGTGCTCTGAAAATGCCTTTTCGGTTTATTAGCATCTTATTGTTTTAAATTCAGGTTGCTAATTTAGGCTTGTACGCGATTGCTTTAGTTGTATTTGGTGTTAGCAAAGCCGATACAAAAGAAAATACCGAAATACAGGTTTTGTGCTTTTACTGACTTGTTTTGCATATTTTTCAAAGTTAATATGCCTTTCGAATTTCGATAATGATTCTAAGTCCGTCTCAATTCTACAGTATCGTTGGATTGCTTATTCATGCATTACCGTCGGCTGCTTGTTTGTAGTCATATTTCTTATGGGGACAAAGGAACCACGGTAATGCACACTCTTCTTTCAAATGCTTAAATCAACTTTGACTGAAGTTTCATGCATGATTGATGATATTTCCATTGAAAATGAGTTGGTTTGCTTTTATTTTCAAAGGCTGCGGATAAATCTAAGAGAAACTAGCCGAGCAAGAATACCATGGGCTTACTGGTTCCGTAAAATTCTTTATTATCAAGTCGCAATGGTTTATCTCCTCACCCGACTAGTTTTGAATGTTTCACAGGTTAGTTTCTGTATCCTTTTTTCTTGCTTCTTTTTGTATTTTAGATCAATACTTACATTCCAGGATTACTTTAATTATTCGCAGGCATATCTTGCATTCTTTGTTATTGATGACCTTCAAATGGCTCAATCTGCTAAAGCTCTTGTAAGTGAAATAGAATCATTGCAATAAAGCTTTCGTCTCTTTACTGATCATTAAACTTGTCTGATCAATGTTTTATACTTTCAGATTCCTGCAATAATCTACATCTGCAGCTTCATTGTATCAGTTATGCTTCAGGTTGCAACAAGTTTAAACGCATCTCTAAAACGTTTTTTGGTTCCACTTTGTTTCTGTTATATAACTATTATATACTCCTAAATGTAGGAGATTCCTTGGAATGGAAAACGACTCAAGGCATATTATTGTGCTGGTGGTTTTATTTGGATATTCTGCGGTGTGTCTGTTATGTTATTGCCAAGAGGCATAAACTCTTTCATGTACGCGATCTCTGTCTTTATCGGCATTGCAAATGCATTGATTCTGGTAAGACATCATTCTTTCTGCTATATCTGATGTTTTCATGTGTTATAAAGAAAGCTAATGATCTATCTTTTGGCAATCAAAATTTTTACAGGTGACAGCAATTAGTATGCAGAGCGTGTTAATTGGTTCGGAACTTGGTGGATGTGCTTTCGTCTGTGGATCTTTGAGCTTCTTAGACAAAATGTCATGTGGGCTTGCTTTATATGTTCTTCAATCACATCAAAGTAAGGTTTTTTTTTTTCTTTCTTACTTACTAAGATTATCTTAACTCAGATAAAATTGTTGATGGATGTGTGGTATGGAAAATGGTGTAGGCGGCACATCACCACAAGTCGATGTAAACATGGAGCAAAGTTTCTACTTTTCAGTGACAAGATATGGGTTAGGACTTGTACCAGCTGTATGCTCTTTTATCGGAGTCGTAGTCACTTATTTTATGGAACTCGATAGCACAATACGAAAGCCTCTGTGTCAACCATTGCTACTTGAATGATCAGAAAGGAAGACCTGCAACATTTCTGGTCTGGTAAAACACATGACACAAACTGTTTTATCAGTTGATCTGTTTCAGTCCTCTAATTTTTTTTTATGTTCACATTGATAAGTATAGAACACTTGAGAAAGCATTTGTAACAGAACTGCTGAAAGTTTGAAAATATTAATGTAATTTGATTTTTCTTGGTTGCTGCTTACTCTTACTTGCTGTTTTTATCGACTCTTCCTTGTATGATATGCCCCTACAGACCCTGAAGGTGAATATTTTGAACATAAACACTTGAGAAGACATGAGAAAACATAAGGCTTGTTTGTTGTGTCTTTTTCTGCAGTTGTTACTGTTTGTGGTCTTCTATTAGATGCTCAAAAGTCAAAAGCCCAGTAGATGTAGCCTCTCAGGAAAAAAGATCTGCTTCACTTGTTAGGTTTCAAACGGAGCACATAACAAGTAGAGAAACCGAGCAAGAGAAAAAGTAAAGAAAGAAACTGAACAACCAAAAACAGAGCAGAACAAAATGGGGCAAATAATGAAACAGAGTAAGAGAATATAGTGTAAGAGAAAACAGAGATTGACGATACAGAGTAAGGGGAAGAGGAAACAAAGGAACCTGACTTTGAAGTTTTTGGTCGTTGCAGAGATTACGATGACATCAACCTCTTTAAATATCTTGTTGGCGGTTTCAAAGTCCATTACGAGGTTTTTGTGTCCAAAAATAAACTAACTCGTTATGAAGGTTTGGGTAGGAATCTCTTTATATTTGCTTCACAATATCGAACGGTAATCCAAATAACAAAAAAAAAACAAAAAAAATAAACGTGCCCAAATTGATAAAAATAGCCCTAAGAAACTAAATCTTCTCAAAAATAGGCCCTTCATTGAAAATGGACCAGATTAGCATTCATTAAACATACAAATTACTATTTTACCCATTATTTATCTTGACATTAGTTTTGAGAAAATCTCACATCTCACTCGGGTTCGAAACTTCGGATCCAAATCGTCGTGTTTTCCTGGGTAAAATAACCCAACCCGACCCGAACCCGATATGAACCCGCCCAATGCAAGCCCTGATCTACACTGTCGGGTTTTAGTTACCACAGTGTAACCCGAAAATTTGGGTAAAGTTGAAGATCAGTTCCTGAAAGTTCTTCTTTCAGTTGAAGCTAGCTGGTTCTTCTTCGTTGTAAAGTTCTTCTTCCAGTTGAACAAGTATTAAAGACCTGGTCAGAAAGGCTCAACAATGCTGTTGACGAGGTACCAAGCTCGAAACGAGTACGTTTTAGCAGATCCGGATCTGTATCAAGCCGCCGATAGGGAGCTAAGACGGAAATTTGCAGGTAACGAAAGAAAGGTAGCTGCATTTGGTGAGAGAAAGAGAGAGATAGAGAGAGGAAAGTGAGGATTGCAGAAGAAAATGGAAGAAGACGATAGCAATTGCTGCATAATTGAACTAGAAGAAGAGGAATATGGATTAGATGTAAGGGAGACGAACCTTCTAGTTAAATTAGGGCTTCGTCGAGAAGGATAGCGATGAGAGCAATTGAGTCCATCAAGTCCGATGACGGGACAATATCCGACAACACGATTTGTCGCAAGTGAAGGTGACGATGGAGGAAAGTTTTTCAGGGATAAACATGTCATTTTTTGTTCTTTAATGAATCCTCTTTCCTTCTAAATGAATGCTAGATTTGTCAAATAGAAAAGTAGCCGGGCTATTTTTGAGAAAATTTAGTTTTTAGGGCTATTCTTGAGAATTACCAATTAAAGTTTTCTTTATGTTTTTAAAAAAAATAATATTTACATAAAATAGTGATCAAGAATTTGATAAGAAGGAAGAAAGAATCAAACCAAAACATTTTAAAACTATAAACTTTAAAGATAAGTGGATAAAAATCTGTCATTTTTCATCACCAGCCCAATTTCCCTTGAGTTTGGGCCCTGTAGGCCCATCTTCACCATAAACTTCATCAGGGATCTTCCTTGCAAAGTTAACAAAAGCCTTTTTCAGAGCACCAGGCAATAGCCTCTCAATCCTCCGAACATCATCATCAACGTTGTAATCAATTTTAGGTCCCCATTTCCTCAGGTAATTCACCCACGGCGGCTCCGCCACTACTCCGCCGTCTCCATACTCCGCCGCTATCAACTCGTACCCTAATCCCGTATCAATTACCTTTTTACTCTTCGCCGTATCGTTCCTTATCCCAACCCCATCGTCTCCTTGCAACACCAGTCCAGGTTTCGGATACATCGCGTGCCCGTGAAGCGACGCGTAAGCTATAGGCTTGTTGCTTCCTCCTCCTTGAAACTCCAATTCGCAAGCGTCGATCCAAACTCCTCCGCTGTGCTGCGATAGGAACATTCGCCATAGCTCTCCGTTGAAGTTGCTTATCCGTAACGTCGCGTGTTCCCAGTCCCCAATGTGTTCGCCGATTTTCCCCAATGGCAAATTCACGAATTTGACCTTGGCTCGTGCTGGGCCATTGAAAGGGTAAAATACCCAGATGGCTATGTCTGTGAATGTTGCTCCGAGCATTGGTTTGATATGGAGATACACTTTATTGCTCTGTAAGTCTCCTTTCTTCACTCTCTCTTTCCCCTTCTTGTCTATAGGAAGATCTAGCCAGTATGATCCGTCGTTTGATCCGCCTTGTGGAAGATTTGAGCCGTTAGATTCGATAGGGACTGGATTTGATTCTTCGCCTCTCTTGTATAGCAATGCACCGTTGCTGAAATACCAGTTAACAGAGGAAGGTAGATATTCTTCGTCTGGATGGAAATAGATACTCGGAGAATAAATCTGAAACAATTCTCCGAATTGGGACCCATTTGGCATCGTAGAGAAGTCGAATTTCGTGTTCTTCAAGCAAGATAAAGCTAAAGGAGAGGAATTTTGGGGTTGCCAAGTAAATGTACCTACACAGACACCTTTAGCTTGTGTTCCTCTAATGGTTGGTCTTAGACTCGAAACGTTGACTCCGTTTGATCCCCAAACCCATGTATCAGCTTCACATTGCTCGGTTAAATCGGACCGAACACAGCGTAGTTTGTCTAGGGGAGGCTTTTGTGAGGAGTCTGTGACTATCAGACCAACGGCTTGATATCCATCAGGCGGCACGGGCTGCCAGATATAACCAGGTCGGTCTTGTTTGATCTTGAGTGACTCTGTGTTTCCCACGAGGGTGTAGTCTATAGGTGGTTTCAATGTGTTGCTAGAGAGATCTCTAGCTGTGAGTACCCAACCGAAGAGTTGACGGTTGTTTGATTGAGCGTAATAACCGAGAATGGAGAAACCGGAAGGGATCAAAGATGGTTCAAAGAATGTTGCTCCAAGATTGTTTGGTCCTCCTTCATAAGTGGACCAAACTTTGCTGAATGTCGACACTTGACTTACCTCGAGACCTCCTAAGTCAATGGTTTGTTTCGCAAACCCGCCACCTGATGATGCAAGTCAAATCAATATCATCAAACCAATAAAGAGAGAGAGAGAGAGAACAACAAGAACCGATGATAATACAAACCTTGGTGAGTAAAAGTAGGCAATGGAGACGGAAACTTGAAGGCTGTTTCGACGGGAAGTGCTTTGAGAATCTTCTGTGATACATCTTCAAGAGGAGGATCGGAGATTGAAAGGCAGTTTCCCATTTTCGGATTGCGGAACACAGATGGGAAGATTGATTTGCAGATAATCAACAGGGGAAACTTGGAGTCGTGGGTTATATATATATTTGCAGAATCTTGGTGTCAATTACTTAAGACTCATTAAGAATATAGAACGTAAAGGAAGAGAAGTTAAATGCCAAAGAGGATAAGTGTAAAGCATATTCTTCGTTGTGAATGAAAAAAACGCAAACTTAAACGTATAAGTCAAAGCTGATCGATCTAACGGAAAGTGTCGTGCAAGGTTTTTTTCTAAATATACATAAATTTTATTATATCCTTCTCTGTTCTTTTTTCTGCAATTTACATATCGTGCAAGGTAGCACTTGAAACGTTGATAACAAGTGACAACGACTTGAGTTATCCAACAACAAAAAAACATGCTGCTTATCAAAACACTTGTATTAAATTGAGACGACTTTTTAATTTTTATTTCGTAGACAAACCCATTTGTTAAAATGTCTATTGCTAATTAGAAATCTGTCTTCAGTAATATACACATCTTTAGAACGCTCTTATGTTCAATCATAGAAATCAAATAATGGAGAAAGTTGTCACACACATTTTCTATAGAAAAATGTCATTACGCAAAGTCAACGCATTGACTAGATAATCCTATCATCTCTCTTACATTAGTTCATAGTTTAAACTTATATTAATCCTTGAAAAAGAAAACATTTACCTTAATCTAGTTAAAATAAGCTCAGGGGCATTGAGGGATGCGACCAGGTCCTCCGTAGAAAAAGTAAGTTCCCCACCTCTGGCTAGAACCAACCTTTAGGTTATAACATTGAGGCCGGGTCACAGTAGCTTCAAGATATTGTGTGGAGGGTGTGATCGGATGATTAGATGTATCCATGTACTCTAAGGTATTGAAATAAGCCGCCTTCTTAAACCCTTCCTCTGCGGAATGGCCACTCCCCATTTGCGTAAGCGTGTGTGTCCCTCGACCTCTAGCATAATATACTTCCAATTCCACAAGCTACAGCCATTCCTTTCTCTAAAGGTGCCTGGGAGAAGCCGCTTATGACTTCTGCTTCAACAGAAACTCAGAGGTTTGGCGATTCTTCATATAACCAGTGGCCAGCTCTGTCGGCTGGGAACCAAGGAACCAGCAATCTTCATGCTCGGTCTGATAGGGGTCAGAATTTGGCAAAGCATTCAGTCGCCTCAGAAGCAGAAGTGGCATCTCTTAGGGCTCACTCCATAGACTATCCTTGGGCAGCAAAGATGAATCCTTCTCTGCGTAATCTTCATAGAGTCACTATCCCAGAATACATGGAGGATGGAACCCCAAAGGTTAGAATCCCTAGTCATGTTCTTCTAGGTGGTGTAGAGAATCAGAAAGAATTTGTGGTTGGTCAGTTTTATAGGTGTTCTGCTCCATCTAGAGGCCAAATTCAGGCTGTGGTAACTAGGATTTGGGGGTAGAAAGTGCCGTATTTTCATCCGTAAACTGGGAGAGTCAACCCTACTTATTCCATATTCCTGATGAATCAACTCGCAAATGGGTTATTCAGCGAGGTTTATGGCATGTTGATGATTGTTTGATGTTTGTTTCTCCATGGTCTCCGACGGAATCTATAGCTGTCCACAAAATCACGACTGTTCCTGTGTGGCTGACGCTAAATAATACTCCCGATCAACTTTATTCAATCTTGGGGATTAAGTGGATTGCTTCAGGTATTGGTGAACCATTGTTGACTGAGAAGCCATGGCTTGATCCAACAGAAATGGGAAGAGCAAAAATTTTGGTTGAGGTAAAGCTCAACAAACCTTTTCCTCAAAGAGTTGCTTTAACTGATGTAATTAAGTGATTCAATTACTATGGTGGATGTCCTGTACTCTTGGCTGCCTTCTACTTGTAGTGGTTGTGGTCAGTTAGGACATAAAGCATCTCGATGTTTACTTCTAAGAACTGGTACTTCAGGTCCGGCAGCTTCTCATCATGCTCCAAATGTTGATACTCCATCTATGGTTGCTGGTTTTGTCTCGACATCTGCTCATAATGGGATAGCTGGAAAAGAAATGGAGGGTTTGGAAAAAAACTACAAAGCATTTCTCCAGCAGAGGCAACCTCTCCGGTCTCTACTAATTGCACACTCGCTCCACAAACTAATAATATGAAGAATGTTATTCCAGTTGCAACAGTTATAGCCTCTACAAAGGAGGCATCTTCTTCTAAATCAGCTCCACAATCTTTTGTTCCTGTAGGAAATGGTGTTCGTAGGACTTTGTCTAGCTCTGCATTGCGTAAAAACAGATTTGCTTCCTTGGAGTCTTCAGATTATTCGGAGGATGAAGACGAGGATGAAGACGAAGATGAAGACGAAGATGAAGTCGAAGCCCCACCTCCAAACGACGAGCCTGAACCATTGGAGTTCTTGACCCCATCTGGGAAAAGAATCCTTCGGGAAAGGCCGGTTCGTCCGTCAACCAAAGCGAAAGAGATGCAATGGCAAATCGTTCGAGGTGGACGTGGGAATCGTGGTCGTGGTATTAGAGGTGGTTGTGGCTAGCTATCATTTCTATGGATCCTTCTTTTAATTGAAGCGGAAGATTCGATTACTATCTATAACAGTCTCTTACATTCTAAGAATTATACTTTGTGTAATCTCTTCAAAATCTATATGGCTCCTAGGTCATATTTTGCTGTAACTGATCATCATCAATAAAAAGTTCTTCGTAACAAAAAAAAAATATATATATATATATACAATTTCACATCCCCATGCGATCTTTCGTGCGGAGAGTGCTAGCTTGGGGACTATAAAGCTTGGCCAGTACCCAATTAGGTATGTCTCAAACATCAGCCACCAAAGTCCGGTATCTTGTTCTTAAAACGAGTTACAACTTAATCAAAAATCGACCATCTTTGTGAAAATGTAAGTTAATCTCTAATAGATAAATTATACCTTCTCAATGGTTAAATTAAAGGAAATCGTATTGGTCACCATTGTAGATTGAGAAAGTGTTGAAAACTGCACAAAGGGAAATGTCTCTGTTCACTTGAACAAAGCCTGGACAGTCAAGATTGTAACATCCGGTTTCTCGGTATGTATCGCTCTATGTTTTTTGGTCGAAAAAATTATTACTATACAAATTCGTCATTCGAGAAAATTAAAAGATTAATAAGAAAAATGGAAACTTGCCGTCCAATAGGCGAAAAGTCTTGGGTTCTTGTCACCGTACAAAGCATGCAAGATCTATTATTATAAGGAGTAAACAAAATTGAAGTAAGAATAATAAGGATTCCAAATAGAAGACTTGAATATGTTTTCTACACTAGGTTTTTGGAATCCTTACTATTCTTAATTCAATTTTGCATGCATTTTATACAATTTTGCATATAAAAATAATATTGCATGCATTTTTGCAAAGTTTCATGGATTTTATTCCTTATAATCACATAGAAATAAAGTAGAAAACATATTCAAGTCTTGATTGTCAAAAATCTACTCAGAAAATATTCAATAAATTTTCCAAAAAGAAATATGTAAGTTATATCAATGTAATATTTTACTTATGCAAACTACCTGAAAGCGATTTGTCGAAAAACTATAAAACTGAAGATTTATCAAACACATACATATTCTTATTCAAGTTTTATACATAATAATATCAAAGGACACGCATATTATCAAGGATATTACTACGATATGACGTTGGATTTTATATTCTTAAATCACGACTATATCGATCACATGTTGATCTTATTTTAAATTACACATGTGAAATACTCAAAAGCTTGGAATCAAGGACAATTAACGTTTCGACCAGGACCACCGTAGAAGAAATGAGTATCCCAATCAGGATTTCCACCATTTCCTGCTTTAACGTTGTAACAGTTACCATTACTAGCAAAGGGGTAAAGGTCTTGTGCTTCTCTCAGAGTATTGGCTCCATCAACTGTCATAAGTTTCCTGAAATAGCTCGCTTTCTTATACCATTCGTCTGCCAAATGCCCACTTCCCATGCCCGTGGCCGTGTGTCTCCCGCCGCTCATTTGGTTTACAATTTCACCGCCCCATTGAACCCTCGTGGCTTTATCTCCTAGAGAAGTAAACAACGAGCCAGGCCAGTACCCGACAAGCTCTTCATCGATCATTAGCCACCAGTTTCCGCTGTCCTAAATAATTGACAATTCATGCTTTAGACGCATGCAGATATAATCTTGAGGGCAACTCAATCTACCTCTGCTCTCTAATATATGAGGCATTAAACTCAAGCAATACTACTAGTAAATACAGAAAATAGTAGGTAAAAATTAAATATATATATATATATACCTAATAAAATATTTTCTCAATCTGCCTCTGATGGTAAAAAAACAAAAGAAAAAGAAATATGTGTAATTAGTATTAGTACCTTCCATATAAGTATGGGGAGGCCGTATTGATTTCCGTCGTATTGTGAAACTTGAGTGTAGGATCCACCCGCAGTTATCCGTTTGCTCCTCTGAACAAAACCTGGGCAGTCACTGTTGTAGCATCCTGTGTTTTTGTATCCATCACTCTATTCCCAAAAATAATTTCATGATCATTAGCTTCTAAAGTATTCATGAATTTCCTTGAAAAAATTGTTATTTTGTGTTTATAGTCGTACTATTGATCTGGTTATTGTGGAAAAAGGTCGAGTAAAAAGAAGATTGTCTATTCTGATCAGAATCCAAAAACTAGTGAACCGTCTAATTTAATTTTTTCAAATGATTAGGTTAAAACATGTTTAGTGCGGTTACACATTAATTTCTAGAAAAAGGGATCTTACCGTCCAGTAAACAAATAATCTAATATTATTGTCACCATATTTTCCTGGATAAACCTATAAAGTAAGGCAAACAAAGGTAGTGTTATTTGAAAATTATTGCATATGAATAATTAGATATAATTAAGGATTGAGAACCAAAGAATTAAGTAGAAGACCTGCACACCAACTTCAATTGTATTAAGACTAGAGCCACGTCCAGAGGAAAGCCAAGTCTGAGCCAAGCTGAACTCGTTGGGAACTTCAACTTCTGGTCTCCAGATATTCATTACAAACTTTGTCCCGTAATAACTTCCCTCCCTCGAATTCATGATCGCATACTAAACCGGTTCCAAAAAATGGAAAAAGTGTTAAGAATTCAAAAACTAGCGATCTCTTGTCATAACACAAATTTAGATATCTTTTGAATATATAAATATTTCTCGATCTGCACATGGCCACAAGAGAGTACATAAGAAAAGGAAAATGCATAAAAGGTGTACCTCATGGTCTCCAGGTCTGCTTTGTTGAGTCTTTTTCCCGAAACTCTCAATTGATTTTCCTCGTAAGATATCTTCTTTCTTTGTTCTTCTTATAGGAACAGTGTTTTCTGGACACTCGCCATTCTTGTGCCAGACCTGAGTTATGTCCTTTGCCTCTTTCTTGGTGTACGTAGAATCACCTTCCGGAATAAAACTCGGTCTCATCTACATGCAAAAAACTTCCCAATTCAACATGATCGTGCATGCGTAACCAAAAGAGAGACCAAAAATCAAGGCCAACCTGGATGGTGTGGTTTTTAAGCAGATGATGATCAAAAGCTGGTTGACTAGTTATTGGAACACAATCTATGATGTCTCCATCTTTACTCTACAAGAAATATAAGAGCCTACAATTAATCTCATATTTGCCCGCGAAATTCAAAAGCATGGAGTTACGATGCGTATGGAATCCTTTATATTTATAAATTAAAAACTAACCTTTATTTTGTAAGAATTTACATTGTACTCTATTTTACTTGAGAAGTAAGAATAGAAACAAACCGTCATTATGTAAAAATTTACATTTCATGCCAAACACTTATCAGCTTCATGATTTTTCTTTTTATCAATATATATTAAAATTAAAGTAGGTTAAATTTATCAAAAACAATACATGTAATAAATTTGCTAAGAACAATCGTTCGAATAAATAGATAATTATTTTATCTTTACTCTTCTACATATTTTTATTAGTATAAATCTATATTTCGAGATCAAGGCACAGTTACAGTAGAAAAAAATATAGATAAGTTTTAAACAAGTGTCAACATATACTATCATGACTTCAAAAGCCTAACATCATCCTATACAACAGGGAAAAATAAGTTTTGTACAAAATACCTTAATAGATTTAAGAGCAGGCTTGTTGAGCCGCTTCAAAAGTCTTTGTACTTTGATTTCTCGTTGATCGAACAACTCTCTTCCATAGACACAAGGAGAGATTATCACCGTTATCACTACCAAAGCTACCATGAAACCGGCCATTCCCACCATTTGGATTATTATAATCCTTAGCAAAACTTTTAGTTAGTACTCTTATGTATTTTTAATCAACTACTCTTTGGAATTTATATAGAAGAGTAGATTGATCATATTCTATTAATTAATAGTGCTTGAACCTCATCTTCTTGTTATAAATTTGTCAGTGGTTACAGTAATAAAACCATACAAATCAATAAACGTTGACCCATTGACCCATGACTTAAACATATTAAAGATATTGTAGTTTTAAAAATTAAGAAAAAAAAAACATTTCTATAAGTGCAAATTTTTAGTTGAATTTTAGTTTTTTCTATACGGTAAATTATTTTTAAAATATTTATGGGATAGACCCAATAACTGACTGAATATCCAAATTTTAAAGAATTTCTGGAACACATGGTATCTAGCTAGTTGTAAGCCAAATTTAGATCAAAAATTGTTGATTCGTATAGAAAAAGATGGATCACAAATACCATAAAATTCAAATGCTCTGCGTTCACTTTTTAAAGTCACGGTCAATAACCCATTGTGTTAGTATCGGAACCACTAACAAATCATGTGATAGGCTTTTTCTGAAATTAGTGCTTAGAGACCTTATCTAATGATAGAGTTTTTTTCTTTCTGAAATTAGTGCTTAGAAACTTTATCATCTTGTGGTAGATTTGTCAGTGGTAAAAAAGTACACTAGTCAAGCAAACAAATACCAGTATCAGGATGCCGTAAAATGTTGTTCAGTAGGAATGTTTAAAATTCTGTTTTTTATCGAACCTAATTACAATAATGATTATCATTTATCCTACTTTAAAAAAAAAAGTAAATGCACTACATGACCATGTTCCTGTTCATAATTTGTAGAATCGGTAAATCCACTATTTGGACACTGTACACATTTCCAATATGGCACTTTTACCCTTATCACCCTAAATAATGCTAATCGAATATGCACGATATGTTCAAGATATTTTGTCAATGAAAATATATTTTAATATATGATAATCGGATATACACATAATTAAACAATCCTCGGTTATATCGATTAGGGTATTTTCCTTTTTAGACAGAAGTTTTCAGTTTCTAAACATTATCGAGTCAGAACAATTCCGAGTTCACAATATTTGGCAGTTTCCGGCGAAACCGAAGCTAACTTCATCAAAGTAAAGGTAAATTTCTAATAAATTTGTAATCTATGCCAAATAATTTGATCTACGCTATCTAAATCATTCGTCTGATTTGTCTGTTTCAAAATCGAAATTCCAGAATGTCTAATATCAAGCTCGTTGAGCGACTGTTCGCTGCTGGACAAGAACCCGTGGGGGAACGAGTTAATCGTACCAGAAGTCCCAATCTGTACAGACGATACTCAACGCCTTAGACGAAGACGAAGTTAAGAGACTCCGAGATTCTCAAATGGGAAGGCTCTTGCCGACGGTGCGATAGCGTCGGCGCCGAGCGACCTCAGCCGCCTTCGCTTTTCGAAATCGATTTTAAGGTCTTTGATGAAAACAAAGCGAAACTAAGTTGGGTATGATTTTGATAACTGGTTATTATTGATGACTATTGTTCATATATTGTGGTTTCTAGAGATTGAAGATGAAATATAGAATCAGTGTTCTTTTGATGAATATAGTCAAGTTAATCTAAAGGTTGATGATTTACAATTTTACTTATCTTGTAAAATATAAAATTAGAGCTATATCTAAGTATTTAAATCGTATAATAACATGTAAACATTTATTGGTAAAATGTAAGTTAACCAACAATGATTAAGTTACCATGTTAAAACAAATGTTAGCAGTAACATTTACATATTTACTTGATACAATAAATTTTAACATGATACAATAACATGTAACTTGTTACCATAATCCAACAGGATATTAATCTATAACTTGTTTTAGTTCATTGATCTTTGCGACGAAACTCTCTGTCATACTTACTATGCTAATAAAATATGTACGCTGTTAACAAGTTATGTAACTGTATTGGCTATATATACCTATGTAATATGTTAACAAGTTATGTAACTGTATAACTTATATATTAACTAGATGATAGAGAAGAATATCTCATGAATGAAATAAAGTTGATAAACAATAAAAATCAAAGAAGGGTTATATGGTAATTAACACACCGACAAAACACTGTAGAGATAGCTTTTACATATTCTCTTTCCTATTTAGTTAATTTTGACCAGTTTTTGGTTTTTCTAACAAATTGACACTAAAAAAAAAACAAAAACAAAAAGAAGAAATTAACCCCGCAAGTACCACGTGCTTTCACTGTATATGTTAAGAAAATGTGATATAATTAAATTCATAAAGTAGAAGAAATTTTATCGGAGCCTAATTTTTACTTGTTATCGTTTTTATAGTATTTTTTTTACAATCATTTTTCAGGTTTCTTTCCAATCATCTGAATAGATTTCAAAAGGGGAACTTCGAACGGTAAACAAACGGGATAGATAATCTTCATGTAAGGAGGAAAGAAGAAAAAAAAAAGAAGCATGGCGGGACATTAACAACTTCTAGACATTGTAAATTAACATGAACAAAGAGTACAAAATATCACAAAAAGGAAAAAAAATAATAATTAAAAAAACAGTCTTCGAACGGAAATTTTCCCTAAGGCGCTAATAAACAAAAAAAAAAAAACATTTGTTTTCATCCCATGTAGACAAAAGACAGAGATACCAGATTCACAAAACCAAACATTAAAAAGAAAAAATCAGAGTGGATTCAATCTTCATCACCTAACCAATTCCGTTTCAGCTTCGGACCAGTAGGCCCCTCCTCTCCAAAAACCTCATTAGGCAATCCTTTAATAGCACTCCTAAACACATTCTTAAGACTCTCCCCAACCATAATCTTCTCTACACCTCTAATCTCATTTTCATGACCATAATCAATCTTTGGTCCCCAGTGTCTCATATAATTCAACCACGCCGGCTCCTCCACATCTTCCATATATTCAGCCGCAACAACCCTAAACCTAGCCGCCGTATCAATTACTTGTTTACTCTTTCCTGTATCGTTCCGAATCCCTACATCGTCTTTGCCTTGTAACACAAGTCCCGGTTTAGAGTACATTGCATGTCCGTTCAAAGAAGCGTAAGCTACCGGTTTGTTTCCCCCACCTTGAAACTCGATCTCCGAAGCATCGATCCAGCTTCCTCGACTGTGTTGCGACAGATACATCCGATGTAGCTTGCCGCTGAAGTTACTTATCCGGAGAGTGAAATGCTCCCAATCTCCAATGTGTTCGCCAATTTTCCCCAACGGGATTGTCGCGAGCTTAAGCTTGGCTCGTGACGGGCCATTGAACGGATAAAACATCCACACGGCTATGTCTGTGAAGGTTCCCCCGAAAACAGGTTTTATGTGAAGATAAACTTCCATGCTCTGTAAATCTCCGCCTTTGACTCGTTTTCTTGTGTCAGAAGCAACCGGTAGGTCTAACCAGTAAAGACCGTCGTTGGATTCGCCTTGGGGAAGGTTTGAACCGTTTGGTTCGACTTGAACCGGGTTTGATTCCTCACCTTTCTTGTAAAGCAAGGCACCGTTGCTGAAGAACCAGTTAACAGACGCTGGGAGATACTTCTCATCTTTGTGGAAATAGATCCAAGGAGCGTAAGCTTGAAACAGAGCATCGATCTGGACCTTGCTTGGCATGCAAGAATAGTCAAATTTGTTGTTTTTCAGACAAGCTAGGGTTGGATTTGAAGAGTTTGCGACGAACGTGCCAACACAAACACTCGAGGCTTGTATTCCTCTGTTAATAGGTTTAGAACTCGAAACGCTAAACCCATTAGTTTCCCAGATCAGAGCGTCGGGCTCGGATTGATCGGTTAGATCAGAACGGACACAACGAATCTTGTCTAGAGGAGGTTTCTCAGCCGATGTTGTCACGATTAGACCCACTGCATTATAACCTTCAGGAGGCACAGGCTGCCAAATGGATCCAGTTTCTCCACCATTGTTCTCTACCTTTGTAGATTTGCCGCTCCAAAGAAGAAGATAATCCACCGGCGCTCTTAAAGAGTCGCCGGAGAGGTCTTTCCCCACAAGTGTCCATCCAAAAAGCTTGCGGTTATTTGGTTGAGCGTAGAAGCCAAGAATCGAGAAGCCTTCAGGTACTGAAGACGGCTCAAAGAAAGTGGCTCCGAGATTATCTTGTCCTCCTTCGTATACAGCCCATACTTTGTTAAATGTTGTTACTTGGCAAACTTCAAGACCTCCCAAATCTATTATCCCCTTTGCAAACCCTCCTCCTGCAAAATTCACAACAAAAATTTCAAAACATTTGAAAATATAAACAGAGCTAAAACATAAGATGAACAAAAAGTAGAATGAAAACATTAACCTGAAGGCCAAGATGGCAATGGAGAAGGAAGATCGAAGGTGGAATTAATCGGCAAAGATGGTGATGAACTTTGAGCAGAGGAATTGTTACCCATTTTGATTTCACGAATCCAAAATCGAAGACAAATAATGACTTTTGTAATATGTGTTGCGTCGTGGTAAAGACTGGCTTAAAGGAAAGTGGGGACATAATCAATATTGTTGGTCGAGTTAGATCAACCATACACAAAATTTCAAAGATTGGATCTTATCTGGTGAGGAACAGCACATGTCAGGTATTTATTGTGAAACGAAAAGTCATCGCAAATCACTGTTAGGTTATGTAGCTTTTGATTCGATCATCATAGTTTATAATTAATTATATTGAGCAATGTTTTGCATGTCTAACTACTAGTACTACGTAGATTACCTCTCATGTGATTCTTGAGAAATTTTTTCATTATTATTTAAGATGTTTTGGGAATTATTTGTAATGAACAATCTAACATCAGGACAAATTATTGTATAATACACATATAATTTTCTATTCTTCTGAAGAGTTAAATTTGATCAATACATGTTTGTTTGATGTAAACAAAAAAAAAAGTAATATCATCAATTTTTAGACCTTTTACATAATTGCATGTTTATCACTATGGTACTGTTTATAACGGATTCATGCGTCTTATTCAATAGGCATTATAAATTCATATTTTTAAAAAAAATTATGTCCAACGATTCCTCAACTGGTCAAAAAACAACGTACATGATTTAATCTACATTTATTAAACGTGCATGTTTACAATTTTAAAAAAAATTGTAACTCATTCTAAAACAGCTGTGTTTCTAGTTAATTTTCATTAAATACGTCTTTATTATTCTCAAAATATTTCGATTCGTTGGAAGCTGTAAACAGATTGATATCAATTGATAGATAGGAACATATCTTATGACGTGGATTTTGTTTTATCGTTAAATAACTTATTTTCTTTTGCAATACCCACACACTACTCAAACAGATTATAATACACTATTGATACTATCATACTATATAATACAACCCACTATAGTATATATATGCATGCTTCTGTCACATGTTCTTTATTGAAATATAGACAAGTATGTGAAACCCTCAAAAGCATTTGAACACACAGATCCCCCGAAATCAAGGACACTTGACGTTTCGACCAGGACCACCATAGAAGAAATGAACGCCCCAAGAAGTTCCACCATTTCCTGTCTTCACATTGTAACAGTTATGTTTATCAGCAAAGAAGTAAAGACTCTTTGGTTCTCTAAGAGTATTGGTTCCATCAACTATCATAAGATTTCTGAAATAGCTCGCTTTCTTAAACCCTTCGTCTGCAAAATGCCCACTTCCCATATCCGTGGTTGTGTGTCTCCCACCGGTCCTCGAGTTAATGATTTCACCTCCCCATTCAACTCTCGTAGCTCCATCTCCTAGAGATGTGAACAACTTTCCAGGCCAGTAACCTATAACGTCTTTGTCATTGATCTTTAGCCACCAGTTTCCTGTTTTCCGGTCCTAATGATTTTGAATCATCCATTTAAGGTTAGATAGAGAGGTAACTTGGGGGAAAAGGTATTATTTATAGCGATTTCAAATTATCTTGAAATATATGAATCTCGTATTGTTAGGGTGACATGAAACTATGTTATTACCTTCCATATAAGTATGGAGATGTCGTACTGAGTACCACGGTAGCGTGACACAGTGGTGAAAGATCCACCTACTGTATATCGATTACTTGTTTGAACAAAACCCGAGCAAAGAATGTTGTAGGCTTGTAGCAGCCTGTTTTTCGGTATCCATCACGTTATTTTAATATAAAAAAAAACATTTCATTATGATTAGATCCAAAAATGTTTAATATACCAATAATTTTTTTGCATAAAAAGATAACCAAAGCCCTGATTTAAGCGACATTAAAAAAGGAAAAACATTAGTTGAAGTCTTGATCTTCTTATGATAATAATATTTAGTTTTTCGGTTGAATTTACATGCTTCTTATTTTATTTTTATTTTGGTAAAATATTAAGAAAAAAATGCCTCTTATTTCTTCTATTCAGGTTCCGAAACTAGTAAACCTTTGAAGTTTGAAATTATTAGTGTAAACATAAATCTTCTTTTTTTTGGGTGCAAATAAACATAAATCTTCTATAAGGAAAAAGTATTAAGTAAGCATAAATCTTCTGGAAAAGAGAAACTTACCGTCTAGTAAACAAATAATCTAGGATTATTATCATCATATAGCTCTGGATAAACCTATAAATTAAGACAAACAAAGATAGAGTTAATTACGAATTTTGCAGAAGAACAAAGAAGATGTAATGAAGACAAGACCAAACCTGCCAACCAGCTTCAATGGTATTAAGACTAGAGCCATTTCCGGACACAACCCAAGTCTGAGCCAAGCTAAACTCTTTGGGAATTTGAACATAAGGTTTTTTGCCCGCATCGGGTCCAGTGGTAGGGAAGGGTTGTGTGGGGTGTTACACCACTTCACCCAAGTTTGATCCTCCCTGGAAACAAAAACACAATTATGTGGGAAGTCTGGGTTTGGGCCAAAAGGCCCAAGCAGTTTACATGGTAGTCCAGTAATAGGCGATCTGGCTACCCCTGACATTAGTTGGAAGGCATTTCAAACTCGGGACAGGTAGTGTGGTGGCCCATTTGGATCTTATGGATCTCATGGCCGTTGACTCGAGTTCGCTCGAAGCGTCCGTTGAACCGTTGAACCGTTGAACCAGGGAGAAGCCCACACTATAGCACTTCGGTGCGTTTCTACCGGGGCCAACCGGATCAGCCGATAGGGTTTATAAAAAAAAAACATAAGGTTTCCACAGGTTTATCGCAACTTCTGTCCCATAAAACTTTGCATTCCTCGCACTCATTACCGCGTACTAAATCCACTCCAGAAGAAAGGACAAGTGTAAGCCACAAGACAATAACAATGGAAATACATAGATCGATGTATCATATATGTGCATGTATATGTACCTGATGACCTATTGTTGGATCAAAGGTTGTAGTTCTTGGGATGCTTTGATGAGACTTTCTCCCGAAACTGTTGATGAATTTTGGTCTTAGGAGATCTTCTTTCTTTGTTCTTCTAATTGGAACAGTGTTGTTGGGACACTCTCCAGTCTTGTGCCAAACCTGAGTTATAGCCTTTGCCTCTTTCTTTGTGTACGTAGAATCACTTTCCGGGTTGAAACTCGGTCTCATCTACCAGCATAAAATTTGCATCGCAGGTGATTCAAAAATATCATGTTTTAACAATAGAAAGACAGAAAAAATGAAACCAAACCTGGATGGTATGTCTTTTAAGTAAAGGATTATCAAAAGCGGGTTGGTTGGTGATAGGAACACAATCTATTACATCTCCATCTTCACTCTGTAAAGAAAAGATTAAAGCGAAAAAATATTCATCTCAATAATGTTTTTTGTCATGAACTTTGTATAAAGATACCTTAATGGATTTAACAGCAGGCTTGTTTAGTCGCTTCAAATGTCTAAGTATTTTAATTTCACGGTGATTGGAGAACTCGTTTCCATCAACGCAAATAGCTATTGCCGCGGCTATCGCCATCAGAGCAACACCGATCAAACCGGCCATTCTCACCATGGTTATACTGTTCTTAGCAAAACTTTCAGATAGAACTCACTAGCCTTTTATATGAGGAGATTGCTTATGAATTTATAATTCAATAAAAACATAAATTCTTAACCGAACCTTCTTACGTAAAAAATAATAAAAACATAAACAAAACCACGCCTTCTCAAACTCTAATAAGAGTGAATGAATTTTTTCGAATATAATACCAGTCACATCATTTTAGAAAGAAAAGAACTATTTTTTAATCTTAAAAAATAGAAAAAAAAAACTTTTTGACATGCAGAACTTTGGTTAACCAATATAATTTTTATTTTTATTTTTTTACGAAACTGAAAAATGACATTTGACCAAACAACCTGAAACTAATCTAACTAAAGTTACTAAACCAAATATATATATATGTAACCTAGTCTTTCACGTTATATTTATCGATTAGTTAGTTATCATTAGTTTTTTTTTTCAATAAAAAAAAGATTATCATTTGTTGTCTGCCATGAACCATTCCGCGTGAGGTCACGAGCTTGTAATTGCATCAGCTCGTTATTAAATTTGTACATGAATTTCTAATATGACTGATACATTCTTTGGTTAAACCTTCCTTTGGCACAAATCACCATTGAATATTTTGTTAAATAAATTATAATTCTCTTAGTATGTTAAATTAATCATTCTTTTAGATTGAGAAATCGTCAACACGATCGAATTCAACTCTCTTGTGGTTTCTGGGCCCGATATTTTTTAGTTGACTTTAACTTAGGCTATCACACGATAGATCTGTAATCCGCATATAAAATTATAATTTTAAATTTGATTTAATCTTAAGACTTTAATTTACTCGTTGCCTCGTGGGCGTAGATAAACTGATAAATTTTAGCAAAACAAAGTTGGTTCTGTTGATCAAGAACCAAAACATAATTCCAAAGACAATTAAAAAGCCAACGACTACAAAAAAAAAAAAAAAATCAGCACAAAAACAAAAAAAAACACGAAATTTTGATTTAGTCTCAAATCAACACACAAACATCTTTTTCCCTTAATTCACAACCAATTGAGCTAAACGTATGTTACCATTTAAATCATGGTACTCTCAATTAGTGACAACTATATTATGATATAGTATACATTTATTTATCATATTAGTCTAGTGAAGTTTGACTGTTTGACCAATAATTCTAATGGAAATTGTTAAATGACTGATTAATGGAGATCCAAAAGTCCCATCTCCATGTTTTGTTATACATAGACAAAGCAATTATCACACAGGTCACTGAAAAAAAAGTACCGCTCATATACAAAACAGATACAAATTAATTAATGTGATCATATAGATTTCAGTATACACATGGGACCATGTTCCTTAAAAGAAATTTATCTTCTCTTCACTCCATAGAAACACTCTGACACAAACCATAAACAAACCCTAAACCACTCTTGATATCTGAAATTAATATAATTAAGAATGTTGTATACATATAATATATGTTTTATACAATTGATTAATGTGGAATGATCTGCAATGCAAGTAAGTAGACAGATCTTAAGGGCAATTAGGGTTTCGACCGGGGCCACCATAGTAGAAGTGACTTCCCCAAGAACCTCCATTGCCACTCTTCACATTGTAACAGTTCTCTTGATCAGTGAAAACTTGAAGATTTTCAGGGTTTCTCAGTTCATTCGATCCATCGACTACTTGAACGTTCTTGAAGTAACTCGCTTTTCCCCAACCTTCCTCTGCGAACCGACCACTTCCCATCTGAGTGGTCGTGTGTTGTCCTTCCTCTGACTGCGAGTTAACCACTTCACCTCCCCATTCGATCATCGAAGCACTTTCTGATAAGTAAGAGAATAGTGAAGCTGGCCAGTATCCGATTATGTATTTCTCTCCAAATTGTAACCACCAATGTCCTTCTTTTGGATCCTGATCAAAACCAAACCCAAGTTAAAGAGTAAAACTTGATCGCTAGCATTAATCTTATGTCAAACCAGGGATTTGAAGTTGGATTCTTGTTGTTGGTTTACCTTCCAGATAAGTATGGTAATGTCATATTGAGAGGTTCCAAAGTTGGATAAAGGAGAGATTGATCCACCCATTGCGATTTCCCTGTTGATTTGAACGAACCCTGAGCACAGAAGATTGTAACAGCCTGTGCCTTGATATGCATCACTCTGTTTTCACAGGGGAGACAAAATATAATGATTCTTCAGTAAGCTAAAACACACACATAGAGATAAAAAAGAAATCGAAATCAAAATATTAAGAAACTTACAGTCCAATAAGTGAAGAGTCTGGTGTGATTATCACCATACAATTGTGGACTGACCTGAAAACACAAATCTTTGAATCAGAAACAGAATTTTATTTTTTCAGAACAGAATTATCAGAAAACTTTTGAAGAAGACAAATACCTGCCAGCCAGCTTCAATACTATTAAGATCAGAGTTAAAATTTCCACCCAAAACCCAAATCTGAGCCAAGCTAAACTCATTAGGCATTTCCACATCTGGTCTCCATACATTAATCTTTGCTTTAGCCCCGTAGAAAACCCCATCTTCGACATACATTATCGCATGCTAAATCAAAACCAAAGAGTTTTAAAAAAAAAGTTGGTTAATGAACACAAGAAAAGGTTCAAAACTTATTCAAATCCATATATGAATATTACCTGATGACCATTTTGTGTAAGGACACTAGCTGGCTCATAAGATTTAGGCTTTGGGATACTTTTCTGATTCTTCTTACCGAAATACTCGACGGAACTTGCTCTGTAAAGATCTTCCTTTCTCGTTCTTCTGATGGGAATTGTGTTCTCTGGGCATTTCCCATTCACATGCCAAAGCTGAGTTATAGCACTAGACTGCAGATTCTTGGTTTTCGATGAAACTTTACTCTCACTAAAAATCCTCTCTGGGTTGAAACTTGGCATCATCTATAACAACATCAATGTCAGAATTACTCAGAACAAAGCAAAAAAAAAAAGAGTAAACAGAACAAGTTTTAAACCTTGATAGTGTGATTAACGAGCAGAGGATGAGCCAAAGCTGGTTGGTCGGTGATTGGGACACAGTCGATTATATCTCCATCTGGGCTCTGTTTGAAACCAGAAATTACTCCGACAAATCAGCAATAAAAAATTTGAAATTTTTAGGGGTTTTGCTTTCTCTAGTATGTCTCTGTGAAGTTACCTTAATCGATTTGAGAGGTGGCTTGTTGAGTCGTTTCAAGTGGGTACGGATTTTAAGATCGGAAAACCCATGTTCACCGGAGACAACTGAAGGAGTGAGAATCGCCACCGTCATTATCAGAGCCAGCAAGAAACTAACCCTTGTCCAATTAGCGGCCATGGTTAAAGAAACCCAGAAAGGTTTAAGCTTTCTTTTTCTTCTTGCAGAAAGAGAAAGTTTGGGGAAGATGAGAGGTTTTTTTTTGGCTTCTGGGTTTTGGATTGAAGTGGATTGCGTTTAATTCTGGGCACTAATAACACTTTGGCAAAACCTTCATAAAGGACGATTTTTTAAATAGAGACAAGTGAATTTGGATTCTATTGCATAAGATTGGTTGCTTTCTTTTCTCTGTTAAATTTTATTTGTCAGATTCTTTTTCTGGAATAATTCGAAGGTAGTTTTTTTAAAAGATTATTATCTTATTTTACTGTCACCTTTATTTATTTTTTTTTAAAAGAAGGAAAATTTACTGCAATGGAACATTCCACTCCACTCTGCTGCTTCATTAAGGTTTATTGGGATTTCAAATTTTATGTTCCCGAGCTCAAGTTTTTTTTTATTTGGAGAAATGACTATATGATGTAAATCTTTTCTGGTGTAGTGACAAAAAAGTTAAAATTTTTCTTTTCATTAAAAAAAGTTAAATCTATCATTCATTTTTCTTTTCTGGTGTAATGCATATCGTATTCTTTTTTTTTTTTACCTTTTCCTTCGTATAATGCCAGTTAAAAAGAAACTACTAATTCGAATTGAACGATAATTATTAAAAAAATGATATTTCTCTTTGTCCAACACTCAACTTTACATCCTAACTAATAATTTATCGTCTACATAAACAATTCGAATTATGTAATATAGATAATCTAATTCATGTCAGTAAAATTCTACCAACGAAATTACGATCTTTTTAAATTACTATAAATTTTAATAAAAAAAAAACGTAATTATAAAAATTTACATATATCCAAGTATTGACATATCAGATATGAACGATATAATCAATTTTCTAATCCAAAACTTTAAATATATCATACATATATATATATATATATTTACCTAAACCCTAAACATATATCCAAATGGACAACAAAGAAAAACATAGATCGATAATATTTAATTACTGAGTCAACTATTCCAGCAATGTTCCACTACAATATGATCGCGAATTTAAAGAAGAAGAAAAAAAAACTTTATATTTGTAGAGTGTAGATTTGAGAGTAGAAAGAAAGGGCGGTGATTGGGTGGGAGTGAGAGCACCCACACACACACACAATGTGAGGAAACAGTGTAAAAAGTTAAAAGTCAAAATCGAAGCCACTAATTGTCGGTTAATATTATTATTACGGGCGACAAATGACAATACATCTTCTCAAATCCCAATCACTTCCACACCTTTCCTTTTCCATTCTGTTACATCTCCACTTTATATTTCTTTTTTTTTTCCTTCTTTTTATTTAAGCAGACTCAAGCATGTCCTATGCCATTAAATTCTTATTGGACAAAACACATATTGTCTATTTTGGTTATGAATTCGTACAACTCTTCTATTTTTAAAAAAATTCAATTGAAATATCAAATATTCATGTGATATTTATTCATTTTTCTACAAAAATATTAAGATTTTATTTGCACCGCTATAATAGATATTTCATTATTATGTACACAGAGCACATTTGCATATCTTTCTTTTATTAAAATCAAATGTCTTAGAAAGACTAAGTAACCAAGAAATCCGTTTACAAACAAAAGAAATGTTATACGATGTTTGGCTTGACCGTATAAGTGAATTTATTCCAAACGAATTCCAACTCAAAATTAGTGAATATTTGGTATCGTAGAAAATAAACAAAAAGGTGATTCAATTGTTGCAATATTCATTTTCAAATGGTTAATTTACTTGTGAATTTCTGGTTTTTTTTTTTTTTCCTTCTGTACCCGGTTCAAACTTTGGTTGCGCATTTGTCAAGATATGCAGCAGGAACGGTGGCATCAGATACACATTATCTGGTTACGTATTCGTTACGAAAGATAATTAAAACACACACACACACTAAACATTGCTTTTTTGACATCTGCGTTATTGCTTACTATAGTTTTACATAACCGTAAAAACAAGTGGGAATCTTAGATACAAATATGGGGTGATAAAAAGCGTACATCTCTTGTTACAGAAACCTGACTATGAGCCACTTCCGCAAAATTATCATTCCTTATCGGGAAAGAAAATTCGCAGAAAAAAAGGAAAACGACAATGACATCATTGTACAAAACTACGCAGCACGTGAACTTCCACTCTTCTTTTACTCCCGAATGGCCAAATCTTTGGAAAAAAAAATGAGAGAGTGGTTTCAAATCCCAAAACGCTCTTTATTTTTATCTTTCTTTTTTTTTCAATTTCAAATTTTATATAATTTATGAATCGGTCATGATTCAGCTGACTTTTAAATTTGAATCTGAATAATAAATATAACATCGTCAATAATTAAAAATTTCAAACCTAGGTCAAACTTTAATTTGATCATCTCTGGACAAAAAAAAAAACATTTTCAAGTATTACTTGAAAGATAGAGAAAATAAAGAAACCAAAATTTCAAAAAGACAAAAGAAGAGAGGCCTCATCTCGTGGTTTTTATAAAGGTGCCAAAGTGGAATCTTGGAGTATAATGCTTAACTACATGTCACGGGTAAGTATTGACTCCTACCACATTTTCAACGCCCCACTAGTTATTATTATTGTTACACACTAACACGGTGGACTGGACCACCATCAAAATAAGGCCTCCTTACATATATGGACAGAGCAAAAGCTTTTTCTGCGACTGTTTAGAAACTAGAAACTAAGCTCGATGCTCAATATATACTGGAATCAGAAAAATATATTGTAAAAAAAAATGATACTCCATAGTCATTAGTTGTATTAACACCACTTTATGTTTGCAATTAATTAGTTTCGTATATCGAAATGCATTAATTATAATACAGGAAATCAAACTTTCAGAAATAGGAATAACATCCAGAAAAATCAGAAGGGAGTAATATTCTGACCAAACTTTTGTTACATTTCAAAGATACAAAGAGACAAAAACCCTCGCATTGTATTGAAACAAATTTCGCATCAATCAGCGGCGGAATGCATTGACTTCAGCTTCAGTCCCGCGCTGCGAATAGTAACTTCGGCGACGCACACTTTCTTCAATAGTTGAACTTCCACCTTTCTCCACTCCATAGACACTCTTATTTGCATCGTCCAAAAAGCTTTTGCCAACAGATACTTTGTTCTTATCAGCTTCTACTGCATCGGTTTCATCAGCTTTCTTCAATCTTCTCCATCTTTGTTCCTCGTGCACCTCTGCGTCCATTTGCATTTGCTTAAATCTAGCAGCTCTCTCTTCTTCTGATAACTTCGATCCACCTTTCCGGCGTCTATTCTGGAATCCATTCTCCCTGGAGGGATATTTTTCATTCTCTACATCCTCTGTTTTCCTTTTTCTATCCTCTTGACTCTCTCTTCTTTTTGAATCATCATCCATATCTGACCTTCGTCTCTCATAGTGCTTATCTTGTCTCTCTCTTCTTCTGGACTCGTCATCCAAATCTGACCTTCGCCTCTCATAGTGCTTATCACGACTTTCCCTTCTTTTTGACTCATCGTCTAGATCTGACCTAGGTGGTCTCTCATAATGCTTATTCTGACTTTTAGACTCATCGTCTAAATCTGACCTCCGTCTCTCATAGTGTTTGTCACGAGTCCCTGATGTTTTGTGATGGTGGGAATTTCTTCCGTAATTCTCTTCACCAGAATCTTCCTCCGAATCAGAATGGTGTCTGGATGAAGATTGCTTACGATGCTTTCCACTTTTACGATGATGCTTTTTCTTGTGCTCCTTTGTGTCTCTGTCTTTATCCTTTCCTTCTACCTGTAAATAAGAAACCCTCCAACAGGTCAGTGGCTATGGAAGGTAAGAAAGACAAAAACATAACAATACACTTTTCAATTGCAAACGCACAGACACTGGAGCACCACACAAAACCCTCCATGTACAGAAAGAAAAAAAGGAACTTACAGATTTTCGAATAAGAGCCATCTTCACAGGATTGTTCTTGATTTTGGCAAGAGCTTCCTGCTCGCGCTGCCTGATGAGAAGCAAAGGGTCAGAGTGAAGTTTCCTCCAAGAATCATTAGCAGAGGGTGCCTTATCCTCAAACAGCGCACCAGGACCCGACTGATCTGGTTTCTCACTGGTACTATTACCAGCTTCAGCTTTGGCTAAGGGCTGCTCTTCTTTCTGAAACGAAACACCATGACCTGAACTACTCGCACTACCCTTCCCTACAGCTAATCCTGAATCATACAGAAACTCCAATCTCTCTTGCCTCCTGCATGAAGATTAAAAAAAGGTACGATTTTAGAATGACCCACAACTTCCGATCACCGATTCTATCGCAATCATTAAACGAATCAACTACTATAAGATGCATCTCATAGATTCTGCACTAAAATTCACTCCAAATCGTAAGATACGAACTCCAATCCCTAACCCTATTTCCGAAATTAGATACCAGCAAATCAATCGGGAGCGAGCGTAGAGAGGATAGAAAACTTACGGGACGAGACCGGCTTGTTCCTGAAGAGCGCGAAACTCAGAACGCTCCCTCTCCTGGACGATCTGGAGACGAAGTTCTTCAAGCTTTTTCTGCTCCGCCTCTTGTTTCTGCTCAGCCTTCCACACGGTCTCGATGTTACGGAGACTCCCCGTATGCCAACCCTTCTTGTTCAAAAATTTCATCCCCATGATTGCTCCTCTTTTTGTTCCTCCTTTCTCTTCCTATCGCTTCAAAACTGGTTTTTTTTTTTTTGCCTTCTCTTCGTTTCGTTTCTATCGAAATCTCGCCGGGGTTGAAATTAATTTGCTCCGCCTCCGCCGACTAAACGCGGATGGTAATTAGTTTAAATCAGAGCCGTCCGTTTAATATGCGTGATGGATAATAATAATCTCCTTTTGGTTAATGGGCCTGATGTGGCCTCTCCCGATACTAAACTACAATTTGAAACCGAACATTGTTATCGGGAGATTGTTAAACAATTATTCAGTTTAACAATTAGACATATTGTTAGACTTAAATTAAAGAGTTTATTCAAGTGCCTATACAAAACACTCAAACTTTGCCCCTTCAATTCGGAGAATGAGAGAAAAAATCTGAAACCACTGCAAGAAATAGAAATAAAATCATTGCCTTAATGAAAAATCACATAGTACAATACAACCTTGTCAAATGCTAGGAGATAAGACATTACGAGAAGATTCTACAGAAATTAAAGAGATGCAGAAGAAGAAAACCAAAGCTTAACTTTCGATCCAAATGATTAAAGCAGAGTACTACTGGCTGGAAAAGTGAAAAGCTCTCTAGAAGACAACAGTGTCAAGCATGGTGCCAAGTGTCTAAACAATGTTGGATGATATCAAGTTGGACACATGTTCTTCCAGGAGAAAGCAAAGATCATTAGAGATTGGGTTTTACACTCACAAAGGAGAAGAAGATAGCTAGTTATGCGCTTTACACTCTGAGCCGAGTTCTTTTGTTCGTGTCTCCATCTTTCTCCTTTCGCTTTTCTTTCATCTGTAAAGGAGAAACACACTCCAAAAGGTCAGTGAATGAAGAACAAAAGGAAGGCGAAAGTAGCAGAATTGGAATCCAATTTCCAAACAAATTTGAGTGAACTAAGAGGAGAAGGAAAAGTAACTTACAGATTTTCGAGCTTCTTGCTCGTGCTGCCTGATGAGAAGCAAAGGGTCGGAGTGGACTTTGCGCCAAGAATCATTGGCAACGTGTGCCTTATCATCAAACAAGGCACCAGGAATCGGCTGCTTCTTGTTATTGCTACTAACACGAACAGCATCAGATTTGGCTCTCCGTTCTTGATTCTGAGACGAGACACCATAACTTGAATCATACAGGAACTCCAATCTCTCTGGCCTCCTTCTACAAAGAAAGAAAAAAGAATTCGACTTTATAACGACCCACGAATTTAGATCACCGTCTCAATTGCAATCATATCATGCAAATTTAACTAACATATATTCCCAATCAGAAGAAGATTCGAACTCTAATCGCCAAATCCCGACTTTAGGTCGATTGTCTCAATTGCAATCATCATTATAACATATTCCGAATCATGATCAAACTCTATCGCTAACCCTAAATTCAACTTTAAGATACCAATCAAATCGATTGCCATAAATCGAATTCGAGAATTAGAAAACTTACGGAACGAGACCGGCCTGTTCCTCGAGAACGTGAAACTCAGAACGCTCCTTCTCTTGCTGGATTTGGAGACGAAGCTGCTCTAGCTTTCTCTCTTCGGCTTCCTGCTTCTGCTCAGCCTTCCATACTTTCTCAATGTTACCTAGACTTCCCGTATGCCATCCCTTCTTGTTCAGAAACTTCAACGCCATTCTTTCTCTTTATCGCGTCCCTTAGACTTCTCTACTTCTTCCTCTTCTTCTTTCAAACAAAACTCGCCGAGGGTTTTTATAAGGGAAAAGGAAATCAAATTTCTTTAATAGCGTGATGACATCATGTTGGAGTTCGGGCTGGATTTATACTATTGGGCCTCTGTTTGGCGATAGAGTTCCCGGTTTGTGTCGGTTTAATCGAGTGAAGTGGTCAATACAATTTGTTGTTGAAAATCTGAAACACCGAACACTTGAATTAGCAATGTTTTGTCCTTAGTTTAAGCTACGGCTTAATTTAGGGCTATATAAAACTTGTATTTTGAAAGATTGAGTTTGTGGATAAATAGAAGAAACCAAAATTAAAAAATCGAAAAGAATTTCAAGATATGAGTGGTGTATTGTGATCAAAGCTTAAGAATACAAACTTGGCATAGACCATATATAATAATATATTTTAAAATTTGATTTCTAATTTTTACATACAAAATTGAGTAATGTTTCTTTACGTCTTCAGTAGGCACGGCTCTAACAATTCCTTTGCTTGTGATCCTGAATAAGCTGACTTCTAAGGTAGCATTCTTCAATCTGCACAAGAAGAAAAACACTTTAGACTTCAAAAAGCAAAGGGTTATATGTCAAACTTGTATATTACAGCTTTATTATACATGTGATGAATGTATCTTAAGCAGTGCAACTCCACAATCTTCTACGGATGCTTTTTCTCTGCTGCTTACTCTTGCTAGTTCCGACATCAAAGTCTCCATCTCTTGTGTCTGCAAAAGGAAGTTGTTTCAGTTGGAAACATTTGCTACATAACTTTTTTGAAGTGAAGCAGATTGATAGTATTTAGCTAACCTTAGGCACAAAATTTCCAATATTTTGCACAATGCCTTCCATAGACTTTGAGGCAACAGCAAGTGTTTCGGCTAACTCTTTAGTCTCGACCTGGTTTTGAGAAGCAAAATTTCCAAGTCTTTAGTGCCAAAGGTAGAGAAAAGGGAACAAGGAGTTAATCTGAAAAACACAATAGATACCTTGATATCAACATCGAGAGGGAGCCGCAATGAAGCATTCAATAAAGCTTCAGTAGTTTCCGACAGAGAATTTGAGTAATCTTCTTCAAGATCAGTCCATTGTTCCAAAGTAGGAATCTGCATATAGTTATTACAAATTACATATTTTCTCATGGATGTACGAATACTCTGAAATATAAAACATTTCCAGTTTTACTTACCTGAGACTCTACAATCTCCGTAACAGCTTTAAGTCTCAATAAGCTTTCTAGTTCTATGCGTTTCCTCTGTACAGAGTCGGAGAGCTCTGACAATTTCAAACCAAGAGAATAAAACATTCTCTGCAAGAAACAGAATTCAGTATTAGGTCAGCAAATCCATAAAATCACCAGAAATGTGATCTAAACCATTCACTGATGCTAATGTCAAAGCCATACTGATCTATCTACCAAACACAGTACTGTTTCACGAGTATATTTAATAGATTTGTCGTGGCAAACGAATAATCATCATCATAATCATATAATGAGCTAGCTAAGTGATCAAATATCTGATTCTTGGTGTTGAAGATGAGAAACTGACCTCGGCTTGTGCTGACTGAGATTGCGTTTTGACTTTAGCATTTGCATTGGCGAATCGCCATTGCAAGTAGCGGTTATGGAGCAGTTTCAGAGAATGTGCATTCTCTTGCTGCACAGAAACTTTCTTCTGCTTTTTTGTATCGGCTTGAATCTTCGAATTAGGTGCCACCGGAGGCAGTGATACACCAACACCATTTTTAAGCGACAATGAAGCTCTTACATCTCGAAACGACGACGGATCGTCGCAAGAAGAACTCAGGGATCGACGAAGAGGTGAGGCGGTGGGATTGTTGAAGAGCTTTGCGTGGTTCCTCATTGAAACAGTTGTTGGCAACAGATCTGAGCCGTTGGATTTCTCTCTGTCGTTGTAATCTTCACCGTCTGTGGAGACTGATAATCGGAGAAGCCTAGCCGCCGCGGAGGAGGTAAGCAAACGCTGTTGGTTCAGCCGCGATCTGGACGGCGGAGGCAACAACGGCGCCGGAGTATCGAGACGGTGACCGTTCTCTTTCAACGGCCTCGATCGATTCTGCTGCTGGTTTTTTCCTCCGTCTTGTTGAAGAGGAAATGGCGAGTCTAGGCTACGCGCCGTCTCGGAAGGGCGATTCTCGTCGCCGTCGGGTAATTTTAACTGCCGTCTCGAATTCTGAGCAGAAATCGACCGATGATTCTGGTGTTGATGTTGCCTGGGAGAATTTGAAGTCAAGAGGTGGAGATCTCCGGCGGAGGAGGAGGAAGAGGAAGACGACGAAGATGAAGAAACGGGAGACATGAATCTCGAACTGACTTCTCTCACCCTCGGACGTCTCGTTGAAGGCGGAGGAACCGGAGCCGGCGCGGTTATTGCCGGTGTCGATGGGTGCTCTGGCATAGATCGGCCGGTTCTCGCCTCCATTGCAATCGAATCGTATTTCTTCAAAATTTCTCCTACAAAATATCACCGGAGACTCCAGGAGCGATCTGAAACCGGAAATTCGTCCGATGAGAAGTTAATTGCAAAGTTTTCGAAACCCTAGAACAGGAAGAGAAAGGGGGAGAAGAATAAGGGAAGAGACAATAAGGAAACTAGCCGTTGAGTGAAGCGTAACGGTTCTCTTGTCCGTGAAATGATAGGTTTTTTTTAATGTTTCTTGTTTTGTCAAATGGAAGTTGTTTTGGGGGCAATTTGCAATTTCTTAATCTTTCTTTATAGAAGGGGAACAAAAGTTGAATAAGAAAAGTAAAAGAGCAAAGAGTAGACTTTTCTATACATATAAAAGAGATGACTTCTTCTTCATCGTCTGTATAATCTCTGCCATTCTCATTGAGCTTGTACGATTTGTCTAATAGTCGCCTTGTTAGATTCAAGTTTAGACGCAGATATAAAACTCAGAGGTGGCAGCTCAATGGAGGAGAGTACTGGAGCCGAGTCCTCTAATGGAAATGAGGCTCGATTAGCTTCTGACCAAACCACTAATCTTGACCTTGCTGAGGTGAATGAAGATGAAAAAGAGGATAACCTAGAAGAAGATGGAATCAAAGGTAAATTATTTCGTGTTTCTGATTGATCTTGTGCATGGTTTAAGTGTGCATCCATGAGGGGTCAAAAATGGAGTTTGTTCTCTCTAGTGTGTTCTTGATTGTTATGATTAGATGGACATTTGGGTTTCTCTGATTTAGAAGAATAACTCTGGTTACATCATTAAAGAACCTGACTTTCTTGGGATTAGTCTATGTGAAGTCGGTTCTTGAGTGTGTTTAGTTTCTACGATTTATGGTTAATTAAGTTTTTGTTGTCTTTTACACTTTTTAGCTGAGGCTTCAACAAAGAAGAAAAAGAAGAAAAGTAAAAGCAAGTGAGAAGTTATTTTTGTTCGTCAATGTATTAATTATCAGTGTTTGCTTTTATGATCTTAACTCCAATACCTGGTGACTGTTAATAGGAAGAAGAAGAAGTATCTTCGTCAAACTGATCCACCTTCAATTCCTGTTACTGAGCTCTTCCCTTCTGGAGAATTTCCTGAAGGTGAAATCCAACAGTACAAGGAGGAGTGAGTTCTCATACTTTTTGCTTTATGTCCAAAACCTTTATAAAGGGAAATCTGCAATATCTTACAATCGACTATTTACACTAGATTCTGTGTAGCTGAGTCTATTTTTTTATAATGAAGTAATTTGTGGAGAACAACATCTGAAGAGAAGAGAGAGATGGAGAGGCTGCAAAAGCCGATATACAACTCTCTTCGCCAAGCAGCAGAAGTTCACCGTCAAGTTAGGAAGTATATGAGAAGCATAATGAAGCCTGGAATGTTGATGATTGATATCTGTGAGACCTTAGAGAACACAGTTCGTAAGTTGATATCAGAGAATGGTCTTCAAGCTGGTATCGCCTTCCCTACAGGATGTTCTCTGAATAAGTTAGTTCTACTTTGTCATTCTCTCTGTCTATTTCTTTTGTTTTTTCCCTTCTATCAGTGTGTCTCATATTTTACTTGAACCTCCAGTGTCGCTGCTCACTGGACACCAAACTCTGGAGATAAGACTGTCCTTCAGTATGATGATGTGATGAAGTTGGATTTTGGAACACATATTGATGGTATGCTACAAAGAAAAAAGAAACTTATCATCTGTTTTTTTGTATTCTCAATATAAACGACGTATAAAACCAAGAATGATATTGTTTTGGCAGGGCACATTGTTGATTCTGCTTTTACTGTTGCATTCAATCCTATGTTTGATCCTCTCTTAGCAGCCTCCCGTGAAGCAACATATACCGGTATCAAGGTGCTCATACTGTTTCTGTTGTTAATAATTTATTAGCTCATTGCACATTACTCAAAAGAAGCTACTTAGTATAGGCTTATGATTTGTGGCAAGTAATATAGCTGTTTTCTTTGTTGGTTCAGGAAGCCGGGATCGATGTCCGGCTTTGTGATGTTGGTGCTGCAATTCAGGAAGTCATGGAGTCTTATGAAGTAGAGATCAATGGAAAAGTATACCAAGGTAACTCCTGTGTTAATTACTTCAATGGCAACTCTTTTGCTAGTTTCTATTTGGACTTTTAGAAACAATGTTGTGTTTTTTTGCCGGCAAGTCAAAAGTATCAGAAACCTGAATGGCCACAGCATCGGACGCTATCAGATACATGCTGAAAAATCTGTTCCTAACGTTAGAGGAGGAGAGCAGACAAAGATGGAAGAGGGTGAATTATATGCCATAGAAACTTTTGGATCGACCGGTAAGAAATGGCACTGCACCAAGTGGATTTTGAGAAAATTTGCAGGGTTAAGTTTTAACTGGGATTGTTTCTCGTGTCATTTTTTGCAGGGAAAGGATTTGTGAGAGATGACTTAGAATGTAGCCATTACATGAAAAACTTTGAAGTGGGTCACGTTCCACTGAGGTTACCTAGAGCGAAGCAACTCCTTGCCACCATTAACAAGAACTTCTCCACTCTAGCCTTCTGCAGACGCTATTTGGACCGTCTTGGTGAAACCAAATACTTAATGGCTTTAAAGAATCTGTGTGATTCTGGCATAATTGAGGTATGCAAACTTCTAAAATGATGTGAACATATTTACTCTGTTAATGAACATTTTTTTTTATGGAAAGTTGGTTTTCTTTGGGTTAAATATGTAGTCATGCCCTCCACTGTGTGATGTGAAAGGAAGCTATATTTCTCAGTTTGAGCATACGATCTTGTTGCGGCCAACTTGCAAAGAGATTATTTCCAAAGGAGATGATTATTAAAATGGCGATTTTCTCAAAACTTAGAGAAGAAAAGCTTCTGGCAAATGTTTTGTTGTTCGTGTATACGCTACTTTCCGTTAACTTGTTTGTAAAATTTAACAAAAGATATTAGTTTCTCCATTTGAGACATGTATCGGCCATTTTCCCTTAATAATGCAAGAAAGACTATAAAGAATGAAAACAGAGCAATAAACTCCTAAAAGTTAGGACAACTAGTTGCTTAGTTACAAGTACTCAGTAAAAATAGTTTAAATAATAAAATTGTTATTGTGGCTAGGGCTGGAATTATTATCCGGTATCCGCTATCCGATCCGGTCCTATCCGATCCGTAAAAATCGGATATCCGTATAGTTCGGATCCGGATCCGGATAGTGAAATTAAGTATTCGGTTATTTCGGATACGGATCCGGATAATAGAAAATTTAGAAATCGGATATCCGTTCTCCGTTATTAAGATTTTGAAAATTTTGAAATCTTTGGATATGCATTTAATTTTTTGTTTTAATTATGTTCGAAAATTGTTTTTGGTTTAACTCTTTTACACATGATTGAAATTTATATTGCATGATAATTTTCTATTTCAGATTGTGAGAGAAGAACATGAAAATAGATAACACAACGATATGAAGATAAATTAACGTCTCAATTGTGTTATTTGAATGCTACTTGAATGCTTTTAAATTTTTGGTATTTGTAATTTTTGCTATGATGATACATTTTAATTATATATGTTATCTCATTATAATTTTAAAAATTGAAGATTTTTTTTTAAATCAACGAAACCGGATATCCGGTCGGATATCCGTAAATATTCGATCTCCGGATATCCGGAGTTTTCGGATCCGGATCCGGATAGTAAAATTGATTATCCATTAAATCCGGAGCCGGATCCGGATACCTTGAAAAGTCCGGATATCCGGCTCCGTTCCAGCGCTAATTGTGGCAAGTCCAGATTTAAAAGACTCAAAACAAAAGAGGAAAGTTTACAGCCTTTTTGTTTTCTTTTTATAGCACAGGTGTGCCCAGGTGCTAAAACAAGCAAAATAAGAGTCTTTTCGCGTGTCTACAAAGTCATAACAATGTTAAATATTTAACATTTGATGTGTAAGCTATTACACGGAGGTCTTTTACGATTAACCTATGTATAACAAAATATTGACAGAGGGTCCTTTGTGGGGGTGGGGCTCTCTTGAAAGTTCTTTTCAGAGATAGTGCACTAGAGAGAGGAAAGAGACAGAGAGTAAAACAGTCAAGGAGAAGAGAAGAAAGAGTGGTCTTCATGAGATGGGTAGAAACAGAGCATTTGGTAAGATTCAAGAAGACAGGAAGAAGACGAGCTTCTTCAAAATTCTTGCTGATGAAGATCTATCATCCGAAGCCATGGTACTCATGTTCTTAACATTACCTTCTCCTTTCAAGAATTTGTTTCCTTGCCTGAAATGTTGAAAGGTGGAATCTTTGGTCTTCAATGTTTGATGTGTCTAACCTTCCCTTCTCCATTATTTGTGTGAGTTTTTTTTTTAACCTTTTTCAGCTATCATTCTTCTTGAGTACATTATTCTTTGCCGACTTTGTCTTTGCTAATTGCTAGGACCAAATAGATTACGGTGAAAATTTGAAACTTTAAAACCTTTACTTCTTTTGCTTCTAAAAAGAACAATGTGTCTTCTCTGTTTTGACTTACTGGTTTATACAATAATAAAAGCTTTAGCTTTAAATGGCCCATGTCTCTCCTATGTTTGTGTTTGCAAAGAGGTTCAATCCACAAAAGTTCTGGAGAGGAAGTGTATGCAAGAACATCCCACATAAGGTGATCTTGAAGGTGGTTTGGGGAAGATCTTGGAAAGTTAAACTCTCAAAATTCATGGGATCCTACCTTATGGAGAAAAATGGATGGGAGAAGTTTCTATACGACAATAAATTAGGAGACAGAGAGTTTCTGACATTCACAAACGAAGGAAACAATTGTTTAACCGTTAACATCTTCGAAAAGAATTGTAAAGAGATTCTCCAGCCACAAAGAACTACAACTACAGTCATTGCTTCTTCTTCCTCCAGTAAGTAGTTCTCGTGTAATTTTATAATAAATTTTGGTTTTGCGGATTGATGGATTATTTTTCTTGTGAAACAAAGAAGATGTTAAGAAAGAAGAGATGAGCTGCGTAATAGCTGAATCTACTGGAAGAGGAGCAAAGAGAAAGAATAAGAGAGCTGAGGAAGAGGAGGAGAGGAAGAAATCTAAGAAGATGAAGAAGAAAGCTGGTAATAATGTCTATGGAGCTTCTTCATCTTCCTCGGCTGCAACATTCAGTCTCACCATCAAGCAATCACATCTCCTAGTATTGGTAAGATTAACCAATACACAAATACCCATTTGTGGTTTTCGAATAATGATATTATGTGATTTGTAATAAAACTTGTGGTTTTTTTTTGTTCATTTGATCAGATAATACCGAATGATTTTGCAAAGATGCATATGCCGAAGAAGACAGCTAAGCTTATCATACATGACCCCAAGGGAAAGTCATGGAAGGTGGTCTACTTTTGCAGTAATAAGACGAAAATATTTTCTAGCGGATGGCGGATTCTAGCGAGGGATTACGGTTTAGCGGTTGGAGATGTCTGCACTTTCAGACTCATTAAACCCAAAGAGATGGTTCTTCAAGTTTCACATGCGTCTCCATGAAGTGGTGTTTAATTTTACGATGCAATATAACTACTTGATCTTCTTGAGTTTTTATTAGAACAACAATATATCAGCTCAGAAGTCGAAACCATGGGTGTTCTTTTTTGTGTCTCATAGTACCAAGTGGATGAGTTTCCCAAGATTTGTTTTGTTTAGGAGCTTTAAGGTAGTGAAACTGATGCTTTTATATCAATAACAATTATTGGCAAATCAATAATGATTATGGTACTAACAAGATGTGAAAACCAAATATCAGAGAAATTACCAAATCAAATGAAAGCAGCACGTAGGAAACCGATATAATTGTTTCTTGATTTTCTCAAAGATCAGCAAAGACCGCAAATATGTTACCATTGATGTAGTCGTTCTCCACCAAGCTTACCAAATAGTAGCTGTTCTTCACCTCCTCGAGCAAGTTTCTAGAAGCGTCGGCTTCTGGGTACAAGTTAGCCCAGCTTCTTGACCAAGTCTCAAATGCCTCATCCTTCCAGACTTTGAAGCTAGCGGGATCGACAATGGTTGGTTGAATGATTTCCTTAGCCGGGAAAACTCCCCAAGTAACAGCATTCACATCGGATTGGGCGGTGTTTGATACCCAGTTTTCTCCTTTGTTCACAGCCATGTAAGTAATAGATGGCAAAGTTTTGCATTTCTCCACCACTGCATCTAATTTCTCCTTTGAGCAGAAGAACTCTAGATAAGCCTTTTGGTATACATATCCAGCAGGACCTCCCCATCCTGCAAATCACACACAAGCAAATGTATCGATGAATCTTGGATCAGAACTCTGAAACACTATTTGCTATGAGAACAGGGATTTCAACGGGACTGATTCCTCACCAACAGTTGGGGAATCAGATCTCTCGGCGTTGACTGATGGTTGGCTATTGATGGTCAAGAAGCCTTTGGAGTTGATTTTTACCAGTTGCTCGTTTATGATCTTTGTCTCTGGCTGGAGTCCGTCTAATTCAGACCATGGACTGCTTTTTAAGTTTCCAAGGCAGAGCTCCTTGAATTTCTGATTTGTGACAGTTTATACAAGATTATTGTAAATGTCTGCTTTTTTCAGGTGAAAACGAGGGAATAGTTATTTATGTGTTGTGGTGAAAGAAATGTTCTACCTCTTGAATATCTTCAACGCTTTTCAGTGGGACAACCCATTCTTGTTGAAGCTTCTTGTCACGTGCACGTGGACGTGAGAACTGTCAACGAAAGAATTTAGTTCAGCAGTATTCAGAGGGTAATGAGAAGCTCACAAAAGAAGATGTTACGTTTAAGAATCCGAAGCAAATCATTAAGACCAATCGATAAACCCCCCCTTCGAAACCCGTATGCTACGAAATCCTGAAAGAGAGTTGCGCATGTACCTGATGATCAGAGAGTGCACCATATGAAGCACTGCGTGAATCACCCCACCGGCCTTGTGGGAAGTCTTCCCAGCCCTTGGTTCTAGAAATGTAGCTCTTTGGACGGTTTGCCCTTCGAAAGGTTAGAAGAAAGCAAAAGTCTTTTATTCACCGTGGATTAAGATCTGTGGCTAGGGATAATCAAAGCAAGAGAAACTAAGAGCGGTTACCAGAAAATGGGACGCACATCTTCCTTAGTACGGAAAACATTTGCAGGGCGTCTCCATGGTAAAGAGCGAGAAATTCTGGACTCATCAATCATACCAAGGTTCTGCAACACAACCACGAGAGTTAGGATACTCCAGTGTCTATATGATGCTTTAACTAGTACAAGAGGTAGTACAAAATAAGGACCAACCATCAATATCGCAAGAGCTGATTTCTCCATGTTCAGTGTGTAGAGATGAAGAGACTTGATTCCATGAGCCAGAATCTTTTTACACATCTCAGTTCCAAGGTGAACACCATAGGCTTTCACAGCTTCTTCATTATCCTTGATAGGCTCCAAGGCAGCCATGACATCAGATGGTATCTATAATATAGAGCGGAACATTAATATGTCAAGTGTCACCATCATACTAAAGCATACGATAATTCTTCGTTTTTCATACAAAAAAGCACCATAGCTCAAGCAATTCCCTTTGAATAGTTACCCAACAAACAGTACACCTAAAAACAATAATACAATCAATAATCTCACTCTCACTTTTAACCTAGCTGATCAACTAAGAAACTTTAGAAACATTTTTTCAAACCCACAAATCTTAAGCTGGCAAACAAACACTTGTACAGAGAGCCAACATCAATATCATCAGCTTTGAGGCTATTCATTTGCAGGGACTGATGTTCTACTAAAAGATCAAGATTTACCTTGGTCTTGCAGAAACCAGTCATACGCAAGAACCCCTTGTAGTTATTAATGGGCATAATTCCAGGAACAATGGGGCATTTGATCCCAATTTGCCGACAATCGTTCACAAATTTGAGGAATATATCAGTGTCATAGAAAAGCTGAGTAACAATCAGATCTGCTCCAGCATCAACCTGTTCCAAGACGATCCAAATTCAAAACCTTTACCAAAAGGATAAAACAACAATTGATATTAAAAAAAAAGAAACAATACCTTTTTCTTCAGGTACTCAAGATCACTCTGATAAGCTGCATTCGTCGCGAGGCCATTTTCGCCAATGACATCAGGATGAGCCTCTTAAGTTTCAAAAACAGAAAATCCAATTTTAGCTAGAATCAAAATCTTAACGAGGAAGAGGCAAGAAAGAGAAAGAGAAAGAGAGAGGATACCAGGATAACCAGCAACGGTGATTCCAAAGTAATCACCATACTTGCTCCGAATGTGATTGACGAGATCCAAAGCGCAAGCGAACCCACCTTCGACCTGAACGAATTTATCCTGGCCATGAGGAGGATCTCCTCTAAGCGCAAGCACGTTCTGAATCCCATTGGATCTAATGGTCTGAAGCGCGTGATCGATCTTCTCGACGGGCATGTTAGTGCAGGTGAGATGCATCATGCTCTCGACGCAAACAACGTTCTGCATCCTCGAAGCGATGTCGAGGGTGAGATCGGCCGTAGATCCACCAGCTCCCCAAGTGATATCGCAGAAAGTCGGACCATAAGCGACCATTCGATCCATTCGCTCGAAGAGATTGTCGACTCCATCCTCCGTCTTTGGTGGGAAGAACTCGAAGGAAAACGCCGTTTTGCCTTCATCAGCTAGCGACTGGATCTTATCAATCACCTTCATCTTCTCCGAATTTGGAGCTCTGATCGAGTGTGTATGAGAGAAAAGGCAAGTTGTTACAGCTTCTTCTACTCACTGCTTTATAACACACTCACACACAGAGATATCTTCCCAACAAGAAGTTAGGTGGCCCGGTTCACTTACTTCCTTTAACCATTTTCATTTTGGTACAATTATATTATACCGGCCCTTCTGTATTAGTAATGTAAAATCACTTGTTTAATCCATGTTTCTGTTTTTGTGGAAAACTATAAATTAGAAAATTAACAAACGAAAAAATTAGTCGAGTTGATACTTATCGATTCTACTAATACCATAGTTTAGATAAATATTATTGATTAAAGGTACATAATTATTCAAAAATAATTTACCAAACCACTAAGTAGAGACTTGTCGCTGTCTTTCCCCAACCCCGCAACTTTTGGAGTAGGTGAGCCAGAATCACTGACCCACTTCAGCCACCTACCAACTTAAAATCGCAAAATCTATCACTGACCAAGAGCGTGTAAGTTTCACTCGCGGAAAAATAAAAACTGGTGCGATCCTCTTAATTAAATTCTGTCGGTGACACTGACACAGATGCATATACAAAGCATTTTTTTCAGCATGTGCTTGTAACAGAAAAAAACCGCTACTTCCATGCAAGATTCTAATAGCTAAACGATATAAAAACTTGTAATACTATAACAACAGTTCATGGTACACTTTTACATCACAAAGTTGTTGCAAGACATCATCGTCTTAAGATGCTCATCAAAAGAAAAGAGTATTCCTCTACATAAAAGGGAAAATATAACTTCGTCTTTAGAAATGGTTTTCAATACATTTTCTTGGAGATAAGTGTTTCGGATTTCTTAACCTTTATTTTTCCAAAGAAATCTGCAGAAAACCAGAAACATAGCAGCATGGGTTATTTAATACTCTGTGCTTCTCTACGAGTTTCATTAATAGAATTTAAAAACCAGATAAAGAGTTTATTAGATGATCACCTGAATGCAATGTTAGACACTTACAATCTCCCAATCTTCTCTCAACATGTCGATAAACTCGGTAACACCATCCTCGAACATCACCTGGATCAAGTTTAAAGATATTAACAGAGGTCTTTAGTTGATAGGGAATTTCCCAAATTTAAATGGGAACAAGAATTGGCTTTAATTGTAATACCGAGTGCTTTCTTGAAAACTCATCAAAATGTCTAATGAGCCCGAAACACCTGAAAATCTCAAATAACAACGTTAGAGAAAAGTGTATGCATAACATGAGTCATGAAAAACTAATCCGTGAGTCCCAAACTAAATACCTGTCACTCGTGGGGCGAGATAACCTGATCACCATACCAATGCAATTACGAGGACATATTTGCACTTGACTAAGCTTATTCCATGATTTTCCTGGAGAAACGTGGGAAATCCAAATTGCTTTTCTTACACCAAAACACACTGATCTTCTCTGGCAAATAGAGCAGGAAATATCCATACTTACCTTCATGTATACTTCCATTTTCATGTACCTAACCAAAGTGTGGTAAAAAATAAGTCTCTATAACTCATAAACAAGATCTCAGTGAATCTGAAGACAAGATCAATACTTTAATATTTTTTCAGATCAAAAATACCTTAGGCAGAGTCTGGGCCACTTCACATTCCACTAGATTTAGTGCTTCATCCGAGGCTAACTTAGGTTTGCTAGGTTTGACACCAAGCTTCCTTCTGCAACCTGTGGCCCCACAATGGCAGTCTTGATCTGCACCAAACTGAACAAACCTGCTCTACTTCTTAGTGTCATAACTCAACAGATTATAGACTTGGAAAACTATGAAACTCTTACTTTACTAGACCACGCAAATGATAACCAGAGAAAGCATAAACTATGAAACATGGGGCTGAACTTAAACTCAGATATGAGGATGGGAGGAAATTATCTTACTGGTAGTCATAAGTCAAATGCTCTCCCTTTTTTATGTCGGAGGTGGCAAAAATACCGATTCTTGTCTCGCCGTCAATTATCCTAATAGCATGCAAAAGATAACTGATTAATGACTTTGCTCTCAACTAAACTTATACTGTACATAGAAAAACAAGCAATAAATGTGATAGAATACCATTTCTGCATCTGCGTATTAGGGTTGCAACTATGATTAATATATCTCGATTTATTTCCCTTGTGAGTAGCGTCAATCACCATATCTCTGTTTATCTCGCACAAATAGAAATTCGTCTCGCCACGGTGTTTCATCTTCCAAAGCCTTTCTTCACAAGTCTTATCATCTATAACTATATATTGAGCAAAGAATTGAAAGGTAAAACACACACACACACAATCTTAACAATGATCGCTATATATTTAGCAGCGAGGAAAAACATCAAAGAGTCATCAAATCACCTTCTCCAACATATTCAATGATAAACTCTCCTTGTTTGATTTCTTCTTCTGCTACAATCCCTGATCCGCACTTTTCTGTCTACAAGAAACAAATAATATAACAAACCAACACCACCAAAATAAACAAAAAAAAGACGCTAAATCCGGGAAAACTATGCATGCATTACCTGAGTTAACTTCATTTTCTTGACATGCCGTTGCTGGAACGGCTTATTGTTACACTCACTCCCACACTTGCAACTTGAGGAACAGCTTGAGAATAGCATCCTACACAAACATAGATAATTTTTTTCGAGTTGAATGAACTTAATCAAGCAGGTAAATGAGTTCCTATCAAGAAATTAAATTATGAAAATGAGGCATACCCACAATGGCAATTACTCCCACAGACAGTTGAAGAAGAAGAACCAGGGGACAAGGAACAAGAACAGAATATTCCATCATCCTCAACCCTCCTTTTGAATTTCTTCGTCAAGTATATATCTTAACTAGCTAAGGCGAAAACGAATCATATGAATTGAAATCTGAAAGAATTTTTTTTTTTTTTGACATCATCTGAAAGAATTAAAAAAGGAAAAAAATAAAAATTGGATATTTTGAAATTGTAAAAAAAAAAAAAGGATACTGCGCCTGATGAAGATGTAAGGAGTAGGTTTCCCTTTGTTTAACCAATCCGGCAACTCAAACTCCTCTGCTTCTCCAATCTGATTCAACAACTTGTTGAACACTTGTCCTATGTGGTTCCGGTCGGAAATCTGAAAAAAAGCATCTGGGAATCTCAGACAATATGAACCCAGAAGTTAAATTAGAGGAAGATGAGATTCATTTCGAGCGAACCTTCTTCGCGGAGGGCATGGCCAAAGACTCGATTTGATAAGTAAAGATTTGAACTTCTATCTAGAATGAAGCAAGATTTGAACTTCTATCTATCGAGGAAAAAACAAGTTCACTAAATCGAGCAAAGGAGAAAATCTTCAATGGCTGCGTCTTCCTGTTGTTGGAAAATTCGAAGTTTCGAAATTCTAGTAACGTTAATTTGTGGTTGTCGTTGAACACGAAGAAGAAGTAACAATGGCGGATCTGAGAGAGTAAGAAGACAAAAAAAACGGAAGAAAGAGCGGCAGTTCTTTTTTTTTAACTTTTTGCTTTGAGAATTGCGCCTCAAAAATGGTTTGCTCGCTGTTAAAAAAAAGAACCCGCTCACTCGGATTATGATGGGCTTTTGTACGCAATCCAAATATTTGAACAAGCCCAACCCAAATAACAAGATAACTCGTAGTCGTGTAATCACATTTATGTGCTGCTAATCCCTTAATTATTTTGTAATATTGGATAAAAAATAAAATGGTAATGTGTGACATATGCAGCAAAAAGTCTATTAGAATTTTTTTTTCCTCCATGATATTAAAATGTTTACGGAAACAAATAAAAATCGGAGTCTCTCTTTATCTTTTACTCCACTTTTCTCGTAAAGTAATAATTGTATATTAATAAACGTAATAATCATAAGTTCATAACACTGATTATGTGAAAATTAAGAAATAAAAAAATATAGGTGTCATTAAATGGAAGCGAGAGCTATCAACATCGAAGACTTGAAGAAAGTAGAGATTCTCCATTGAGATTGTGTCCCAAAACCTCCAAAGAGACACACGTTCTTCTTAGTTGTCCCTTTGTTGTTAGGTATCTTCGACGGGACGTAGAAGCGACGAAGCTACAACACGAAATCGATCTTCTTTCTTCTTCTTCTTCTTCTTCTCTCTGACTCTGCGTTATCCTCGTCGGCGATTGTTTAATCGATCCCTCAGGTGATCCTTCTGCTTCTTGGTAGACTTGTGATCATTCCTTGGCTAGATTAGATGATGAAATTGTGTACGATTGGTTTTTGTTTAAACGAGCTTGATATCTGGTATGTATACGATGAAATGGTTGTCAAATTTGAGTTGACTGATTGTGTTGATTATCTGATCACTTTCAATTACTGTAGATCCGTGAGTTGAAACTTCTTCAAAGTCTGCTTATAGACTCTGTCTTCTGTGAAATTCCTGAGAATTTATTCAATTACGAGAATATGCATGTGGAATCCAAATGCTAACTTATGCTTTCTATGTCTCTGTTATACCCTGAAGCCCCTCTTAATATGCATGTTGAATCGAAATGTCCTGATTGTGCCACGGAGAGATTTTCTTGTATGACGTTTGGAGAGGATAAGAAGCTACGAGTGGAATTTCCTGGTTTATCAGAGTTTTTATGGATTTGTAATTATTGATCATTGAAGCATATACACGAGGATTGTCCTGTCACATGCTGGTTTACATGATGTTTTTATTTGAGAATTGTTTGATTCAACTTCTTTGAACCTTGAAGTCACAAAGGCCAAATCTTATGTAGTGTTTGAGGTTGATTGTAGAAGTTTTTAGTTTATCTTGGCTTCCTCTTACTTACAAGTATGTTCGATGTTAATTCGGTGTCTTTGATGCTTATTATTGCAGATAAGGTTCTCAGGGTTTATGTTGCTTCTATGAGACGGACACGTTGCAATTGGTGCTTCATGTCTAGGTAATGAAGGTTTTATGTGATAGATTTGTTCCTCAACAATGTTCTTCATCAAGCATGAGTGAAAAGCATGATAAATCCCCAACATCTCTAGTTTCAGATTCAGGACCTAGGGATAATAAGTCCAAGTTTACTTTGTGGTCAAACGTGTTTGCGCCTTCTTCCTCAGTTTCTCAACCGTTTAGGGAGTCTTCAACTTCCGGGCACAAGCAAGTTTGGGCTACTTGTAATGGTTGGACAGCATTTGTAAAGAAAGCCTTTATGACGAGTGGTGCAATCAGGAGATTCCAGGAGCGTGTTTTAGGGCCAAACAGGACTGGTCTTCCGAGCACCACAAGTGACGTATGGCTCTTGGGTGTCTGTTATAAAATATCTGAGGATGAAGCCTCAGGGGAAACAGATGATGGTAGTGTATTGGCTGCATTTAAACAAGATTATTCATCCAGAATACTGATTACATATCGTAAAGGTTTGTATATTCAGCTACAAATTCAAGTCCAACATAAAGTTTTCGCATAACATTCACCATTTTATTTTACAGGTTTCGAACCTATTAAGGACACAACTTATACCAGCGATGTAAACTGGGGTTGCATGCTTCGGAGCAGCCAGATGCTTTTTGCTCAGGTGTGAGGAATAAAATTTCCTTTGGCGTGAGATTTTGAAGTTTGGACCATTTTTTAAACAAGTCAAATAATTGCAGGCATTGCTTTTCCATAGGCTGGGGAGGTCTTGGAGAACCAAGAAATCTGAGGTTAGCTCAATGTAGCATCCAGCCTTTGTCATAATTACTGAATATGCAACTCTAGAGTCTTGGAACAGATACCTGATTTGATCAGATAGATTCCAGTCCATTACTTAGCGAGCGAGTGGGAACCTCATGCTTGTTTGATTTAAAAATTGCAGCCGCCTGAACAGGAATACTTAGAGACCTTGGAACTTTTTGGTGATTCCGAGGCTTCAGCTTTCTCCATCCATAATCTTATACTAGTTGGAGAGTCCTATGGTCTTGCTGCTGGGTCATGGATAGGACCATATGCGATATGTCGATCGTGGGAATCATTAGCTTGCAAGAAGAGAAAACAAACTGATTCTAAACACAAGATGCTTCCTATGGCTGTTCATATCGTTTCGGGTAGCGAAGATGGAGAGAGAGGCGGGGCTCCAATTCTCTGTATAGAAGATGCCAGAAAATCTTGTCTAGAATTCTCAAATGGACAGGCTGAGTGGACTCCGATTCTTCTTTTGGTCCCACTGGTTCTTGGGCTTGACAGAGTGAATCCCAGGTTTGCGATTGTGAAGTCGATTGCGTTCTTTTTAGTTTGTGCTTGAATTTGAATATGGCCTGTTATAAAACATTGCATAAACTCTGTTTCCAGGTACATTCCATCTCTCATAGCCACATTCACTTTCCCTCAGAGTCTGGGGATTTTGGGTGGCAAACCAGGTGCCTCAACTTACATAGTTGGCGTTCAAGAAGACAAAGGTTTCTACCTTGATCCGCACGAAGTCCAACAGGTTTCATTCCGTACCTTGAAATTTTATAGAGTCTGGACATAATCAGAATTTTGGTCTGGCTTTAAGGTGGTCCATAGTACCTAAATCGGATCAGTTGCCCATAAGTTTTTTTTTTTTTTTGGTTAGGAAGATCTGATATTAATCATTAACGTGATGGCATTTTACATTTTGGCTTCACTGATTGAGGCTTATCATTTGATTGATTGGTTAGGTAATCACAGTCAACAAGGAAACTACAGATGTGGACACATCCTCCTATCACTGCAAGTGAGTTTCAATCTATGTCATCTATCAAACTATCAATTTATATATATCCTGTTTCTTAATTTTATCTTAATCTGCATCAGTGTCCTTCGTTACGTTCCTTTGGAATCACTCGACCCATCTCTAGCTCTCGGATTCTATTGCCGCGACAAAGGTATTGAATTTTGGATTCCCAAAGTTCAAAGCCAGTAGTATGTATCCTAACTTTACTAAAACGGTCCCTAATCTTTGAACAGGTGATTTCGATGATTTCTGTCAACGAGCATCGAAACTAGCGGAGGAATCAAACGGTGCTCCATTGTTCACCGTCACTCAAACCCACAGCGCGATAAGCCACAGCAATTGCGGGTTTGTGGAGGATACAACAGAGGACGAACGTGAAGAAGATGAATGGCAATTGCTCTGATCATCAAACCATTATACAATTCTCATTTCTTCTTTTGTAGCTAATGATACAGAGTTCTCTTCTTCCGCCTACCATTTCCATCACAATACAATGTTGTACTATAAAAACCACACATCTTTTGGATTTTCAAACATAGATTGAAGATTGTGAAAAGGGAAGAGTGGAGAAACCATAAGGTATTTGGATATGACCACTCCATTTTCCGATTTTCTTCTCTGTCTTCATCTTCATCATCACTCCTTCACCTTCAGATTCTCTTTTTCCACCAACCATTACCACTACTTCACCTCCTAAGCTTCCGGCGAAAACCGAGCTTCCCGTCACCGGAAGCTGAATAGTTTCAACATCTAGTTTACATTTCCTCGAATCGTCTTTAGTTTCAGATGGAAGCTGGTCCGTGAAACACCATAACCTCGAGGAGCCTCTCATGTCTCCGGCGATGCGTCCTCTAGGGCTTGTATCTTGAAATGGCCAAATGTTTTCGATTTTGGCCCAGGAATTTGTAGCCAGATCGTAACTCTCTGCATCGGATCGGAATCGACCTTGAGATTCCGTCGCATAACCGCTAATTACGCAGAATCCTAGATCCGTCTCCATGAAGAATCCTTGACATTCGTCCCTTTCTTCCGTCATCGGAGCAATCGTCGACCACTCGTCCTTCTCCACGTCGTACACCTCCGCCGAGCGTAAAGCGTTCTTCTGGTCGTCGTGCCCTCCGGCGACATACACCTTCGTCGAGCCGACGGAAGCGCAGGCGAAAAACGACCGCGATTCCGTCATCGGTGATCCTCGTCTCCACCTCCGTCCGCTTCCTTCTCCGGCGAATTCCAGAACGTAAACGTCCTTCACTGGCTGTAACGTCTCCGGATCCCACCCGCCGATGAGCAGAATCTTCCCAGCGTCCTGAAGCGCGACGCACTCGCAGAAAAGCGGGATCTGCTGCTCGGGAAACGCAACGCGATTCCACGTGGACATCGCGGCGTTGTAAACGCTTAATCCAAACCGTGGCGTGCCGAAAACGCGCGGCGACTCATCCTCCAATTTCTTCTCACCCTTTTCGTCCATCACCAATGTCTCCCCAACCGTTTTAGACGCTGGATTTGGCGGCGACAGCGGTTGAACGAGACAGAGAAGAAGCTCTGCTTTGCCACATCTCCGCCGCTCTATGATGAAGGAAGAGTCGGAGATTAAACTACGCCAAGAACGGCAAACGGATTTCATGGCGGATTGAAATTGGTACGGAACTCTGACTAGACACTCGATAGCTAATTCCGAGGGTAAACCGGGAATCAAATCGTGACAGTTTTGGAAATCTTTTGAAATGTCGCCAGCTCTCTTTTTCGACATTTCCATAATCGTAGAACTAGTTGGGGAAGAAACAAAGAAGCTTCTTAAAAGAGGGTAATGAGTTTGATTGAGCTAAGTCTAAGTGAGTATGTGTGGAGAAGAAAGACAATAACTCAAGTAAAGGGGACTCGTTGTTACTTTGAGTAAGTTTGAAGCTACTTGAGGTGGCAGAGCCTTTATATAGGGAAGGAGGAGGAAGATGAATAGTTGTGATTAAAATGACGCGACGGTTCGTTGAGAGATTTTTTTTTTATTTCTTTTTTTGTTAAAATAGTTTACTAATTTAACAGCTTTCTACTTTGATAATTTTAGATTAAAAATTCGATATTGCCGTATGTTGCAAAACGCAAACGCAGCTCACGCTATGGCTTTGGTATGTACAAATGCTTAAATGAATCACGTTATCGTATAAAAGGATGAAAATGAGTGGAAAATTTAACTAATAAACTTTGGAATTCGGTTACAGACCAAAAAAAAAAAAACTGTGGGATAGCAAGCAAAGATTAGAGCATGTAAATCAGTGAACCATTAAGGGAGGGGTTCACCAGAATATAATAATACTTTTTTTTAATTTTTTTTTAATTCAAAAATTATAATTTTCGACCTCTAGTTGACTGGTTCAGTTCATGAAGACGGTGTACCTTTTTTAAAAACAAATTTCCATTAAACCAGCAAGCTTAAGACGGTTAACATTTGAGTTAAACTGTTAAAGTAACTAGACTACTCCATAAGAAAAAGGAACATTAACAACAAACTTCAGGGATATCCCATGTACTAATTATCAAAAATTTATGCTTTATTTTCCCAGTTTGAGGATATCATATATTTGAATTCGCATCTATTAACATCAAAAATAGTTTATGTTGTAACTTGTACGAGACAATAGTTGAAGTTAGGTAACTTTTTGGGTTAAGTGAAGTTAGGTAAGTTTAATGTCTAATTGTTTAATTCATCAACTGATACTGTGACCGCACCATTTGTTCTACACTTAGACGACACTACACTAGAAAAGTAGTTTTTTTTCTGGGTCAATAACTTTTTAATTAGTTTATCAAATAGATTACTATCCCCTTTCAATGTCACCAAAAAATCCAGCTCTGTTGACGCAGAATTCTTGAAAAAGAATAGTCCGAAAACGGAGTCTATAACCTCTCTTATAAAGTTCATGAAGACCTGTGAACTTTTTACCATCACTTTTCTTTTTCCATTTTTTAAACAAATTGAAGAAAACCAGTAAGCTTCTAGAAGCTTTACAAAGACAGATGATAGTTTGATACTTGCAATGAGGAGTGAGTCGTACTCACTGACGCAACCGTCAACCGATATATAAACATATATATAGTGAGATGTTAATTTATTATAATATCTTATATACATTTTTAATTTCATGTCGCATTGTGCACGCACTATCAAACAAATTCTTCCACGAATAGTCCATATATAGATTATTTTCTTTAGCTATTATGCTTAATTGTTAAAGTTTCAAGATATCATCATGTGTTTGTATACGTTTTACCAATATAGAATGTTGTGAGGGAAGTTATATTTGAAAAAAATCATCAATATACTGAATGAACATAAAAATATTGGATGAACATTGAATGATTTAAATAATAATAATAACCTTTGTTACCAAAAAAACATTTAATAATATTGATGAGAGGGTTTCTAACTTTCTACTTTTTAATCTTCTAGAAGGCCTCGTGGATACATTGGCCTTATCTCCGGTCGTTCTCCGGCAAATAATAAGGTGACACATGGATTATACAGTGCACCGACGTAAAGGTACGTTTCGCGGACTTACAGCCTCGCACAAGTCATCTCGTCTAGACCAGATATTGATGTTTTTTTGTTATTTGATTGGTTTATCTATGAAAATTACTCATACTATTTATGTTACATTAATTTCATGTCAGATTAATGTAAAATTAATCTCGAGGTGTACCGTGTACGTCTAAGAAATGAGGAATTATAACTCAATTCTTACTGATCGTCTGATATAGTCACTACTAGCAAAACATAGTTGTGTATACGTAAATAATAAAATTCATCTTGTACAAGACAAAAATATTGTATCTACCAAGTTTATACTGTCAACTGACAAGGACGAAGTATTTTGTAAGCATGCATGCGAATCCATTAGTTATATATTTTACATCCTTTCGTTTTACATGAATAGTTTTGTTGAAAAGTTCTCACGATCAGTGTCATTCATGAGTAACTTTCGTCCCATTATTATATATTAATGCAATCCAAGAAAAATACAACTGACAGTTTTGGCAATTTCACGAAAGTCTTTTTCCCTTTTTTTTTATAAGTTCAGAATAATCAAAAGCCGGTGGCGGTGTCGGTACGTAGTTGAACTGTTATAGTAGCATGATCAGACACCAAAGAAGTTAAATTTTAAAGTTACGAATTCGAGTATCAACAGCGGAATAACACTATTTTTAAACAGGTTTAATTAGCTTATGTTTCGAAGAAGTTATAAATGGACCTAACTTTTAGGTTAAAGAAAACCCTTTGAAATATTGTAATAAGGTGATCTAAAATTATGAAAACTATAATGCAAGTCTTGATTATTGGGAACTTCGACTATATATGTGGTAAAAAAAGTTAGATGGTGTTTTAGGCATCCCGGATTTTCGTTATTTTTGGGTTTAAGTTGATAAATAATTCTTTTTTAAAAAAAAAAAACAAAGATTAATATCATATTTTTGAAAAATATTGTACTTTTTACAGATGATAATTAAAGCTTGAGATAGATACAAAAATTGGTGTTATATATATGTGGTCTTTTTAGGGGAGATGTGTATAATATGCTTTTCTTAGAAGCTTCCTGAACATAGCCAAAAACGAAAGTGAAATATGGGATATTAACATAATAATGGGGTCAGACATTGAAAGGGGGCTGGTCCATCTCCCTCTACTGCAATTTCCCTTACATTGTCTTCTTCTTTTCTTTAGTCAACTGTTCTTTGTATTTTCTCTCTGTCATCTTCTGTGCTTTGAATAATATCAATGTATTATTTTCGAGTGAAAACAAAACAATCCCCGACTCGTAGTCGTAGGTAATCTCTAGTACCGTCCATTTTCTTCGAATAGTATATGATTCTGTTTCACGTACTTTTCTACTGTTGATTCATATCAATAATGAGCCTAAAATACTAACCTTGGCGACACTGTTCGTCAAGAAACAAGGGGGACAAGGAAAAGTAGCTACCTATTATTGTTCATGATCTTAACTTTTTATTTTCTTTTCTTTAAATGGATGTGTAATTAATTAAATATGTTTAACGACGACAATAGTAGTTTATAGAAAAACCTTTGAAATCACAACGATATCAAAGAGGTTGATTGATTTAAGATTGCGATGAAGTGGATTGGTATCTAATTATGCGATAGACATATATTGGTGTTTGAAAATGAAATTTTACTATAAAGTAGTAAGGGAATAATTAATTAAAAGACAAAAATAGGATAAGGGTTCTAGAAGAGCATTTGATATTATTTTTTTCCCTTTTGGGGAGTTGTCTTCTTTATGGGGAAGAAAGAAGTGGCCAAAACTGGCAAGCACTTATCGTCTAAACGTCTTTCTTGCTTTACGGTTTCTAAAGTTTTTCTCTTTCTTTTCTTCTAGAAGTCTAACTTCTCATTTTAGCGTAAAAAGTATCACATGTTCTGTAATGATATTGTTTTCAAAAATGGTCACAATTTCTACATATACCGTATTTGATCTATTGGTTTAGTAAAAAGAATGCCCATAATCAATGGCGAAACAAAAAATATTTTTTAACAGGGTCAATATTAATACATTATATATTTTTTATCAGAATCGATATTAATATTTTCTATAGACTATTAACTATATACACATAAAAATTTATTTTATAAAATTGACAAGGGTCAATTGACCCCCCTCCACAAGACCTAACTCTGCCCATAATCTATAAGTTTTGTGCGTTGTACCAAATCAAATGTCAAGAAAACACCACAACACACACCAAGAGATTAGTATTGCAAAATTGTTAGCTAATCACTCAATTCTTCATTTTGTAAAATTCAATTTCAAACTTTTCAAATGCTCAACACTTTTCGCCTCACGAAAATGTTCTTTTGATCATTCAGGCCAGCGTCTTTGTCCACCAGCCCAAATAAAATCAGATAAAATAACGCCTCCTAGTGTTGGGCCCGATTAAAAAAAAAAAAAGGAAAAGAAAATAGGGTTTCGAATTAAACCCTAAACCCATTTGACGTATTTTTGTTGTGTTTTCTTCTCCTCCGCGCCGCGCAATCTAATCTCTCTCAGATTTCCTCTTCCTCTCAAAGTAAGCTTCTTCGATCTTCCTCGTATACTTTCGTTTCGAAACGTAAGTTTTCTTATTTCCTGTGGTAGTTCCTTTTCCGAGGTTTGTATACATCTAAAAGATTTGAGATCGATAAGCCCAATTGCTCTATTGTATAAGTGCACTTAAGATTATTCTCGGAAATCAAACCTAATTATCAAATCGTGTGCGGTATAGTTGATCGAGGTTTCGTGCAAACACTACTTTCGCATTTCCATTGCAGTCATTCCATAGATGTTCCTGCTTTGCTTCTTCGTGATTAAAAATCTGTTCAATTTCCCCCTCTGATAATTGTATTGCTCAAATGTGTCTTTTTATTGTTTCGATTGCTAAGCTTGTTTGTGCTTGGTTTTTGAATTGAATATAGGAGAAATGGCCGACTCCAAGGTGGTGGTTCCAGAGTCTGTGCTGAAAAAGATCAAGAGGCAAGAGGAATGGGCATTGGCGAAGAATCAGGAAGCTGAAGCTGCTAAGAAGAAGAGTGTCGAGACACGGAAGCTTGTCTTCAAAAGAGCTGAGCAATACGCCAAAGAATACGCCGAGAAGGTAAAGAAACACACTTTTTGTCTCCTTTGCTAAGTAAGATGATTGTTCTTTTGTTGATGGCTATTTTAATGGTAAATTCGTTCATTTCATTGTTTAGGATAATGAGTTGATCCGATTGAAGCGTGAGGCTAAGCTGAAAGGAGGGTTCTATGTTGACCCTGAGGCTAAATTGCTCTTTATCATTCGTATCCGTGGGTATGTGTTTTTTCTTTCCTGTGTTAGACAAATAGTTGCAAACACTAGTTTCTGTTGTTTCCTTACATTGTTTTTTGTCTTTTGTAGTATCAACGCCATTGACCCAAAAACCAAGAAAATTCTGCAGCTCTTGCGTTTGAGACAAGTAAGTTCCTTTAGCTCGCTATTATTTTCATTGATACATATATCGGTCTTATGTTTAACCAGCACTTGTTAGATGTCGGATATCTGGAAGTTAACTTGTGCTAAACACTTGCGCAGATCTTCAATGGTGTATTCCTTAAGGTGAACAAGGCAACAATCAACATGTTGCGTCGTGTTGAGCCTTACGTGACTTACGGGTACCCAAACTTGAAGAGCGTAAAGGAACTGATCTACAAAAGAGGATATGGGAAGCTAAGCCACCAGAGGATTGCACTTACAGACAACTCGATAGTTGCTGAAGCTCTAGGCAAACACGGGATCATTTGTATGGAGGATCTGATCCATGAGATCATGACCGTTGGACCTCACTTCAAAGAAGCCAACAACTTCCTTTGGCCATTCCAATTGAAGGCACCACTCGGTGGTCTTAAGAAGAAGAGGAACCACTACGTCGAAGGTGGTGATGCCGGAAACCGTGAGAATTTCATCAACGAGCTTGTCAGGAGAATGAATTGATGAATGCTTCCTTCCTTGTTTATCTGTTTTATCCATATTCATAGATTTTGGGATCTGAGTTTTTTTTTTTTTTTTTTTTGTTTCTTTATCAACCGATCAGAGACTAGTGATCTTTGTTTGAGATAGGCTTTGATTATTCATTTGCTTTTTTTAACTTTGTGTGTTCTTCTCAGTAAAAATTGGTCTCGAAATCATTTCGGCCTTTTAATTTACTTCGTCCTTGAAAGCCCATTTTACCAATGAGAAATCTCCGGTTCAGATCTATTTATTTATCATTCCGGTCCAACGGATTCAAATCAGCCTTTAACCCAAATCAAACCAGGGATAGAATATGTTTTACCTCCAGCTCCGTTGTAATGTTTATGGAAGAAATATACTAATGTGCAATGAATGTATATTAATTTTTTAATAGTATATATGTTATATGTAGATACCCAAAAGGATTTCGTTGACTTGATGAATGAAAAGGTGATTTAACTGTATTTTATAAGTTGGTCGGTTGTGTCCAAATTATTGAATGACCGATTAATTAAGCGATCTACATAGGCCGTTTAATCTAGTAGACAATCGGTTAATCGATAGGGCGTTTAGTTAATCGATTTAGCGCATGATTCTATATATATTTATTTGATAATATATCTAACTAGACCTTATGACGAAAAATAAAATAAAATAAAACAGGCGTTAGACAGATCTCTATGAACTCTTGGCGTTTATATAACATTAGTATTTGATCCTATCGTCTGTAAGATATTAAGTTATTAAGCATGAACTGTCAAAATATGTATATTCAATCAAGAAAATTCAAACATACAGGCCACAAACATACACATTATATCCAATGTATTATATTATGTGTTTGAATACAACCTACAGAATGTGAATTCCTTTTTTTATATATATAGACACGTTCCAAGGAATAAGATGGATGATTTGAAAAATCGAAATTATTGACATGCTTTAACAATAAAAACAAATAATTTGGTCAACGCATTACAAAATATATAAACCACCAAACAATGGATCAAGAAAATGATCAAGAATCACCGGAGAGAAAATGGCGGGAGGAGGAACGACCTTAGAGTACACACCAACTTGGGTGGTGGCTCTCGTCTGCTCCGTCATCGTCTCCATCTCTTTCGCCGTCGAGCGTTTCCTCCACCGTGCCGGAAAGGTTAATTATATCTATAGAATAAAGCATGTACGTGTATATGTAGAATCTTATTACGTTGTTGACTATATGTGTATATACATAAATTTTGAGTACAGCACTTTCAGAAGAACGACCAGAAGCAGCTTTTCGGGGCATTGCAGAAGATCAAAGAAGGTGATTTCACGTTTTAGCCCAATATTTATAGAATGTCACAGATTAGTCCTCTTGTTTTGAAATTTACATTCTCAACTCAATTAAATCAATGGAAATGAAAACCCAATTCACTTCACTATCGTTTCTAACTTAATTCTTGGATAAAAACATGTGATTGTTTGGATGGAATTGGGAACAGAACTTATGCTGCTAGGGTTCATTTCGTTGCTATTATCAGTAAGCCAGTCCAAAATAGCAAAGATTTGCATATCAAAGGGCTTAAGTGAAAAGTTTCTCCCTTGTAAGAAACCAAAGGTTGATAAGTCCCTCAAAGACTCCTCCCATTTCCAGTTCAGCTTCACCGCCCGTCATCTCCTCGCCGAAGATTCCACCGCCGGAGATTATTGCTCCCAAAAGGTATATTTGGTCAAAAACCAACCAAAAATCTCGTTTTGTAATATTTTTTGTTTGTCTTGCACGTTCTGAGCATTAGTTACGATATTCTCTAAGATATGTAGTACGATTGGACTTTGAAGACGTGCATGCATACAATAGAGAAATATTCTATATTGTATGATATTACATAATTAACGAAACTAATTTCTTTTGGATTTGTTTTTTGTGATAATGTTTAAAATTCAGGGAAAGGCTCCGTTAATGTCAGTATCAGCTTTGCACGAGCTTCATATTTTCATCTTTGTATTAGCGGTTGCCCACATTATTTTCTGCCTCCTGACCATTATTTTCGGCACCATGAAGGTATTTTACTTATTTACAAATAATACTACTTTTATCTTTGAAAATAGGGATGACAACCTTACTCTAAAACAAGAGAGGGAACACCACAATATTCAATTGCCAACTTATATAAGCATAATAAGTTTGTCTAATGATCATAACATTACGTTATGGCAAATAGATAATGCAATGGAGAAAATGGGAGGATCAAGTTTTAGAAAAGGACTACGACGCAGACCAAGGTATTATACAATTTTAATAATTTTCATTTTTGTGGATTATTAGTCATTTTTACATTAATCCGTGTTATACACACACACTACACAGTGATCCAGAAGAAAAAATTCACAGCGGTTCAAGAACACGAATTCATCAGGGGACGATTTCTTGGGGTTGGAAAAGCAGATGCTTGCTTTGGATGGATGGTGAGTGTTTTTTGTTTGCTACTAAAGACAAAGTGATCTTAATTCTTTAGACATGTTTGCATGTATATGACGTACACGTTTTAAAGTTTGAGTGTCTTCTTGTTCATTGCAGCATTCGTTTATGAAACAATTTCTTGGATCAGTCAATGAATCGGATTACATCACGATGAGGCTAGGCTTCATCACGGTATATTTCTCTGGATTTTGATCTGCCAATTGAGTTTCTCTCTCAAATCACATCTAAAGACAACTTCCTCTTTTGTTCTTCTTAAACTCTATAATATAGACTCATTGCAAGACCAACCCAAAATTCAATTTCCATAAGTATTTGATGCGTGCCCTTAATTCTGATTTCAAGAAAGTTGTTGGTATCAGGTAAAAAAGTTCTTGATTCTCTTCTAGTGTATACTTATTCAAATATATTTCTCGATTCCGTTCTAATCTATTATATGAAATTGCAGTTGGTACCTTTGGGTATTTGTGGTTCTCTTCTTGCTTCTAAACATTGCTGGTGAGAAGACATCTTTTAACTTCGATCCAAACCAGTTTTATTCTCTTCTTTTGTCGGTTTATGATCATCGAATCCATCTTTCTTGCAGCATGGCATATTTACTTTTGGATAGCTTTTATTCCCTTGATTGTAAGTCCCTGAACCAATCCTCCATGTCTATGCTTCAAAACCAGTCTTCATTTACGCCGATTTTCTCCTCAGCTTTTGCTTGCCGTGGGGACAAAGTTGGAGCATATCATCACAGATTTGGCTCATGAAGTTGCAGAGAAACACATTGCTGTCGAAGGAGATCTGGTAGTGCGACCATCAGATGATTTATTCTGGTTTAAAAGTCCCCGGCTAGTTCTCTTCTTGATCCATTTCATTCTTTTCCAAAACTCATTCGAATTGGCCTTCATCTTCTTTATCTTCGTAAGTTCTCTTACCACCACTATTGGGATCTAAACCAATATCCAGAAAGGAAACAAATCTCTCAAAAAGATTCCTGCAATTGTAACAAAAAAACAGGTTGAATATGGTTTTGATTCTTGCATTATGGGACAAGTCAAATTCATAATCCCCAGACTCGTCATCGGGTAATAACCAAAGCTTAATATATGTCCTTGAAAGTTTCTTGATCTTGAAGTGTAGAACCTTTTTGACTCTGTTTATTTTTTCTTTGTCTCTTCAGGGTATTAGTTCAGCTTCTCTGCAGTTACAGTACCTTACCGCTCTATGCCCTCGTTACTCAGGTACAGATTTAGCATCTCCCATTCATTCTGTCTGATACCAACTGGACAGAGACATAAACTCAAAACCACACTTGTTTGTTATTCTTCTTGTCTTTGACTTGTGGTGAAAAGATGGGAAGTTCATACAAAGGTGCAATATTCAACGAGCAGACACAGCAACAGATTGTTGGATGGGCAAAGATGGCTAAAAAAGGAGTGAAGAAAGGCTCAAGTCATGCAGGTACCAGTCATGGTGGTAGTCCAAACCCTCTAGCTACTCCTTCACCGCGCTCTATTCAGTTGCAGTCGCTACTAGGAAAAGGCTCGTCTCAACAAAATCACCATTCTGAGTCTGAGGGAAAACCAGAGATTGTGCAGGCAGATTAATACTCAGTTATATACTTCATAAACAAAAGCTTCCCTCATCAGATTCCATTTCAGAAAGAAAAAAGAAATTACTTCTTGAGCTTTGTATGGGTATATAAAACTGAGTTTGACGGTGTTGTAAGAAATACTGTATATAAAGCAGAGATGCTTCGATTCTCTCTTACAAACACTACATGTATGTGGGAGAAAACATTTTGAGCCTATATGGCAGAGAACTTTGGAGACAATCTTGTAGCTAACATTACAAACTCCAACATAGACTTTGGTCGTTAAAAGTGTATATATAATTAACCATTGAATCAGTAAGCAAAGACCAACTACCAATGTTTGTGAAACAAAAGTATAAAACGGATGTTTTAAATTTGGATTTCTGTCTAATAGTTTAGAATCACAAAGGCCTGTAGGCGAGTGTTTTTTTTTGTTTTCTTAACATGGGCACAGCCCTACATCATTTGGTGACTAGAGAGAGAGAGAGCTTGCATTTTTCTCCATCATTCCTCTGCAGCACTAGCTGCGTTAAGATCCACACTTAGATCCAATTCCTGCAACACAAAAAGTGATCACTTCCAGCTCGCACAAGATGTCAGGGTTGATAAATTAAAAAAATCGCTATATTTGCGAGCATTACCTTTCCGGTGATCAATTTATACATGTTCAACACATCAACAACAGTTGTGTCAAAATGTGTTGTAGCATCATAGCTCTGTTTAGGACAGCAAAACAAGAGGTTATTAGAAACCAGGCACTTAAGATGCTCACAAAATAAAAGACATAAGGTCACATATTTTCTATAACTTACGGTTGATATGAAACAGTTGTCCAAAGTGGGTTCGTTGACAGGCTCGTATCTATCATAGATGTCGAAGAACAGCTCATCAACAGGTCCCAGAAGGTCGATTCCAGGCTTCAGCTCGGTCTGAGGGTTGTCAGTCTCTGCGTCTGTCGACACAAATGCTATGAATTTTCCCTTGGGAGCAACGTTGTGTGAATACGAACAACAGAAGACATACCTGACATTTACAATCAAGTAATCATGAGCCGAGAAACAAACATATCAATCGACTCAAGGTTTTATACATGGCCAGATTTTATAGGGTATGTGTGTGTATTGTCCTCAAGAAATTGATATTACTGACTAGAATTTCTTGCCAACCTTAGTCTAAAGAGGAATCAAGTCGATATCTCAGCAAGCTCATGAGCACAAGTCAGGAAAAATGACATCAGACACTTAGCTACCATAAAGAAAAAAATATATACACCTGTCGTTTAACTTCCATTCAGTCATTCAGAGTTTCAGACTCATTTACTTCTATCAGTGAAACCACAAGATGAATAAGAGAACTCACATGTCTGATTTGCGGCCCAATTGCTTTTGGGGTAGGATGACTTGCACTGAGTGAGAATCATTGGTGTTTGGAATGGGGTGGCTCATAATGGCAATCGCTCTAGCAACCCTGCCAATCTTCCTGACCTGTTTGAGTAGGATTTTAAAAGGTAAATAACATATCAAAAACATAACCCGGAAAAAGTCGGAGATTTGAAAATTGCCTAACAGGTTAGCATTCTGATAAACAAACCAGAGAACATATGGAAGTTATATGCACTGAATAAAAAACAATCAACGATATCTCCCGGCTCCCATGGAGAAGCATCAGACAAAGCTAAATGTCAGTGTAAAGTTCAAAAGATCTGTGATTGCGGTCATTACCTTGTTAGGCAGGTAAGAAGGATCGCAGACAACTTTCTTGCATTTGGCAGTCTCTCCCTCAGATGTAACACCAGTAACCTTACCTTCCTCGTCGAACTCTACCTGTTATAAAAGTCACAAGCTTTCCTTCTGTGAGCAGCGGAATTAGCAAAACAAAGAGCTACAGAGATGAGGAAGCCAAAGACATACCTTGCACTCAGGTTTATTCAACATGTAAGTCCCACCATAGACAGCACTAAGTCGTGCAAATGCCTGAAACAAGGATGAGAAGAACAAAAGTTCATAGAGTATCCAGACAATGTAATCCAAAACATGAAAATAGTTGAACCGACCAAATAAAGCATTTATCTAAAGGAAAAAAATTAAGAAAAGAGAAGAACCTGAGGCAATTCTCCCAACCCATAGAGAGGATAGATATATGGTGAACCTCCTTGGAAACGTGCAAGGGATTCCGCGTAGAGCTGATAAAACAAATAAAGCCCGAGTGTTAAAATTGCCTAACTCAGAGCAGAATGTAAGACTTTAAAAAAAAGGGGAGCTATATTTCAAAGTCTCATGAGAGCAGTTCACCTTCATTCTCATTACAGTATCATATGCAGGTTGATGGAGATGGTTGTCATTACTGTGAAGTGCCACCGCATGACCAATAAAGTCAATAGTATTTTCATCAAGACCGAATTTCCTGCCAAAGTGTTATCTAATAGTTAGCAGCAGATTGTCTAAATCAGATATTGACGACATCATACTACAGAAGGCAACAGAACAGCAGCTTACGCAATCAATTCCTTAGTCGTAACCCTCTTCAAATCCACTCCATCATGTGTTTTTGGGTCCTTCTCATCGTATTCCTGAACATAACTGAAAAACTTTCCAGCTCGACGTTTCTCAAAAATACCCATAAGAGGAGATTTGAGGGCCTCCATTGGAGTTGCTGGCACCTTTTGAACCTGTAGGATATTAACAGTTAAAAATCACTTTTTTTTTAAAATGACTTAAACTACAAAAACTGCGGCCAGCACGTCAGGTGAAAAACTTGTACCTTGCCCTTGACAAAAACATAGCTTCCATCAACAGCTTTAAAAGACAAGTACTTCGTCACATCTGTATGAATAAGGACACGAACAAGCTTGCCATTTGCCATCATAAACTGGTCCGCCACATCAAGAGAGAAAGCAGTTAGTGATTCTTACTAGTACAAATAAGCTAGAGAAGGGACTATTAGCTGGCGAGTAGCTAATATCATACCTTAGGCATCATGTCAACATTGTAGTCTCTGCTAGAGCCTAAATGAGCAGGAGCCTTTTCTTCTCCCCTGAACTTCTTCCACAGCTGGTAAAACAAAGCAATATCAATAACGCTCGCTAATGGACCAATGGAAAGTTTTACCACAAAAAAAAAATCTTAGTATAGCTTTTCAGGGAGGATCGACCTGATTGAGATTAAGCGATGTCGACTCTCCACCGTAGTAGTCATTCCTGTCCATGTGAAGTACCTATTTGGAGTATGCACAAAACTACATCATTAGTCGACCAATGTGATGATTACTTTAAAAAAAAGAGCTGGCTCATTGATCAAAGACAATATCAGCTAATCCCATAGAATATAGTATTCCTGTGAGATGCCGCCTCAATAACCAATGCATCAACTCAGATTGTGGGAGAAAACTCATCTCGAAGCTCAAAAAGCTATCAACTTTTCGATGAAAATTCATCGATAGCCAGATCGGAAACCGGAGCTTAAAATCATGCAATCGGAGATATAAGTCTCACTAAGATCCGTTCATCATGATACGAATTAAAGTCAGAATCCAAAATTTCTCCGGATCAAGCAACAATCGAAAGTCAAGCATGGATTCATACAAAAAAAAAAAAAAGAAGAGGTGAGGAAAGAGACCTTAAGACCATCGACGGAGAGAAGACCACTAAGGATGCACTCCTTGAGACCAGTACCGAGAACAATAACTTCGTACTCTTCATCCATGGCTGATCGCTGAAAGACTCACAAAGACGAAAGAGAGGGACTTTTAGTAGGCGACCGTCGAGAGAGATCGGTGATGGCACCCTCCCCTATATTGTATCAGAAATAATATAAAATACAAATCTCAAAGATGCTTGCTTTGTTAAATGGGTTACACTGTCGAATAAAATTAATATCACTTTTCCTAATCTCATTATTGAAACGGATGATCATAATGTAAAAATGAAGGGGGCAATCAAAATACAGTATTACACTGTTAGAGTGTCTTCAACAATAAACTTTGAAAATTACCTCCCAAAAAAAAAGTAAAAAGAAAAGATTGTGGAAATTACATTCCAGAAACGAAATATAGAAATTTTTTTCTATCACATATAGAACTCTTCGGTGACATTTTTGAACAAAACTAATTTTGTTAGCATAGTTGTCCAAGTAACTAATTTAATAAGAGTCAATTTGCATTTTCTAAATAATTCGGTGCTCTTAGGTTAATAACCGATTGATTAGCCCAAAAAGACACTTTTGCTTAAGGCATTTAGGAAATGAAATGTCATCTATTTTTGATTATAAATAACAATTTACATTTTCTTCTTTTTTGATAGATTATTGTTTTGTTCCAAAATATACACTTTTGCTTCGTCTTCCAAAAATTTGTTACTGCAGATCTGAGAGTGCAAAACAAATTTCTTTCGGTTCATTTTCCACAATAAATAAAATTCTCTGTTAAAAGAAAAAAGGACAGAACTCAAGGCGCAGGGTTTCTCTCTACCTCATTTTCCTGTGTCTCTCTCTCTTAACCTCTCAATGAAAATCTCTTCCAGGTTCCTTCATCTCCCATCTCCCATCTCCCTTCTCATTTCTCATCTACATCTTCTTATGTATTTAAAAATTCGCATTTGGTTATTAAAGTTGTCTCTTTTTTCCCGCGAATCAGATTGTGTTATGCTGCAATTTCCCTCTTTCCTTCGTATGGTTTGTTCTGAATTTCCGATTTAATTTTTCAGGGTCGAATTCTCAAGCGAAACGCGTCAAGGATTTACCCTGTTGACAGTTTTAGGATCAGGGCATGGATTCTGATTGGGATCAGTGCTTGGTTTTGGTTTAAAGCGTTAAGTTTTAGATTTCGATGCTTCTGTTGACTACGTTTTGGTAATAAATCAGAGACCCTTGTCGCTCTCGTGAATCGAGTTTAGTGATTCTATAGCGTTTTCTGGGCCTGAGGGAAGAAAACTCTAGATTTTTCCCTGCATTTTCGCAGGGTTTGATTTCTTGTGTTCTCTCGCAATCTGGAGTGGCTGATTGTGGCTGATTGCGCAATTGGATACAAGTCTGGATTTTTGTTTTTTCACTTGTCCACAGAGGTTTTTGGCTCGTTTTTGGATTCTTGAGCAGTTTTTTTAGTTGTTATTTCAGAAATTTGGGTAGATGGAGAACGAGAGCGTGAGTGATGAGATATACCCTGATGAGCCTGTAAGTTCTGAGTTGGAAACTGAGGAGATCATTATTCAATCTCCAAAGAAAGACTTCCAGGAATTTACAGTGGAAGGAGGCGAAGGGAGTGATGTGGTTTTTGCTAGAGAGGGACCTTTTATAGGTAGTAATGACCAAGCTACAACACAATCGAGCAAATGCTGTGGTTGTAGTGCCAAGAAACTAAAATGCAGTGAAAATATTGATCCTCTTGAGAAGGGAAATCTCGGGAAAGAGAAGAAGCTTAATAGACAGGATAGAATCGAATTGGGACGGCTCTTCCAAGGTGCTGTTAGCTCACAGGATTGGGAACTTTCCGAGAGACTGATTCATCTGGCTGATCTACAAGCTTTGAATGATTTGTTGTGTATTAGTCTAGATTCTATTTGGTTCTTGAGTACGGAGCATGAGCTTCGGGGAATCACGGGATTGATTGCAAAGATCATATGTCATGGTGCTCATGACTATACTAGAGCTACACTTAGGACTTCGTTTCTTGCTTCATGTGTCTCATCTTGCCAGAGCCGGACAGTGAGTCTTGCTGATACTGTTACTGTAATGGCTCAAAGGTACTCATTTGATTCTATTACAAGATTTTTTACCCTTTTCTCATAGTTGTAACGGCAACACACGTTTAGATTGTTAGACAATTGGCTTTCTATCATGATTGTTTGCTTTTTTGTTCTGCTTCATTCAGTTCACTACAGTGTGGCTTACTTGTTACATTGATTGGTTACATCTTAGAGTTGCGTTCTGCTAATATCTCTTGTGTGCATCTTTCTCCTGGTTTATCTTGGGTTAGCTGGTAAGGGTGAGACACCCTTACTTTATAAATCCATTTTTTTTCCATCTTCGGCGTTTCCAGGTTGCACGAGCGTCTCCAGGAGTGTAACGGTGATGAGGTCCTCAAAGCAGAAGCTGGTGCCAAAGTTCAAAAGTTCACTGAATGGGCCCTCAAATGCATAGGTTTCCACTCCCGATGCCAGGGCGCTAGAGACAAAGCTGAGCAAGACTCAGCTGTTGAGATCCAACTCCAGCTTTCTGCTTTCAAGATGTTCTTAGATCTTGCAGGAAACCATCTGTCAGGAAAGGATTTCACAGAAGCCTTTGATGCAGCCTGCTTCCCGCTAACGCTTTTCTCTACCTCGTTTAACCCTGGCTGGGCTTCTGGAATCTCAGCTACTGTGATACATGGATTGCTCGGTATGCTGGTGGAAGGAGGCGCAGATAACGTGAATCAGTGCTTTCTTGAAGCTTCTCGTTTTGGGAGCACAGAACTTGTGCGCATCTTGTTGCAGGTATATCTATTCCTTCATGATTGCTTGCAAGTTTTTGTTATGCGCTCTAACTTTTTCATTTCTCTGATGCAGATTGCTCAAAGGAATAGCTTAGACGTGGATGTCGACTTAGCCCTGGGTTTTGCCTCACACTATAGTAAAATCGAAACGATGGACTGCCTTGTGGAAGAAGGTCACGCCATTTCTTTCTTGGGTCCCTTGATGAGAGCAGCAGAGAGAGGTTGTATGCAAGTAGTCGAATGGTTTGTGAAAAGAGGCTGTCGTGAAATGGAGCTTTGCTTGGCTCTTACAGCCGCAACTTCGAGCAGCCAGGTCGAGATCGCTGCTTATCTCCTTCCTCATGTACCAAGACCAGTCCTCACTGCTCTCAGCATCGAAATCCTCAAAGCAGCCGGCGAAAGAAGCGGTGGTTCCCTCTACGGAGTAGAGTTTCTCCTTAAATCCGATTTCCTCGGGGATCCAGCAGCCACTTATTCAGTTGCAGACACCATTGCAAAGTCAGAAGACGAGTCTGTTCCTTCAGAACTTAAATCGTTTCTCCAAGAACATTGGTCAGAGGCTGCATTCAACCAAGGATTGAGGGAAAGCCGTGAGAACTTCATGAATTTCATGAGGGTTTTGAAGATTGGGGAGTCTGCGATATGTTTAAAGGATCTACCAGCTCCACTGAGAGTTGCAATAGCTTACATGCCGCTGTACAGAGAGTGTGTGAAGGCGGGTGGGCGGTTGCTCTCACAGAAGCTTAGGGGACAGCTCATGGAAGCCGCGAAGCAGCTTCAAGGCTTTGATGTGGACACAGAAGAAGTATACAAAGGTCATCAGCTCATGGCAGTATTGGAGCATCACCTTCCTCTTTTTATGGTCAAAGCTTCTTCTCGCTGAGCAACAATGGATCCAGCTTCCGAGTTATTGGGATTTAACCTCACCCATTTTCTTCATATATAGCTGGAAAAATAAGAACTGATAAACAATCATACCACTACAATTTTGGATCCGGATCCAGTTTTTGAGATGGTGAAAGGAGCTTTGTACAAACTAACGTCCTATGAGAATGTCTTTGTCAAGTCTCTTTCTCTGTCTCTTTACGCATTTTAAACCATTGGAGATAATCAAAACCTTTTGTGTTGTCCTCAACTATAAAACAAATAAAGATACATATGTAATCTTGCTTCTGTCTCGGTGGAAATAATCATATAAAGAAATCTCAAATTCTTTCAATTTTCACATTATGTTCCAATCCCATTATCATGTATTACTTCCAGACCATATAAAAATCATGAAATTGTATAGTAATGCATCAAGAGACAAGTTTACAAATGAAATAATTATACAAAATCTATTACCCTGAAACCTTGCGTAATGACAAATTAAACAATAGACAAAAAAAAAAACCTCCCTTTCTTTGATAGGATTTCTTCAATTTAAGAAAAACGTTTCCTTTTTCGGGTTACATATAACTGCTTGTTACATGTTTGGCATTAGAAGAAGGCATTAGAGCAAGAACCATAAGCAAAACCATAATCCCAATAGGAATCAGAAGGAGCATAAACGGAGGAGGAGGCAATGGAGGAAGAATCAACGGAAGGATCAAGAGAGATGCTGTGAGACCCACAAGCACAACCATAGACTCAAAACTGAAGTAACTCGCCGATATTAGCCTCCTCGGACTGTTCTGAGACGTCAATGTCCGAAAATATTCTTGTTTGCTCATCATCGGAGCTTGAGTTGATCCACGAAAACTAAAGTCTTTTCGGTTCTCTCTTCTCATATCCATGATGTTGTTGTTGCGTGAATAATGATCTTGAATGTTTATGATGTCGTTTTGTAGACTAGAGATTTCACGAATCATCTAAAAGAGGAGTCTTTTTTTTTTGCTTGAGGTTTGATCTGAAAAATCAGATCAATGTATACCCAAATGTCAAAAGCAACTAGCTTTTGGTTTCTTCTGTCAATGTAGCTTGGATGAAGAAACTTTGAAGATGAAATTACTTTTCCGAAATGCAGATAAATATCCGACGATTGTTTTTCTTTTGTTGGAACTAGAAAGACGATACTTTTGTTTCCCGGTAGAGAAGATTCGATTGGAGCTGCAAGAGAAAATCATCGACGTTTTGATCAGTAAATCGTTATGACTCGTAGATATAAACAGGTAACAAAAACCAATATTGAGCAACGAATCAAACAAAGATTTTGAGAGAATAAAACAGAAAAATTTATATATCTTCTTTCTTATGTGAGAAAGCAATTACCTTTTAAGTCGTAAGAGCGATACTCTCCTTCAGCAGCGAGAAGAAGAAGACGAAATTAACGTTTGAAATCGAAATCTTGGTTGGAAGCTTTTATGCAGAGGAACAAGAAGAAAAATGAAATCTTTCTTTGTTTGTAAGAAAATACAGAAGAAGAAATAAAGTGGGTATGGTTTGATATGAAATAAACAAGTAAAAGATATAATGAAGAAGACAAGTAGCAATAAAAAAGGAAATAAATAATCTTTAAGATTGGACTGTGGAATCAGAGAAGAAACAGGAAAGAGAGGAAGGTTCAGTGAATTTACAGATTTCTTCATAAGAATAAAAAACAAAATAAAGTTAACATTTTCTCTTTTGGGGGTGACAAGTGTGAGAAGCAAGTTGCTGATTCTGGAAGGTCTTAAACTGTGAATTAGAGAATACTTTGCTTTCTCTCTATCTCTCTCTCTCTCTCTCTTCACAATCACAGTTGGTTCTTCTCCCCTAGACACTTTCTCTTTCTTAAGATGACGTAAGCTGGAATTTATTTGAAGTAAGCCTCTCCTTGAAATAGAAGTTCCAGTTGCTTTATATTTTGTTTTGGTAATATTCAATGGTGTTTTCAATTAAAATCATCTTAACTTTACCAGTGTTCGTGTATTGTAGTCATGATATTTTACATGAAAAATAAACAAGCACTCGTGATTTTTTGCCTTTCTGAGTTGTAGGCTTTTAGCATCGTATTTTTAATTAAGATTTAAAGTAATAGCTGGTGATACAAAAACTTATAAATTGTTAACCAGTTGATGTTAGAAAAAAGGTTGTTTCTTTAGCTGCAGAGATTTATAAAGAAAACGCATTATATCTGTATAGAAAAATCAGAACCATCAATAATTAAAGATCGATAACTATTATATTTGGTATTTTGGTAACTTAATCTGTCTTCTATATATTATGTTCTGTTTGTTACAGTACCATTATCGTTCAGAGTTGTAATCTATTGAAAGTTTGAAACTATGGACGAAAAACGTACTAATCAAAGATTCGAATTCATCTGCATTTATATATGGTGAATTCAAGGGATAACATGATTAACAAATTGAAAGTGGTGAATAAAAAAAGTATCAAAGGTTGACAAAAAAAAAACGTATCAAAGAGTCTGTATATATAAAGTATATATATAATAAAAATTTCCCACCATATAATAATGGTGTCTATGTTTATCGAGCAATTAGGACCCATATTGTTAATCTTCTCTTCGGCATTTCATGTGGTGGATATATCATATAATCGTTCTTAGTGGGACAGTTAATTGGTCCAGTATTTATTTTTCTTTTAGTTTTATGCCTTTCTTTGGTTTGATAAATAGTTTGTTTGTTTTTTCTAATCGTTACTACTATCTTCTTCTTCTGCCCATAAGTTTTATTTCCAAATATTAAAAGCAATGCGAACTTATAGAGCTATACAATTTGTGAGAATTTATGTATTTTACATTTGATTGCCTATACTACTTTTGGTTACGTGACTAAAGAGGGACACGGAATTTTCGTGAGCAGCTATTTTTTGGCCTTTCGGGTATAAACCAACTGACAGATTACCAATACATTACTTATTTATCCAAATTCAATGAATCACATACATAATGTCATTTATAATAGAACTAAAAAATAGATGTGTGTATGTGTGTCTGTGTGTCTGTGTCACTGTGTGTGTTTGTTTCAACCACTAACTAGATGGCAATAAGTTATAATGGCTAAGTTATTAATAACTACAACAAAACTTTAACCTCCCTTTATAAACAAAAACAAGACTTTACCACGAAAGAAAAAGATGATGCATGCAAAATCTAATGCAAAGCTCAATCGTAAAATCTAGGTATTATTAGAGAGTTATAATAAAATCATAATGATCTCTTCCTCATACATCCAATTTATCTTGTGGATATGTACTTATATAACCAAAATTTTGTCAAAAATTCATGATAAGCTTGTATAACAAAAAAATTATCTATAAATTACAAATTCAGTATGAAATAGGTAGTACATTTGAAGTCACCACTCTCAATGTCAATGTCAGTGGAGGATATATGATACATATGTATGTATAGACAATGCAATTCGAATTTATACAAAACCTATATTGTTTATCATTGTACACATATACATACGAATTTGCACAGCTAGCACAATCTCTTATCCAAATCAAAAAAGATTTTTATTCGTAGGCAAAACCGAGAAAGATATAGGATTTTTAAAAAGTGAAAGAAAAAAAAAACAGGAGGATTTCTTACCAAAAGAAAAAAAAATCGTTGATTCTATTAGCATCATATTTAATTTGAAGTAATTAGAAAACAAATGATGGAAATGGGAAAGCTATAGAAATGGCAACCCATGCATGATTGCCTTGAACATCGCAAACCCTTCGTTAGATTGCATGTCTAGTGGTAGTGGACCTGCAATAATATTCAACAAAATATAGTTACTTTATAATATTATTAATATATATACATTGCATAATGCATAGGCATTATTATCTCAATAACGAGTTTATCTGATGATATGCCCACAGTTTCATCACATACTTGAGTTTAAAAAATGATTATCTATGAAGACCGCCTTTTAATAATTTTGGTGGTATATGTTGAAAACAAAAAATTAAGACAGTATACAAAAAATGTTGAAATACAATAAAATATCAAATGATTTCAAAAGGTAGAAGATGCGGCACATGTCATTGTCACGTGGATCGTTCCCATCGATACAATGCATATCTCCACCAACTGGTCTTATTTATATTCCTCGTACAACTCTCTAATCTAAAACTCCTCTTTCTTCTCCGTTATATTATACTGATACATTTTCATTTTCTCTTTTCTTGTACATACCTTTCCAAAAAATAAACTAATCTCATATCTATGGAACTTTAATATTTTAGGTACTTCGGTCGTTGAAATTATATAGTCAAACGGAATTTATAAGTTAAACTGTAGTTTTAGAGTTCCAGTGAAATTCTTAAGTTCAATTTATACATTAATTCTAGTTGTTTAAATAATTCTCTTAATTATTTTTAAAATTACAAGCATATTCTTCAAGAACTTTAATAGCTTACAGTATTCGATACTAGTGTTTAAATAGATAATTAAATTTCGTTTTTGCTAGCAATCAATTATTAGTTTTTTACTCACAAACTTATCAAAGGAAGCTTATATACGGTACTAGTAATTAGGTACTACAACGGCGGCGGATCTTCACCACCTAATCGTATTATTCAATCATAAGCATTAATTAATTCTAGGAACTAATCTACAGTTCATAGAAGAAGCTAAAGTATTTATTTTCTTCGGGATAAAGATAAGAATATATGGGGACGTATACTTTTGTCGATTTTTTTTTTCTTATCCAAGCTGTGTTATGAGTCTGAGCAAAGATATGACCAGACTGAAAAGGGAATTGAAAAGATGATAGCAGAAAATAAATAAACAAATAAAATTCATGCATCTGATGGTGAAGATATTGAATTCATTGCATGTATCTTTTTTTCTTTAACAAAGATTATCATTTTTTCTTTCACATTGCATGCCTGATCTTAATGATCCGTTTTTGTTTCATCTCCCTAGTCATAAACTAAAGATAAAAGGGAATAAAAAATCAGGATTTGTATTTCATACTATCTCCCTAGTTAGATACTTAAATGTGAAACATTGAACCATTACACTGAGAGAATAATTTATTTTTCATTGTGAGATCACTTTTCGAAGGGAAATAGCAGACCACCCCTACTGTATTCATTCGAGGCTAAAATGACTAAATGAGCAATTGATTGCTACTAACCTATATGTTGAACAAATTTCACTAACTTCACTGTTAACTTGTTATTTTGCTTTCTTCTTGATTTTTTTTGGTGTTTCATGTCACGATATTTTTGTTTTGTGTGGCTCTAAATCCAAACATGAAAAGCTAAAAAAAACAGTTAGTAGAAAATTAAGGAAGAGGAATAACATAAATAAAGATGAAATGATGAATAAATGTGGAGTAGGACCCAAGATGGTAAGCAAGGTGGCTGCTCTGTTGTTTGTTAAATTCTCATTTTCAATCTTCAAATTCTGTGTGCTCCCTTCACTATTTCCTTTCCTTAAATATCACACCATTCTTGGCTTTTTCAATTTTCAAAACCCCCTAAGCTTTTTAAATAGTATGTCGTTTAGACTTAGAAAATGTCAAATTGGTTTTCTTCACTTTTTAAACTGAAATAAAATCAAAAATATACAGCTACTATTATTCTTACAAAAGCCATCTTTATTAAAACAATAAAATCTTTTGACATGAAAAGGCATCTTAATTTTAAATCCTGCAACTGTCATGAGATAATCTGCAAAAGTAATATTATGCAGTATATCTAGCAAACAAAAAATTACCGGCTAAGCAATATTAAAATATGTGGTCAAATATGAACTAATAGCTAAAATTCGAGCTTTGAGATTTTGAATAACCAAAACTTTCGGTAAAGTTGACGAATATATCTTGTCTGCTTCAAAGTTCAAAGTTGAAATCTCATTTTATTTGTTTTTTAAATTATTTTTCCGATGCCGAGTATAACTAAAAGTTTTGGGGTTAATTATAGTCAAAAAGACATTTGCTTTGAATTTTTTTTTTTTTAATCGTGGGGATTGATTCACTGCATTGTTCCAGCCTTTTGCCTTCTCCAATTTCCTTTTTTATCTGATTATTCTCTGTCTATTTTTTTCCCTGAAATATAACTTTGTAAGACCCTTTCCTTCCTCGATCCAACCTCCTACTACAGTCTCTAACTATACAGAAATGAGAAATCGCAACTCGTTTTAACAGCGGAAAACGCGTTTATTAAAACGTGGTCATGATGAAAACGTTTTGTCTCAATTTTCAAAATGAGAAGAAAAGGAACCAACGTAACAACAACATTCAAACTATAGAAGGATAATGATCTAGAAAGATATCCAAAGATATTGTAGGCATTATGAAAGTATATTCTAGAGATTTGTATTGTTTCTATTAGTTAGTAATTAGGTTAAACGTGAATACTATATAAGTGTATGTATCCTAACCTTTATGATTATGAGAGTAAATATAATTCTTCCAATCTTAAACTCTCATCACTCTAATACAAACTGCATCTTTATCCATAATAATTGATCAAAAGATCCTTCAATATTATTAACCTTAAAACTCTAAAAAGATTCAACAACGTCACAAAACAACCCTGAGAGGTTTTTTAAAAGAAAGAAGGATTTGAAGAAATGACATAACATCTTCATCGCATCACATCACATCTTGGCTTCTTTAGCCGCCAATCGCTTCTTCTTCTTCTTGACACTCGCTGATTTGTAACCGCCTTTGCAAGGTTTCCCCCACGGGCTAACCGAAGTCCTTCCTCGGCTTCCACTACTTTTGCTTTTCCCTTCACCACCACCGTGTGGATGATCACACGGATTCATCGCCACTCCTCTGACTTTTGGTCTTATCCCCAACCACCTACTCTGTCCTGCTTTCCTCAGCTTCTTCATTCCATGCGACGGGTTCGACACAGTACCAATCGTAGCACGGCATCTGGCATTGATCCACCTCGTGTCCCCTGATGGAAGCTTTATCAAGCACTTCCCTGAAGCCGGCTCCTTTAGGATCTTGGCGTTTGTTCCTGCGGCTCGGACCAGTTTCGCGCCTTGCCCCGGGTTCATCTCGATGTTGTGGATGATTGTTCCTATGCGCATCATACCTAGTGGCATTGAACTTCCTATCATTGAGTTGATGTCCATGTGGAGCATCTCTTCTTCTGCTCGTGCCACCAATGTTTTGTTCTGCGCATCAGCAAAACCTTGCAAAAACACCAACATAAGTTAGGCCTTCAACAAAACCTTGTCACCACGAAATGCACCCAAAAAAAAAGACATGGATTGTGACACCAAAGCTAGATTAAAACTCTGGATTTTCCAAAATTCTAATATATGATCTCCTTAACCAAGTTATAGAAAGTATACATGATCTCCTTAATCCGTTGATTATCTCATAGAGAAAAGGAAAGCTTTGCACATTGACAAAACCCACTAGCTTGGATTCCCTTAATAAATCTGTTGGAGCAGGAAATGTATACACAAGAGGGAGGGAAACACTAACAGAAACTCAATTTTTGTAAATACTTATGCTTATGCAAATACAACTCATTGTTCAACATGCTTCCTCAAAGATACACCATCCTACAATCTATAATATATCACCCCTTCCCAAAAACAAATCGAAGAACCTGGTCCATTCTCTCAACAATTTTCCACTGTTCAAACAGAAAGTTTGAAACTTTAAATCAGTTGCCGCATCATATAATGGGCACCCAAAGATGGGATAGAAGACGAGAAACTTGATGACATACTCATTTCTTGACATAGGCAGTAATAAATAGTTCGAAACTAAAAATCAATCAATATAGTCAGAATCAAGAGCCTTGTGCTAGTCATGCTCGTCTTTTTGTTCAGAAACAGACCAGGAAAGCTAGAGTATACACACCTGTGGAGAAATTGCGAAATGCTGGAGGAATAACGCGGCTGAATAAAGAAGAAGAAGCAGCTCGAGCTCTACATAGCGCTACAAGGGCCGACATGGAGTAACTGCTCTAAACAGTAAGAAAGTAGTGTTTTTTTTTCTTTGCACTCTAGCTCCAACCTATCAAACGAAACAAACAAACAATATTAGTAGTCTGTATATCCCTAAAATTGGACTTTTCTACGGTCGATCAACTTGACGCAGATACCTAAATCATCACAACGATTTTCGATTCCCAATCTAAATCTGAACAATAAAGATATCTAGAGTCATTTCTACGAGCAGTGCATTACAATCGATAGAGAATAAGTGGGTTTATCAATCACTTCACTTAATACCCTCTTGTAGGATGATGATGTACTTTGAGATTGAGACAAACCTGAGAGATGCGAAATCGATTAAGCTTTTGCTTCCAAGGATTTTTACAGAGAGCGGCTCTGATCGAAGACGAACTAAAGCCTAAAGGTACCGATTTCGTCAAACCATGAGGGGAAAGCATAATAGCTTACAAAAACCGATTTTGACCGGCCGGTCCGACCGTGAGTCATAAAAATAATCCAGTTTGATCAAAGTGTAGTAGATACGGAAACGCTATGATAATACTATTATTCTCATCAAAACTCATTAAGATGATTGGTTACACAAGACTCGGTTTTGGATAATTTGTGAGATTTTTGTCATCTAAAGAAAATCTGTCTAAAACATCGAAACTCGTAATTACGACTGGTTTTCTTTGTTACAATCATTATCCATACTTCACATTCAGAGTCTTCTCCATCTTGGTCTTGAGATTATTAAATTTTAAATACGGATGAACACTTTTTTTCGTTGGGGCCATTGCTTTTAGGTTCATACACGTTAGACCCTCGATCGATCAAAATGTAATCAACAATCACAATGAGAATTACGTAATAGCCAGATATGTCTAATCCCGTAAGGATCGATTCCAAACCCGGTTCAAACAAAACATAATCAAGCGAACCGGATCACAATGATAAATGATGTCCAAAAAAAGACAGCATTATTCAAATGTCTGATCCATTGGTGGTCAAAAGCACAAACCAGATAAGTCTTTCATTTATCTTATAAATATTTTTAAAGATCGAAGATTCAATACATAACCTCTTGAGCTCTTTTCCTTATCCCTGTAAGAAAAACGAAGTTAGATATGTGAGGACAACGATACTATATTGTTCAAGCTATAAGCAAAAGAGAAGAACATATAACCTCATTCATCGTCATCATCATCATCATCTTCCTTCTTCAGACGGGTCTCCCCACCTTCCTTGATAATGGGAAGCTTCATAGCTCCAAATGGTGTATCAACATCGATATTACCTTTGATAGTGTACCCAGTTCCTTTACCACGGATCATATCCCAAACCGCAGAACCAAAGTCCTTTGGTCGGAATGTCATTGGCACATTAACCAACCCACTTCCGTTTTTGTCAAGCTTGATCGAGTCAGAGATCTCTGCTTTCCCAATGCTTACATCACACAACCAAACTTCACAGTCCAAGTCATTGAGCCCCAAGTCAAAGTCATTCATGTTCTCAAGCCTCACATGTAGAATCGCCACAGTTTCTTCCAAAGAAAACTTCTGGAACTTTATCTTCTCGATATCGACTTCAGGTTTCTTTGGGATTGGGATCTCTCCACATTTCTCCATCGGCAATGTCAGTCTTCCCAACACTGGCACGTCAACAATCAGATCAACCTTGATCCTGTAAGGTATGATCATCCCGGGGTTAATGTCGTTGTAAGTGCTCTTGATGTCTTCATAGATTAAAGTCAATGGTATCTTCACTGTTTCTTCTCCATGAGCCTTGAGAGTTCCAGCATCCGGGATCAATCCAGAAACAAGTTTCCTCCCTTCGCTCTCGATCAGGTAGTCAATATCGACCAGAGGGATGGGAACTGGATTCGGGTTCTTCACGAGCACATCTACAACGATGTCTGCCCTCTCGAGGTTGATCTTAGGGATATGAATCGCAGAGACATCAGCAGTTGGCTTCCCAAACCCAATGGTTCCTTCGATTTTCTCACCAATGTCATGAATGAAACCTTTCACCTTATCGAGGAATCCACCTTTCCCTTCTTCTTCTTTTTCCTCCTCCTTCTCCTTCTGACTTCTATCGACGATTTCTACCTTATCCTCAGAAGACGTCATACCTGAGAAGCAACATGACATCAATTTAGTGCCACAGAAACAAAAACTTACATCACTAAAGAACAGACTAAAGCATTCAGCTTGGAAAGTAGATTCTTCTGACCTCTGTTGACAACTTCCGGTTTATCCTCATAAGACGACATACCTGAGCAGCAACATGACATCATTTGAAGGGTCAATTTAGTACCACAGAAACAAAAGCTTAGATAACTTAAGAACAGACAAAGTTAAAGCATTCAGCTTGGAAAGTAGATTCTTCTGACCTCTGTTGACAATTTCCGGTTTATCCTCAGATGTCGACATACCTAAGCTGCAAGATGACATCATTTAAGAGGTCAATATCTAAGATTATCAAAGAACAGAAAAAACTTCAAGCATTCCGAGCGGAGAGTAGTTTCAAACTCAGAAATTAAGCAACACAGAAGAAAAAAAAGATACAAGGGGTGAAAAAGCCAGACCATACAGTAATCACAGTTTTTACCAGTTGTTAAAAGTTATATATAATGTATCACATCTCTGATTATCCAGAAAGTTTTCGAAAGATCAGTTTCCATTTACACTAGACAGGTAGTACCAAACAAAGTTTTCTCACAAAACACCATCCAGAGTTCGCATCAAAGTAGATCTCATCAATTAGAAGATAAATTTGAACCATAACCTATAGCTCGAATCCAAGGACATACATTTCATATCTCAAGTAAGCAGCAATGATCAGATCATGTGAATCAAGAGGAAAACAAGAAAAACGCAGATCCGAATGTTAGATCTAAATTGGATAGCGTTAGATCAAGCGAAATGTCAAATAGATCGGGAAAAGTAAAGTCATTCATCAACTCGGTCTAACCATCACCTTTTTCCTTGTTTTCCGATCAAAACAGAGAGGATCAACGCAAGAACAACAACGATCAGAAGAAAATCTAGTGGATTTGAATTTTACCTGGAGAGTTTGGATGAATGTGAGTCACACAGAGAGAGAAGAGAGTGCTCCAAGAGTCACAAATGATTGAAGTTTGTGGAAATGGTTGGATTCGTTGAACTATATTAACTAATAAATGTGACGCGTAATCTTCGCTTGCCGACAAAATCTTCTTCGTGTTAGGAAGCTTCTTATATATTATTCCATTTTGACACCTAAATTTCACGATATTATGACAAAGAAGATCACATTTTTGAATGGTGAAGAAAAATCCACTCTCCCCCCAAGATTCAGAGGAATTATTACAGTATTACAGGATTCATAACAGACCAAATGCTTACAAAAGCGTCTAAATACGACAATCTTTAAGGTACACTTTCGGAGATTGGATTGTAACCAAATGGAACACAACAAGAAGCTCTCACACGTGATCATTGTTCATCCATGGAAGGAGCAGCTATTTCAGGTGGTGCTCAAACAGCGATGCCATCTCGAGCTGCAGAAGGAAAAAAAAGAGAGAAAATTCCAAGACTGAGCAGAAGAGACAAGAACCCGAGTGGTAATGATAACATGACCACTTGCTTAATGGGAGGATCAGAATTTTCTCCATTTTTTTTTCTAAGAATAAAGGATTGATCATAATGATACTTACCGCCGTCAGTGCAGTTTCAGCGCCCTTATTGCCGGCTTTGCCACCAGACCGATTCAGAGCCTATAGTTTCAGTTCACCACAGCATTAACAAATTTAGTGTTTATCTATAATAAATAATTAGCTATATATATATATATCATCCACTCTTGCATAACACAACTTACCTGATCCATGTCCTCGCATGTCAATACACCAAATATGCATGGAACGCCTGCAAATTTGGATAAACTTTAATTACCCCTACCGCAAAGCTAAACTAAATGCAAGAGAAGATGACATGAACAGTGACTGAACATGTAGAACATAATTTCGAAGAACTAATTGATGATGTGGAATCTAATTATTCAAAATCCCGAGAAAAGGCAAAACTGAACCAGCACTTTAAGATTCTGAAGTATTGACACCAATCTTATGCATATCCCGCAAATTAATATCTGAGATAAACCTGAATTGATGCCAGCAGAAAGTACTCCGGATGCAGCAGAGTTGGCAACAGCATCATAATGCGTTGTATCTCCTCTAATCTAACCAAAACAAAAACAGCAGTAGATCAAAATCCAATTCTAAATATGTGTCGGAAACATAAGGCAAAGTACTTTCTGAAGCAAGAAGAAGGTCATATGAGGAAATATGATCAGACGGCATGAGAACTGTTTTAAAGCAAAAAAAATCTTACCACAGCACCGATACATAAAACGGCATGAAATTTTCCTGATTTTCCAAGATTTTGTGCAACAACTCCTATCTCAAAGCTTCCAGGAACCCATATAACCTGATTGAAAAGAGTTTCATCAGTTTCAGGAACCCATAGAGGATGTAAAGTTCCCATTTTTATTATTATTATGATTTGATATAAGATTTACAGGAAAAGAGATCGTACTTCGATGTCTTCTTCTCTGACCGAATACTTTTTGAAAGTTTCAATGGCTCCTTCCAAAAGCAACTTCGTCACAACCTCATTGAAACGAGCAACAACCTTGAAAGTAAATTGAGAAAAAACATTTAAACTAGCTCAATTCAAATGAGCTCTCAACTTATCCATCTCACTGGAAATCATCTAAATCAGAACCATTTCGCCAAATCTGAGCCGTTCTATATTTCTCACTGAGAGAATCTATCAGAATCAAGAAATCCACAGAAAGTGAAGACTTTTCGAAACGGAGAACTCACGATGGCGAATCTAAGACCTTCCCCTCTGATAAGGGACCCAGTGACATGACGAACAGCGGCCGTCTGCACGAATGACGAGCGCAATTCCTTCTCTACAGCGAGTGATGACGAGAATCCTAACGTAATCGTGATAAATCATCACGTAATTGCGAAAAATCGATTGAGCTATAAGAGAAGTGCGAAGAAGCAAGCATTACCGGATGCGGATGAGGAAAATGAGAGGCTATTGGATTTGGTTACAGAAGTGCCACCGTGAGTATAACAAGCGGAGGAAGATTGACGCGAATGGAGCTGACGGTGCGCCGTCGGTGTTAGGCGGAGACACGGCGGCGAAGCTAATGACTCCATTTTTCGTTCGTCGGATTCTCTGAGATTGACTTCACTGAGGTTAGGAGTGAGGCTGGGAAGGATCGTGTTAGTTAACCTCTGTCTAGTACAGAAGCTTCCTCTTATCGGTTAAAGGGGTCCCGGTTTAGCCATCTAATTAGTTATGGTCTTGTTGAATCCACTAGTTTGGTTTAGAGATTTCCGGTTTGACGAGAATGGATAAACTAAACCCTAAATCCCAATCTCTCGCCTGCCGGAATTTTCAGACCAAAAAAAGTGAAAGATTTTGACTTTTTTATCTGTCGCAACCAAGAACAAAACTTTCGGAGAAGAAAATCGTTGAATCAATAGGATATGGCAACGAGCGGGTAGTGTTTTAAATTGTGATTTGACATTGGAAGCTCCGATTGGCTTTGATTGATGGAAATGATGTTACTTCTTAAAAGAATTCACTGAAATAAATGTTTTTGATCGCAGGCTAATGGCGTCTTCAAGTGTGTTTCTTCATCGCCCAGGAAACTCGCGTCTCGCATTTGCTTCTAGAACGAATCAGACGGTAGGAAAAGACCGAGTTAGTTTCCTCAACATGGGGACACGTCGTCTTCCGGTGGTGTTATCAATGACGGCGACGGCGGATTCCGGCGAGGAGGCCGGGAAGTCCGTTTTTCCTGGAAGTGGCATATCCATCATGGTATTGATCATCTGATTCTTTCCATTGAGAGTTGTGAGTTTTGCATCATTGTTTTTTTTCTAAGTTTTGTGTGATGATTGTGATTTCCTGGAGATAAGATGCATGTAGTTAGAAATGTTGAAAACTTCCAAGTTTGTGCCTTTTCTTCGATCAATTGAAGCAGTTTGGGAGATCAAGTTAACAGTTTGAATTCGGGAATGTTGGGTTACCCATTTTCATGTACTACAGGTGAATGGATGCAGTGGCAAAATGGGGAAAGCTGTAATCAAAGCAGCAGACGCTGCAGGAGTAAATATACTTCCCACATCGTTTGGATCTGCAGCTGAGGCTGGCCAGAAAGTCGAGGTCTGTGGAAAGGAGATTACTGTTCACGGTCCTACTGAAAGAGAAAAAGTTCTTTCTTCAGTGTTTGAGAAGCACCCGGAGCTAATTGTTGTCGATTACACAATCCCCTCTGCAGTAAATGGTAACTCCTTAGTCTCCCATTTCTACCACCAAAGAGACACTGTTGTGTTCTTGATTTGTTGATTTGTTCTTGAATCTTGGTCTTGGGAACATTCCTTGTGATCCCTGATTGGGTTAGTTTAGAATTTGTGTAAGTGCAACACCATCTGCTAGAATTTGTTATGGTCTGTTAATAGTTTGATCAAGTTTGGGATATTTTTTTTTCCCGCAAAATGTAGATAATGCGGAGCTGTATAGCAAAGTAGGTGTCCCTTTCGTCATGGGAACAACTGGTGGAGACAGGAACAAATTGTATGAAACTGTTGAAGATGCAAAGATTTATGCTGTGATTTCCCCACAGATGGGTAAACAAGTATGTATACTCGGATGCTTCTGTTAATAATTAGTATTTCTGCATGTAAGTTTGGATCTTTAAACCTTTCGCTCATATCTGTGTGCTTTGTCGGTCAATTAGGTTGTTGCCTTTCTTGCAGCCATGGAGATCATGGCTGAGCAGTTTCCGGGAGCCTTTTCTGGTTATTCCTTGGAGGTACATGTAACTGCATTTTTTTTCTCTGTTAGTCTTATATTGCTTCTTGCTACGTGTAATCAACCGCCTATTGATATGTAGGTGATGGAGTCTCATCAAGCTAGCAAATTGGACGCATCCGGAACAGCAAAAGCTGTTATTTCTTGCTTCCAGGAACTTGGTGTTTCTTACGACATGGATCAGGTGCATTCGTCGTCCTTTATCCTTTACATCTCGGCAACAATTTATTCATTTCTCGGAATATGAATTCTCTGTGTATTCAACTTCTGTGGTAGATACAATTGATTCGGGATCCAAAACAGCAAGTCGAGATGGTGGGTGTTCCGGAAGAACACGTCTCTGGCCATGCTTTCCATCTTTATCACTTGACATCACCCGATGAAACGTAATGCAATATCCATGACATTCTGTATACTTCATTCTTATTTATGTCTCTATTGTAGAAGTGTTCTGTTCAAGAATTAGCTCTGTTTTCTTTGTCTTTCTTTGCAGTGTCTCCTTCGAGTTCCAGCACAATGTCTGTGGCCGATCAATATATGCTGAGGGTACTATAGATGCCGTGCTTTTCCTTGCCAAAAAGGTTCTAAAGCTTATGCCTTTTTGCTCACATTGATATTTGCGAAGTTGAATCTCAGCTTTCCCTGAGCCTATCTCTATAACGATGCTAATTGTTGTTTTAATACTTTTGTGAAATGCAGATTCGATTGAAAGCAGGCCAGCGAATCTACAACATGATCGATGTTTTGAGAGAGGGAAACATGCGTTGAGCTTCCTGGTTTGTCGGTGCGTTGACCAAACCGTGGTCCTAGAAGAGTTGAGATAGATTGACCAAATCATCAGCTATGAACATTCGATGTTTGTTTCTCGCTGCTTGTGTCTTTAGGACTGGCTTGTGAAACTACCAGGGTTGTTTACAATTGCAACTGGTGTTTTGTAGGCTCTCCTTTGGTATATACATGAACTTACCAAAGTCACTTGTTCTTCTTGTTGGATCATTAAGTCTTTGTAGATAAAAAATTCTCAAAAAAAATTCTGAACAACGATCTCAGGATCAGGGGAGTAGAGAATATATCAGCATCATCATCAACAAAATAATCGAATTTATATTTATCTTTTTAATGGAGCAGATTTATCAACAGTAATTGTTTTTTTTTCAATTGTAAAAGAGCAGAGGTTAAAAATCTCAACTTTTTTACCTATGAACTGCTCTAATCTCTCTCTAGAGTTAGGTCTTCTCTCTCTCTTCACTCTCTAGTCGAATCGCAAAGCCCCTACAAACGAGAAAGAGAGAACTTTTCAATTTGCCCGTTTGTTTTTTTTTGGCCGAGTCGTAATCTTCGTCGACACCAATCTTCTGGGTTTCTCGAGAATGAGCTATCTTCTTCCCAGGAGGAACAAGTTCTTATCTTTGATCAGAAGACACAACCTAATCCTTCCGTTTATTTCCCCTGAAACTAAAACCCTGATAAACCCAGATCCTCATATCCCCCAATTTCAAAGCAACCCTTCTTCTGTTTTCCGGATTTCTCAATATGCAACCCAATCTTCCAAGTTCCCAGAGTACGAGATGCCCACCGTCACATGGGGAGTCATACAAGGGAAGAAAGAAAAGCTCGTGAATCGCGTAAAAATCTGCGATTATCTCAAGGGATTGGGCATAATCACCGATGAATTGGAGAGTATCGAGCTGCCTTCCACCATTGAAGTCATGTGCGAGCGTGTTGAGTTCTTACAGAAGCTAGGATTAACAATAGACGACATAAATGAGTATCCTTTGATGTTAGGCTGCAGTGTGCGTAAGAATCTGATCCCTGTCTTGGCTTACTTAGAGAAAATCGGAATCTCCAGATCGAAATTAGGAGAATTTGTTAAGAACTATCCGCAGGTTCTCCACGCAAGTGTGGTCGTTGAGCTTGCCCCTGTGGTCAAGTTTCTCCGAGGGCTCGATGTGGAGAAGCAAGATCTGGGCTATGTCCTGATGAAGTATCCAGAGCTGTTAGGGTTTAAGCTCGAAGGCACGATGAGCACATCGGTTGCTTATCTGGTAAGCATTGGTGTGAGTCCTAGGGACATTGGTCCAATGGTGACTCAGTATCCTTACCTTTTGGGAATGAGAGTTGGAACCATGATCAAACCTCTCGTAGAGTATCTGATTTCCATCGGTTTGCCGAAGAAAATAGTGGCTAGGATGCTAGAGAAACGTGCATATATCATTGGATACAATCTCGAGGAGACTGTTAAACCAAATGTAGATTGCTTGATTAGTTTTGGCATCAAGAAGGAGCTACTAGCTTTGGTTATAGCACAGTATCCTCAAATTCTCGGTTTACCAGTAAAGGCCAAGATGTCTACACAACATTATTTCTTTAGTTTGAAACTCAAGATTGATCCTGAAGGATTTGCTCGTGTTGTTGAGAAAATGCCACAGGTTTTAAGCCTTAAGCAGAACGTGATAATGAAACCCGTTGAGTTTCTCTTGGGACGAGCGTTTCAGCTCGAAGACATTGCGAAGATGGTTGTGAGATGTCCTCAGATCCTTTGTTCCAGAGTCGAACTCATGAAGAATAGCTACTACTTTTACAAGACCGAGATGTGTAGACCGATGAAAGAACTCGTGGAGTATCCTGAGTATTTTACTTATAGCTTGGAGTCGAGAATCAAACCGAGGTACCAGAAGCTACAGAGCAAAGGAATTAGGAGTTCGTTGAACTGGTTCCTCAATTGCAGCGACCAAAGATTTGAGGAAAGGTTGGAAGGAAACTTTATCGATCCAGATACTGAAGGTCCAGTGTTCGACATGGGTGGGAAATTAGACATGCCTGGTGGTCGTGGTGGTGGGATTGTGTCTGATGATGAGGAAGATGATGAAAGTGACGATGAAGTTCTCTATAGACGCACTGTCACTTTGTAGAATTAATCAAAAGTTGTTAGCTTTGTCAAGCTCTTATACTCTCTTGTTGTTTTACTGGACTAGAGTTTGTGGAAACGTATTGTCTTCTTTGTTCTCAGGCATGTGGTCAAATGTGGATTAGATCAACAAGAATACTCTGGCAAGAGTATATTGGGTTGGAATTATAGTTATTTCGACGTTTGGCCCTTACAATTTTTCATTTTCTTGTTTAAGACCCAACTAATATACATATCCACAACAAACCCAAACTGTAACTTCACGTACATATGTGTTTCGACATCAAAAAGAATCACAAAAGGAATATCTACATGATTTTCCCACGAAATATCACACACCTTTGTAATTTTAAATCAAACCAAAACACAAAACAAAATGCAATTTTCCTATTTTCTTGAATCGATAAAATTATTGACCTGAGATGCAAGAAAACAAACGATGGCTCTTGTATCTGACGAGCTGGCCTTCCCGTGGCGGAGAATAACCTTTCTCCGGAGCTACGCCGGCTCTTTTTGTTTCCCGGCTTGATATCGATGAGAAATCTCCGATAGACCAGCGACGGCGATGGTGACCGTCGACGTTTATTTCGTAAGACTCACGGGTCGAGGCGGAGGAGGAGAGACACTCGTAACGACGGCGAGTTAGGTTCTTCTTCACGGCCTTAAACGCCATTGGTATTAAACCATCCATTGATGGTGGTGGATGGTTTTTTTTTTTTGTTTTTGTTTTTGTGTTCTCTCTCTCTCTTCTTTCTTTCTCTTTCTCTGATGGATCTTTTGAGTCAAGAAACGTTTTTTTTGTATATGTATTGGTTTTGGGTTTGGTGATTAGTTACCTTCCAGTTTTCTTCTTTTATATATTTCTTTCTTTATACAAGAAATATAAACCTTTTTAGAAAAGTTGGGTCTTTTATATTACGTTTGGAATTCCACAGCTACAAAAAAAACAATATATGAATTATGATAACAATGTTCTGGATTAACAATGTTTGAATCTTCATTTGAGATTCACCACTTTTTATATTTGAGATCAAAATGTTCTGGATTAACAATGTTTAAATGACAAAATGATACTCTTATTTCGTTAACGAGAAACAGATGATTAAGAACAAACTTAAAACGGTAAATCATGAACGTTTTACTGCATATGCATACTTACATATATAAAAAAGGGCTTGTGATCGAGACCTTACAAAAGTCCAACCCGTAACGTCCTTTTAAAAATGATTTAATTGTTGGACACGTTATCCTTCATCCGATCTTTGACTCGGTGTTTGTGTATAGCCTAAAAACCACAAAATAATATTAGTTAAACATTTTTTTGTGAGACTTTTCTGTTTGTTTGTTTAGTGTAGGTTTTTTTTTTCCTGACTATAACATCTCACAATATCCACAAGTCGAAGAGCGGGAGCTGTATTTCCTAGTCGACAAGAAATGAGTAAGTTCGCCCTCTGATGATCGAGTGACTTTACATGTGTTCATCAACTTCCAACAAAGACGATGTTAATCTCCGATAAATTTAACCCACTAAAATATTATTTGTTTGGTAGATTCCAAATTTATGAGTTGTTTAATACTAAGATATAACTGAGTCCCGTTTACATATATAAATCCATGTACGATTAGTTCAATTTGTTGAAAATGTGTAGTTACTTGTTTCATTGCTATCCGACCGAATTCATATGTATTTTTGAAAACCGAAGTCAAGATTATTTGAATAATGAAATTTTATTGCATGTTTGAATTTGTTTTCTTTTTTTGTGTGTGTGTGTGGATCTGATATCAATGCTATTATTAGAGAATGCTCATTAAACCCGAAATGTTCCTTTCTTTAGAAAAGGTTTCGAAGATCGTCGCGCAAAAACTAACGTAACGTATGATGCGAATTTGAGATGTACAAAAAAAAAAAAAAAAAAATTTGAGATGTACATATAGCGATGGAAAGTAAAGTATTGATACTTAAATCATTGTTGTTATAATTTGTTTCAAGTCACAACATCAAAGATGCTCTTTCACTGAAACCTCACAAAAGAAGTTAAAAATACAAAATAAAATAAAATTAAAAACTAAAGACGGTTGCGTCCTCGGAGAGTGATAGATGCAAAGACGTAAATTAGTAAAAAATTAAAAAGTTTAAATAAGAGTGACGACAAAGCTAATGATGCTTCTTAAGCTAACAAACACAAACTATATTGAATTATTCAAAAACAGCATTGTTACTTCAAGACGGATATTTTTTTATAAAAAAATACCAACTTCTTTTTTTTTTTTTTGACAACAAAAAATACCAACTTCTCAACATCTAGTTTTGTTTGTGAACTCTAAAATACAAGAGCAAAAGTTTTGCCAGTAATTTGTTTTCGCAAAAGAAAACAAAGGTTTTTGCATGTAAAACATTCCAATTTTTACTTAAATAATCCTAGTTCAACCGTGATATCGTAATAGAAACAAACACTTGTGAATTTTATTGTGACAAAATGTATATACTGATTGTAAATCAATTTTTAATGTTGGCTCTTTAACTATCAAGTTACAGACTAGAGTCTATACTATAACCAGTTGCTATTATAAAATTAAACATCTTATTATTTTCAATATCCACTTATAGACATCTTAATACAACTAAAGAAAAAGTTAAAAAAAAAAGTTAAAAAGAAAAATCAAGTTACCCCAAAAAAGGTATGGAAAATCTAAGCCAAGAGAGTTTCATTTACACCACAAACGTTGAATCACTTCATCTATCAGATTAAGATACATCAAACACTTCAACTTAACTGTTGTCTTGTTCAAAGCCTCCAAGTGTACTTCACCTCTCAGTTTAGCTCCGATCTTGAGGATAATCAACCCTCTCTTTATATCGTTCTTCAATGATACCTGATTCTCTATATAACTCACTTCTGTCCTAACCTCTGTTTTTATGGCACTATATGAAGCCACTCGTTGTCCATTAATCTTCACTTCACCAACAACACGACCGTTGTACAAGATATCTCCTTTACTAGTGGGAAACTCAAAGAACCCGAAATTCGGATTCTCAATTCTAATTTGCATAGCCAGTGTTGCGTTGAAATAAGGCTTTGATGATGTATCGTTGTACCTGAGGTTACTTAGAGCCACTGATGTCAGGCTTGCTTTAGGTGGCTTGGCTATGAAATAGAAACCGATGCTGATGAAGATGCAGAGCAGAATGCAAAGCCCTGCAAGAGTAAAGATGATGATTTTACCGGTGATATCACTCTGTTTCGGTTGGTGAATTGCGCAAGCTTCATCAACATCTTTGCTCTTTTTTCCATATGTTGTCTTGATGGCATAGCCTGACATACTTCCTCGAGATGGTTATAACTGATAGAACTTCAGTATTGTTATGAGGAACTAGATGATAACAAGAATGGGAAGACTATATAGATACATAGATATATACTATCGCATCAATCAACAAAACCAATTCCAAAAAGAAATGTTTTAATATGTGGAAAATAGCAAGTATGAATAAGCTCTTGATCAGCATGACATTAAAAGATGATGTGTGGTTTCCGAAATAAGTAAGAGATGCTTAGAAGAATCTTTTGAGCTTTGTTTCACCTTAAAGACTTGGCCTTTTTAATTTCCAAGACCTGGAGCAAGGGAAAGGTATCATGAAAAGTTTGAAGTATAAAACTTTTATTTAAAGATACTGAAACAACAGTGCCCTTTTCTAGAAGAAACCAAAAGACAAAGATATAATCGTGTGAATTCTTCTCCTGTATTTTGAGAACCGAGAAACAGAACATTCAGTGATTTACCGAAAGACTATAGAATTTTTAATATTCTCAAAAACTTGGCCTTTTTCTAGACCTGGAGCAAAGGAAAAGTATCAGGTAAAGTGGGCATCTAACTTTCAATTAAAAGATGCTGAAACAATAACGTCCTTTTATAGAAGAATCCAAAAAAGAAGAATATAACGACGAGTGTGAATCCTTCACGTTTATGTTGAGAACTGAAGAACATAAATTTTATTGAGCTCATAAAAAAAATTGCTGTTTATAAGTGGAAAATGTGAAGAAAACAAGAGAAAAACACAACGACAGAAGGAAATTTCCTTCAGTTACCTGCTAACGTGGACCTACTTACAAAGAAACCAATGCAAAAACTAATCGTCTAGGAAGTTAATTCTTGTAACAAGCCATCCAATTTGAATCTTCAGAGCAAACCAGACCACCACCATCAGTGCTTATTGACTCTGCAGCAGAGCATGGAAGCAATTCTCTTCCTTTTCCCGGAGGAGCATCAACTTCTTTGTTATATCGCATATCAAATTCAGTATTTGTAATCTGTTGGGATTTCAGTTCAGGCCTGTGGCTATCTATTTCTTCTCTCCGTGATACTCTCACTTGTTTCCTTGACACTCTATCCCGAGAACCCATGTTGACTAAACCTCTCTGGAACTGAGATAGATCAACGGAATCAGAAGATGTGGCCAAAGAGTCAAAGTTGAAACTTGAACTGCTCGGTTCCCGTGATGAAGCGTGGCTCCTTGGTGACAATCTGGCTGACTGAAGAGTCGTTGTCAGTGATTCCAACTCTGAACCAACCTCAAGTTTCTTTTGGATTTCAGCTGGGGAACTTAAGAGTCCCAAATAACTGTCGAAGCTTGAGTAGGATTCTGGTGTTTGAATTACATTCTCACTTCCTAGCGTATCAACAGATAAGGGAGACGGTTTATCTCCTTTCAAATGCTCAGAAGGATCTAGCTCACACGTAGGGGTAGTGTCAAATGCTGAACCCTCACAGGATGAAAGTTGCATAAATCTCCTGAACCGAGAACGCTCATTAGGAGAAAGCGAAGAACTGATCCTTCTCATCGTCTCTTTACATATATTCATGGGTGAATGACTTCTGCCACTACTAATATTGCACAAATCTGAATAAGTACTACGATCTGATAGTGGCGAAGGACTCTCATGGCCAACACACTCAACATTTTGCTGAATCTGAAAGAAACCATCATCATATTTTTCGTTCTCATGTTCGTTCTCCTCATCACAAGGAGATAAAAGCCACTGAACTGACGCATCGGCAGGTAAAGGCATCATAGAGATGTTATTGAAACTTCCACTTTTACCAAAATCTCCTTCATCAAATTCATCAGAATCATTCAGTATCTTTCCCTTACCAACCTCGAAACCATTTTCACCCACAGTGAGTATTCCTTTAGGCTTGCACTTCCTCTTATCACTAACACCTGAGAGTAAATGCCCAGCAGCATAACAAGCTTGTGATTGAGCTGATATTGACAAATTCATAGACGATCCACACTGTATCTCTGGAGATACTGATGCTTGAACCGGTGGTGTCCTGTCTTGATAACTGCTGTTACTGTTGCCTAATCTACCATCATCTATAACTTCACCATTGCTTCTACAAATCACATCAGATCCTGTTCCTACTTTAGACACAGGAGTAACAATCTGTGCAATACTATCATCTACTCTAATCGTAGTTTGACGATCTTTTAGCTTAACCTCTCTAGAAACAGAAGATTGCTTCCTCAAAACCGAACCTTTCTTCGGTTTTATGGTAATCTTACCAGCGGGTCTCAGTCCAGATGCAGGGTTTGACTTACATCTCTGAGACTTGTGCAAATTGGGTTTCACAGCAACAGTGGATTTCAGCTTAGTCTCCTCCAGAGACTTTGGTTTCTTTCTAATTAAGGGTTTACTCACTACTGGAGCAGATTTGGGGGTTTTAGCCACAGATTTAACAGGTTTACTACTACTACCACCATGAGGAAAAACTCCCAAGGAAGAAGAAGTGGAAGAAGACGATGAGAAAGAATGAGAGAGCAAGAACCTGTGAGAACCGTTGGAGGCTTCACCGGAAGTTGACCCAGAACCACTGCCATTGCTACAACTGCTACTTCCAGAGCTTCTTGTACTAAGACCTCTCAAAGGATTCACCGGAAGTAGCTCCCTTTTTAGAATGTTCTCCTTCTTCGCCGGCGGCTGAGGGAATTTCTTCGTTTGGCCATTTGAGGAAGACGTGACCCTGTTCATTTTCCAAACATTTGACCAAAAGCCCTAAAATCTCTTCTCTTTGCCGTTGTGTCTCAGTCTCAAACTTCCCGATCTAATTTTTGAAAACGAATTTTGTTTTTTTTTGGCGGAGGAGGCGTAGAGAAAGACAACAACATTGATAAATGAAAAAGATCGAAACTTTGACGGATGCTTGCTTTTGTCTTTTTCTTCATTACCGAGTATACCCTCAACTTTGATGGCGTCCTTCGACGACAATAAAGGGTAAATCGGTCAGTTCTGTAAAGAAAAACACTTTGTTCGATCGCATTCAACGGCTAATCGCCACCGTATTGTTTATTCTTCTCTCTTTTTTTCTTTCTTCTTACAGTGGAGAGAGATGGAAAACAGAACGATGAAAGCGATTCTACTTGACGAATCTGTGCTCTTCAATCCCGTGAGTGAGGATTCGACGCCGCGACTTCGAGAATCAGTGCCGTCTCTTCTCCGGCTGCTTCGTTATTCCATGATCCGAACGGTAATAACGATTGATTGAATAGATATCTCAATTTTAATATATGATTCTTTCTGCATTGCATTTATCTGCGAGTAAAAGCTTGCATGCGAGAATTCTGGATTTTTCTTCAATTACTGTCGTTCTTTTGCTATCTTAGTGGCAATGGGTTGGACTTTGATTTTTGGACTTCGCTTATGTTCTGGAATCTCTAGAGATTTAGGATCTGGATGATAAAGGACTGAATTTTAGATCGAATTGGGGAAAAATTCTGTCTGCTATTCTTCTTTTCGTGGTCACTTACCATTCAGACATTGATTTTAATTCCACTACTGTAATAAAATTTGGATCCTTTTTTGCTGTCTCGCAGGGGTTATCATATGGGCTTCATCTTCCGGAAAATAAGGTTCGGAATAACATGAGTCCACGAAAGTGATGTTTCTTCTTTGTTTTAAGCAAAGATGTTTGTTCAAGTCAAATCTATGCCTTGTCTAACTGTCTGACATTGTGGTGCGATTGATTCGTCTCTAATATCTTGTAGGCGGATTTACTGAGAAAAACGGCAGCTGAATACTCCATCGATTGCTTACCTTTAGAGACAAGTGTTTCCTTAACGGATGCACTCAAAGCATGGTATAATGACGGCCGTATTCTGTATGTTGCGTCAAGTAAAAAAGAAGAGATACTGCGTGAACTAAGTCCCAGCCAGATAGTTATTGTACTCGGTTAGTGATGAGAGTCAGATAAACATTTTCAAAATTTGGGCTTTCGCATATATGTCTAAGCAGTTTACTCTTCAAGTGTTTTTGACATAATTTCTAATTACAAGTATGAACTCTCACTAATAGTGGAAAAGGATAGGTTTTTAAAGTTTGCTGCATTAGTACTCCTGGCAGAAGAAAGTCATGTTATTCCTTTTGTAACTTATACTTTTATGAGGCGCTTAAATTTGCTGGACCTTTTTGGGATTCTGGATGTTGTAGAAGACGATTTATGTGAGGATCCTAACATGCTTCATATCCGTAGCCTTGAAGAGCTGCCAATGGCTATTTGCTGCATTAACAAGAAGGTACGTCTTGACGTTGGTGTTGGCTTGTGCTAGAAAACGCTTAAGTTTAGAAATATGTGTGTCTACTTGAAAAAAAGTACGAATTGTAAGCGAGAACTGATGGTGTAAAAACTATAGATGAGAGGCTTGATATTACACCTTCATTTTCTTCTTTTCCCATTTATATTGACTTTATGTCTTGCAGCGTACTAGTAATTTGATCAACCCATTTGATCTTACCTCCCAAAACAGGCAATGGGTGACGGTGCTGCAATAGTTGCTTACATCATGAAGCCATCCCGGGTAGAGGACTTTGCCAAGGTTAGAACCTGATTTAAAAATATGACTTTGAAACATTATACTTGTTGGCCTCACTGTATGCTGATCGTTTGTATGCTTTACCCTCGAGGTCAGTTTTGATTCATGAAATTACCATGGTTTATATGTAATGTTCACCGTGTTAACTTTTTTCTAATTTTCTTTTAGAGGGGTGCTTTACCCATGTATCCTTCTTCGAATGGGTTGATATTTCTACCCCTCATGTTTGAGTTCCCTCTTTCATCTCAACTCAAGCATGCTGATATCATTTTCCACAAAGCAACTGATGAAATCTTGTCCATTCAACTGAACTGCTCCGACTCAAGATCAGCTGTTGCAGTTAAATTCTCTACCGGCATGGAGGAACTGCGAAAGTAAGCTTCTTGATTCTATAACTTCAGTTTAGCACTCTGTTGTATCAGCAAGTGGCGTAAAGATACCGCAAATATGAGAAGTCTTCTTAAAAGTTCTCCGTACAGGTTTGCATAATGATATAGGGTACTTGCAGGTATATGGAAAATCAAAACTCTTATGCTGTAGTCGACCCTCTTCAACATATATATCCTGTCCTGGACCGACTCAAGATGCAACATATTCTTCTTGGATTAGAGGACCTTACCGCAGCAGGACGAAATATAAGAGGCGCTTGTTTTCTCAAGGTCTTAAAATCCTCTCATTTTTACTTACTCGTCAATCTTCTTTCTGTGTTAAATTTGACATAGTATCTCTTGAGACCAGCAAATAGTATCTCTTGAGACCTGTCCCAGCAAGTCTTTCCTCTTACTATATCATAGTATCCCATGATGCTTTTCCTTCTTACGTCTGCAGATTGACAGCTATAATGAACCGGATCTGGCTCAAAACTTGTCTAGAGCTGGACTCTCTCTTCCATGTATTGTGAAACCTCAGGTTGCCTGTGGTGTTGCTGATGCTCACAGCATGGTGAATATCTCTCAATTTCCTTCTCGTTTTTCGCACTTTCTGTTTTTCCTTCTACAGTGAAAGAAAAGATTTCCTCATATTCATGTGTTGCTCCTAGGCCATTGTCTTCCGAGTCGAGGATTTTAAGGATTTGAACACCCCTGTTCCTGCGATTATTCAAGTAAGTGATAACGTAACCTAATACCCAATTCTTGGGGAACACTACTAAATCAACATGTAAAGCATAAATAAACTTGTCAACCATTGGTTTGCAGGAGTATGTGGACCATTCATCCAGGATCTTCAAGTTTTACGTCTTGGGGGAAAAGATCTTCTACGCCGTCAAGAAATCTATCCCTAGTTCTTCCACTCTGAAGAAATCAGCCGAAGAAAACGGTCTCCGACCAATTCTCTTTGACAGGTAGATTTCATAGCACTTCCATAAAAACATATAAGCCTTCACTTGCTAAATTATTGTAACTTTGGATGTTCTCCACAGCTTAAAATCTTTACCAGTTGGCTCCGCAAACCAGGACCCGATTGATGAGATTCATATAGAACTAGTTACAGAAGCAGCTAAGTGGCTTAGAAAGAAGCTTGATCTCACAATCTTCGGATTTGACGTGGTTGTAAGTGTCATCCTATCACAAGACCTTTTCTATGTATAGCCAGGTTTCAGGCTAGACTAACTCGAGTACTTACACGCTTTGTCTCTTGCCTGAGATTTCCACAGATTCAAGAAGGAACAGGAGATCACGTGATAGTAGACTTGAACTACTTACCGTCGTTTAAAGAAGTCCCCGATAACATCGCAGTTCCTTCATTCTGGGCAGCCATCAGAAACAGGTTCGACCAACATGTTCAAGAGCATTCAATGGGAAGCTCCTCTGTCTGATTTTTGTTTTTGAATGATGAGCAGACCTGTTGCTGCTTTATGCTTACCAATAATTGTACAAACCAAAAAAATGTTATCGAATTTGTAATTTTAAGGACCAGCGAGTGAAAGTCTGTGCTGTGTCCTATTGTCGATAAGAGCAAAAAAGCGCCCATGTATAAATACAGAACAAGCGACGACCTTTGAGACCGAGAAATTCTCTCCAAACAAAAAAAGGAAGAGTCTTTTTTGGTCTCTCCCCTTCTCCGGGGGATCTGCTTGCTCTCTCTCTCTCGCCTGTAAGAAGATTCCCCAACTTCAATTTCCTCAGAGAAAAAAACCCTAATTTTGCTTGGGAATTTCTTCAATCTATCACTGTTAAAATCTCTACTTCAATCGTCATCCATGGCTGATCAGCAAACCCTAGATTCCTCTACTTCTCCTCCTCCTCCTCAGTCCGATGATCTCTCTCACTCCCACTCTACTACTCCCACTTCCTCTTCCTCAGATCCGTCGCTCTTGAGGTCTCTATCCTCTAGTCGACTCAACGCCGGAGCTCCCGAGTTCGTTCCTGGTCGAACTACTCCTCCGCTGCCGCAACCGCCGAGGATGATTATCCCGCCTTCTCCGCCGCACGGTATGCTTCATATGTACCACCACCAGCCTCCGTTCAATGTTCCGGTTCTGGGTCCTGTTCCAATTCAGCCTCACTTGGTTCCTGTTCAAAATCACCATCCTCATCGCTTTCACCATCATCATCATCAAAACCGTCATCAGAACCAGCAATATGTTCCGGTGAGGAATCACGGCCATCAAGATTACCAGCAGCGTGGCGAGCAGGAACCGGATTTAGTTGCGAAGAAGAGCGATCGGAGAGATCATAAGAGAGAATCCAAGAACGATCAGGCCACGGAAACGGGAGCCTCTGTTTCCATCGATTCTAAAACTGGTTTGCCTGAAGACACTGTCCAGAAAATTGTGAATCAGGTGAGCTTTTCTATCGATCCTTATGATTTATGAAATCTAGTCAGATTCAGATATGATACTCTTTCAGGACTGTTCTGTTATTGATCTTGTTTCTCAGTTGCAACATGAGTTTATCCCAGTTTAGTATTGAAGTTGTTGGCTATTCAATTCATTTTCAGATTGAATACTATTTTAGCGACTTGAACTTGGCCACCACAGATCACCTGATGAGATTCATTAGCAAGGATCCTGAAGGATATGGTAAGATGTCTGTTGCTAATTCATATGCATTCTATAAGTTTTACGGAGATTTTTTTTTGGGAACCTTTTGTTTTCTCTCTTTCCCATAAGAAGTGGAGCTCATTACTTTTAAGTGTAATCGTTTTGTTCCAATCCATAATACGGTTCATATGATTTCAGTGCCAATACATGTGGTTGCATCTTTCAAGAAAATTAAAACTGTCATTAGTGGTAATTCTCAGCTTGCCACTGTGCTACAGAATTCTGCAAAGCTGGTGAGTTTTTTTTTCTATGCTGTTGCATATTTCTCCTGGTGATGCCATCATTCAAAAAAAGAATGTCTTCTAACGTTTGAGTCATCTAACAGGTTGTTAGTGAAGATGGAAAGAAAGTAAGACGTGTAAATCCAATTACCGAGGCTGCTATAGAAGAACTCCAGGTATTTATTTTCGAGTTATGATTGAAGTCATTCCTGCTTTAATTACACGTGGTTCTTGTACTATTTTAATACTTCTGTATACTGATTTCTAAGGTTATGAAAAAATGAATTGTGTTGATTTTCTAATAAGTTTATCATATCCAGTCTCGTATAGTTATTGCTGAGAATCTACCTGAGGACCATTGCTACCAAAATCTGATGAAGATTTTCTCAACTGTTGGAAGGTACTAATGTTACAAAACCTTGAATTACTTAATGTTATTTCTGAATCAACCACTACTGCTAGGTTTCTTAAACTATTTTGTTATTTGTCAGCGTGAAGAACATCCGTACCTGCCAGCCACAAAACACTGGGAGTGGTGGTCCACCAGCAGCAAGATCAGCCAAAAGCGATGGTACGCTTTTCAGTAACAAGGTAACTAGATTGATCCATGCGTTTTTGTTTTTTCGTCTTTCATGGATTAACAAGACGCGGAATTGATGTTTCTTTTACATGTTCTTATAGGTCCATGCTTTTGTCGAGTACGAGCTAGTTGAGCTAGCCGAGAAAGCAGTAAAGCCTCAGATTACTCAGATTTTCAGTCTATGCATTCATACCGTCATGTGCTGATGTGATAAACTGAAGGCATGTTACTTGTACAGGTTGCTGAACTAAGTGAAGCAGGAAACTGGAGGAGCGGTCTTAAGGTCCGTTTGATGCTAAAACATCAGGTATTTGACTTAAAATTTGACAATACCTATATCTTGACAGTTTCCGAACATTCTGTGAACATTTTGCCTTCCACAACAATCGGTTTTATGTAAATTGTTATTCTATCATACAGACAAAGGAACCAAAACAGGGTCAAGGACGAGGAAGAAAAGGAAACGATGTAGAAGTAGAACATGAGGAAGATGATGCCACAACATCCGAGCAGCAGCCGACTGAGAAACAATCTGAAGAGTGTTCTGGGGAATGGGATACAAATGTGCAAGAGCAGGCAATAGTAAGTAACACCAAATACTTCCCTGGGTCTGCATTGTTCTTCATGGATGATTCTTTAACTTAACCACATAACAGGGAGAGGAGCAAGGGAATGAGAAAGCGGTTGGGCAGAGAAAAGGGCGTAACCGAGGTAGGGGAAAGGGACGGGGACGAGGTCAACCACACCAGAACCAAAACAACAATGGGCGGGGGAATAATCAGCATCATAATCACAATCAACATCAACATCATCATCAGGTGGGAACACCACCTTCTAACAATCCAATGAACAACATGGAGCAACAAGGCATGGGGAAGCAGCAACCGCCAGGACCACGAATGCCTGATGGGACCAGAGGATTCTCGATGGGAAGGGGAAAGCCAGTCATGGTTCAGGCAGACTGATCCAGGGCTGTTTGCAAAGAGGTGATTTGGAGTTGTGAAGGTTCCACAAAAGAGAGAGAAAAAGAAGAGAGAGAGAGAGAGAGAGAGAGAGAGAGAGAGAGAGAGAGAGAGAGAGAGAGCTTTTATCCTTCCCATGGGGAATGGGTTAGTTTTGCAGACTTTTTATATTTGTCTTACTTGAAAGTACATCTTGAGTCTTCTATTTACCTTACGAAAACAAAGCAAACAGCCTTTTCCTTACAAGAAGAGACAATATAGTGTTGAGTGTAATGAAAAGCCAAATTTCAAAAACGCTTTTATAATGAAATAATGACATTCCTTTCTTGTCACTAATTTTAGTTGAACAGAAAAAAAAGTCATCGTAGTAGTTCATTACCTTTTTACACAGCCAAGAAAATGAATATTAAAAACGAAATCAATACAGTGAATTTACATTGGTATTCCATGTTATTTGATGTTTTTTTAAAAAAAAAAGTTTGACCCAAAAAAAAAACGCGCCACAGTAATATTCGACGATTTTGCAAATCACACAATAAAAAGAGAACTACATATCTACCTAATTAACACTAAAAAAATGCCATTTAAATCACACGGCCAAAATTAATTATACAAAAGGTAGCTCGTAATTAAACTAGAATAAGGGAGTTGAAAATAAAATAATAATAAGAAAAAAGAAAAAAGAGAAGTTAGTCGTGAGTATCAAACATCTCCGCCTAAGAAAAACAACAACCGTCCGTTTCATACTCTTCTCTTACGCACTTGAATCTCTCGTGTTGGCGACTTTGCGATAGATTCTCCCAAACCAAATCCACTTCAATGGCGGATCCATCTCCTCAGAACCCTACCCTCATCACTTCCCCTCCTCCTCCTCCTTCGCCGACCCCTTTATCGGGAACCTCGGAACTACCGCCACCGTCTCCGCCGCCTTGCTCCGTTTTTCCCTTTCTCAAGGGTGTTAACAGACCTAAACTCCGCGTAACATCTGAATTCGACAGCGATAGTCTCCTCTTCTTAAACAAAGTGTCTTGTAAGCTTTTCGACAACCTCGCGAAGCTAAAGCTGTCGTTTCAGAACAACTCCCAGCGCGAGGTTTCCCAGCCACAGCTCTCTCTCACTTCCAAACACCTCTCCGTTCTCTATGATCTCGAGGAGAAGAACACTTTCATCAAAAGCACTGTCGATGTTTCCCCTCGCCTTCAGCTCCGAGCTCTTCATAATGTCAAGGCATATCTCTACACCTTTGGGAATTTAAAAATTGATTTTTTTTTTTTTTTGGGTCTACTTCTTCCCCATTATCACGCTTCGATTCGAATTGGGCACATATAAGACCTAACACCCCTTTTGGATCTTTATTGAACAAACATAAAAAACACTTCTTTTGAACTATATATTAGCTATGTGGCTAAACTGACGAATTGGTCGTTTATATGAGAATATGACAATCTATGGAACACAGCAGTTTCTGTGCTTGATTGTGAATTTATGTTTCATTGAAGGGTGTTGATAGGATTTATAGTACCTGTACCTCGTATCATTGATTCTGGTTTCCTTTCCTACTTTGCATCTCGCATTGATAGAATCTGATTGTTTCTGAGTGGGACGAATTATCTATCAGCACATTTGAGAGCTGTGCAACTTACTCTCTGTAGCTATAAGCTTGTATGCTTATTTCGTTCAGTCCTTGATTATGTTGGTTGTTACTATGTATTTATCGATTTACTAGTGTCATTGATGTTAGGCCTTTTCACTTGCAGGCACAACAAGGAGAGGTTGCAATGGAGGCAAATCTGGCTGAACCTGGCTATTCTCTCGAGCTTTCATCACCTGTCCCTATTGGTTACGTGAGTTCTCCTTCTCCATCTCTTACTTTGGTGTGTGCATATTCTTGCATCTGCGGTCGTTTGCTTCATCAATTTACCAAGGAATTGTTTTCTTGCTTGGTTGTGACTACTTTGCTACTTGTTTCCCTTAAACTCTTCTTATTTTATTAATGCTCGGCGACGTTTCTCTTCCTGCAGCCAAGAGCGACTCTGAAATTCCCACTTGGCGAAGTTTCGATACAAGAAAAACAAGAGGAGGAGGAGGAGAAAAGCAACAGAATTTTATCTGTTAACGGGATCCTCAAACGTAAAGTCATGAATGGTGTTTGTACCGCTCTATACACAGATGAAGAGTTGAGACTGAGATATGCTTATAAGGTCTGGACTTTAACGAAATTCCTTCTCCGCTTTTTGTGTTATTATATACAATTGACTTGTAGAAGGTACACATGTAAGAGAATATCCTTCCTCGCCATTTTTTGGATGTGACATCAAAGCTTTACTCTTCTTTTTTTTTTTCATACAGGATGATGCCTTGTCTTTCATACCGAGCATTTCCCTTCCTTCCAATGCTGCCTCATTTGCATTCAAGCGTCGGTTTAGCCCTTCAGATAAGTTGAGGTTAGTGGCTTCATTGTGTCATTTCCTCTCTCGCTCTCTCACTTCATAGAACCATCTCACCTGCTACGTTAGTTCCATGTATTGACTTTGTGAAAGTATAATACTATGATGATCTACTATGCAGCTACTGGTACAACTTTGATTCAAACATGTGGAGTGCTGTGTACAAACGCACATATGGTAAAGACTACAAATTCAAAGCTGGCTATGATTCTGATGTACGCCTCGGCTGGGCATCTCTTTGGGTAAAGCATCAAACTTTAGTTTTCATTTCTCTCTTCTCTTATCAGCGAAATCCTTTTTTCTTGCTTAAGCCCCAACCGACTCATATGATCATGATGCATGGCATATAGAACATTCACTCAAAAGCGATTATAGCACAACTGAAACTCGAGGGTTAACTCGGTTATTGTGCAGGTCGGAGATGAAGCTGGAAAAGTAAAAACGACGCCGATGAAGATGAAAGTGCAGTTCATGCTTCAGGTTCCACAAGATGACATCAAAACCTCAGTCTTGATGTTCCGAGTCAAGAAAAGATGGGACTTTTGATGGAATCTTTAATCAATCTCATTTACACTTCCGTAATCTCTCTGTAATACAAAACAGTTGTTCCTCCTTTCTTAAGCTCCTTCTTTTCACTCATTATGTATCGATCTTTTTTAGTTCCTTTTGCAAAACAGAGACCGAAGAAGAATGATTAGAGAGAATAATCTTCTTATTGCTACTGTATTTCTTTTAGGTTCCTCAAATGATTTCTTCAAACAGAGGCATGTTGACACGTGTGAAACTATATAATTTTTTTTCTCGAATATAATAAAAAGTTACATTGCTTTAAGGTTTTTTTTTTTAACTGAGAACAGAAAGTCAATTTTAGCCACTAATATTAATTCATTGGACTTAACAGCTGGGATGGAATATTCTCCAATTAAAATTAAGATTTTGGTTCGCTTTATTTCTCTGTTATTATGTTTGTTTTCACTTGTTCTGTGTGTTTATCTTCTTCTCTTCTTCTTCTTCTTCTTCTTCGACCCGACGAAATACACATCCGACGGGAATATAGAGTCCCTGCAACATCAAGCACTGAAGGATTTTCTCATCTGTCTCGAATATCTGCGGAGAGAGAATTGAATTCTGAAATCCATCGAGAAGACAACTGTTGGGAGAGATGAGTTCGTCTCTGCCTCTAAGGCTCCTTTTGCCTCTTTCAACACCTCTGGTTTCTCCTTCTCCAGATTCCCATGCTCCTTCGCCGCTCAGATCGCAAAACCCTAATTTCAATCGCCGATCCTCTTCCTCTTCTACTACCTCGTGTTCTTCCCAGTGGCAGCTTTTCCCTGCGCCAATACGGCGATCCAGATCCTATTCTCCGTGTATTCCCATGGTATTGGAAGATTTTCTCTCTGATTGCTTGCTAATTCTCCCTTCCTCTATGTGCTTAAATGCCTTTGATTTCGATCAATTTCGGAAAGTGGTAAAAAACTCGTCAGGTTGTGTTAGAATTGATCTACATTTTGTTTCCATCAAGAATTGTATTTGCCCATTTATAGATATTATATATATACCTGAAAGTGTTAGTATTATGCTGCAGTAAATGTTCTCGTCGCTTTCGTTTTCAATGGTAGCAGTTAGGTGAGCTTCACTTTTAATGGCTATTGCTGACTTATTCATAGATTTCGTTGTTTTAAACCTTCGATGATTGTGTTCATAAGACTACGTCGTATCTTACCATGTACGTAATGTCTTCTCGTGGATTTTGTTGTAAGTGGTGATTTCTTAACTCTGATATATACATATTCTAAGAGTATTGCTGATAAAGTAATGCGTGTCGCTTCTGTTTCTATTTATGAAAAATTAAGAAAGCTGGTTCTTTGATTCACTTAAAATTGCGTTCAGATTTTCTTGGCCTTGAAAGTGTTCTGCTTCTTGGAATATCAGCTTTGATATGTTAAAGATATCGCTTTCTTGAATTTGTCATTGCGTTCCTTTATGATTGACAGGTATATAAGCTTAAGTTTTGACCTTGACAGTTTGTGCTTGTCTCTCTTACAGTGTGGTTTTTGTCTTTTCGGTTATGGTTTACTCTGAGGAACTCAGATTTTTATATGTCGTGTACAGTGCTTTCCTGAACACACGAGAGACCAAGACAACACAGATATCTGGAGAAGTAACGATGACCAGATTACATGTGGGCTTGACTCGGATGAAGATTCAGGGCTCCGGATTCCAACTCAGGCTCAGGCTATCGTTGAAGGATCTGGTTCAGTTGCAGTTTCAGAGCTAAAACCCGCCGCTGATGTAGATTACATACAAGTAAGACTACTTTCTCTGGGAACTCACCGCTCAGCTTCTTAACTCAAGTAACTTTGGCAGATTTTTGAAAAATCAGTCTTTTTTATCTGACTGTAACCATGTATGTTAAATCAACAGGAGCTATTGGCGATACAGCAACAAGGGCCTAGATCAATTGGCTTCTTTGGGACAAGGAATATGGGTTTTATGCATCAAGAACTGATCGAGATACTTAGCTACGCCATGGTTATTACAGTAAGACAATTAAGCTTTCATCCTATGTGGCTGGCTCCAATCTTTTCTTCTAAAAAATTCCTAAAACATCTCATCCGATAATTCGGTTATATTTGCAGAAAAATCATATATATACTTCAGGGGCATCTGGAACTAATGCGGCGGTTATCAGAGGTGCACTGAGAGCAGAGAGACCAGAGCTTCTTACAGTAATTTTACCACAAAGTTTGAAAAAACAGCCTCCTGAAAGCCAAGAACTGTTGTCTAAAGTAAGTCAGAATCTTGTTGGATTCTTTTTTTTTTTGCATCTCCAGTTTCTACATCTCTGAAACTCCCCTCCCTTTATTTGCAACGTCATTCACAGGTACAAAACGTGGTAGAAAAGCCTCACAATGACCATCTGCCATTATTAGAAGCCAGCAGGTTCGTGGAAAAAGAATTATTGTAGAATTCATCATTATCTATTATTGATTCTTCTTTTGGTCAAGAATAGATGAATAAAAAAACTCCTGTTTCGTTTTGTTGGCAGGCTCTGTAATATGGACATAATATCACAAGTACAACAAGTAATCTGCTTTGCGTTTCACGACAGTAAGCTTCTCATGGAGACATGTCAAGAGGCTAAAAATCTCCGCAAGATCGTCACTCTCTTCTACCTCGATTGATTCCACTGTTACTCTTCTTCAGGGTACAGAGAAGATATAAGTGTACATTATGAATCTTCACCAAAAACATACACAACATATTATTCTTTTGTCTAAATTTTGAAAAACTCATCGTTATGATTTTATAGGATTTTTCTCAACTATTTTGTAACATCACATCGGTTCTAAAAAATTTCTTTGCATCTCATCCTCTGCAACTGGAAAGTTTAGCTTCATCAGCAAATTAAAGAACATGCTCTTTCTCTTAACAAGAATAACAAGATCAATACAGTGAAACGAGGAATCACTACTATCCACTCAATTACAAAGTCAAAGTATCTCTCCCCAGAACCATATCTGGAAAAATGCATAAAACAACTCGTAACTCTCGAAGACTCGAACTGAGCCAGAAGCTTCACTTCTAATTGAACCAGACTCTCTTCACTTCCTCTAATTGAACCAGACTGTCTTCACTTCCTCAAAACCAAATCTGTAGTTGCTTCCTCCTTTGAATAAAGCTCTCATGAACATTTGATCATCGTCTTTGTTAGCTTCTCGCAGTAACAAAACACTTTACCTCTGCTTTTAGTCGTCGCCGATTCGTTTGTGGGTCCCACTATCCTCTGTTTGGCGTCTCGTTGATCCGATGGAAAACGCCGGTAAAGCTCCGGTAATCGAATCGCCCCGTGATGTCTTCCTACGCTTGATGAGCGAAAATTCTTCCAGTAATGAACTCTAATTTTACTCAAATCTAATAATTCATGTTTTGCTCTGAAGCAATTTTGGTCGTCGTGAGTGATTTTCTTCGCATTGATTTGTGTTGTTTTAAAGGTGGTTGGGAGAAGTGCTGGGAAGCAGGAGCAACTCCATGGGACTTAGGAGGACCAACTCCGATCATCGTGCATCTCGCCGAGACTGGTTCATTGCCTAATGGCAGAGCTCTTGTTCCTGGTTGTGGAACCGTATGTTCTTCCTTAATTTCATCTCGTTGCTTACTATATGTCAACATTTGTAATCAAAGTTGCTTACTTGTGTGGCCTGTAACCATTTGAGTAAAAAAAAACGTAGCTTTTCTTGATATCGAAGCTACTTCTTTGTGCTTCTGTTAGAGACTATGGCCTTTGAATAGACTTTTGAATGTATTCTATTGTGTGATCGGTTCTTGCATTACTTGATGACTTTCTTATTAATCAGTTAGTGATCTTCTCCGTAACCTGAATGCTTCCTTATTATGGTTCTTTTATGTACTATCTTTCATCATTTGGAACAAACAATGAAACATCGGTTTTGCAGGGTTATGATGTGGTGGCAATGGCCTGCCCTGATCGTTATGTCGTTGGATTGGATGTATCAAAAACTGCGGTAGAACGTTCATCAAAGGTGTGAATAGTTTTTTTTTTTATCTATTTGGAAAATGAGATAGACATGCTTATGTCCTCAAATATTGTGGCCTGCATTATTGATCCAACTAAGCTGATTTTGAGTCAATAGTCTTTGCTTTTGGGATCAACACATTTGTTTTTAATCTCAACGCAGAGATTTTCTTCACTGCCCAATGCAAAATATTTCTCCTTCTTGAGTGAAGACTTCTTCACTTGGGAGCCAGCTGAAAAATTCGATCTCATTTTCGACTATACGTATGTGTATAATCTTTATCTCTGTTTCTGGTTTTATGCAATATAGACTTTAGCTTATATATCTGCATTATATGACCATTTCTCGCAGTTTCTTCTGTGCCTTTGAACCTAGCGTGAGACCTCTATGGGCACAGCGAGTGGATAAACTTCTGAAACCCGGTGGAGAGCTTATAACATTGATGTTTCCTGTAAGAATCATAACATCTCTATTCTCTGATCCATACCCTCACGTTTCCGTAGTTTCTGAAAACTTAAGAGTAAATGTGTCTTGTGCAGATCGATGAGCGTTCTGGAGGGCCTCCTTACAAAGTATCTGTGTCAGAGTAAAGTCTCCTGTGATCTCTTTTACTCAAAGAAACCTTACTGAAATATTGTGGCCAATCTTCACTCTAAAATCTCTCAATGTGCAGATACGAGAAGGTTTTGATTCCATTGGGGTTTGAGGCAATCTCCATTGTGGATAATGAACTTGCTGTTGGACCACGCAAGGTAATTTTTAACACAAACTTTCGAATAAGCCTTTTAACATAAATTCATGTGGAAAATTGCAATTTCGGGTTTAGGATCAGTAAGATAATGTTACCTTGGAATCAATTTACAGGGAATGGAGAAGATTGGAAGGTGGAAGAAAACTTCAACTTTTCACTCCACTTTGTGAATTATGATGATGTTAATTGATCATTACAGAAGCTTCAGTCTTGGATGTTTTGGGATTTTTCACTGGTAAAATAAATGTGTAAAGATAAATATGTACACAAATACTTGTATAATAATGTACGAAATATTCAACATTTCCTTCTATTTAATCTTTTTTTAGTAAAAAGGCGAAAAATCCAGTTGGCTTTGTTCTCGTGACACATATCAGTCTTGAATAATATTTTATCGGTTCTTAAGTATCCAGAAGGTTGAAAAAGTCTTGTTGAGTTCATATATGCGTCATGGCTGATCCGGTGCATTGGTCATAACAAACACCGTTTCCAGATATTTATTCGGATTTACTGCTTTGAATTATCTTCTACACATGTCGGAGAAAATTATAAACAGGTCTGGTTATATATATACTCTACAAGTTTTGACATGCAACGAAGAAGCATAACATAAACTGTTAAGCACAAAGAATACCGATGGATATCAAAGAGCCTCATGGTAATCTCTTAACCTCTAAATTGTTGTATTTTTCGCAGATCTTTTAAGACACGAATGCATGGTAAAGAAGATAAAGATTGTGTTGTTGATGATGTTTTTGCATGTTTGTGTTCGTTCTTTTAAGGTGGATGGGATAAGCTATGGGTAGAGGGACGCACACTGTGGGATTTGGGAGAAGCAACTCCCATTGTTGTCCATCTCTGCGAAACGGGTTCATTGCCTAATGGAAGAGCTTTGATTCCTGGATGCGGCACCGTAAGTCGTTATGATTTCTTCTTCTTCTTCTTCTTCTTCTTCTTCTTCTTCTTCTTCTTCTTCTTTGTCACTCAGATTCTTTCTTGTAAGATTTTCATTGTCTGAAAATGGTTTTGAGACAGGGTTATGATGTAGTTGTGATAGCAAGCCCTGACCGGTATGTTGTTGGACTCGATTTTTCAAAAACATCAGTAGAAAGATCAAAAAAGGTGAGGATATATAGTCTGGATTTTCTCAGTTGAATGCTTGAAAAAATCTTTTCAAAAAGTGATGTGTAAATCTCAAAATGCAGATGTTCTCTTCGTTGCCTAATTCAAAACATTTCTCCTTCTTGGAAGAAGACTTCTTCACTTGGGAGCCAAGCGAAAAATTCGACCTCATTTTAGACTACAAGTATACATCTTAATTCCTTATATATCTTTATATGTTTTGATTTCTTGGTTAAGATGAAGAAGAACAAAACTCCACCTGATATGTATGTAACTCTGATGATTCTCGCAGCTTCTTCTGTGCCTTTGAACCTAAAGTGCGACCTCTATGGGCAAAGCGTATGCAAGAACTTATGAACCCGGGAGGAGAGCTTATAACGTTAATGTTTCCTGTAAGAGAAATTAGATATAGCATAGTTCTCTCGTCGATACATACACATAGATCGTGTTTTTGAAATGTTTGTTTACTGATTATGTTATGCAGTTAGATGATCGAGTTGGTGGACCTCCTTACCAAGTATCAGTCTCAGCGTAATTATCTTTCATCTTCTCCTTAATCTGCCTTAACTCTGCAAACTCCCTAATGCCTCCTCACGTTGGATTAAAAATACAAACTTTCTTGAAATGTTTTGTAGCTATGAAGAGCTTTTGATTCCCTTAGGATTTGAGGTAATCTCTATTGTGGATAATGAACTTGCTGCAGACTCACGCAAGGTAAGAAACAATTCAACTTCATCAGTAATTAGTTTCATTGTGAAACAAGAAAGATAGAAAAAAAGAAGTGAAAACTTAAATTATTTTTCAGGGAATAGAAAAAGTTGGCAGATGGAAGAAGAAGAAGAAGAGGTCAGAGTGATAATTTCATCATTACCGTCAGAAGAAGTCACATTCACATGGCTCTTTACATCAATAAAGATTACATTTTTGGGTTTCCTATAGTCAGAAAAACCGAATGTAATATTTACACGTTTAAGTAATTGAAAAAAAAAGGGGTCTTTGTTGGTGAATATGGCTTACCTAAAAGAGAATGAAACGTGTGACACAGTCACACTTTAGCAAAAATATTGATGTTTTGTGTTTTATATAAACAACGATGCATGTGTTCACTTCTGAATGATTTCACTATCAGTGGAAATTAGGTTCGTACAAAGATTAGCTTCTATTAACTTTTATGGTCCCCGCTTCTTTTTGTGACCATTCCTGACCTCAGAAAAGAGTATCCTTCAATGATGATTTTGGAGCTAATAATGTTCACAGGAAATATTATCTTATACTAATGTTTTATTATTTATTGGGATTTTTTTTAATAGTATAGTGAAACTAGCTAGGGCCACATTGCACATACGATATGGATGCGTCGAATTTATTGTTTGTCTTTCGAAATTGATACTTTCTTATACAACATATTAAGTAACGTGATTTCATTATATATCTAGGATATTACTTCTAATTTGTGGGATAAAGAGAAAATAAACTAAAATTATTAGCACTTAAGAAGAGAAATTGGAAGATGATAACGGCTTATGTTGCTAATTTAATACTCCTACTTTTTTTCTTCTTCCTAATGCTGGTTCAATTATCGAGTTTGGGCGGATGAAAAAATTCAAAAACATCTACGTGCCTCAATGAGAGAACACACACATAAGATGGGCAGAAAGCATCGCGGAGGGAGAAAGCACAATAATTATTGCATACATACAAGATTACTTTTATTCAATTATTGTTTTTTTCTTTATTTTTTTCATTTCTGACCTCTATATAAATACACAGCATATGCTGAAAGCTTTCACAACTTCGAGACCCACAAAAAACAAAAAATTATCAAAGGAAATCATTAGTAGAAAAGGGTATAATTAGAGAAACCCTATAATTAATGGCTGAAGAACAACAAACCTCAGGTCACAGCAATGGTGAAAACATCATTCCTCCTGAAGAAGTTGCTTCGTTCCTCCCCAAAACTGTTGCTGAAGGTAGTGATCTCTTTTTTCCCTAACATTTTTCTTATTTCCTCAAGCCACGGAGTTGTAGCTAGATCTTTAGTCCATTAGTCATTATATCGAAAAGCCATAGTGGGATTTTGACAAACGAGTAAGCTAGCTTCTTTTGATCATATCTACTGAATATATTATATATGTCTTCCATACCGACCAACGGATGGAATTATCTTTAGAATTTGGAAGGTAGAGAAAATCAATTATCTATTCTATTAAAACAGAAGCACATTTAGTGCTTGCATCCAAATACTCCTAAAGTTTTTTTTTATAATATTTTATTTTATTTTTATTTTTAATTTCTGAAAATTAGTTATTAATTTAGATATTTTTAGATTTTCTAAAATCTAGGTCATTTTTAATTTAAATTTTAAATTATTAGAAATTTAATTAAATTTAGTTACAAAAGTTTGTATTCAATTTAATATAAATTCAAAAACTTCAAAAAAATTATAATTAAATTTGATTAAGAAAATTTAGATAATAATTTTAATACTTTAGAATTTTTTAAATACAGGAAAGATTTAATTTTAAATTTTAAATTTAAATAATATTTCTATAAAAATGCATAGTAAATAAATATTTTATCGTATTTTATCATAAAAAATTGGTCTAAAATATCAAATATTTGAGATTAATAAATATTTATATTATACAATAATATAATCGAGCTGATTATAGTTATATATATATATATATTTAAGGTCCATGAGTTAATTTATTAAAACATGTAAGATATTAAGATGATTTGAGACAACTAAACTAACAGGTTAGCACGTTTATATATATATATATACATTTTTTTAATAGCACAAATAGTAAATAAATATCTTATTATATTTTTTCAAAATCAATTGGTCCAAATATTCCATATTATTAAATATTTATAGGGCTATACAATTATAATTATAGTCTTATACGGGTTAGTTTGTCAAAACATGTAAGATATTAAAAATTATTTAAGACAACTAAACGGATAGATTAGCAAATTCATAGATATATAGATTGTTTATGTGTAAATCTAAATTCACATAATAACAAATTTTATAATTAACATTAGATCAATGTATACTTAATTAATGTATACTCTTATTCTACTAATATACAAATTTTACTGTTTAAAACTAAAATATGATAACAATTTTTTGATTTAAAAAAATAAATAACAAAAATAAATTATATCAAAACAAAACAGATAAATGCAACTTATAATAGAAATAAAAAATAAAACATTCCCGTGCAGACGCACGGAGTTAAAATCTAGTATATTATATAGTAATACTAATACATATACGATGTAACTAATAAATAAAATAAAATAAACAGGCGGATGGGAGAAATGCTGGGAGGAAGAGATAACACCATGGGACCTTGGAGGAGCCACACCTCTCATTGTCCATCTTGTTGACTCTTCTTCTCTCCCTCTTGGCCGTGCTCTTGTCCCCGGCTGCGGCGGAGTTAGTCTTCTTCTTGCTCTTTTCTCTTTTTTTTTTCTTGGGTTTGGTTTGTTTTAGTGTTAGAGAAAATAAATTCGTATACTGACCACACTTAAATTGAATCTAGTTTGATTTGGTTTAGGGTTATTAGTGTTTTTTTTTTGTCAGACAGGATATATTAATTTAAAGAGTTTTAAAGAAAATTAACTAAGTAAGTATTGTAATCATTTAATGGTGGGTGTACATGTTTGGTCTTTAGTTTTAACCATCTAGATTTTTGTCTATGTAAATGTGAAATATATATTTTTTTTTAGAAATGTGAAATAGATTTAAATGAATTAAAATCATTATGTTTTGTTTGTATGTTTAGTTTTGGAGTCCTCTACTTGACTTAGGGACGTTAATTCAATCTAGTTTATGTTTTTTCTTGATAACACTAATAATAACAATAATAATTTCTAGTACTCGTTTCAATACATTATGATGATTTTCAGCTATGAATGTGAGCAGGGACACGACGTGGTTGCAATGGCAACCCCCGAGCGTTTCGTTGTTGGATTGGATATTTCCGAAAATGCCCTCAAGAAAGCTACTGAGGTTAATCATCTCTCTCTAATTCACCATCGTAATTAAGTTCGTCTTCAAGAAGTGAAATATTCATTAAATCTCTTTCGGATTACATATAGACTTACCGCTCTTCACCGAAGGCTAAGTACTTTACGTTCGTGAAGGAAGACTTCTTCACATGGCGTCCTAACGAATTATTCGACTTAATCTTCGATTATGTGTGAGTTAACTAACTATATAGCATAATGTTAGAGATAGGTAACTAATATTTAAATAATCAACTAATATGATATTCAACAGGGTCTTCTGTGCCATCGAGCCGGAGACGAGACCTGCATGGGCTAAATCCATGTATGAACTCTTGAAACCTGATGGCGAACTCATAACACTTATGTATCCGGTAATTAATTATTTTTATTCCATGTGAGAATTCCATGATTTAATGATAGAACCATTGAGGATATTAATTATATATTTTCATGCGTTTTGATTAATTAGATTACCGATCACGTTGGTGGACCTCCCTACAAAGTAGATGTCTCTACGTACGTAATAATCTCTTAATTTTGATTTATGGACAAAATTATTCTTATATTTATGTGACTGTTGAAAATCTGCAATTGCAGTAAGAGTAGCTAAAAATGTTAATTATGTGTGTGTTTGTTGAGGTTTAGCTACAAAGATGTTTTGGTTCCGGTAGGATTCAAGGCAGTGTCCATCGAAGAGAATCCGCATGCCATTGCCACTCGTAAGGTATAAAATTACACTCACATTAGGCTCGCAATAGTTAAAACCGTATGGAACCGAACAGATAGGACCGACCAAAAAACAACATCACATTGTTGCATTATCATTTTTGCTACTTTTCATCCGCAAATATACTCCATCACATTGTTGCACTATAACAAATAACTAAACTCTTAAGATAAAATTTTACGACCTCAAAAAAAAAAAAAATTATGATTGTGGTGTATATTAGTATATACACTAGTACACTACACATTTTAATATATATCACTTTTTCAATGATCAAAACAGAGCAATGCCATTAATTTACCTACAATTTCAAGACATAATTTTTTAAATATTTTGTGAGTTAACATTTTACTATTATGTGTTAACATTATATTTTCTTAGCATTTTGTAATAGAACTAACATAAATGTTATTATATTATATCGTTTTTGTTTCTGTGATCGTTTTTACATTCAAACTTTTTTTTTGTTCAAATCCAATTGCCATAGACTATGCTACTCCCACCTGGTTAATTACAAATCAAACAGTTTTTGTTAAAATATTAACAAACTGAGTTTACTTTAGTTGAAGTTTTTTTTTTTGAATCTAAGAATAAGAAGTTTAATAACACACAATTTTTCATTCGATTGATATGATGTATTTATAAAAAAATGAACAGGGAAAAGAGAAGCTTGCGAGGTGGAAGAAGATCAATTAATCCAAGAAAGAGATCTTGCTCTGTACTAAATGCGTCTTCCACTAATCTATTAAGAATGAAATGAATATCTTCGTTAATCTATGTTATATAAACATTTTATGTCCGAATGTGATGATTATTAATAAGATTAATGTTCATGATCTATATACAGTCTCTTCTGTTATAGCCACACTTAACAAATGAAATAATATAATTCGGTTTATGGGAAAAAATAAGAGTGGAGAAGAAGATGGTGGTGCGTATTGCAGAGAAATCTCAAACGATGAAAGATGATGAAAGAGGAAGAGAAACAAACTCAAACGCTCTCTCTCTCCTCCTCGCCATGTTTCTCCCGAACACTCCGCTCCATCTCTCTCTCCTTTTACATTTTCTTCTTCTCCTTTCTCTTTCTCATGATTCCTCTCTTTCTCCATTTCTTCCGCCATGGAAATCAACCACCACCACCACCATCACTCCGACGTGGACGACGACGACGAAGATGCTCTCTCCGCCATGAGCGCCATTCCTCCACCTCGTAAAATCCATTCCTACAGCCACCAGCTCCGTCCCTCCGGTCAAAAAGGCCCTCACCACCGCCATCGCCAGCATAGCCTCGACGACATCCCCAAAATCACCGAAATCGTCTCCGGCGATTCTTCCGATGACGAGTTTTACCATTACGCCACCTCCACCAATTCCTCCTCTTTCCCTTTCAACGGAGACCCCGGAGATTCCGACGATTACTTGATCACCCACCAGCCTGAAATCGGAGAGGATTTTCAGCCGCTGCCTGAATTCGTCGGATCCGGAGGCGGCGTCGGAATGTTCAAAGTCCCCACGCGATCTCCTTTGCACTCGGCGCGTCCTCCTTGCTTAGAGCTAAGGCCACACCCACTAAGGGAGACTCAGGTTGGGAGATTCCTGAGGAACATTGCTTGCACGGGGACTCAATTGTGGGCTGGGCAAGAGAGCGGCGTTCGATTCTGGAACTTCGACGATGCGTTCGAGCCAGGTTGTGGTCTCAGCGGCCGCGTACGGAGAGGTGACGAGGACGCTGCGCCGTTTCACGAGTCGGCTAGCACTTCGCCCACCACTTGTTTGATGGTTGACAATGGGAATAGGCTCGTTTGGAGTGGTCACAAGGACGGCAAGATTCGGTCTTGGAAGATGGATCCTACGGCTGATAATGATGATGATGATGGTGATGATACTCCTTTCAAGGAAGGCCTCTCTTGGCAAGCTCACAAGGGTCCCGTCAATTCCGTAATCATGAGTTCTTATGGTAAAATCTCTCTCTCTCTCGAAAATTATTCATTTTCCTATTAATTGCATTCAGTCTGTGAAACCCATAGCTTGTAATTGGGAAATCCAGGTGATCTGTGGTCATGTTCAGAAGGTGGTGTGATCAAGATATGGACTTGGGAATCTATGGAGAAATCACTTTCGCTTAGGTTGGAGGAGAAACATATGGCTGCATTGTTGGTTGAGAGGTCAGGGATTGATCTCAGGGCTCAAGTCACTGTTAATGGTACCTGCAGTATATCTTCCTCTGAAGTCAAATGTTTGCTAGCTGATAATGTAAGGTCTAAAGTGTGGGCTGCTCAGCTCCAAACCTTCTCCTTGTGGTGAGTTTATATTGATAGGTCCAAAATTTGATGCTTCTGTCTTCTTTGCTGTGAATTTTCTGAAGGGGTCGAATATCTTTTCAGGGATGGTCGCACAAAAGAGCTACTCAAAGTGTTCAACACAGAAGGTCAAAATGAAAACAGAGTCGAGATGCCATCGGGGCAGGATCAGTCACCGGAAGATGAGATGAAGGTGAAAATTGCTTCCACTTCGAAAAAGGAGAAGCCACATGGATTCTTGCAACGCTCAAGGAATGCTATAATGGGAGCTGCGGATGCTGTTCGAAGGGTTGCAACAAGAGGAGGAGGGGCATATGAAGATGCCAAGAGAACAGAAGCGATGGTATTAGCCGGGGATGGCATGATTTGGACCGGGTGCACAAATGGATTGCTTATACAATGGGATGGAAATGGGAACCGGTTGCAAGATTTCCGTCACCATCAGTGTGCTGTATTGTGTTTCTGCACTTTTGGGGAAAGAATCTACATTGGTTATGTTAGTGGTCACATCCAGATTATTGATCTTGAAGGCAATCTAATCGCGGGATGGGTTGCGCATAATAACGCAGTTATAAAAATGGCAGCAGCTAATGGCTATATTTTCAGCTTAGCCACTCATGGTGGTATACGTGGATGGCATGTGATTTCTCCTGGGCCTCTTGACGGGATTATAAGGTCGGAGTTGTCTGAAAAAGAACGGACATATGCACAGACAGACAGTGTTAGGATTCTGATCGGTTCATGGAATGTTGGCCAGGGAAAAGCTTCTCATGATGCCCTCATGTCTTGGTTAGGCTCTGTAGCATCAGATGTCGGTATTCTTGTCGTTGGCTTGCAAGAAGTAGAGATGGGTGCTGGATTTTTGGCAATGTCAGCAGCTAAAGAATCGGTGAGACAAACAACAGCTGTTTATTTTGACTTTTGATTTTCTTAATGCGTTATTTATGTTACTTATAACCTCTATGTTAGGTAGGAGGAAATGAAGGGAGTTCGATAGGACAGTATTGGATAGACACAATAGGGAAGACCTTAGACGAAAAATCAGTTTTTGAACGCATGGGATCGAGGCAGTTAGCTGGTTTGCTCATATCACTTTGGTGAGTTGATAGACTCCATGGGAGACCTTATCCAGTAGAACAAGTAAATGCTTTATTCATCTGTACTAACATTGATGGTGTGTCCTGAAATGTTTTGATTTCAATTCAGGGTGAGGAAGAATCTGAGAACACATGTAGGCGATATTGATGTTGCAGCGGTTCCATGTGGTTTTGGACGCGCAATTGGAAACAAGGTATATGATTCGTTGTCTTGAGATTAAAAGGGAAAGTCATAACCAAAGTTTCATTCCTTCCGTTCCTAATTAAGATACTCTTGACTTTTGATATCAAAACAGGGAGGTGTAGGTTTAAGGATTAGGGTCTTTGATCGGATTATGTGCTTCATCAACTGTCACTTGGCCGCACATCTGGAAGCTGTAAACCGTAGAAATGCTGATTTTGATCACATCTACAAAACAATGTCCTTTTCCCGGTCATCAAATGCTCATAATGCACCAGCCGGTATATCTATACCCCTACTTTCATCTCTCTTCTCTTTGCTGAATCTGCATGTATATACCTCATGGCTTTAATTTTGCAGCTGGGGTGACTACCGGTTCTCATACCACAAAGAGCGCAAATGTAAGCTCCTTTTTGTTCTTAGTCATTTATGTTATTGATCAATCATTTATTTCCTACATTTGGTTTGAATTTCTTGCTTACCTTAGACCCATCACACTTTCTGCAGAATATAAACGTCAACACAGAAGAGACGAAACAGGATCTAGCAGAGGCTGACATGGTTGTATTTTTTGGTGATTTCAACTACCGGCTCTTTGGTATATCATATGATGAAGCTAGAGACTTTGTTTCACAAAGAAGCTTTGATTGGCTTAGAGAAAAAGATCAACTCCGGGCTGAGATGAAAGCTGGGAAAGTTTTCCAAGGAATGCGTGAGGCCATCATCACTTTCCCTCCGACCTATAAGTTTGAAAGACACCGGCCTGGCTTAGGAGGTACATAAACTGCATTTGTATGCACGTATTTGTAGCATATTAAAGGTTGAGGTTTATTGTCAGTCATTTTCTTCCTCAGGGTACGATTCAGGAGAGAAAAAGCGGATTCCTGCTTGGTGTGATAGAGTAATATATAGAGACACGCGCACGAGTCCAGAATCTGGATGCAGTCTAGACTGTCCAGTCGTTGCTTCGATTATGCTGTAAGCTTTTCTTTCCACATTACAGAGATTCAAACTCTTGTGTCCCACAGAGTCTTTTAACATTTTTTTTTCTAATTTTTGGCATGGGTTATGAACAGGTATGATGCTTGTATGGACGTGACAGAGAGCGATCACAAACCGGTCCGTTGCAAATTTCATGTGAAGATAGAGCATGTTGATAGATCGGTAAGGAGACAAGAGTTTGGGAGAATCATCAAAACCAACGAGAAAGTCAGAGCGTTGCTTAACGACCTACGTTATGTACCAGAGACAGCTGTTAGCAGCAACAACATCGTTCTTCAGAACCAAGACACCTTCGTACTTCGCATCACCAACAAATGCGCCAAGGAGAACGCCGTATTCAGGATCTTATGCGAAGGGCAGAGTACGGTGAGGGAAGAGGAAGATACATTGGAGTTACATCCTTTAGGCTCATTTGGTTTCCCACGATGGCTCGAGGTATCGAAACTAAAACCATTAAATTCTTAACCACAGTTCTCTCACGACTCAGCTTGTAATGATGATTCGGTCTTTTTCTTGTCTTTTTTTTCTCAGGTGATGCCGGCTGCAGGAACTATAAAACCGGATAGTTCTGTGGAAGTATCGGTTCACCACGAGGAGTTCCATACGTTGGAGGAGTTTGTAGATGGGATTCCTCAGAATTGGTGGTGTGAGGACACGCGGGATAAAGAAGCAATACTTGTGGTCAATGTGCAAGGAAGCTGTTCGACTGAGACTGTGTGCCACCGGGTCCATGTTCGTCACTGCTTCTCGGCTAAAGCTCTTAGGATCGAGTCCAGTCCATCTAACTCCAAATCTACTAGTTTGAAGAAGAACGAAGGAGACTCTAAGTCTCATAGTAGTAAGAAGAACGATGGAGATTCCGGTTCCAGGTCTCATAAGAAGGGCGATGGAGATTCCGGTTCCAAGTCTCACAAGAAGAGCGATGGAGATTCCGGCTCCAAGTCTCACAAGAAGAAGGACGAAGGAGATTTTGGGTCCAAGTCTCATAAGAAGAAGGACGAAGGAGATTCGGGCTCTAAGTCTCATAAGAAGAAAGACGAAGGAGATTCTGGCTCCAAGTCTTATAAGAAGAAGGAGGAAGGAGATTCCAGCTCAAAGTCTCATAAGAAGAAGGAGGAAGGAGATTCTGGTTCCAAGTCTCATAAGAAGAAGGAGGAAGGAGATTCTGGCTCAAAGTCTCATAAGAAGAAGGACGAAGGAGACTCGAGCTCACACAAGTCTCAGAGTGGGAAGAAGACCAGTAGCTCGTCGACGGGAGAGGAGAGCCGGAAAGGCCACAACAAACGTTGACTTAATATTGTTTTAAGAGATCAGTATATTTTTTACACAAATACGAACCTACTTAACACTGTAGAATATACCAATCCTAACTTGTTTGTATTATACACTCAAATACCAAACTTTAATTTGTATTCTTTAATTTTATTGATCATAACAGGTTAGATTGTTTTCTGGTTCAGTCTTTTTGCTTAGTTTTGGTTTTTTTCCTTTGACCCTTTTTGGAGGGGTTTTAAGCATATATGAACCTTGCTAAGAAATCAACCTTGATTGAATTATCTTAATCATAATCGAATGTTGTAATGAGTAACAACAATCTTGGCTTCAACATATTAAGAGAAAAAAAATCCAGAAATTCAAACTAATATTCTGTACCAAAAAAGGAGTACAAATTATAGTATCATGATTTGAATGTAGACACAAAACAACTCGATCACGAACGCAAATAATACTCTGCACCCACGACGGTGTAATGTTATCGAGCACTAATTTGTGTCATGAAATCAAAGACAACCTTGAGGCATCACCACACCAGCCTTAGCTCCTTTAATATTCTTACAAGTGGAAGTAGCGGATCGTCCGTTGAACGTTAGCTTAATATCGTGCAATCTAATCGCTTGGCACGGATTACTGCGACTGCAATCAAACGTTAAAGCCTGTTGCGTTCGCGACGTCCCTTTAATGTTCCTATACACAATCTGACTAATCTTCACTCCAGAACCCTACAATATATAAACCAATCAGATTTAATTTGACCATTGTATAAGCTAAGGTTTCAGAATTCGGGTTAGTAGTTATTTTACCTGTTTAGGACAACCTTGATGAGTTGGACAATAATTCTGATCAACAATGATCGGATTCCGAACGTTTTTCATGACCAGATTCTGAAACAAAACGTTTCTCACAAAGCCTGTGCTTTTTCTAGCCCATGTCTTGATCCGAACACCATTATCTGAACCCGAAAAAACAGAGTTTACCAACGTTATGTTCTGTACTCCAGCTTCATTAGCGTCTCTCCCTAGACTCCCAATACTGCCACGCCCACACAATAAAATGTTATCATAAAATCAGTATCTTCATAATATTTGAAGCTTGTTCTCCAAGTTATCTTTTATTATTGTGTGTGTCATACCTGATTCCATGGCCTGGACCGCAGTTGAGTTTAGACATGTAGAGGTTACGAGTTCCCGGACCGATAGAGATACAGTCGTCTCCGGTTTGAAACGTACTATCGATTACGGTTACACCAGCAGAACCTTGGACGTGGAGGCCATCTGTGTTGGGACTTTGGTCTGGAGCCATTAGCTTTATTTTCCGGACAATTACATTGTTGCAGCTGTTTATCACTAAATGTGTTGCTTGACTGTTTATTGATTTTAAGCCGCTTATTACGACGTCGTTTGCCCAGTTAAACGTCATTGACTGCAAATGATTACAAAAAAATTGATTTAAAAATAATCCGAGCTAATTTTCAAGAACCAAGAAACCAAAAATAAAACGTTCCGGACCAACATATATAATCAGCTAAGATACCATATTATGATCTAGTAATTAATGAAAACATTGAAAAGTTAGTTAAATCGGTTAATCTTACTCTGGCTCCAGCAGGACAACTCTTTCCGGATTTCCGACAGGCCCAGAAAGAAGCACCTCTAGCATCCAACGTTCCTCCATTGATCGAGATCCGGTTAACTTTAACAAACAAGATCCAAGAACCGGAATTACCCAAACCACGGTAATCCGAAGGAGCTACAATCGTTCCATAGATCTGAAACGTGATTCTACTGCGGCAGGGACCCCGAAACTGCACCGGTTTTAGCAAGAAGCTTCCTCTCGGGACCGTTACCGTGACACTTGCAGCTGAACGGCATGCCGCTTGCCACGCGCCAAGGAAGGCTTTTGTGGAGTCGGTTCGACCGTCCGGTTTAGCACCGAACCGGACGACATTGTAGTTGGAAGCAGCCATTGATGTTCTCACCAGCAAGAAGCTTGAGAAGAACAGCAGCAAAACAGCTACAAGCTTATTGTAATCCATATTTATTGTTTCTTAAAGAGAAAGAGTAATAAATCTTTGTAGATTTTTAGAATTGGAAGTATTTATGTTTTTGTGTTTGTGGTGAAGTGTGAGGATGAAGGAATAGGAAACGGTTATGACGGGTATTTATATCTAATTTTATATATGGAGTTGCATGTTTAAATATTTGTATTTGAATACGTTGACTTATTTTAATTATAATGCTAATGATTGATTGATCATGATGAAACCATTCAAATGAATGAAATGTACGGTTCGCATAACCGCATGTGATGATAAGCAGTAGTGAATTCCTAAAGCAAACAAAATAATGTTGATCTATAAGCGAGTTCACATGTGATCCATGTTCACTTGTATAATTTATATATTAATTTAATTCTAGAATGTGATATAGTAATAATAATTGGTAACTTCAAAGGAAAATAAAACCCAAAAAATAAACTTAATAATTATAATGTAAGTGTCCGTGGACTTTTCTATTGTTCTTCTGTTTAATCCTATTAATTAATATAGTATTTAATTAAATTTAAAACGAAAAAGAGAAGCAATAGATCAGGTTTCATGTATAGTAGTATAATGAATGGCATGTGAAGATCGCAGCCGTAAAGGCAGAGAAGCCTCCGAATCCTACGGCATGAGTAGCATTAGTAGGCCTGGGCGTTCAGATATCCATTTGGGTTCGGTTCGGATAATTCGGGTTTTTGGATTTTCGGTTTTTAGATTTAAAACTTATTCGGATATTTTTGGAATTTCGGTTTGGATTCGGTTATATTCGATCGGATTCGGTTCGGGTTCGAATATCCAAAAAATAATAAAAATTAAACAGAAATAATTAAATTTAAATAAAATTGGTTAAATTCAAATAAAATTTGGCAAAATTTAACAAATATAACTAAAAACTTTAGTATATTTAAATTATTGTAGATTTTTTCATCATTTTCAGAATAAAAATAATTCATATTTAGAATTTATAATTATAATTTTAGGTTATTAAGTCTAAATGTAGTTAGTATTTTGGGTATATAATTGTACTTCAGATATTTCAAATATCTTTTCGGATTTTCGGTTCGGTTTGATTCGTTTTCGGTTTTTCAGATTTAGAAATTTAAAAACCGTTCGGATATTTTATCAGTTTTGGTTCGGATTCGGTTTCTCTTTTTCGGATCGGATTCGGATAAATTGTTCGGGTTCGGATAATGTGCCCATGCCTAAGCATTAGTCAACAAGGAAAAAAAAAAGGGTTGCTGAAAGTCAACCAATGCTTACTCACCACGTCATAAGAAACAAGTAACATGGGATGTGTAATGTAATATAGTTATATAAATATATATGGTCATTTGCGAAATTAATAGATAATTAGAATCACATGGGTTTACGTCAGGGATGAATGTATGATGGACCGTACCGTTATCAATGACGGTTACTCTCAATTCTTTTAATGGTTTTCTTCTGCAACTGACCTTATAATAGAGTGATTTTATTTGAATATTACAACATGTTGGCTTGAGACCCACGGTAGTGTCAAAAACCTTTTAGAGAAGAAAGGGGAAAAAACAGAGCAAGCAAAAAATAATTAGGTTTTTAGGTTTTATTTGACCTTAATTTTAACTATATTTTGATTTATCTTTTTCTTCTATCACTTGAAGGGATACCATTTGGATTACAGGTAGAGAATAAAATACAGAGACTCTGTTTTTTTATCAAAATATCATTTTCTCTTTTTTCTTCTTTAGGTTCTTTTGGTCAAAAAGAACCCGCTAACTTAGAAAGGTGAAAACCCGAGATTAAGAATAATCATCTTTGCGAACAAAAATAATCCATAAACTCGATGAGTCTAAACTGATGTCTGGACTTGAAATCATCACCTTCAAGACGAGCTTAATTATTTCTTTGTGGACTCGCAGAGATTCTGAAACAAAACCACATTATTCAAGACACAAGGGTCCGTCCACTCATCTTCTCTGCCAGTAAAAATATCATAAGAATTGCTTTCTGCTCATAGATTCATTGATAAAACTCTGTCATTTATGCATTGAATTCTGAAATTGAATTGAATATGTTTTATCTTACTTTTACCGATTATGTTTTGTTTCAAAGGCATATTCATTTATGAACCGTGATTATGTTATAGAATTGGCATGTGACATGTGGTAATGGAAGGGAAGAGATCCGATCTTGGTGCTACAGTCAACGTAAAACCACATTTCATTAAGTCCCTCAACCAATATATAGACAAGAAAAACAAAATCAACTGTGTTACCTTCGAATTCTATATATTGCTTTTTTTTAGAAAAAAAATTTCAAGTAAAACAGAATTCGTAGAAGCACATTGATAAGCGAACAATCAAATTGATTGTTTCCCTTTTACTTCCACTAACACCAAAGAACTCGCCACATTCAAATTCGGACGAATCTAAAGTTATGAAACATCAAGCAAACTTCACCTTATAACACATCTACACCCAACAATTAAAAACTTAGGGTTTATATTAAGTATATAATCCCAATTATGAAATCTTAAATTTCTGATTTCACATACAATTCCTTGGAACCATAACTCCAGAGGCTTTTCCATGAGCGTTCTTGCAATAAGAGGCTGATGATTTTCTCATGTAAGTAAGATTAATGTTTCGTAACGTAATCCCTGTGCAATGATGGCTTCCACTACAATCTAGTTTCATAGCTATCGGTCTTGTTGATGTTCCCTTTATATTGGCAAATGTAACTCCACTTATCTTCACACCAGAACTCTATATGATCAATCATAACAAGTTTCATTAGAAATCAATGAAGGCTATTTATAAGAGTTACGCCAAGTTGATTATGTTATTCACCTGACGAGGGCACCCTGATCCACTAGGGCAATAGTTTTGATCAATGATCAGAGGATAACCGACATTTCTCATTACTAGGTTTCGAAATTGCACATTCCTAACAAATCCATTGCTTGGTCTAGCCCAAGTCTTTATTCTGACTCCGTTTTGCGTCCTAGTGAAAACAGAAGTCGTGACGGTTACATTCTCCACACCTTCCTCGTTAGCGTATTCCCCAAGACTCCCAATGCTGCATCATATTTACAGGTGAGTCCATGTCAATTAATTATTACTAAATCATCACATATATAATTAGTTGAGTAATATTAAATTTAGTTACCTGATTCCATGTCCGGGTCCACAGCTCACGCGTTCGATCCATATGTTCTTAGATCCGTGATTAAGAGCAATGCAGTCATCACCGGTCCCAATGCTTGACCTACTAATGGTGACTCCAGAAGAAGACTGGACAATTATACCGTCAGTATTAGGGCTTCCACTTGGAGCCCTAATCCTTATGCCTTGAATCCGAACATTAGAAGAATGATGAACCGTTAGGTGAATATGCTGACTATATAACGACGTTAGGCCGCTTAGTAGAACGTTACTGCACCAGCTAAAAGATATAGACTGCAAAAAAAAAAAAAACCATATTGAAATTTTGATTATGTATATATACACCAAAATAGCTAGCTAACTAAAGAACAAATCGAAGATAAACATACCCTTGCACCTTGAGGACAATAACCACCTTTTTTTCTACAATTCCAATAACCAGTTCCTCTAGCATCAATCGTTCCACCATAAACAGAGATACCGTTTACCTTAGCGAATAGGATCCAATAACCAGAGGTACCTATACTCCAGTAATTCGCTGGAGCTATTAGCTTGCCGTCGATTTTGAAAGTTATAATGTTCTTGCAAGGACCCCAAAAAACTATGTTTCTGATTAAGTATGTTCCACGGGGAATGTAGACCATGGCTCGAGCCCGTGAGCCACATGCTAATGACCAAGCCGTCAAAAATGGCTTAGTCGAGTCTGTTCTCCCATCACCTCTAGCTCCGTATCTTTGTACGTTATACGATGGCATTGCGATTGATGGGTTGATAAGAAAGAAAAGAATAGAGAATAATGTGATGGCACAAGGAAAAGAGATGTTCTTGGCCATCTTAATATTTTCTAATTATTGATAGCTTTGTTTGATTATAATGATCTAGGAAGAAGTAATGAGTAAGGCTATATATAGGGATATAACATTTTTTTATATTTGATTGGACGTGTTTTATGGCTAATCGCGTTATATGCGATGTATTAGAATATGACTGTCATTTGATTCCGTGTTATTATTCGTTTGGGACGTACGTACAGACGTAAAAATATTGCAAAACAATATGTAGTACGTACTCAAATTCCACGTTCTCTCATATGCACTGTTTATTGTTTTCCTTTTCAAATTAATTCATGAGCCGGTTGTCAACAAAAAGAAGTAACTATTGACATTGCTTCGCTTCATATGAATCATATTCGACAAATTGACTTTCGTTTGATATGTATTTGCAAAATAACATTCAGTGGGTTGAAAAATTAACATGTGTGGAAAAACTATAGATTCCCTTTTTTGTTATAAAGATGATGTAACAGATTTAATTTTTTTTATAAAAATTCAAATTTAACAAATGAGAGTGGATATTTACAAAAGAGTGTGCCTAGAAGCAAAAAAAAAAAAAAAGAATAAATTACATTGGTTCATAATGTGATAAAATTGTAGTAAATACTTTGGTGAAATGGAAAGAGGGAAAAAATATTCATATATTAAATGTTGAATATTTTATAATTAATTGATATAAACTATTATCTAAACAAATTAATGTGATTGGCAGATATTGTATATAATCTACAGTTATTTAACATTATTTTTTTTTTCTCTTAGAACCTCTCGTATGATATTACGTTAGCATGACAGTTTTGTAAATCATAAAGCAGTAAGGAAGCAATAATTCATGGCATGTGAAGTAGAAAAATGATATGTACGGTTCACATGCGATGATAAGCAATAAGAACAGTTCAAGGCTTCAGGCAACTTTTAATACTACTTAAAAGCATGTGACATTAGAATGTGCCGACTATCTCTGTCGCTACTATTCGAGACATTTATTTTCTAAACTTGTTAGAAAATGAAAAAGTCAAGTGGGGGTTGGGAACTCAATGAGTTTATTAGGTTGTTTCATTTATTTTTTGTTTTTTGGCTATCATGCTGCCGTTGAGCAATTAATGAACATACAAATAAATCTTCACAATGGCCGAGATATCGTACTCTGCTGAAGAAAATAGTCAACTTCATCCTTCAGTTCTTTTATTGCTTTCTTGGATTAGTGTCGCATAATTCAAATATCAAGAAGTCTTTTAAGTTGAGAGGGTCGTTACCTTGTTCTACGTGAACCGGCTTGGTTACAGAAGCAGAACCACATTCGTAATGATGCAAATTGCTGAAATTATTTTTCTGCGTTGCTTTTTTTCTTGGCTAATACTAGTAAGCTCTATTTATTTGTTTTTGTTCTTGCGTTTTTATTGACCTAGTTTTATGAAAATTTCAAACGCCTTTAACAAAAAAGAAAATATCAAACGATGGAAAATGAACTACTTTAAAAACAATCGCCATTCATTAACTTTATTTTTAGAAAGCTTTGAGTCAATCGAGTACAATGTGAATTTCTGTCAACACCATAAGTTGGTTCAACGTTTTAATGTGCTGATGTAAAATACTACTGATCAAATTCAACATCCTGGATGATCCTACATTTTGAACGATCATTCAAAGTAGAATGATCCTACATTTTGAACGATCAAATCAGAGCAAAGAAGAATAAATAAAGAAAAAGCATATTTATATATGAGCCTTATGTTATGGAACTGGCATGTGACATGTGGTAATGGAAGGGAGGAGATCCGATCTTAGCCCTCAAAACGAATCTTAATTAAGGTACTACACAGTCAACGAAAAACCCATATCAACCCCTCAAGGCCTAAACCAATTTAAATACACAAGAAAAACAAAAATTAACTGTGTAATTAAAAATTGATCTTCGGCTTATATGATTTCTATTGCTCATATTGCTCTTCGGCTTAAATAAAATTCCACATTGCTCTTCTTATTTTTACATGATTTCTCTTGTTCATACAGGTTGACTATCGGTTAGTTATTTGTTTAAGCCGAAGAGCAATATGGGCAATAGAAATTTCACATATATTTTACATAAATTGAAATTCCAAGCAAAACCAAATTGGTACAAGCCCATTGAATAAGCGAACAATAAAATTGGTTGCTTCCCTTCATTTATAATTTTATATTCACACCAAGGAATTCACCACGTTTAAATTCGGATGAATCTAAGGTTATGAATTACATCAAACGAATCAAACAAACATCACCTTATAACATATCTACACCCAACAATTGATCTTCGGCTTTATAAATATAATCCAAATTATTAAATGTTGGATTCCTGATTCACAAACAATTCCTTGGAACCATAACTCCGGAGGCTCGTCCATGGACATTCCGGCAATACGAAGTCGATGATCTTCTCCTGTAAGTAAGCTTAATGTCTTGTAACCTAAGTCCTGTGCAATGATTGCTTCCACTACAGTCCAGTTTCATAGCTATTGGTGTTGTTGATGTTCCTTTTATGTTTGCAAAAGTCACTCCACTTATCTTCACACCAGAGCTCTATATGATCAATCATTATAAGTTTCCATTAGAAAGAAATTAAGACTATATAAGAGACTTGAGTTACACCAAATTTCTCAGGTTCAGGTTATTCACCTGACGTGGACAGCCTTTTCCATTAGGGCAGTAGTTTTGATCGATGATCACCGGATTATCCACATTTCTCATGATTAAATTTCGATATACCACATTCCTCACAAACCCTCTGCTTGGTCTAGCCCAAGTCTTTATCCTTACTCCATTTTGCGTCTTGGTGAAAACAGAGCTCGTGACGGTTACATTCTGCACACCTTCCTCGTTAGCGTAATCACCAAGACTCCCAATGCTGATACAAATTTACAAACAAACCCCCATGTTAATCAATGCCTTGATAATTAGTACTAAATCAGCATGTTAATTAAGTCTATTATTGTTCATTTTTAGTTACCTGATTCCATGTCCGGGTCCACAGTTCACACGTTCAATCCAAATGTTCCTAGATCCTTGACTAAGAGCAATGCAGTCATCACCAGTCGCAATGGTTCCACCACTAATGGTGACTCCAGAAGAAGACTGGATGTGGATACCGTCGGTGTTAGGGCTTCCACTTGGAGCCCTAATCCTTATGTTTTGAATCCGAACATTAGAAGAATGATGTACCGTGACGTGCATATTCTGGCTATTGTACGACGTTAGACCGCTTAATAGAACATTGTTACACCAACTAAACGATATAGACTGCCAAAAAAAAAAACAAAAACTTATCAAAATTTTGATTATTATTCCAAAATAGCTAGCTAAAGAAGAAATCGAAATCAATCATGTCCGGTTTTGATATAAACATACCCTTGCACCTTGAGGGCAATGACCACCTTTTTTTCTACAGGACCAATAACCAGCTCCTCTAGCATCGATGGTTCCACCATAAACCGAGATCCGGTTTACCTTAGCGAATAGGATCCAATAACCAGAATTACCTATACTCCAGTAATTCGCTGGAGCTACTAGCGTTCCATCGATTTTGAAAGTTATAATGTTCTTGCAAGGACCCCAAAAAACTATGTTTCTGACCAAGTATGTTCCACGGGGAATGTAGACCATGGCTCGAGCTCTTGAGCGGCATGCTAATGACCAAGCCGTCAAAAATGGCTTGGTCGCATCTGTTCTTCCATCACCTCTAGCTCCGTATCTTTGTACGTTGAATGAAGGCATTGCGTTGGAAGAGTTAATAAGAAGTAAGACAATGGAAAATAATATGCTGGCAAAAGGAAAAGGAGTGTTTTTTGCCATCTTAGATTTGTTTTTTCTCTAGTTTTTGATGGCTTTGTGTGATGAGAAGAAATAATGAGAAACTTTATATATATGTATGGACTTTTTGTATTAGATCGGACGATCCGTGTATTAATGACCAACCGCGTCATTCGCGATGCATTAATATATAAGTGACCTAGAGTTTACTCGATTCCATGTTATTTAATCATATAATGTAGTAATGGCTTTTTCTGTATAACTTGTTATTGTACGACAATTAGTCTATGAGCCGCATGAACTGCAAAAAAAAAAAAAATAGGAGTTTCCATTTCCACGTTATTAATATATATATATATATATATATATATATCCAAATGTTTAGTGAGACTCTCTTTCAGAATTGTTATATTTCTTAACATTTAAAGGTGATATATTAGTTTTTATGGTTTTTAGATTTGTTGATAATACATACACGGTATTTTCTTTTCTTTTTTTCTGAAAATATATAAATAAACGGTTTTCACGATGCATTGTAATCAAACTCGGGTTATAGAGAAATTTTGTTATATTTGTTTATTTGGTAATAAAACATTAACATTAATCAAGTGGAGAAGAAACCTAAAAACAAAAGTTATCTGTGAGACTGTGACAGTTGGAAATAATTGTAGTGTCACATGGAGGAAATTCTGCAGGATAATTGGGCGGGAATATATGCAATGCATGGCTCCTGCAAACCCTCAATAGTTTTAAGGTTTAAATAATTGTATGGTCGAAGGAAATGAAATATACTAATTTAGTCCTTATAATGGTTGATTTTATTTAAGAAACTAAATTGAACTGAGTGGCTAATAAACATCAAGGAACCAATGTGGAATTAGTGACTTTATAAATATATAAGCTATATCATATATCATAAAATATATATAGAATAAAAAATATATATATATAGAATAAAAAATAATTTCTTTTTGTTGCAAATAAGAGAAATCTGAAAGAGGAAATCAAATTTAATATGCGTGCGTGTTATAAGTCTTACATCACTGCCAAAAGATTAATAATTAACAGTATTTTTTTTTAATGAATATAGATCATTTTATTCATTATCTTGAATGAGATGTTCATGAGCCTTGAGAGAACAAAACGGTTGTGGTGTCACGTTATAGACAGTGTACATCTCTTTTTCTTTTCTTTATGCTTTGTATCACATTGTTTGTCTATTTCAAATCTATAACTTGTGCTACATAAGACTTTATTAAATATTTTTTTTAAAAAAAAAAACAATGCAAGAAGAAAAGGTTCTTGATCTATTGTGGGCCCATTTAAAGGCCTTGTTTACTTATCGAGGCCCAATTTTTCCGAAGTATAGAAGCATACTTTTGCGTAAGCAAGCTAGAAACATACTTAGTTTGCATATCACAATTCGTAACTCTAAGATTATATGGTGTGTGAGTTTTTTTCCCTCTCTGATATACCGACATGGTTATCTCCTCGCTCGTTTATGTACAGCTATGTATGACATGGTTATGTTTCTCAAAATCAGTCTCTAACCTCAACTAACATAACGAAACACGTTATAAATGTTTGGTCCATACTCATTTTCGGGTCCATACTCGTTATAAATAACTCATTTTCGGGTCCATGCTAAATTCTTTCTTTAGATATATCCGCACCATGTCAGTGAATACATGCATATACGTGACAATCAAAGAGAAACATGAATTTAACATGATGTCCTTACCCAATAAATGCATCAAAGCATAGATGCATACGCAATAAATGTTTTACGTGAAGTGAAATATGATATTTCTGAGATCTTGAAATGCATGTGATCAGCACTGGACAACATAATCATGATAACCATTTTTCAACGACAAAAAAAAGACATAATTATGATAATATAAAAATAATATTATAATATTTTTTTTTATGAATGGTTCATTTGATCGAATCATGTATTAGATCAGAAATATCTTCATACATAGGAGGGTTTGACATTTTAATTTTTCAGTTTAGTAAAGATCAGTTGAGTTCTTACGGGTTGAGTTATATATATGGTTTTAATTTAGTTTATTTTGTTTCTTTTCAAAATTAGGCCAAAATATGATTAGATAAAAACTTTTTTCTGAGTATTCTAATAATTGAGTAATATTACTACATTTTTATTATTTTCTAAATTGTTTAAAAATAAAATCCGGTTTATTTTTTATAGATCCCAAAGATAAATAACGAAAAAAAACTTAGCTAAATAATTAAAAATATAGAGAAGAGAAACAAAATATTTAGAAACATATGACAAAATTCAGGTAGAAACCAATTTAGAAATATATGACAAAATATTTAGAAACATATGGCACTACCGCACTACTTTTCAATTTTATTTTATTTCCTGCTAAGGGTAATTTTAATTTTTTTTGTTCTTTCTATTTGTGTATACGCGAATCAAAGTATAAGTAGTCTAGATAGCTATTAAAAAAAAAAACTGAAAGAAATTGACACATTGAAAAGGGCACATGGGGTAGGACCGTGGGAGCCAGATCTAGAATCGTAAGTCACAACATATAACTAAGAGTGGATTAACAAAGTAAATAACTTAGGCTACAAGGAAGACCCAAACAAACAAAAATAACTTAGACTAACTACAAGCTTATGCTATATTACATACGTAAATTTTCAGAGAACCATTCTTTTAGATCTACGGAAAGATTGAGTCACAAATCAATTTCGATCCTTGGACATGCAATTAGTAATTTAGTATTGATAAATGATATGGTGCCTCACTATCCTTTCGAAAGTAATTATCCGAAAAAGTATATTGGACTAGTTAATTACTTAATTAACCTCATCTCATCTTATATTTCTGATTCTCTCCATCAGCACGTCAATTAAAGTGCACGAACTTGAAAAATGTGATTAATCAAATGTTTGACTTATGAAAACATTCAAGTATAGGGATTTAATTTAGGGAAAATTGGAAGTACCTTTCGGTGTGATCATTGGCCAATTTCTCCTCCGTATTATTTTCTACTTGTCACGTTCCGTAACCATGTTGCTCCACCCCACCCATCCATTCTATATTTACGGACTAAAATATCCAATCATCCAAATTTGTTTCCCCATATATGCTTGTTCCCTATTTTTCTTTGTCTTTTTTCATAAACCTTCATACCATACATTGCAGACTAATTGCTTTGTTAACCGTTAGAATCCCAAATTGAAATATAAGCTACTCTTCAAAACCTATAAGAAAAACATGACCAATCATGATTATAATTTGACAATTTTGTTTAAAAAGAAATGGTTCTAATGACAATAAAACACAATTAAAAAAATTTCAGATATGGTCTTCAACTAATCACTATGAGTTGGTTTAGAATATTGCCAAGGATCATCTATATAAGCAAGAGGCTTAAACCAACTTGGCTGATACCTTAGGTCGCAGTCAACCATAAAAGAGAGATCCACAAACGTTGTTTTGACGGATTAACGCTGCATTTATTCATTGAATCCGTTTGGTTATGTAGGAACGGAAACAAAATACAAAATATGATCTCGATCCCTACGACAATGAAAAATCAAAGAGTTACCAAGTCTTCCACATATTAACATAACATCATTGTCGGAACAAAAAATTAACATATACTAAACGAACTGTTTGGACCAAGTCAACAGTTCTCAGTCCATGAACTTCTTCTTTGGTTTTCTTACTCTGCTTATCTAATTGCCACGTTATTTTCTTTGTCCCCATATGGAATTCAATTCTACTTTTCCTCTACGGAATATGATGGGTCAGATACCAAAAAGGAAAAAAAAAATTACTTTCAAGATTAATTTATGTTAGCATGAATATATTTGGTATTTCATTGAGTCATTAACAAAATAATCCCAGTGTCCAGATTATTACGTAGTACGGAAACTTTAAGTACTTTTAAATTTACTAAAGAAAGTTTAGGTACTTTTTAATTACTAAATAAACTTTAGGTACTTGAGCGTAATTAGACAAACTTCACGGGGAAATAATCATTTTACTGAGTTGTGATGTACTGATTTTATCCACACTACGTGATCTTCGCTAATACACTTTTTAAGTTAGATTTAATAAACAAATTAAGGTAAATTAATTTTGCGGCTTCATCACGTTGGAGGTGCAGCCAAAAATGTAAAGACTTTGCGTGTTCTTCTCATAAATTAACGAACTCTTCGCATTTCCACGTACGTTGGTTCGTGTATTTCTCCAATAAAAATATATTGACCATTGCAATTTCAAATTTCCTACCTTTTATTCTACTTCTCCTGCTTTCTCTTTCACACTCGATTTTATTTTCATACTTGTTTTCAAAGATTTAGTTTTTCCTTTTCTTGGGGTGTATAGGAAATTTAGGCAAACAACTGTTTTATTTAGAACAAATAAAAGAATGATGTTTTTGTAATCTAGTATCCTATAAACAGATTATCGATAATATTTATATAGATTATATGCTAATAACTATAATTTGGTTTTAATAACCGGAATCCAGGACTAAACTCGTATTAATCCTTGAAATCTGTAAAAGCCAGAGCTAAAGTGCTTTACAAAAAGTGTATTATATTTACCTACCATATCAATTATCATGATTTAGCTGAACATGTTCTAATTTTAGTCACACGACAAACTGATGACAACTAAAAAAAAATAAAAAAAAAATATTATATGAGCATAATATTCCATTTTAACATACCAACAGATCTTATTATATATTTGTATACAGATGTTTGTAGTAATATGCGTTTTGGAATGAAAACAATCATGCGAAACAAATTCACACCTAATTTCTTATCCATACAAAGGTTACTATATATGTTCATACCAAATCCAATATCACTCTTTATTATAAAAATAAATCAAATAATAAAATAATAATAATAAAAAAAAAAAGCCCTTCACATACATCACAAACACTATAAATACACACCTTAACCGATAAAACATCCCACACCACCACCACTACTCCATTCTCCCTCTCTCTCTGGACAATAGCGACATACAATGGCTTCACTTCTTTTCCTTTTCGTCTTCTTCTTCTTAATCATCTCCACTTGTTCTGCTCAATCCTACAACGTTTTGTCTTTCGGAGCTAAGCCAGACGGAAAGACAGACGCAACCAAAGCGTTTATGGCGGTTTGGGAAACTGCTTGTGCCTCGTCTGGTGCCGTTACCATTGTGGTTCCTAAAGGCCGGTTCTTGTTAAGGAGCCTTAATTTCGACGGTTCCAAGTGCAGGCCCAAGCCCCTCACGTTCCGTATCGACGGTACATTGGTGGCTCCGGCTGATTATCGAGTTATCGGAAATGAAGACTACTGGATTTTTTTCCAGCATCTCGACGGCGTCACCGTCTACGGCGGAATTCTTGACGCTCAAGGAGCTTCTCTTTGGGACTGTAAAAAATCCGGCAAGAATTGCCCCAGCGGAGCCACGGTACGTAACGTCCTTGAAATTTACCATTTTGCCGTAAAATTTAACTCATATTATGATTCCATTTATTTTATTTTTATCTAAAACATTCTGGACCATAAAATTTGACGTTTAGGAAATGCCGCTAGATATCACCATTTTTCATAATAAGAAGTAAACTAGTTTCTAAGTATGAATGTGAATGCTAATTATCTATTAGTCAATCGCAGAGTACTAATTACCAGATAAACAAGAAACAAAAAAGGCTCAATTAGCTTGTAAGAGAAATTGAAGCTTTCACGATTTCTTATCTAAAAAGACATTTGCCAAACTCATCATAAAAAAAAAAAACAAAAAAGGCTCAGTTGAAGTTTTAACAATTTCTTATCTAAAAATACAATTGCTAAATTCGTTTCCAAAATAAATTATATTACTAATGAGTAATGACACACTTTTCTGAATTATTAAGTTTTAACGGTTTCTTAATAACAATCCCACCATTCCTAATTCACGTGGACCAAAGTGACCAACCATGGATATTCATTATTCACATATCATTATCATAATATATATAAAAGATTTTATTAGTAAATGAGACGGTTATTATCATGTGAATCAACAGACCATAGGGTTTCAGAGCTCAAACAACGTCGTGGTCTCCGGGCTGACGTCACTCAACAGCCAGATGTTCCACGTCGTCATCAACGGTTGCAACAACGTAAAGCTTCAAGGAGTCAAAGTATTAGCCGCAGGAAACAGCCCCAACACAGACGGTATCCACGTTCAGTCTTCCTCCACTGTCTCTATCTTCAATACCAAAATTTCCACTGGCGATGATTGTGTCTCCATCGGTCCCGGCACTAACGGTCTCTGGATCGAAAATGTCGCATGTGGTCCAGGTCATGGCATCAGGTATATACATTTTTTATATTCCCATACTTCTCATAACTATAACTATAAGTTTCATAACTCATCATATTATATATGGCAGTCTCAAAAGAGATATTGTATATATCTTGAAAATAATACTCGTGGTATTTTTAAATCGAATACGAAAATTATATTTTTCATTGATATGCATTCATAGATCAGTTGGTTTGATAAAGTTTTTTTTTTTTTGACAAAATATTTTGGATGGATATTGCATTTGCAGCATTGGGAGTTTGGGGAAAGATAGTGTGGAGTCGGGTGTAGAGAACGTGACTGTGAAAACGGTAACGTTTACGGGAACAGATAATGGAGTGAGAATCAAATCATGGGCCAGGCCCAGTAGTGGATTCGCTAGGAAAATCCGTTTTCAACATTGTGTGATGAAGAACGTAGAGAATCCCATCGTTATTGACCAAAACTATTGTCCTCGTAACGAAAATTGCCCTCGCCAGGTACTTAACTGGATTGAGTTAAGTAATATATGTACATAAAATTTTTGAGTATTAATCGATTTTTTTCGCCATCATTTTTTGCAGGTTTCGGGGATCAAAATCAGCGATGTGTTGTTCGTAGATATACATGGAAGCTCGGCGACTGAAGTCGGAGTGAAACTTGATTGTAGTCCTAAGAAACCGTGTACCGGAATCCGACTTGAGGATGTGAAGTTAACGTACCGGAATAAACCGGCTGCATCGGCTTGTGTTCATGCCGGAGGGATAGAAGCCGGATTTCTTCAGCCAAACTGCCTATGACAAATATGAAAATACATCTTTTTATTAATTACTCCTATTATTATTACTTAAAAATTAAAAGTAGTTTAGAAAAAGGTAAATCATAATTTCCTAATTTGCATGAGCCTGTGGCGATTGACGGCCCCTGAGCCTAGAGCCTGGCCTTGCTTTGTAGAATATGGCTTATTGCAACCACTGATGATTTAATATGTGTTGTGTAAGTTCTGTTATTTGTTAGAATTAATATTATTTTAATTATCCGTTTGGGAATAATTTTTTTCTTTTCGAATTATTGGTTGAAGTTTTCTTTATCATTATTCATTGTATGGTTTTTCTTAGTAGTTATATGTTTCTTACAGTTGTGATTTATTCTATAAAAAAAAGATATTAAAAGACAAGTCTCCTCAATCTCGCGCCATTTTCTTTTGTTTGTTCTGGTACACTTGCATTATTTTAGTGGCTCCGTATTTTGCTCTTCAATGTAAAGAAATGTCTCACAGTTTTAACTTTACGTCGCTATAATTCAACTATTAATTTCAGAGTGAAACATTAATAAATATTAATTACTATCATTCGTTATTAATACATACTCCTTAAAATTACTTGGAAAATACAGACTATAGATTTTTTTGTTTGTTTTATTGAACGTACGCTAGTCCACAATTTTATTTTTTTTTAATATAAAACGTTGCCTTTAATATTCATCTTACCTTGCTAAATGGATTTTTCAAAATTGATTTTTCTGACAATGACTAACCAAAAAACAAGATATACAGTATATTACTTGTATAAAGAAATCAAGAAACTGAATCTTACGTAATGAAGTGTGAATTTAACGCAAGTGATAAACGAATCTCATGGCAACACAAGAAAAACGATACGAACATCCATTGTTTAATGCATGTTTTCTGTATTTCATCTCCTACTATATCTATTTAATACTTAGTTAGTTTTATGTAATGTTTTGAATGCGCATTGCCATTTGCCACAGTTCTATAGATTCTTTATTGGTAATCCTTTTTTGTCTAAAATCATTATATCGGAATCTATAAGAAAAAAAAGAAAAAAGTTGACTGATCATTAATCCACTGCTCATGTAATTTATAGTACATTTTTCTACGACTAATGATTTTTAATTGTACGTTTACTAAAAAGTCTGAGAAGCTATTTGTCTAATTGGTATGCAATTCGAATGATTCTAAATGTTTATGATTCTCTGTTATTCACCAAAGAGTTTAGGAATTGGGCGTAAAACTAATTAAGGATATTGCATGTGCTATAGTATATATATATGTATCCATGATGGTAATTTTTTACTTCACCAAAGTAGTTAAATTAGTGAATAGTAAATGACAATTAATAATACCCAAAAAAGGAAAATACAATCATGAGATGCTAAACTTTCTTCTTTTTGTTGTCAATCCATGATCAAAAATTAACAAACAAAAGAGATACCAAATCAATCCATAATTCATATACAATCAATTTTCAGTCAAATACATCAACCAATTATACACTAGTCAGTAAATCACCCCAAATCATTATTGAATCTCTGTCAAAACTGACTAAATACAATTTCGTACAAGTTGCCACAACCGTATATTACTTTTTAAAAATAACTTCCATAAAAATTGATCAGTACGTTACTATCATAAAATTCCTATAAATTGGCCTCTCACACAGACCTTGTTCTCCAACATCCTTCATCCTCAAAACACTAATTCACCTTCTCTAAAAAAAAATTATAAAATGGTTCAGAAAACTCCATGTATCCTTCTTCCTTTTGCTCTCCTCTTTCTTGAATTCATCTTATTTTCATCATTAGCCAAACCAATTCCAACCACATTCGTCAACGTCTTAACCTACGGAGCTAAACCAGATGGTTCAACAGACTCAACCAAAGCCTTCTTAGCCGCGTGGCACGTCGCATGTACCTCTGCTAATCCTACAACTATTATCGTACCAAAAGGACGGTTCTTGGTCGGAAACCTTGTTTTCCAAGGCAACAAGTGTACGGATGCTCCAATATCTATTCGTATAGCCGGTTCAATAATTGCTCCGGAAGATTATAGAGTTATCGCAAGCTCAGAACAGTGGATTTGGTTCGAGGACGTTACTGATGTTTCAATCTACGGTGGAGTACTTGACGCGCAAGGTACTAGTTTGTGGAAATGCAAGAACAACGGTGACGGAAATTGCCCTAACGGTGCCAAGGTTTGATTGACCCACAAGAAACAAACAAAATTTCTTAAAATTACATGCAGTTTTTAATTGATTTTTATTTATTTGTCAAATTGCTTTTGCAGACTTTGTTATTTACTGGGTCGAATAACATCATTATCAACGGTCTAACGTCGATCAACAGCCAGAGATTCCACATAGTTATCGATAATAGCAATAACGTGAACATTGACGGCGTTAAGGTTTCTGCTGATGGAAATAGCCCTAATACCGATGGGATTCACATCCAATCATCTCACTCAGTCCATATCACCAACTCGAGAATAGGAACCGGAGACGATTGCATCTCCATCGGTCCAGGATCCACTTATGTCATCATTCAAAACATTCAATGCGGTCCAGGGCACGGTATTAGGTAACACAAAAATTCATTTCTTGCCACATAAGATACCTAATTTCTAAACTACAGACCTTTAATTTGTGGATACTCGAAAACAGTATCGGAAGTCTTGGGAGAGTAGAGGAAGAACAAGGAGTGGAGAACGTAACGGTGAGTAACGTGGATTTCTTGGCAACGGAAAACGGAGTAAGGATCAAAACATGGGGTAAAACTAGCAAGAGTTTTGCTAGAAACATCGTTTTCCAACATATTAATATGAAGATGGTCAAGAACCCGATCATTATAGACCAGCATTATTGTCTTGACAAACCTTGCCCTATACAGGTAAAATAAAATTAAGTAACCATATCTTTTTTTTTTTTTTTTTTTTTGAACCTTAAGTAACCATATCTTATACACTTAATTGGATAGATTGAGTCATTTAATTTGTATATTTAATTTATAGGAATCTGGAGTTGAAGTATCAAATGTGAGATATGAAGATATACGCGGGACTTCTAATACGGAAGTGGCGATTATGTTGGATTGTAGTAAGGAGAAACCATGTACCGGTATTGTAATGGGCGATGTGAATCTCGTCTTGGTTAACCGGCCGGCTCAGGCTTCTTGCGATCATGCTGATGGATTAGCCAACGACGTCGTCCCGTTCGCTCCTTGTCTAAAGAGAGACTAATGATATATAATAAATAAATAGATGGATCTCCGAAGCGACGTCGTCCCGATCGCTCCTTGTCTTAAAGATGAGTTTGATGCAGATGAATCTGTGAACGACGTCGTCATGTTTGCTACTTGTTTGTTTGTGTTTTCATCTTTTTGAGGTTCTTTGAATTTTAAGCTATGTTTTGAACGTTTAAACTTTATAAAGTAATGATTCACGTCAGTATATTTTTTTCTTGCAAAACAAAAATCAAAAACTTTTCTCATAATTACAACCATTAACCGTCTAGATATTTTCTCCATTCGATATGGTAAGAGATGCAACAACTTGTTAAAAAGAAATATAATTAACTAAAAAGATATGTTGCCATGTTTGGTATATAGCGGATGATTGAAAATGAAATCCGGTGATGGAAATATGTGGATGTAGATTAAAGTAAATATATAACCTAATCGGGAAATGATAGTAAACATAAGTGGTAACAAAGAGTAAAAAATAGCCGACCCATTAAGTCTTTGTTAATTATATGGAGCATATCACATTTTGATACTATTATTATACTGATTAACAAATTAGTGGGATCGCACTATCATCTTCTCCACTTCACTAAAAAGGTCAAAAAGTCAAAACCCACCTTCTCCAGCTTGTATTCCATTAAACAAAAGTCTCCTTTTTAATTTATTTATTTTTATTGCTAACAACCTATTTGATATTTTTGTTTAGTTCATCTATTATCTATATAATCTGTATGGCCGATTAATATACAATAAAGGTTTACCCGCGTTTTACACCTCCATAACAAATTGTAAACCAACGAACTTTTGGTTAATTTCGTCTATGTTTACCGTATTACGGATAATAATCTCAATTTTTGATTTTATTATTTTTAGAGGAAAAAAACGGTCTCATCGTTTCCTTTCTTTTCATATCTTCGTTTGTTTCTCTGACTTGTCGTCTTCTTCCTCTCAACCTCCATTGACGGACAACCCTCCAAAGACGCAATGTGGGTTTAATCCATGGAATAGTTTAATCTTTGGAGGGTTTTTTTGTTGTTGTTGAGAAATTGCGTAAAGGAAGAAGATTTACAACAATGGAGAACATAGCGGCGCAGCTAAAACGCGGGATTTCAAGGCAATTTTCAACAGGTTCGATGCGTCGAACATTGAGCCGACAGTTCACGCGTCAGTCTTCGCTGGACCCTCGTCGGACCAACATGAGGTTCAGCTTCGGCCGTCAGTCTTCCCTCGATCCGATCCGGAGGAGCCCTGAATCACGGAGCGACGACGAGCCGCACATGTCGGTGCCGGAGAATCTCGATTCCACGATGCAGCTTCTCTTTATGTCTAGCAAAGGCGACGTCAGAGGAGTCGAGGAGCTTCTTGATGAAGGAATCGATGTCAATAGCATCGATCTCGATGGCCGTACGGCGCTTCACATCGCCGCCTGCGAGGGCCATTTAGGCGTCGTTAAGGCTCTTCTCAGCCGTCGAGCTAACATCGATGCTCGTGATCGATGGGGAAGTACGGTCTGTCTTCTTCTTCTTCCTCCATTAAGTCCTAGCATTCTGTTTTTCTTTAAAAAAAGTATTCGATTGTTGTGTTCATTGTCTGGATTGGGATTGGTTAAAGGTGACATTTTTATCTTTGTTTTTGACGTTTTCCGGTGAAATTAGGCGGCTGCTGATGCCAAGTATTATGGGAATTTAGATGTGTACAATCTCTTGAAGGCTCGAGGAGCTAAAGCACCGGTACTTTACTATTAAGAATTTCTTTTGTTTCTTGAAATTGGAGACGTTTGCTCTTTTTTTGTTGTTTTGTTCATGTGTTTGTATTATGAAAGGCTTCATTATCTTCACTCTTTTTAGAAAACCAGGAAGACGCCGATGACTGTGGCGAATCCACGAGAAATTCCCGAGTATGAGCTTAATCCACTTGAAGTTCAAGTCCGGAAATCTGATGGCATCTCAAAGGCATGCTCTTTTGTTATCTTAACACACATTTGATCTTGTAACTTTGGGAACATCACTGTTCTTAGATCATTTTAATTTAATTTGAATCACTCGTGTTTGATTGTTTGCAGGGAACATACCAAGTAGCTAAATGGAATGGCACGCGAGTTTCCGTAAAGATACTTGACAAAGATAGCTACTCTGACCCTGAACGCATGTATGTATTAAAAATAGTAGGCAACTCAACAAAGTTTCATCTTTTTTTTTTTTAATTTTGTTTCCTAAGGAATGATTGGGGTTTAACATGAAGAAACTAATGCTGCTTTTGTCTCTAAATTGTTCAGAAACGCATTTAAACATGAGTTGACGTTGTTAGAAAAAGTCCGTCATCCAAATGTTGTTCAATTTGTTGGAGCTGTCACTCAAAATATACCAATGATGATTGTAGTAGAGTATAATCCAAAAGTAAGCATATTTACTTCTTTTTGATTTCACCTTATTTCATCAATCATCTCAATGTCGTTTCGTGTGTTACCGTGTTTGATTCTGTTGCAGGGAGATTTAGGAGTTTATCTTCAAAAGAAAGGACGTCTTTCTCCTTCCAAGGCACTTAGATTTGCTCTTGATATTGCCAGGTATGTTAACTTCTAATGTATTGCTTCTAAGGTTCTTATAATTACTAGGTACCTCACAGATGTTTATTTTTTTGGTTTTGTTGGTGTCTCAGGGGAATAAATTACCTTCATGAGTGTAAACCAGATCCGATCATTCACTGTGATCTAAGGCCAAAGTAAGATAACCAAAAGCAAATGTCGATTAGATATGTTTAAAGCCTTTGGTTCATACTCATTGAGGTGTTTCTGTTCGTTTAATATTTTGAAATTTTTCGTAAGGTGCCAGAAATATTTTGCTGGATAGAGGAGGCCACTTGAAGATCTCGGGATTCGGTTTGATAAGATTGTCAAAAATTTCACCTGACAATGCGAAAGTAGCAAACCACAAAGCGCATATAGATCTCTCAAGTAAGGAGAATGCTTCATTCATATGCTAGAAAAATGTTTTTTTTTTTTTTTGCAAGATTTATGATCCTCAACAAAATGATTTCTTGATTGCAGATTACTACATAGCACCAGAGGTTTATAAAGATGAAATATTTGATAGAAGGGTTGATGCACACTCATTTGGTGTCATTTTATATGAGGTACATGTTCTCGTCTTGCTCGGTTTATTCTTATGTCTTGTGTTACTTTAATCTGTATGTGTGTGCGTGGTCAGATAACAGAGGGAGTACCGGTTTTTCATCCGAGGCCACCCGAAGAAGTTGCGAAAATGATATGCTTAGAAGGAAAGAGACCCGTTTTCAAAACCAAGTCAAAAAGTTACCCTCCGGATATGAAAGAGTAAGCTCAAAAACTATTCTGGAACAAGAATTATTCATGGCCTATGCAGGTTGTAAAAGAAGTGCCACTTCTTGAACCTGTTGTATCGCTTAATGTGCAGGTTGATTGAGGAGTGTTGGCATCCAGAAGTCGGTATTAGGCCGACATTCTCTGAGATTATTATTCGACTTGACAAAATAGTAGCTAATTGCTCTAAGCAAGGATGGTGGAAAGATACGTTTAAGTTCCCTTGGTAAGGTTTCGTTCTTCAGGTAGAATCTAAAGTTAAGACAGAGATGAAAGATTGTGGCTTTTAATGGTTCTTTTTTTTGTTCGCAGGAAATAAAGGGGAAGGAACAGAGAATCAACTATGTAGCCACCGAAAAACAAGAAGGGGAAACAAGACATAGTGAGACTTGTGGGAAAAAATCCGATTTACAGCAATTTTTCCTAGAAAGATGAATACCAATCAAACTCATTCGCCATGTATTCTGTGTGTAGAACTAAAGACAGAACAGGATTTCCTTTGATGGTTATATACCTTTGTATAGCTGTATAATAAACAAACCAAAAAAACTGCAGATCATTACCAAATACAAAAAAAAAAAAAAAATGTTTAGGCGACGAATTGTTTCCTTATTTTTTGATGCACAAGCAAACTTTCAAAATGATGATTGGATTCTTTACGGTTCAAAGATTTGAAGATTGCAATTCATTTACTCTCACATGGCTTTAATAAGAGAAGTTGGGAAGTAAACCAGAAGATGAACATACAACAGAAGAAGAATCAACTACAAAGATTATTTTGAGTAGAAGAAGACAGATCCATCAGGACATTACGAGCAGATACCTTTGCTACTCAACATGTGAGTAACTTATATGATTTGAATCTTTGATGCAAATGTGTTAATGTTGATATCTGTAGTGCCTCCTTCACTGAGTGACTTCACAGCCAAGTCTCTCCATTTCTTTGCGTTCTCCTTCATCTCTTTACTCTTCTCTCCTTCCATCACTTCCTTAATGCTAAGCTCGATCTCCTCTCTCTTCGCAATCCCAGTATCTTTCTCTGCCTTCACACGAACCCCAACCTTCCACACATCTTGTATGTACTTTGCATTCATTGGTTGATCGGTCCATTGAGGCATAGCCACCATGGGAACCCCTAAACTCAAAGCCTCCATGGTTGAGTTCCAGCCACAATGAGTCATGAAACAACCAATTGCTTTGTTTGACAGAACTTGAAGCTGAGGACTCCACTTCAAGACCAAGCTCTTGTCTTTATCCACTGTTTCAAGAAACCCTGATGGGAGCTTTGACTCCTCTGAAGCTCTGACCACCCACAGGTAGCTGAAGTTTCTTATCCCAGAAGCAATCTCTTCCATCTGCACACTGCTCAGCTGAGCCATGCTCCCAAAAGCTATATATACCACCGACCCCTGTGGCTTGGTGTCTAGCCAGTCAGCGCATAAGGCAGCCTCTTTCAAGTCGAAGAGGTTTAGATCATAGTCTGTGTCTGATTTGATTTGTTGGTCTAAGTACATTGATGGAACAGTCGGACCAATTGTCAACACGGGACAAACTTTCGACAACAACTCCTCCTCCTATAAACCAAAAATATAAAAGCAAAAAAAGACAGAGTAACTTGTAAAAAATCATGGTAGCCAGAGGAAAAAGACCGAGTAACAGGGACAAGAAAAACAAGTAGCTAAGGCAACTAAACAGGAAAATTATATCAAATCAGAGTAATTAAGACAAAAACAGAGTAATTAGGGAAAAAATAGAGTTATTGCAACATGCATATGCGAAAACAGAGCAATTAGGACATTAAATAAAGGGAAAAACAAGGTAGCTAGGGAGGAAAACAGGGTGGCTAGAGAAAAAGAACAGAGTGAATATGACGCTAAACAGAGTAGTTAGGGCAAAACAGAGTACACAGAACCAAAAACAGTGCATCTGAACATGAAGTAGGGAAACACAGACATGAATCATGGGAAAATACAGAGTAATATTTGGAGATAAATAAGGACAAAAGCAGAGTGATAAAGACATGAACTAACATGAGGGTCGAGCTCCTGGAAGGTATTAACGAGTACGAAATCAGCTTTGTCGAAGTTGGTGAACTGTTGAAGCACCATCTTAAAGTAAGCAAGATGGGACCCCGTAGGAGTGACAAAAGTAGGCAAATCTTGGAGCTCGAGAAAAGGCAAATCCTCGATGGGAAGTTTCACGCTTCCATTGTTCATGTAAGCAAGATAGTTATAATAGTTGACGCCGCAAGACTGCGTGAAGAAAGGAGCCGCAGCTAAACCGAACTCTCTTGCAAGGTCAAGCGCCCAAGGCATGAAAGAATCGTAGACAATACAAGTGATGGGGTCATCACTAGTCTGATGCTTGCGGATGACGTCAGCAACGGTTTTGGAGCCGAAGGTTTTGAAGTTTTGGAGGTATTCAGGGACGGAGGCGGCCGATGAGAAGCCACCGTGGTCGTAGCCGTCAGAGATTGTGGCTACTGAGACGGGACTAGATGGGTCGAGGTGGATTGTGTTGAAGATGAAAGCGGTGAGAGTGTGAGTGGTTTTGAAACCTTTGGACTGAAGTCGTTTGCAGAATTGGCGAATCGGTGTGATGTGTCCTTGGCTTGGGAATGGCACTGCTAACACATGCCCTCTCTTCTTCTCCATTTCTCTCTCTCTCTCTCTCTCTCTCTCTCTCTCTCTCTCTCTTTCTTCCTCTCAATCTTTGCTCTAAGCCAATGTGAAAAACAAAACAAAAAATCTTTGCTTTAAGCAAAACAAATAAATAGATGTTGGGGATATATATATTGGTAGATTCTGGAGGTTCTTCCCAGAGAAGACAAGAGCTTGTGATCAGAGCAAGAAAAGAAAATGTCTTAATGGAAAATAGGAAGTAATGAATTTCTACAGAAAATAAAACAAAACAGGAAGTAAAGAAGTGAGAAGATTCTCTACGGTTGTATAGTTATAGAATAAGACTTTGGACAAAATATTTATTATAGTAATATATCTATATCTATATTTTAGTGTACTAAGAAATCATTTCTAAATAATTTAAAATAAAAAACGTAAAAATTTAAACTTCAAATATGTTGTGGCCCAAATGTCAAGTGATATAAAAGTGGACTTACACCTAACAAAGGAAAAAATGATAATTTATATTTTGTGTTTGGTAAACTTTATATGGCAAGAATAAACAAGTCATATAGGTTAAGAATACTTACAAATTTTAATAATTTGCAATTTTGCATACAGGTAAAATATACCAGTTTTGGTATGAGATCAGCTGAAAATAGCCTTAACAATTAATTATTAGAAAAAGGGATATTCCAAACGAAGTGCCTATTAGCAAAGACAAAGAGTCTCCAGTCGAAACAGAGCCTTCGGCAGAGACTCTAGCTGAAGACCTAAACGGTGTCACTTTGCGTAACGGATCAAACTGGAACAACATAATGGGCCACGCAGATGATAAGAAAAAGCCCATTTCGGTTCGACGATCTTCTTCATCAACGGCTTTAACGCTCGCCGACAAAACCAAAGATGAAAAGCAGTCAAGCAGAGCATGAGTGAGAAAATAAGCATTACGGATAAAACATTCAACGTCAAGCTTTCAAATCGATTTTAGCCCCTCGATTCATCTTGCTCTGTCTATGATCCTTATGGTTTTAGTAAAGTGTATAGCCAGTATAGAGAATCGTTGAATGTGTATAAGCCTTAAGCGATATGAATACTATTTTTTGTTGATAATTTTATAAGAATTCGTTCACTGTTTCAAGAAATCCTGATGAGAGCTTTGACTCCTCTGAAGCTCTGACCACCCACAAGTAGCTGAATTTGCTTATCCCACAAGCAATCTCTTCCATCTGCACACTGCTCAGCTGAGCCATGCTCCCATGAGCTATATATACCACCGACCCCTGTGGTTTCGTGTCTGACAAGTCAGTGCATAAGGCAGCTTCTTTTGAGTCGACGAGGTTTAGATCATAGTCGTTATCTGATTTGATCTTTTGGTCTAATTACATTGATGGAATAGTTGGACCAATTGTCAACACAGGACAGACTTTCGATAACAGCTCCTCTTCTTGTAGAAGGAAATCAGAGAACAAAAATAGAGGGATTGGGTGACAAAACACAGTAGCTAGGAAAAAACAGGGTAGCTAAGTAAAAAAGAACTGAGTAACTAGGGCAAAAAAACAGAGTAATTAGGGAAAACAGTGTAATTATGACATAAATTTGGGAACTCAGTGTTATTATGATATATATTTTGGAAAAGAGAGCAATAAGGATAGAGTGATAAGTTAGGGCAAACAGAGTAATTTAGACTTGAATGAGGGGAACTCAACAGCCTAACTAGGAATGAATTAACATGAGGGTCGAGCTCCTGGAAGTAATTAATTAACGAGAAGGAAATCGGCTTTGTCGAAACTGGTGAATTGTTGAAGCACCATCTCAAAGTAAGCAAGATGATTGTGGCTATGGAGACATGACTATATGGATCGAGTTCGGTTGTGTTGAAGATGAAAGTGGTGAGAGTGTGAGTAGTTTGAGACCTTTGGAGTGAAGTCGTTTGCAGAATTGACGAATCGGTGTGATGTGTCCTTGGCTTGGGAATGGCACCGCTAGCACATGCCCTCTCTCTCTCTCTCTCTCTCTCACATGCCCTCTCTCTCTCTCTCTCTCTCTCTCTCTCTCTCTCTCTCTCTCTTACAACAGATAAAGAGAAATTATTATACTGATTGGCTTGTGAGGTTGTTGCTAGAGAAGACAACAGCTTGTGAGCAGAGAAAGAAGACAAACCCCGAGGTGCGTTTCTTTCTTTATAAAAGAAAACGTCTGAACAGTCTTATTTTGAAAGTTTATTTCATTGTTATATTTGGGAACTAAAGAAGATGGAACGTTAAGAGTCACATGGAAATGTAAGAGTATCTCCAACAATAATATGTAGTTAAGGGATGTAATGGAATTTTTTAATAGTTTTTGTGCACTTTATGGATTTAGAAACTCGGATAGATTTTTTCAAATTTGAAGTGTCCAATAGCAGTATGAGAGTTTCTAATTTTTTTTTTATTAATTTTTTTCAAATTCAAATATTTTATTAATAAAAATTATTTCAATAATTTGAAATTAAAACATAGAGTACAGAAAAAAATCAGAATTTAAAATTTAAACATAGTTGTCATCTTGAATATGTACCCATCTCGCTCATCTTCTACGATCATGTTATGAAGTATTATACATGCTTGCATAATCTTTCCTATTTTAATTTTATCCCACATCAGAGCTGGATTTTTGACAATGGCAAACCGAGCTTGCAAGACTCCAAAAGCACGTTCGACATCTTTACGGGTAGCTTCTTGACGTTTAGCAAACATGCGGGCTTTATCACCCTCAGGAAGTGGAATAGATTGGATAAATGTAGCCCATTTTGGATAAATTCCATCAGTCAGATAGTAAGCCAAATGATATTGTCTTCCGTTGACAAAGTAATCCACTTTTGGAGCTTTACCTTGTAAAATATCGTCAAACACAGGAGAGCGGTCAAGAACATTAATATCATTTAGGGTACCTGGAGGTCCAAAAAACGCGTGCCATATCCATAGATCTTGTGAAGCCACAGTCTCTAAAACGATTGTCGGTTTTCCAGCTCCTCGTGTATATTGTCCTGCCCAAGCAGTGGGACAATTTTTCCACTCCCAATGCATACAATCGATGCTTCCAATCATCCCGGGAAATCCGCGAGATTCTCCAATATCTAGTAGTCGTTGAAGATCTTCTGGTGTGGGTCTTCGTAGATACTCATCTCCAAACAGATATATGATTCCTTCTACAAAATTTTCCAAGCAAGAAATGGCGGTGCTTTCACCAAGCCGGAGGTATTCATCAACCGCATCAGCCGCAGAACCATATGTCATCATCCGAATGGCTGCTGTATATTTTTGTAGTGGAGAGAGACCGGATCTTCCAGTAGCATCTTTTCTTTGTTGAAAAAATGGAACTTGAGTACTGAGGGTATCAACAATACGCAGAAACAAATGTTTGTTCATTTTGAAACGACGACGGAATAGATATGGTGGATAAACGGGATCTTCCCGGAAATAGTCATTCCATAAGCGCATGTGCCCTTCTTCCCGATTTCTTTCAATATAAGCTCTTTTTTTCTTCCTTGCTCTTTGACGATCACCCCGATTAACAAAGAGATTTTGAAAAGCTTGCTCGTAAATTTTTTCAGAAGCTTCTTCAAATTTTTCTTCCATAATTTTTTCAAAATTATTATGAGAAGAAGATGCCATAAGATAGATGTGTTTTAAGAAAATATTGAAAAGGGAGTATTGTTGTTGATAAATGAAGTTGATATAGAAGATGTGTATATGACAAAGAACGATTTTAGTATAAGGAGAGAATGTGTTTGTGATTTTAGTTGAATGAGAGAAGAGTGATTTGTATGTGACTATAAATGTCTCTATTTATAGGGATAGAATGTGCATTTCATTATGTGGTTTACAGCTGAAATCGTCGAATATGTTAACAAGATTTACAAGGAAAAAAAAATATGTGGTGTCTTCATATACAAACAACACAATATGTGTGGTGTCTTCATACACAAAAATATGTGGTATCTTCATATACAAACAAACCAATATGTGGTGTCTTCATATACAAACAAACTAAAAGTAGGACTCAACATTATTGAGATACATTATTGAAAACGTCGGCTAAAGTTTTTAAAAGCATCGACCACATTATTTAAACCCTTTATTACAAATTTTTAAAAGCATCGACCCAAAAACAGGCCCAAACTTTAAAATCTCGGCTAAAAATTGGTAAGCCTCGACCAGTTCCTTCAAAACCTCGGCTAAAAATGTATCTCTCGAGCAAAATAGAATTGGTGGCCCAAAAGCTTTGAAGTGGTATGTGAATGTATCCTTTTTGTCCTGCAAACCAAAAATGGCTCATCATCAACAATAACAACCAATATCATTATTATAGAACAGGTACAAACAAACCATTGTTCTTTTTTTTGACTTTGCATTTATCAATATTAAAAATTAAACCATATATCAAAACAAAGAAACGACAATCATAATAAAACATGACCTTCTTTATAAGAGTCACACACATACAACTACATACTAAATCCGAAAAAACATTAAAGGAAAACATGAAAAACCCCTAAGAGAAAAACACATCCTTAACATAATTGAAAACATACAAACCGAGAATGCAATGATACAAAGGTTAAAAACCATCACTTAGACAACATTTCGGAAATGAGGTTGTTCTTAAGCTCAACTTCCATTGGAGTAAGAGGGTCGGTTCTTCCTAGGAGGTTGGCAAGAATCTGTTGTTTGTTAGTTTTATCTTTCAAGGCTAACTCCTTCTCCCTTATCTCCCAGATGTTTCTATAGATATCCATGGCTTTTTCATTCATCTCCACACTCTCAGCTTTGTCTTTTGTTTGTTTCTTTTTGCCTTTAGCCGCCTTTACACCTGGAGGACGAGTTACTCCTTCATTTTCTCCATGGCTGAAAGCCTGTTCTTCCTCTGTTCTTCTTTTTTTGAACATTCCACATCCTCTCCACTTCTGATCGTGTCTTAATTCTCTCCAGGCGTGCTCCATGGTGAACTTATGCTTGTAATCATTGTAGTAGATATCCAAAGCAAGCTTCATGACGTCATTTTCATTTTGCCCACTTGTTTTTTGTGCTGAAGCAGCTTCAAACGATCCTACAAACTTGCAAACACATTCATTTAGCTTTGACCACCTCTGCTTACAGTTGATTGGACCCCGCTTCTCATCAGGAGATATCTTATTACTCGCAGCATAGTAGATTGCAATCCTGCTCCAAAACGCATCAGCTCTTTGCCCATTCCCAATGATCGGATCCTTGGAGGTATTAAGCCATGCACTTATGAGCACAAGGTCTTCAGTTGGAGTCCATGGCCTCCTTGACCTTTTCTCTTTGACAGTCTCTTCAACTGGACTTGGAGCATCAGTCCATTGTGTTCCAGAAACGAGAGGTTGTGAATCACCAAGTGCAATGGTAGTTTCCATTGCACTTGGAACTTGTGGATGAGTTATTTGCTGGCTACTTAGTAGCTCCATGAAGCCTGAATGGTCGGAAAAAGGGTTTGTTGAATCCATTTCTTTTGGTGAATGAGTTTTTTTAAAGGATGAGAAAGAACGAAGGCAAGAGAGTGGAAGAGGTTTGTGTGTTTGTGGGTTCTTAAACAAAGCAAAGCAAAAGAGAAGTAAAGAGTGTGGAAGAGGTTTAGAAAACAAATGAGAGAAAGGAAAGATAGTGGAAGAAGGTATCAAAAACAAACATACATTACCTCCAATATATAGGCTAAGTATTGACGATGGAGTTAGCAACCAAATAGAGTTAGAGTTAAATTTATAGTTAGCATTCAACAGAGAGTTAAACGATCAAGACTTAACATAAGTTCTAGTTAGAACAGAAAACTTCTGTTCTTGTAGTTAGCATTCATTGTTTTTACCTAACCGATAACACCGTTGCATTGATCATAGGTGACATAAAGAATAAGAACAGAAATCCATCCTAATTAAACAAAGCATTGATTCCACTCTCTAATGCTAACCTAACACTACAGACACAGATTCAATGCCTATTTCCATCCATCACAAACCATCAATTAGAAACCACATCAACACCATCCTAATTAAACAACTGAAATGATTCTCGGATAACTATGAAGAGAAAATCGAACTTACTTGTACAGATGCATGGTTATGACTTTGCTTGATTGATCAAATGGCCCAGACTTGGCAAGCTCGATGAATTGACCCTGATTTTTTGGATCGATCACTTCTTATCTCGCCGCCACTTGACCGCCACCGCCTTCAAAATAAGACGCAGACAACTCGATATTGGAGAGGACGACTGGACACCGCCTCGGATGACTGGAGCTCACTTGCCGCCAGAGCTTCACGCCGAGAAGATTTGGATTGAAGATCAGAGATATCGAAGAGAATGGGTTTGCTCGAAGAAAATGTGTTCTTGGTTTTTACAAATGGAAATGAGAAGCTTCCTTTTCATTTAGAGGTTTTGATAAAAAAATTTAAAAAAAAAATATAAAAACGTTAGCCAATCAATATGCGCCACGTATGAGTCTCTATTGAGTCTCTATAAACTACAAAAGTAGAGACGTTTCTACTTTAATTAACTATTAAAACTTTATTTTTAACCCAAAAAACTTCTTAACAACTCATTAAAAACTGTTGTTGGAGGTGGTCTAAGTATTAAATCTACGGTTCTATAGTTACAAGAAGATCTCGACAAAATATTTATTACTATTAATTTTTTTGTATTAAATCTGAGTAAGACAATTACGTGGTGCATATAAAAATTAAAACGATGTGGTCCAAATTATAATCATGTTAATTTAAATGATGTACATGTTAAGCCTAATAAAGGGGAAACATGACTTTTTCCATCATCATGTTAATTTTATGTATTTGCTTAAACATGATAAATCAAGAATAACATCATAAAGAGTTAGAAGCAGGTGTAATTATATGCATGCAAGTAAAGAAGATATCACGGTTTAATATGAAATCAACTGAAAACAATCTAAACATTTAATCATTCGAAAAATGAACATTCTGCTAATGAATCGACGGAAACAGTGAGTAAGGAGTTGAAGGAAATTTTGGCCGAAGTGAAGCAGAGATTCCAACCATTGATTCATGGACCTGCGACCAATTGTGAACATTGGACAAACTTTCTACAACAACTCCTTCTCATATAACAAAAAAACAAAGTTGAAATAGCTTAATCAATGTCTTCCAGAGAGACAAAAACACCTAAACAATTTGTTGGACAAAAACTTAACGAAATGTTTTGCTTTCTTCTCAGAATCTGTATTCAACACAGGGTAGAATTATGGAGGAATTGTAAGATTGGGATGTAACCAGAAGATGAATAAACTTAAAGATTACACAAATTGAAAGGCTTATCCAAAAAAGAAATAAAGACTGACCCAACAAGATATTAAAAAAGAGATCTTTTCTACTTCATGTGTTAATAACTTATTTGCTCTGAACCTTGGATATAAATGTGTCAATATTAATATCTGTAGAGCCTCCTTCACTGAGTGACTTGACAGCCAAGTTTCTCCATTTCTTCGCGTTCGTCTTCATCTCTTCACTCTTCTCTCCTTCCATAACTTCCTTTATACTAAACTCAATGTCCTCTCTCTTGACAATACCACTCTCCTTGTCTGTCTTCACACGAACTCCAGCCTTCCACACATCTTGTATGTACTTTGCGTTCATTGGTTGATCGGTCCATTGAGGCATAGCCACCATGGGAACCCCAAAGGTCAAAGCCTCCATGGTTGAGTTCCAGCCACAGTGAGTCAAGAAACAACCGATGGCTTTGTTTGTTAGAACTTCAAGCTGAGGACTCCATTTCAAGACCAAGCTCTTGTCTTTATCCACTGTCTCAATAAACCCTGATGGCAGCTTTGCCTCCTCTGAATCTCTAACAACCCACAGGAAGCTGAATTTACTTACTGCTGAAGCAAGCTCCTCCATCTGCACATTGTCCAGCCTAGCCATGCTCCCGAATGCTACATACACCACCGACCCTTGTGGCCTTGTGTCGAGCCAGCTAGTGCAGAAGGCAGCATCTTTCGAATCAAAGAGAGTCAGATCGTAGTCTGTGTCTGATTTGATCCGTTGATCTAAGTACATTGATGGAACACTAGGGCCAACTGTCAACACAGGACAAAATTTTGACAACAACTCATTCTCCTGTAACGAAAGACAGATTAATTAGGACCTGAACAAGAACAAGACATGATAATGAGGAAGTTGTAAGAGAGAGATAGAGAGATCTAACATGAAGTTCCAGATCTTGGAAGGTATTAACGAGTACAAAATCAGCTTTCTCGAAGTTTGTAAACTGTTGGAGCACCATCTCAAAGTAAGCAGGGTAGGATCCAGAAACAGAGAAGAAAGAAGGCAAATCTTGGAGCTCAAGAAAAGGCAAGTCTCCAATGGGAAGATTCAAGCTTCCATTATTTATGTAGGAAAGATAATAGACATAGTTAACAGCACAAGACTGTGTAAAGAAAGGAGCCGCGGCTAAACCAAAATCTCTGGCAACGTCGAGTGCCCAAGGCATGAAAGCATCATAGACGATACTAGTGATGGGGTTATCACTAGTCTGGTGTTTGCGGATGACGTCTGCAATGGTTTTGGAGCCAAATGTTTTGAAGTTTTGAAGGTAGTTGTGGATGGAGCCAGATGAGTCAAAGCCGTGGAGGTCGTAGCCATCAGAGATGGTGGCTATGGAGATTGGCCCAGATGGGTCAGGCTTGATGGAGTTGAAGATGAAATTGGTGAGAGTGAGAGTGGTTTTGAGACCTTTGGAGTGAAGTCGTTTGCAGAATTGGCGGATTGGTGTGATGTGTCCTTGGGTTGGATATGGCACTGCCAATACATGTCCTCTCTTTTTTGCCATCTCCTTCTTTCTCTCTCAAAATGGTATGCTTTATCCAACAATGAATATACCTTATGAGATAATGCGAATATATATAGACAGGTTTTGTCAGGTTCTTGCTTAAGATGAGAGCGGTGGGAACTTGAGATCAGAACAAGATAGTTTTGTTTTTTTCTCTCTTTTTTCGTAAGAGAAAAAATGGGAATAAGAAGAGAAAATCATTTTGCGTTTCTTTCACAAATAAATGAAATGTGTGAATCAAAAGATTTATTTCTGTATTTGCTCTTCTGTTCGGTGTATAAGAAAAAATGGAAATAAGAAGAGAAAATCATTTCGATTTCACAACAGTAGTGTCAAAAAGATTTATTTCTGTATGTGTGAATCAATGAAATGTATGTATGAATTAAAGATTTATTTCTGTATGTGTGAATCAAAAGATCTTATTTCTAAAATTATCTACAAATGTAAAATACAAAAAATACACAAAGTCATAATTCCCTTTTCTTTATCATTTTGTTGTTAATTTCGGAGAAATAATATCTTAAAGAGATATAAAGACAAACGGAAATGGAGTAAGAAGTGAAAAGATTCTCTACGGTTCTATAATTACAAGAAGATCTGGACAATACGAAGAGGACCTTTGTGTAGTTGACGTCTTCTCCCCTAATATCTGACATTTCTGTATTATTTAAAATGTGAGATTTTGTATTTTTCACTGAACCCAAATTTTAATTTTTGTATCGCTTAGTTCCAGATTTGAACGCTAGTCCGTGCTCATTTATTATGTCTAGTAGATCACTCTATTTGACACCAAAGCAAACGTTAATAAGGACATTGTCTAATGTCTAGTAATGACCATTTGAAGCAAAAGTCAAACTAAAAACGATTCTTACAAAGTACAAACAATCATTTACCTATACGAATTAATAAAGGGACACAGAGAAATATAGAACAGAACCAGACAACTATATTTTGTAATTAAATTAATATTTTCATAGATTTAGTTAATATAACGTTTTCTGAAATTAGCTATTCCATTTCTCCGCACAAATAGATCACATGCTTTATGCTTATACGACAGAAATACAATTCTATTGGATAAATTAAATGTTCACGTAGATAAATGACATAGCACGGAATACAATCTAATGTTTTACAACAGTAAAGTGTCAAAAACAAATCTACATAAAAAATTAACATATTGTAGAAAAAAAAATTACGGAGTGACGGTCTGGTTCGACGGTGGTGAAGGTCTTTGTACGGAGCCGTACACTGATCTCTCGTTTACACGACCAACTTCTTTACACACTTGATCAAGAATCGTCAGAAAGTCTCTGACCACAGCGAAAATGCGAAAAGGGTGAGATTCCGAATTCCCGTGGAAATACTCTGTTACTTCTTTAACCATCTTCATGACATTGCTTCCATGGGATTGTATCTCCGTGATCTCTTTCTCACCTTTGTTCAAGAACATGTTCATTGAGTCTAAGAATCTCTCTACTCCCGTTTCTAGCTTTAGCTCCGCGATTGCTTCCTTGACTTTCGTTATTCCGCTGGCTATTTCCTCTGTTTCGTGGATGAGGGAATTTGAATCCATCGCAGCTGCTTTCTTGACGTTTATCAACTGAGAGCTGAGGCTTGAAACCACTTGCAACCCGAGTTTCTTGAGCTCTAGATCGTCTTGGAATGCGGATTGCTCAGCTATGTCATCGCCTATCGGGTCGTGAGCCGGAGTAGAAGAAACTCGAGCTCCTTCAGATTTTATGATTTCTTGAACTACGAAATGCAACAAGGTGGTTTTCCCATCCGCGCCTTTGATATCTACCAGCTTTAAAAGCGTGTCAAGCTTGAAAGCATGCGCATCACCTCTATTGGTTCCTATGTTCATTCGGTTCCCAGTTTTGAGCACCGCTTCTAGAAGCTTCAAGAACATCCGTGTATTCTTTAACTCACCACAAGCAGCCTGAAAGTTCGATCAAACGCACATGACTGTTCTGTATTTAGCAAAAAAGAGACTTAATGAGGACAAGTAGAGTTTTACCTCGAGGGTGTCGAAGGATCTTTTCAGGTACTCGGTTTCGGATTCGAAGTTGACTATGTAAAGCATTGCATCGATCCTCTTGAAAGCGAAAGGAATGTTCAGCAATGCTTTGAGGAATCTCTCCGCAGGTCCAATCTTGGAAGGAGATTCATCATCATCATCTTTAAGCGCCTTAAGTTTGTCTTCTTCTTCTTTGGTAGGTGCCATCTTAAGCAGGCATTCGAGTAGCTCAGGTCCCAGAGTATCCGAGTTGCCTAATTCATCAACAAGAAAAATGTTTAGACACCCTTTTTTTTTTTCAGAAAACTAAATCAGTCCAGTCATGCTTCAAGACTCTCAGACCAGTTTGAGGAATCATCAAAGCTAAAGATATGTTTGCAGCAGTGAGTGTGGCTGTGTGAGGTAACCTCAAACAAAATTTTGATTTTTGACATGGAAACTTCTGCATAAGCAACAAGAGAATGGGAAATTATTCACCTTCTACAAGCGCTTCGCATACTTCATCGGCCGTTACATTGAGAGCCCTCAGCAAAATCGCAATGTTGTGGGACTTTCTTGGATCAAGAAACTGATTCTCATGATTAGCAGATTGAACAACACCTGCATTTCCTCCATCTCTTGTTCTTGAATTTGGATCATTCGCCCTGAACAATGTCTCTATCATTTCTTCATTCACTCTGCAAAAGGACAAAAGAATCATATTTTAGTCCCGTAGGCAAAGAAGGGAACGAATTGTTTAAGACTATGAAAACGAATTCGTTATATCTTCTTACTGAAAAGAATTGGATTTGATTTGGTCCCACACCATACCACGGCCCGAGCTTGCTCTAACTTTGTCCCAATGTAAAGGCTTCAACTTTGGTTTCAAGGTCTCCTCTTTCTTTTCTGGATCAGAGTCCCCACGATGAGGCGAGAGCGACGTGGTAGCCGGAATCTCCAATAATTGCGGCTGAGGTGGAGGAGGTGGTGGTGGAGGTGGCCTCGCTGGACAGGGTTGCTTCGAAACGCCGTCGTTTAAGCTGTTCTGACTATGCAGCGAGAGACGAGGACTAAGCGACCTTGGTTTCGAACTTGTTGCCGGAGAACCATTCAACGACGAGGCGGAATTAGTCGGCGAAGATGAGTTCGAGCCGTTGATACTCCTGCTGCCAATCTGATCAACACTAGAATCCTTTAATACGCTAGCCCAGGCACGTGAAGGGCTCTGTTTACGACCGGAAGATCCTCTCGGAGAGAAAAACTCGTCGTTTTCGTTGTCCTCTCCGTCAAAGTCGGGTCTTTTAGGGTTTAACTGATCAGTGATGTGGTAATTGGGAGTGAAAGCTGGGAGCTTTGGTAAAGGAGGGAGAGGACGGAGCTCCGGAGAGCCTTGCTTATGGTACTGTGAGTAAGAAGAAGAAGAAGACGAAGAAGCAGGAGCTGGTAATTCCAAGACGCCCGTGACACTGCCGGAGACGGAGATGGGAGATTTCTGCTGATCCAAACCGCCGCTTCGGGAGTTCACTAGAGTACCTAAGTAGAGAAACTCGGAGGAAGTGTGAGAGGAAGTGTATTTCGGTGGTTGTTTGTGTTTCAGAGAGCCGTCGGAAGGAGCGGCGTTGAAGAGCTGAAGAGAGTCTGATCTGGTGGATTTAGTGTCATCTGCAGGAGAGGAGCGGCGGCGATGTCGGGTTCGACGGAGGAAGATGATGAAGACGGCGAAGAGAGAGAGGAGAACAGCGGCGGAGACGACGGATACGGTTATGGCGACGACCTTGGCGATGTGGCGGTTGTTGTGAGGGCTTTGATGGGTTTGTTGTGAGTTGGAAAGAGGAGAGAAGAGATTGTTTGGCGGGAAAAGTCGGGAGTGAAGGCCGGAGGAGGGAGGTGGTGGTGGGGGAATGAGCCGCCGTTGGAAGGATGGGGTCGGAAGGAGGGGAAAAAAGGGTTAGGTTTTCGGG